AGAAGACCGCATCCTCTGGAGCAATGCCCTTCAATCCGTTTACGGCTGTGACAGGACGCCATGCACTGACGCTGTTTGACATTCGGTGAGCAATGCCTGCAAAAAGCCTCCAATACCAGCAGCCAACCAAACCAGCCTTGTGGCGTGGAATTCTGACTTAACAACTTGCAGCCTCGAAAATGACTTCATCGTGTTCCGAGGCAACGAGCATGAGGCCGGCGGCCAGCTGCTCAAGGGCGTCCTCGCCATCTGCGTCCCGACCTCCTTCAAGATCGACGACATCCACTTGCGCTTAACCGGCACCCAGCGCCTCGTCTGGAGCGACCCGAAAGTCACTCCCTCCGGCCTCACCTCCTCCAAGATCGACCGCACAAGCAACATCCTGACCCACCAGTGGCCGTCCTTCAAGGGCACCCCCGGCAAGACCACCGTCCTCGAAAAGGGCAACCATGAGTTTCCCTTTGAGCTCATGCTGCCGGGCGACACCTGCGAGAGCGTCGAGGGCCTGCACGAGGCCAGCATCACCTACAAGCTCAAGGCCACCATTGTCCGCGGCAAGCTCGCCTACGACCTGCACACCTACAAGCACGTCCGTATCGTCCGCACGCTCGAGTCGTCCGCCCTCGAGTTCTTGCATGCCATGAGCGTCGAGAACATCTGGCCGAACAAGGTCGAGTACTCCATCGTCGTACCACAAAAGGCCGTTGTCTTTGGCAGCCACATCCCGCTCGAGTGTCGCTTCACGCCGCTTCTCAAGGGCCTCGAGCTCGGCGACATCACCGTCCGGCTCGTGGAGATCCACGAGTTTGTGGCCACACCCCCGTCCGGCAGCAGCAGCAGCTACCACGCTCACACGCGCGAGTTCAAGAACGAGAAGTTGGTGCAAAGCTGGACGGTCGGCGTCAACCGAGACGAGCACTGGCAGGACATGATCGAGGACACCGGCCAGGAAGGCTGGGTCGTCAACACCTCGCTTGACCTGCCCCGCAAGCTGGGACGCTGCGTCCAGGACGTCAACGTTCATGGCATCAAGGTGCGCCATAAGCTCAAGATGGTCGTGGCCCTCAAGAACCCCGACGGCCACGTCTCGGAGCTGCGCGCCACGCTCCCTCTCACCATCTTCATCTCGCCCAACATCCCGCTCGACGAGCAGGGCAACCTGACCGCCCCGACCGGCTCGGCCACTACCAACGCCACCAACCTCAGCACCATTGCCCCTCCCGGGTACGGTGAGCACATTCTGGACCAGCTCTACGACGAGGTGGACATTCACAACCTGCAGACCCCTGCGCCCATGTCGGCCATACAGAGCCCCATGTACGGGATGTCGCGCGCCGGTTCCAGCGAGAACCTGGCGTCCGTGCACAACCCCAGCATCCCCGTCCACCCAGCCGCACTCACCTCGCGCCTGCAGGACGTTTCGGCCCGCGACATGGCCGTCCGTCGCAATAACAGCTCTTCCATCCTCACGCCACCCGGCTCGTCCTCGGACACGACCACGCCCTTCACTCCCATGCACCTGCCTCACGCCTTCATGCAGCGGTCACACTCCTATGCGGCCGACCTCGGCGGCCTCGCCAACGGCAACAATGGCCACAGCAGCGCCCCCACCAGCGGCACGGCTAGTGGCAACCACAGCCACCCGCAGTCCGAGGCCGCGTCGCGGCGCAACAGCGGCGAGTCGCGGCACAGCACGGGCAACAACAGCGAGCAGAGTGAGCCCAGCGGCCCAGAGCACATTGACTTTGTCGACCTGCAGGAGCTCAACAAGGTGCCGTCGTACGCCACGGCCATCAAGACCTCGCGCGTGAACAAGATCACGGTCGGCGGCGACGCCGAGCTGCCCGACTACCGCACCGCCGCGTCGCGACCTGCCGTGCCGCGCACTTTGTCGACAGCGTCGACAGCGTCTCTGCCGGCCAACTTGACAAGCGGCAGCAACAACAACGGCAGCAGCAGTACCAGCAACAACAACAGCGCCAGCGCCAGCGCCAGCGGGCTCGCTCTCAGCTCGGGACTGACCAGTGAGCCTCTGTCGCTCATTGCGGAGGCACCGCAAGAGTCTGCAGGTGCATTCGACGACGTGACGAGCGCACCCGCCAGTCGCGCCAGCAGCAACGACAACAACAGCGGCGCCAGCGACAGCGGAGACGGTATTACCATTGCACACCCACCGCGCCTGCATCAGCGCAGCCGAACCGCCGGCTACCATCCAGAGCAGATGTCGACCTCCCCTGGCTCGGGTCTGGGCCCGGGCGCTGGCTCAGGCACGGGGTCTTCAGGCCGTCGCCGGCCTTTGTCCAGCAGCGTGTCTTTTCTCCACACCCGGCACAGCCAGTCACCTAGCGGTGATTCTGACGAGCGCGGCTGGCTGCAGCTATTGCAGGCACGCGGCCGGGTTGCCACCTAGAGAAACTGCGTGTGACAAAGAACGACATTGCACGACACATCATACTTTCATCGGCGCTCGCGTTATGTGACAGACGAGCCGCGGGTTTACGACTTAAATTTAAAACACGAACTGGGAAACAGACTTGTTGGGCGTTCAGCGATGTTTCAATTTTTGTTTCTTTCTTCCCGTCTCATCTCTCGTCATTTTCCTTTGCAATCTAGACTTTTGGGATATCCTGGGGCGGCATATTACTGTTCATTGTCATTGCTTGCAGGCGTCTTTTTTTCTTTTCATTTTCATTTCTTTTTTTTTCATGATAGGTCATGGCACCCACGCTACATTTGCTTCTGTTTGTTCTCCCTTCTCTTTATCTATTCTAGTATATACTATACCCTTTGTCAAATTCTACATTATTATTTTTAACAGCAATTTCTCGTTTCCGGCGACCCTCGGAGGACGCATGCTATGCAGACAGCAGACATCGTAGAACTCGTGATGGCCCAACGTCCGTCGAGGTGTGCTTGCTACAGATAAGGAGGACCAGAAAAGTGGCGATGGCCAGACCAACTCAACTAGATGCAATGGGCACGGATATCCCTGATCCGACGGCAAGCAATCGACGATCGGTTAGACCCTTTCTTCTCTCTATCGTCCATTTGGAACCTTGCCTCTCTTGTCTTCCTCTTGGGCGATCCACAGAGAATCCCCTCCCAACTTTTCTTACTGCCCCTCTGCTGCTGCTGCGCCTTCTTTTGCTGGCCCAGATGGGCAAAAGATTGGCCATTGCCATCTAGACCGGGCCCATCCCGACTCGGGCTAGTGGATGCCTCGAAGACAGCCACGACAGCAACCGTGTGCGCGTGACGCAGAGGACATTAGAAGACGCTGAGAGGCATGCTTTGTGCTGCCTATCTAGTCTCGCAGCTCGGATGGCAGGTGCGTTGGCTCTGTCGTCGAGTGATACAGAATCCTGTCGGCGTGCTTTTCGGCATCGCGATCTATGTCAACAACCACAGCTCTAAATGACTAAGATGGTTCGCTGAAGACGAGGGCCAGGACATGTACATGTATGTCGCAAGCTACGGCATTATTTTGACGTTAGTGTTCAGTGTGCTTGGTTTCGTCGCCTTTATATGATTTTGTCGTTCCTTATAGCTCTTGTCTGTCTTCATATTTCCCATGCGCAAAATTCACAGTGTTATGCATCCAAACCAGAACCGGCACTTGTACCATCCGATCGGCCTTTCCGTCATCGGGCCATTAGAGAGGCCCAGAAGCAGGGAAGGAAAGAATGGATTTTAAGCGGTCTCAGTGGGTGCAGGAGCCAATGTGTTCCTGCCCTTTTTGTCCCGTCCTTTTTCCCAGTGGCGCTCCACAAGTTGACGTCATAAATGCTATCTGTCTTTCTTTTTCGCATGCGGCCCCTCCATCACAGCATCACATCGGAAGCTGCGAAGTGGTGCAACAGGTCGCGCTTGCCAGTCGACGAATAGACAACTTTCTGCAATCGACGGGGCCCAGACCCACCACCTAGATCGGGGAGTTGCTCGTTGCTGCTCTTGCCCATTTTACAATGGTCTTCTCTTTACCCTGACTAGCATCGCATCATTTTGGTTTTGTTGCGTCGATCGCGGTTTCCTATATAGACACGGGCGGTTTCTCTTTTTTTGGATCGTCCTTTCCTTTCTTATTCTCCTTTACTGGCCGCTGTTCCCCTCATTTCCCCTAAATCGGTTCCCCTATTTCTTTCGTTGTTTCTTAGTTCTTAGCTTTACTAAGAACCGTCACTTTTTGGCTTCACTTTTAACGCTTTTTGCCCTGACCAAAGGCGCTTGTCTTCGTCCATTCTTCTCTTCTTCGCCTCTTGTCCCTGGATCGGCGGCTTTACCTGGCCCTAGGCGGCTTCTCCCAGTACTGTAAGTTGATTCAAAGGGTCCAGCCATTTCCAAGCGTGTTTTTCTGCCAACATTTGCGTGACTCTCGATCTCGACCATCATTTCAACCATTTCGACCATTGCGACCATCTCGACCTTTTCGCCATTCGCCATGTCTACCAGGCCAAAGCGTCGAGGATGTGCCCAGACCAGGCAGGCCAGGCCCGCACAGGTCGGTGCCTCGGAATCCTTGCCGTCGCATTCGCGCGGCAGTCAGCGTCTCTATTCAGGGGGTCCTGACTTGGCTTTTATCGGGCACTTGGGGCTGTGACGTCTTTCGGATCGCTCGTTCGTTCAGCAGCAGCTATTTCAGAGGGGGTAAAATAAAATGAACCCACTCTCAATGGCCCCGTTGCACACACCGTCTCATTAAACCGCCAGGCATTGTTGGGACTCTGAGGGACCCCGCTCTGGCGAACAAGAGCTTGGGCTATCCGCCGATTACCCGTCTCCTTGGCTTTCGTCCGACCTTTATCTTTCCTCTTCTCGTGCAGTTACTGTGCCTTTTTTTTTTTCCTGATTTTTTATTGAGGCTGTTTAGTTACATAAACTAACATCCTCGTCAACACAGCAAGACGTCGGGTTCCATCCTGACTCTCTGCAGACACCCGTGTCGATTTGTGTCACCCTTTTCTCCTTGCTTCCCCTCACTCTACATCACGCCTTAGACCGCCATGACGTCCGTCAAGCAGGACCTGCCCATTCGCCAGGGCACTGGCCTTACGTCCGTCACCAGCGCCGGCGACGAGGCTGTTCCCGATGCCGACCCGACCAGCGTAAGCGCCCCTTTTAATTCGCGTCTATTCCAAAATGCGTGGCATCCGGACATGTGGGACCCAAGACACTGACAACTCGTTTCAGACGGCCGGCCTGCTGGCTGAGCGCATCCAGGCATGGAAGCACATCTGCGGCAACCTCGAGGATTATATCGGAGCTGTCGAGAAGCTGCACAAGGAATCGGCGGGCCAATACGAGAAGGTCCTCAAGACCATCTCGAAGCCCCTGCGTGAAGGCCAGCACTTCGACTCTCAACTCGGCGGCATCAACGGCTTCTTCGACAACATGCGTGCCAACACGCAGGCCCTGATCAACACCAACCTGGAGACCGAGAAGAACCTCAAGGGCTCCGTCCTACCAATGCTCGAGCGCCTGCACAAGGAGATCAAGGCCAAGGCCAAGGAGCTGGCCCAGGGCGCACAAAAGGGCGCCAAGGAGGTCGAGAAGGCCCGTCAAAACACCCAGAAACATATCGAGCTGCTGGGCCAGCAGACGGCCTCCTTCGAGGCCACCGGCGGCAAGATGGATGCCACCCAGGACCCTTACGTTGTCCAGCGTGGCGTTCTCCACCGCCTGAACAAACAGGTTGTCGAGGAGAACAACCACCGCAACGACCTCATTTCCGTCCAGACCAACTTTGAGACGTTCGAGGCCCATGTCATCGAGGTCCTGCAGCAGGCCATGGAGGCCTTCAACATGTTCGCCGGCGGCCAGGCGAACCGCGTCAGCTCTCTCTATGGCGACATGCTGGGCGCCATCCAGCGTGTTCCTCTAGACATGGAGTGGAAGAGCTTCAACCAGCGCTTCAGTGATATCCTCATCGACCGCAACGAGCCGGCCCGCACCGTCGAGTCCATCTCCTTCCCCAACCAGGACCACCAGAGCACCCACGCCGTCATCGAGGGCAGCCTCGAGCGCAAGAGCCGCAACAAGCTCAGCTTCGGCACCAGCACCGGCTACTATGTCGTCAGCCCCTCGCGCTTCCTGCACGAGTTCAAGGACTCTGACAATGTCCGCAAGGACCCCGTCCCCGAAATGAGTATCTACCTGCCCGACGCCGTCATCGGCTCGCCCAACGGCGACAAGTTCACCATCAAGGGCAAGGATCGCAGCAAGTCCATGGGCAGCCGTCTGGCCGGTACCTCGGAGCTGCAGTTCAAGGCCCACAGCCCGGCCGACGCTGAGAAGTGGTACTACATCATCCTGGATGTCGCCGGTTCTGCACACGCCAGCCACGCCGAATCCGCCGCGTCTCCAATCTCGCCCATTGCTGCGTCGCCGGCGGGTAGCGCCAAGGCCAACGAGCTCGCGTCACCAGCTTCGCCCACGGCTGCCTTGTCCAAGTCGCCGGCGTCCAACATCGCTGGCGTCTCGCCGTCGCCTTCACCCGGCCCCACCTCGCCTGCACTGGCCTCTCCCGTCATCACCTCTCCCGTGACAGCCGGCACGAGCACCGCCGTCGGCTTCTCACCAGACACAAAGGGTGCTGACGTGGCCCACGAGGCGCAGGAGGCGGGCGTCACGCCGACAGCAGCAGCAGCGCCCTCGACCAAGGCTGCTGAGGCGGGCGTGGCACCAGCACAGACCAAGACGCTGGCTTAGGAGACCCCTTCGTCTTACTCGTCGCCTCATACCACTGTATCCCCACTTTCCGCCGACGAAATGGAGGACTATCTGTCACCAAATGTGTGGTCGCGGTGAAAGTGCAACGCCACTTTGCTCCTGACCTGCCATCTTTCGCCCCGTTCCTAAAACGGGGCGAGCCCAAAGTGAAGGAAAGTCTCTAGATTTGCAATGAGATGGGGATGACATGTATGCCGCGTCGGACAGTCCCGGGCCCATTTTGGCCAGGGTAACGACATCGGCCAAGACTGCAGTTCTGCATTGGCAGAGGAAGCAAAGAGGCCCTCGCCTAGACGAAAATGGAGACAAAGAAGAGAGAAAAACGAGGCTGTCGTTGGTAGCCTAGGAAGGGCGGACGTGGGATGGTGAGGCACAGTCGGAGTGGGAGGCCCATATCCCCTTATCGTTGTGCGTTGACCATGTTTTTTTTATACTACGTTTTGTTATGTATGCCTGCTATGGACTTTTTGTCTTGCTACTGTTTTTCCCGTTTTTCTTGGAATACGTCTCGCTGTTTTATATTACCGCTTAATATTATGATATGAAATTGGCTTTTGACTGATGCTTTGATGCTGCCGTGTTTTGCATCTTGCACAGGGAGTAGTGCTCGTCCATTTCACGTTCACAGGGTTTCCTACTCAGCCTTGTCTTGTCATCCTCCCGCACACCACCATTTATAATCTACGACTATCACCTCCACCACCCTTGTCTTCAACCGAGCCCTTCTGGTATCATTTTATTCTTTTTGTTGTGGCTGAATTTGCCTGGCCAGTGCCAACCGTTTTATATTTCTCCCCCACGCACCGAGTGTTGTCTAATCTATTTGGAACAGGCAGGGTATCAGTCTTGAGCCAATCCATGCTAGACATCTTCAGCCTTGCTACTAAGCGTTGGTATGTTATGGGACATTGGAGGATCTACACAAAAGAAAGGAAGGAACATAAGGAAAGAAAGCAGCACTTCCACGTGTTTAGGACGTTGGCAGTTGAACCAAAATTTCCGGTTCACCGTTCTAATGCTTTCAATGTGCTTTTTCGTAATGGTTATCTCACTTGATTCGAGATGACAAGGCCAGAATACCGCAAGACATTATGGCAAACCACATCATTTTCGATCTCTTTGTATCTTGTTTGCTGAGGCTCTTGTACTTTATTTTTTCACCGCCATTTTGATATACAGACGTCTCTTTACAGACGCCTTTTTTTTTTCGTGATCCTGCCACGCATATAGCTTTTGGCATCAAAAGAGGGACTGTGTTGTTTTAATTGTCAATTCGCCGTGCAAATCTGATTTTTTTTTTGTTCAACATCTCCGCTTCCCCGTGTCTGCCACCAGCAAAAAATATGAAGAAATATGGGCCGACATCAGCTTGAAGGCAGAAAGACGGTCTGGAAAATGTTGTTGTGCTCACCTTCGATAGATACTCTATGCCGTGGTTGTGCATAGGCTGTGTTGGAGTATACTGGACGCACAAGTCGAGGTGGCCGAATAGGTGGGTAACGACGATAAAAGATAAAATAAAAATGAATAGCTCAAGTGGTCAAGTGGTGGCTACACCATCTTTCTGTCCATTTGCAGACCAGACCAGACCATCCAGTACACGTCATTCAGCGGCAATCTACCTCAATCGAATGTCAGATAACCTTTGACGAGCAAAGTAGATCAGACTACGCTTGAACCTCGAGACCTCCTCCCGTGCCTCCCTTCGGCTAGGAGGGAGGGGGGTACAACATGGCCAGACGAACTGGCAGCTGCGCAGGAATGCTGAGCCCAGTCTGCCTGCGGCTCGGATCCCATTGGGTCTTTCATCGACGCATGTGCGTGGGCGCCTACCCTGTCTGTCATACGCGCGGCCCATTGGCTGATATCATACGCCATACTTGCGAGTACAAAGCTTGAACGCAAATCGTAGCCTTGTCGGTCAAACTGTCGGCGGTGTCCCCAACAAATACAGCTTCCCTTCGTCGGGTCTCTTCTTGTTCTTTCGGAAAGCTGAAAAGCATTTGCTGCATTCTTTTCTTTTTCTTGGTTGCTCTCCACGGTATGTTGGTGATCCCCGAGCGGGAGCCAAACTGAAAAGAGAAAGAGGGGGCAGCGACGAAGCAAGGTCGATGCAGAGACGATAGCTGAAAATTGAATACCGAAACCTTTCCACTCATTTTTGGGTCGTCGTATTTTTCTTTTTTCTTTCTTTCTTTCTTCCTTTTTTGATACTTTTCCCCCGTCAGGGAGGAGGGTTGAGCAGGGGATGGTAAACGCCTTTTTTTTTTTTTTTTCGTGCGTTCCAGTTTGGCCCACGAGACAGGGATAAAGCAGGCGTCGACGCCGTGAATGCAAGATGGGGGCCGAAACAGATTTTCGGCCACAACGGCCAGCTCAGCGCCGTCGTGCGAGAGGGTGTGTACAAAAACGAGCTTCGTAGTGGAAAGAATCAGAATCTGCGGACGAGAATAATTTGGTAAGAAGAATGTATTGTGTCAGGAAAGAAACATTGCATCGATAAAACAGGGCGAAAAAAGGCGTCCCGTTTGGTCGTATTTCGTGGCCCTGTCCCCTCGGGCCAGGTGTGTGCACCAATAACAATCGATTTTGTCCGGGCCTTGACAACGACGGCCAAAACGTCGCAAGGCAGATGTATGTTGTCCCCATTCCTGGAAATTGTCGTCCTGCCTCAGGGGTGCCCACCTGGAGAAGGCTGGGCGGGCGCAGAAGCGATCGTCTCCGTCTCTCATGTTCACACGCCAACATCAACTGGTTTCGGGTAGTGGAAGGTGGGAAATTGCCAGCCGGCTCATGTCAACGAGGAGAGTCGGTCTGCACCTTCGTTTGAATTCTTTCTTCTTTTTCTTCTTTTCTTCTTTTTCCCTCTTGACTTTTTCCTTTCCTTCTAGTACGTGAGCCAACTCCAAAATAGAAAAAGGCGGTGGACTACATCCGCGCAATCATTTGTATGCGCTGCTGCCGTGATGCCATTGGTAGCCTTATCTTCCGCAAGAAGGGCAGAGGGAACAGGGGCACGGCCGGGCGTCTGTCTCTGAGGGTGTGTCCCGACCCGCAGGCCCCGCGCGAAGTGTCGAACCGATGAGGCTGAAACCGCGTCCTGCTGTTGGCTGGACATACTCACGACAGGCGTCCAGAAAGGCACCGAATCCCATGCCGCAGACCGCCAAAGGGCCGCACTGGGCCGCACCGCCAGAAAATAGCAGTTTTGTCCCTGACCCAGCATGCTCTGAGGGGCTCCATATGCACACATTGTGCACTCCGCGTTTGCCTTGTCCTCGATCAGTAGCACCCACGGAGTAAGAGCGTGGCCTGGTGACTGGTGCATTGTTTGCTGCAAAGGCGTCATTGTCAAGGTTGTCGAAGCATTACGGTGGTTAGTCGTGTGCTCGTATTGTGGCAGTCCGCCGCAATGCACAAAAACGAGAACTATCTTGTTGTTGTCGTGGTTGTGTTGTTATTGTCGTTGTCGATGGCCTGAGAAAAGGGGTAGAGAAAAGGGGAGAGAAAATAGAGAAAGAGGCACAGAGCAAGATACGCATAGAAGTGTCGAGGAAGCCGCGAAGGAGCGGGGGCGTCAAAGACGGAAGGAGCAGCCGTGGGTGGCAGGTACGTCGACTGCCCAAGGTGGAGGAAGGTACCTCTGGACCTTTTGACCTGGCTTGCACATCTTGATCAGAAAGTCTTGCATGGCGTCTGTGGTTCGTGCATGCCATCTCTTCTGCACGCTGATGGCCGTCGTCTGGTTTTGTCTATATAGACTCCTCGTATCCTTTGTTTTCTCGCCCTTGAGGTTTCTGTTTCCGAGACGTCTCTTTCAGTCTCTTCAGCCTCTTCAGGTCGTTCTCCATCGCGCTTTCCTTCCCAGACATTGACGTACCTAGCCTTGTCCCCTCCCCTTTTCCCAGCCGTCTGCTCCTTCTTCCTTGAAAGCCTCCCAGCTGTCCCTCCTTCCTCACCTGTCACGATAGACTTGCTGCTGTCCACTGCTCAAAACATCTTCGCGTCGCCTTGTCCACCTATTTGCCACACTTCTTCTCTATTTTGCCAAACACCGCATCTCCGCTATACAATGACAAAAGCCTGGGCGGACAACAAGGAGACGATACTGGGATACTACCAGGTCAACAAGTACCCGCTCAACCAAGTCATGGTTCTCATGGCCACTGATCACGGGTTTCACGCGTCGTATGTTTCCACACTTCTTGCAGTATTGTATGTTAGACCACACTGGGAAAGACGTTTACTGACATATCTTTGCCTCTTGTCTTCAGACAGCGGGCGTACCGTCAGCAGTTCCGCCTCTGGGGCATTAAAAAATACAACCGCAAGGAACGGCCAGTGTCTCGCAGTGGGCGATATTCAGAGCCCAGTGAAGGGACACGACCTTCGTCGTCATCAACCATCGCCTACTCTCCTTTATCACAGGGCACTCCCCGGTCGGTCCACGCACATGTGAAGCGCCAAGACGGAATCAGCAGCCTGCAGACTATGCCATCTCCCTATTCGGAAATGGCATCGTCATACTCGGCGCCGACTCCAAACACAGGCTTTCACAATGACGGATCTGTTTCGAACCCTGCACGGCAAAGCAGTGCGATTCAAGCCGCCGTGGGCAGAGAGTCACCGTCTTCTTTTCTTTTTCTGCCGACGTCTGATACCGGCACGAATATGAAGCCGGCGGTGCCGTGGCAACAGTCAAATGGTGCCAGGAAGCAGCAAGACGAGCCGAACGACTACAAACTGCCGTGCCCATGTCCGACAGCTCTTGGCTCTTCCAATGCCTGGACCAATTCCCAGGCCCATCATGACCCGTATCCACCAGTCAAGGGTCTCATCAGGCCTTCGTTGCCGCTGGGCGACCTGCCCCCCAAGTATCAGCATTCGGAAAAGCAGTTTTGGGACATGAACCACAAGTCCCGCGAACTGGACGGGAGACCGCGGGCCTTGGCTGCCTCGGAGCATGTGTCTGTGACGCCGTATGAGACCCGGCGGTACCATTTGATCTCCTCGCCGCCGCACTCTCAGGGCCAGCCGCCGTCGCCGAGGACCGCAAAGGCCATGTTCGAACAGCATCCGGTGCCAAGAACCGTACCACTGTCACCAGTATCGCTCCCTGAAATTATTGTCCAGCCTTGCCTGCAGCGGCAGGACCACAGCTCTTCATACCATGCAAACGCTTTACCAGGTGCAATGGATTTTATGCGGACATACGATTCGGCGTACTCTGCGCGCGAGGGCCTATCCGAAGTCCCTTCGGCTCATCAAGAGCCTGGGCCAACATCGATGGCGACGTCTACATCCTGCCATGAGTCGGTATACCCCGGTTACCATCTTGTCTGACTGCCTCATCCACTGGACGGATGAGAAATGTGAGCTACAGGTGGTAAAGTGTTGATGGGTATTCTCTTTTCTGTTTGCGCTGATTTTTCGGATTTCTTTTTCCTTTCAACAACGGCCAGCACCGCTTCATGAGTCTCCCACATTGTGCCGTGCCCTGCCTCGTCGTCTCATGGTATTGAATTGACTATTGGCTCTTTACTGACTCCGACTCTCTCTTGCTTTGGTATAATTTTTATTTTCCGCTTCCATTTTATATTTTATATTTTCGATTGAAGGCCGCCCGGTGTGGTTTGAATTTGTCATTGGTTTGTTTACTGGTTCGTTTTGGACTCTTTTCTGTCTCGTTGGTCTTTCCATTCTTACTTTGCGATTTGATCGCTGCGGCTCGTACTTCCGAACTGATTTGTGCTGTTTGGAGTATGTTCATTTGGATATTGTGTTTTGTGTATCCATGGGTACATACATTTCATTTGGGTTCCATGAGGCTGTCTAGACTGCCTCGAAACAGCCCCGTCTCGACTTTGCTGTTGTTTGTAGGTCTTTACTCTGTAACTTTTTTTGCTTTTTGCGCACCACCTTGTCATATCTATAACCAATAATATATTATACACTGCGGAAGTGTACTTGAAAACATTTGTCTTGCAAAACAAGCAGTGGTATCGAATTCAGCTCTCCTCCACGAGAAACGACCTGGATCACCCGGGTCTAGCGAATGCATTTGTTGCGTTGGAGTAGAACAACGCTCATCCTATCTTTCCTTTGCAATGTCTCTTTATACATGTATTAGATACACGTCCGTTCGTTCGCTGGCAGCGTCTTATCCCATCAGGACGTATCGGCCTTTTGAATGGCAAAGAAATAGTTGCCCAGCTTCTCGCCGCCAGGGACGACCTTCCAGCCCAGACCAGGCACATAGGCAACGCCCTGGAACCGGGCATTCTGCCATGTCGCCGTCGTGTACGCCGGGGCCCCCGGGGCAAAAAAGGCCTCGAGCTCGGCTGCATTGATGTACTTGTTCCAGTCGTGCGTGCCGCGCGGCACGATGCCCAGCACGTCCTCGGCGGCGACGACGGTCGTCAGCCAGCTCGTCCAGGTGCGCGCCATGGTGCTCAAGACGAGCCAGCCGCCCGGCTTGAGGAGGCGGCCGCAGCGGTCGAGGAACGCGCCCGGGTCGGTGGCGACGTGCTCGAGGACCTCAAACAGCGTGACGATGTCGTACGGCTGGCTTGCGGCCTCGGCGGTCTCGGCGGCCGCCAGGTCCTCCACCGACATCTGCCGGTACTGCAGCCGCTCAAACACGACGGGGTCGCGGCGGGCATGGGCCCGGGCGACGGCGAGCACCTCGGCGGACGGGTCAATGGCGGTGACGGAGGTGGTCGTGGGCAGGCGGGCGGCGCTCTCCGCAAAGATGCCGCCGCCGCAGCCAATGTCGAGAAACGTGCGTGGCAGGAGGTCGTCCATGGGCTGGGCGGAGGTGGTGGCGGGTGAGAAGAAGGCTGCGTCGCGGATGCACGCCCGAATGAAGTCGTGGCGGAGAGGGTTCATCTGGTGCAGCAGACGCGACGGGCCAAACGGGTCCCACCACGAGGAGGCGAGGGCATTGAAGTGTGCGACCTCCTCGGGGCTGACGGAAGAGAAGGGAGGCTCTGATGCGGACGACGCAGAAGACGCTGTGGATGTGGATGTCGTCGAATGGTGTCGTGAGCAACGGGCAGCTGTTGGTGTTGAGACCCGTGAAGCTCTCCGGACCAGCCGTTGACAGCTTGGAAGCTGATGTGCTTGGGCCGCTGCCGTTGTGAAGCTGCGCGCCGACGCGCTCTGCCGGAGCCGGCATGCCTGGCGCAGCATTGGCGCTGCAGCTCGTGGGTGTGCCATGGCTGTTTGTACAGAACGCAAAGCTGACGAGGCCGTGGCAGAAGCTCAGCTTTCCCAAAATGCTTCGTCATGAGAAGGGGCGATTCTGCCACGATTTACCGCCTTCCAAAAGTGGTTGTTCCTCTTTCCTCAGTGGAAACGTATCGTTGCAGTACATGTGATCGTACGTCATTCGGCCGTGAGCCCACCCACTCCGTTGGAAGTGAAAACCGCCCCCAGGAGGAAAGCAGTTGCAGGGTCTTTTTTTGGCATTGTCGTCTCATGTCTGCGATGTCGCTCCCGCGCCCGATCTCCCCCGGAACGAGGCCGGCCAGATTTCGGAACGCACTTTCCATTCGTTCTGCCTGGCCTTCCTTCCTCTCATGGAATGCATGCTGGAGAAACGGAGCTGCCACTCGCACCTGCCACATTTACTGGCTGCTGTTCGACCAGCCTCGCATGTCTATTCACACGTCTGCTTATGGGTCCGCTCTATGATGTGCTGGAGCCTTTGCCTCTTTGCAATGCGCTCGCACCCGTGAATATCATGTGCGTGTAAATCCTACGTGATAGTACAACGACTTCCACTGCCGAGCCGTTTGGTAAGGCGCGCATAATGTTTGCTCGCGAGTGTGTAAGTGCTTTGCATGAGCCTAGCGCGGGACAAAACGGCAGGCGCTCAGCACTGTATGCTGTACAGAGGGATGGAAGCCAAAAGAACCTTTAGACGGGCCCGTAGAACAAAAAAAAAAACGAGGAGACGGCGCGAACGCACCTTCCGCGTTATCGAGCACGGAAAAAAGGTCACTTTCTGCGCTTCTGCGCTTTCCGTTTCTTTCGTCGGCTGTCTGCTGACGACCGCTGCAGCCCCCCCTAACGATGGCCTGAAAGTGGCCCGGTACTGGCGATGCCAGCGTCCCCTAAAAGGGCTCGTTTCGTCCTCCAACGGCACAAAGTCGGACATGCTCGGTGCGTCTCCAGACATAAAAAGAACGAGGCCCCGTTGCCGCTAGCATAGGAAAGGCCGAACAGGCTGTAATACCGAGAATGTTGTCGTGGTAAGACACTACAGAAGTCATTAGCAATTATTACAGAGCAAACAGCAATCACTTTAGGGAATCTCCGCCCGCAGAGCGGACGAAGGACGCCAAGCGTCGCCCTTGCCGTGCTTTGTCTTGCCCAGACTTTAAGAAGGAACCGCTCCCAAGCCCCTTCCCCGTCGTACAAGGCACATTTTTGCGCGGCCAGTGGCGATTTTGTCTTTTTGCTCTGTCGCTCCAATTCTCAACTGGCCCCACTCCCACCCTCGTGCTTAATATCCCCAGTATTCCTCTGTCACAAGGGAATTGCGAAATAGCGACAACGGAACAACGACTCCAACGTCCTCAACTGCTTGCTCTCCTCTACCTCCCGCTCGTCAACTTCCGTCTCGTGGTCATCTTCTGGCACTTGTTTACTGATCGGACCGCCAAAGTCTCATTGGATCTCAGTTTCCAGCGGCCAATTGCACATTTTCAATACAATTCTTCTACTTTTTGTTTTTGTTTTATCCTGTTCCAAGGGATTTTCTTGGCGAGTCGCCTGATTCCCGACTCACGCGGGTCTTTGTTGGCCATCGACACCACCTCTGACACCGTCTCTATTTTATCTACTATTGTTTTTTTTTTTCTCGCCTTGCGTCGCCCGCTGTCTGCCGAGGCTCAAACTACACAATTTATTCGCTTCACTTGCCAGCTTTCGACAGCACACGACATTTGCTTCGACATCAAGAGAACAGGACCTTTTCTTAACGTTTTCAACTTTGAATTTGGTTCTCTTCCTCCCATTTCAGCCCACATCGTCCACAATGCCTGGCTCCACGTTAGAAGGCTTCAACTCCATCCCGGAGACCATCGAGGCGTTCCGTATGTTGTCCTCTTCCTGTTCGAAGACGTGCGCCGCGAGGACGTGGGAGAGTTGCTGCGCTGGATACTGCTGACAGTCCCCGATCCCCCCGCAGGCGATGGCCAGTTTATTGTCGTCATGGACGACCCAGGCCGCGAGAACGAAGGCGACCTCATCGTTGCCGCCGAGAACGTCTCCACCGAGCAGATGGCCTTTCTAATCCGCCACTCGTCTGGCATTATCTGCGCACCCATCCTGCCGACCCGTGCCGACCGCCTGGCCCTGCCCCCGATGGTCCCCAACAACGAGGACCCCCGCGGCACCGCCTACACGCTGACCATTGACGCCTCCGACGCCGTTGTCTCCACCGGCATCAGCGCCCACGACCGCGCCCTGACCTGCCGCCGCCTGGCCCAGGACGACGCCGAGCTCGAGGCCGTTGTGGCTGCCGAGGCCCAGAAGGCCAACGGCAGCACCAACGGCAACGGCCACGCGGCGGCGCCCATCTCGGCTGCGGCCGCCTTCCGCCGCCCCGGCCACGTCCTTCCCCTGCGCGCCCGCCACGGCGGCGTCCGTGAGCGCAGCGGCCACACCGAGGCCGCCATCGACTTCTGCCGCCTCACCGGCAAGCGGCGCGCGGCCGTCATCTCCGAGCTGGTCGACGACGGCGAGCCGGTCCCTGGCCAGGCCCTGCACCGCGGCTCGGGCATGCTGCGGGGCGGAGGCTGCATTGCCTTTGCGCAAAAGTACGGTCTCAAGATCTGTACCATCACCGACCTGGCTGCCTACCTGGACAAGACGCACCCGACCGGCCCCTTCCCGGGCCCCCAGGTCGATGAGGTGTAGGTTCTCCCTCTGGTTGGACACGACGATACACAAAATTTGAAACAGACCCAAAAAATACAATCACTAGACGGCGGACGGTTGCATATACACACCACAAGAAAAAACGCGACTGGCGGCAGGCGGCAGGCATAGTTCTTGTCCGTCGTGTCTTGTATACACAATCTATTCGCGAGGCGTTTACGGCTTGGCTTTCTAATTTTGCATTGCTTGCTTTTATTTCTCTTTTCTATTTTTGTATACAGTTTTTGGAAACTCGGGTGCACTGCATATAACTCTGCATGACTCCGCACCCTTGGTGCTGGAAATACTACCAAAAAAAATCGAATAATCTACTGTCAAACACCATGGGAGCCGTTTACATTGCCGTTGTCGGACATGGGTTGCTGGAGCACGATCAATATGCGTCACAATCGAATGTCGCCATATGAGGCTCCTGCCAATAATGTCTCCACCACTTTTTTACGTCTTATCTTATCGGGAATTGCCATCGGGAATTGCCCCTCATGAAATGGCAAGACCCCGGACTAATGAACGGAAGGCGCGACCACAGCGCAACGCAAACAAGGCGTCACTCAGAACAAGACACTGTAAAGACGCAAATCAAAGAAATTGGCATTGACTCGACAATGTATCCAATAAATGTCTTGATTATTTGTTTCCTCGTATCACTCGAGAACAGAGATCAAGCATGGCCTGGTTGAGACTTAACGAGCCTTCGTCAGAGGACAGCAGTATAATAAAATACGGTGAACATGCTGTTTTAATATAAATATAATTCAACAGTAATTTTTATAAATAATGTCACAATAAACCAGTCCAACGCCTTCACAACTAACTTGCTGAAAGCCTCAAAGTCTGGTGAACTCGCCGTGTTCCTTCTTCAGCGCCCAACGGCTTATTTACTAACTAGGCTGTCGCAACGGATGGGCCCACTTTAAAATATTCAAAAATCTTTTGGCAACAACGACCGACGGCGAACCTACAGTGCCTCATCACCAGAAACAGAAAGTCCACTTTTGCGATATCCTGGACTGTCTTCGCAGAGGCCACAACAAACCACACAACATGGCAGCCCAAGCTCCCTCTCGGCGTGCGTTGCCCTCTGTTTCCCCCGTCTACACTCGTCCCAAAGGATGACGCCCGCTAACAGACCGCTCCTCCTCCCCACAGAAACGTGCCAGGACACCTTCGAGTCCGCCGTCGCCATGAGCCTCCATCTCTGGCAGCCCCTCTCCTTTGCGGTCGAGTCCAACCTCGGCGGCGGCGACGGCGCCGACAAGCGCGATTGGTTCGCCGGCGCCATTGCCGAGCTCTTTGAAGACGCGTGGACCAGCGCGCCCCTCTCGTCCAGCACCACCTCGACCGTGGCCGAAGACCTGCTGATGGACACCGAGAGCCGCCTGCTCCAGATCATGGACGACGAGTTTGACACTGTCGTCGACGACGGCAGCGCCTACGACGTGGCCAGCAGCATCGTGCAGCTGTGGACGCAGTGCCGGCGGGGCCAGTTTGCGGGCAGCGAGGCGCTGCGGCAGAAATTTGAGGCGTCGCAGGGCAAGTCGGTGCGGGGCGCATTCCATGCCGGCAAGGCCCCCGACGCGGACACGGCATGGCAGACGGACGATGAGGACGACGACGACGACGAGGACGACGAGGGGGACGAGGACGACAGCAGAGACGACGATGCGGGCGGTGACGTCAATATGGACGAGGCCCCGGCTCTGGTGGACGGCCCGGCGACACGGTCCAAGCCAGAACCCGAGGTGGACGAGGACGGCTTCACCACAGTGACGAGAAAGAAGAGGTGATCAAGAGAGGAGGAGAGAGGAAAGACTGCTGTTTAATTATGATAATCGTGTATTGCCTTATTTCAGCTTCAATTACGGGATAGACTTGGCTTTGGGTTCAATCAAAAGTTTGCTTTTGCCCAGCGTTAAGGAGTGAATTAACGTTTTGTCAACGCTTGTAGGTATGTAGCGAAAGACCTAAAACCAGTGGGCATATGGACGACCCTATAGGAACCAAAAAAATAAGGAGCGAGAAAACAACCCTGAGAAACGCCAGCTGCCACCAAGAGAATGTGTAAACAAAGACCAGCAGACGGAAGACATGCTTTCATGAAACGGGTCAGGCCAGGCGAACAGAGCCCTAAACGGGAACGAAGGTTGGCGCCCAAAACAAATCCAACGACGGGAAAGGGATATTGAACGGCAGCAACTCCGTCTCGCATCGTACAGCAAACAGAAGGCGGCGACAAGACTGACTGTGTCCGAAAACGGCAAATCAAAATCAAAAATCAAAAATCAAAATGCAAACGACTACCGCGTGTCTCTCGTTACTCCCAGTCCTCCTCTTCGCTGTCCTCCTCGACCCGCTGCGGGCTGTTGGGCGCTTGGCTGGGGGCACCCGACTTGGCGCCGACAATGTCGTAGCTGGCCTCGCTATCGGCCACGGACTTCTCGTCCGACTTACGCGGCGAGGCGCTGGGCTTCAAAAGGCCGTCCACGGACGGTGTCGAGGAAACCTTCTTCGTGGCGGTCGCTTTCGTCGTCGTCTTCTTGGGCGGTTGAAGGGTCTTGGAGGATTCGGCGGAGCCGGTCTGCTTGGCGGGGGCCTTTGCCGGGGCCCTTGCCGGGGCCTTTGCCGGGGCCTTTGCGGGGGCCCTTGCCGGGGCCTTGCCGATAGCCTTTCCGGTAGCCTTGGTCTCCTCGGATTCGGTGTCGGACTCGTCCTCGTCCGAGTCCTCATCTGAGTCTTCATCCGAGTCCTCTTCGTCCGAGTCTTCGTCCCATGCGACTTCCTCCTCAGCGGAGGCAGCTGTGTTGGTCAGCATATGAAGTACCTTTCGTTTTGTCCTCCTTGTTCTCGTTGTTCTCGTTGCCCTCATGGTCCAAACTCACCCTTGAGGAGATCCCGGCGGCGCGCTTCGGCGGTCTCAATGCCGCGGCGCAAAAAGTAGTAGCGCTTCCAGAAGTCGGCATAGGGGACCGTGGCCGGCACCAGCTTCTCCATCGTGGCGCGCAGCTCCGGGTACTTGTTCAGGTCGCTCGCAATGTCTGCCGTCTTCGAGTCGATGTTGAATGTCTTGGCAAACGCCGCAAACTCGTCGCCGCCCGACGGATCCTTGGCGAAGCTGTCCGGGCTCGTGTGGATGACGTGCAGCTGCGCGTCGAACCGCGACGTATGGATCACGCGCTTGCCTTGGGCGTCCTTACTCTCAAAGAGCACCGTGCTGCCTGCCGTGTTGGAACCGCTGCCGCCCGCGGCAGACGCGCCGGCTGTTGGCGGCGCAATTGTGATGGCCTCGCGCAAGAAGTCGCGCAGGCCCGTGCCAAACTTGATCAGCGCCTCGTCGGCGGCGTCTTCCGCCCGCTGCAGGTCACGCAGCCGCTTGGCGGCCTCGCCCTTGATTTTGGTCAGGACCGTTTCATCCTGTCCGCCAGCGGCCGCGCCGTCCGTCGCAGTGGGTGTCCCTTCGGAGGCGCCTGCCGCAGCGGCCGGCGAGGACCCTTCTCCGTTGCCCCCGGCACCTGCTGGGCCCGTGACAAGGGATAGGTTGCGTGTGTGGCTGACGAGGGTGTCGCGGAGGCCGGTCAGGCCCTTGGATGCGTCTTGGCCGAGGGCCGTAACCTCGAGCTGGGCTTCACGGACAACCGAGCCGCCCTAGACGATGTTGTCAGTTCCATCTGAAAGTCTGAAGCACCGTCCGTCCCATCCAACGTTGCTTGCTCGAGCAAGCCCGAGACTACACACACCTGCTTGACGACGTTGCCAAAGAAGCCGCCGATCCGGGTGGCCCACGGGCTGAGCGCCGAGACGGCAGCCTGGAGATCCTCGTTGATTGTTGCCGGTGGCTGGTCGCGGGAGTGGTCCCGGCCCTCACCGTCTTCGGGAAGCGACTCCCTGGTAATCTCGTCGTAGGCGAGATCCATGGCTGCTGATGGGGTTGAGGAGGGGGGGGTGGGGGGGAGAGGTTATCGCGGCAGAGAGGGTGGAAGTGGAAAAGGAGATGGAACAAACAATGCAGATATGAGGATGTCGACAATCGTGCCTGCGCTCACGGTATCGATGCACAACAGGTTGCTCCAAGCCGTGTCTGGTTCTCAAAGTGCCTCTGTAATTGGATAAGAGAATGCAGAGGTCCGAGGCGGTCACGTTGCTGAAGCTTCTGCGGTGAGGTTGCTGGTCCGAAGAGGAGGAGTGATAGTGAGAAGGACTAGGATGTTACCCACTTGTGGTTTGGGCGGGATGCTTAGCGCCCTACGGCCGTTGCAGGTGCTCTGGTGCTCACTGGCTTGTGCCTATTTCAGACGGTTTGTGGGCGGGACCAAGCCCACTTTAGTGATGTGTCAGCGGGACACCAGCCACACCTGTTCAAAGAACCATCCCAGCAAGCCGGCTCCCTCAGCGTGGGTTTCAGGTTTAGGTTGCTGAAGGAAAGCCGCAGAGAGCGCTGTAATATTGGCCCCGGCCCTTGCCTCAGGCACTAGCAAGCCTTCTGTTGCTGCTCCTCGCAATTGGCAAGAGCGACCAACAGAAACAGCTCTTCTCAAGAACGGAAATCACGCCCTATCACTGGGTGCGCCTCTGATAGCAACAGTCTTTCGAACGGGATCAATTGTATCAAAAACGCCAGGCTATGCCCTGGCCACGAGATCAGCTGCCAAGTCCTGGGCCATTCCATTGGATTGCAGGACCTGCATTCCCAGACGTTTTGCGTCATCCATCTGTTTCTCCTCTTGTGAGCCTCGATCATGTCACGTGATGTGGCGTCTTCGCGAAACGCAGCAACAAAGAGGCTGTCGGTGGCACGCGCGACGGATATCGGGGGAGTGAGGAGCAATGACGAAATGGTTCCGCTTTCAAATTCAACGACTTGGTCGCACGTTTTTCTGCCGGCCAAATTTTGACAGGCAAAAGCCGAAAGGATACGTCGTACCCACTCCTTCCCGGAGAGCGAAAGGGATGTTAATTACTCGGCACAGAGGAGTGGACGAGTCGTGCATCTTGTATGAAGAAAACTGCAGAGGGGCACAGAAGGAGCGACCGGTTACGCCGCGTGCATGCGCTATGGGCCAGAAGCAGCCAACCCGTCCACTGTCCACAGGCGCGCCCTTTGACACGAACAAAGGAAGGAACGCCCAGGTCGTGGTGTGAGACGCAGCGACTCATTGGCCGGTCGCACTTGCGGTTCTTTGTCTTCATCTACCGTGCTAGTTCAGTTGCACACTGTGGGGAATGCACGAAGGATGCTGCGAACTTATTTGCTTGCGCTTTGCAATATACGAAATACGCAGTCACCGCCTAATTAAAGTGCTCTTGAACTGTCGTCTCCCGTTCGTCTGTAATCCAATGTCGGATACCAGGACATACGCGCTTGACGGAACCCTCGTTCAGTGCCTGTTGCAATGACGTATTTCGCAAATGCACGGGGCAGGCACAGCACTGTCGAGGAAAGAGGAAACCGCAGATTCCATGTCTGGGAGACACGGAAGGAGCTCATGAGATGGTCAGGGCCAGGATTTAGGCTCGTCTTAGCTTGTCAGCAGGTTCAGTACGAATATGCCCGTGACTCACGAACCGTGCTGTGGCACACTTTACAAGGTAAACCGCTTCACAAGGGCAGGACGCTACTGCGGCGATGCCGTTCGGATGTAAGACACAGTCCGGCGGCATTGTCGTCGCGTAGCGAGAGACTGGCTTTCTTCTCGTGAGCCGGGTGCTCTGGGTGGGCTCTCGTCTCCCGGTAGCTCCTGCTGTATGTTGCTCTTCTCAAAATATGTCGATTCTGTCTCCTCTTTCCTTGACACTCGTTGTGGTGATTAGGGAAGGAGGGGCCATACATTTTTGCCCTCCTGCCCTGTGTACTTCGTAGTTTGTCCAGGCAGGTATGGTCGACCTGTTCAGAGTTCGGAACTGTCAAAATGCGTCGTGGGGCCGAGAAGGAGCGATGGTATCTGAACTGGGGGCAGTGACTTTCAAGCGTGCAGTTGGACGCACCTTCCCTCAGGTACACAGTGGTATCGACACCGTACCTGGAATGGGAGGCCCAAGTGGGGGGGCTCGGGGGCTAGAAGATCAATCTAAGAGAGGAACCCCAATCCAGACGGGGCAGGAGAGCCAAAAGAGGCAGGGGCGAAGCACGGGGCGCTGGGTTCCAGTCGTTATTTCCAGTTTGTCCGCGTTCAGTGCGGATTACAAATTGAATTTTCGGTTCTTTCTAGCCCCTCTTTTCCAACCCCATCCATCTGCTTCTCTTTCTCCCACCACCCATCACCACGCCTTGTTTGCCTCATCACCACCACCAACAAGACAGCGTCGACCCTGAGCAGCGGAATACCAGGGAGTGAGAAAGACACATTTGCTTTAGGACTCGCCGAGAAGAGGCGGCAAAACAAGGAGGAAAAGAAAGAAGACGGGAACTGGAAAAGGAAAAGAAGCAGAAAAAAGAAAAAGAACACCTGCACGAATAGGCTCTTATCAACCCCCTCTCAGAAGTCGCCATTCTGCCCACTGGCTGCTTTGAAACGGGCCACTCGTCCTCCTCCCTGCCCCCCAGTTTCTGGTATTATCTTGCCTCCCGCAGCATTCCCCCCCAGATCATTTTTCCAGGCACCAAACGTTTCGTCTCAGGCCACAATCTTTCTCTCTTCACCCTCACCCCATCCCCGTTTTCTCACTCCTGCATACTTTGTTCGTGCGTTGCTTCGAGATAACGTCGTCATCTCAACTTTCTTTGCCCTACCCACACATCCGTGTGGCCTCGCTCGCATTGTCTGCCCTGGCCTGGATCCTCAACGGTTCGAGTGCATTGAGCACCCAGCATCTTCTCGTCACTCTCATCTGTCCCTTCTTTCCTCGCTCGGCGTGGACTTGAGCATCGTCACTTTTCTGGGAGGCGACAATATCGCTCGACCATCGCCTCCCCTGGGGTCACTCTGTGTCTCACCCTCGCGCGCTTGAGGCTTCACTGCGTGTGAAAGCGGACGCTCTATATCGCAAGAGCAAAGCATCTTCGCTCCGTCTATACTCTTCCCGCACTCCCTTCCCAACACTTTTTCCCCGCCCCAACCACCCCCCGGTCCATCCCAATGGCTTCCAACCAGAACTTCCTCCTTACACCTCAGCAGCAGGAGCTGCTTTTCGCCGCCCTCAACGCCAACCGGCCGGCGGGCGGCTCGTCCGGCATGTCTCCCAACGGAGCCGGCGTGACGGACACACCCGTCACGACAAAGCCCACCGATCTCATCAACAGCATCGCCGACAGTTCGTTCCTCGACTACGACTACTCATTCGACGGCGCCGACACCAGCCTCGATTTCTCGCTGGAGGGCGACCAGTCGAACTTCATTGACAATGACGATGCCGACGCCGACGCCGATGATGCAAAGACCGATTCGGCTCCTAGCAATGCCGACAACGACTCGCCGGACAAAAGAAGCCATCCGGACGATGACGACGAGGACGATGGCATCATAGCGAAGCGCCACGAGAGCACAGAAAAGGTGCCCAAGAAGCCCGGCCGGAAACCCCTCACATCAGAGCCTAGCTCGGTACGTCGTACTCTCCATGTAACTCCCGAAGACTTACGGTTACTGACAAAAACTGCTCCGTATTGTAGAAGCGCAAGGCACAGAACCGCGCCGCCCAGCGGGCGTTCCGTGAGCGCAAGGAGAAGCACCTCAAGGATCTGGAGACCAAGGTCTCCGAGCTGGAGAAGGCATCCGAGACCGCTAACAGCGAGAACGGCGTGCTGCGGGCACAGGTCGAGAAGATGACCGTTGAGATCAATGAATACAAGAAGCGCATGGAGCTGCTGTCACGATCGCGGTCCACCTACACACAGGGCGGCCAGCAGGTCTTTGGTAACCCCATCTTCAACAACATCAACGACGTCAACTTCCAGTTTGAGTTTCCCAAGTTTGGCCAGCTGCCAGGACCAGCGTCTTCCAATGGCACCACCGCCGTCAACACCAATACCAACGACAACAGCCCGACATTGTCGTCGTACAAGAGGGGATTGTCGTTTGACACACTCAGCTCCACCTCGCCCAAGGAGCTGCCGGGTCTGAGCACGACCGCCACAAGCAACGCCAACAGCCCCGCCGAGTCCATCAACAGCCTGAAGAAGACCAGCACCAAGGAGGACCTGTCCAAGCTGTCCAACGCCTTCACTCCGCCTTTGACCAACGGCAATGTCGCCAACGCGTCCCGGTCCAGCATGGATTCGGCCTCCACATGCTCCCCTTCCGCCTCGTCGCACACCAACACCGCCCCCAGCTCGTCGTGCGGCACTTCTCCCGAGCCCTTCACACAGTCGCCTATGGGCTTTAAGCCTGTGGACACGTTGACGACGATTGGGGAGGAACAGCCGGCCATATTTGCCAACACAAATGCAAATGCAAACACAGCATCAGGTACTATTTTCCTTTGACAGCGCGCAGCTCGAGGTGCGAGCGAGTTACAGCTACAGCACAACCCCCCCAGCTAACATCATGTGCCGTCTAGACTTCTCACAGTTTGCCAATGTGGACATCAACGACATGAACTGGCTGGGTAACCAGACCAATTTCCGGTTTGACCCACAGCTGTTTGGTGACTACCGCGAGCCGCAGGAGAACATTCTGTCCAGTGGTGGCTTCGACGACAGCTTTTTCAACGATGCTCTGGAAATTGACTTCACCACTCCGTTCAACATGGCGCCGAGCCCCGTCGTGCCTGGCGGGAACAAGAGCAACCTGATTGCTCAAATCGATGCAGCCAAGGAGGGCGAGTTCGCCTCGTCGTCCATTGCAGGCGCGGCCGGCGTTCCGGCTGTGGCCAAGCTTCCTGCTGCTGGCGGTATGCTCACATGCAACAAGATTTGGGAGCGTCTGCAGAATTGCCCCAAGGTCCAGAACGGTGACTTTGATCTGGACGGCCTGTGCTCGGACCTGCAGAAGAAGGCCAAGTGCTCCGGGTCGGGCGCCGTCGTTGACGAGACGGACTTTAAGTTTGTCATGAACAAGTATCTCGACAAGGACGGCGAGTCCGACTGCACAAAAGATCTGATAGACGACGTCAAGGCGCCTGTCGCATGAGGCGTTGACGGACGTGAGAGGGACGGCTGGCGATTTGCTGATCGTCTTGTACAATGGGAACACATTCCAAATGCACAAATGCACAAAAATGGGCGAAACGGGTTAAAACAGCGCACGGAAACAGGGTACTGTACAACACGACAAAAATTAGCGAGAACACGATGAACGCGGGACGACGTTGGCTCTTTGATTTTCCAGGGGCAAACAACCGCGCGCATAGCGATACGATGGGACGAAACGGGCGCCAGGACGGAGCAAAAGAACTTTTGCGAAACAATACCATTGCACTTGGACGGAGACATAAGAAAAAGAAACCAAAAAAAAATTACGGCGACTAAGGTGTCACGGCGAGATTGGGGCCCACGACATATCAACAAGGGGGGGATCCAACGAATTTGGGAGGGAACACAGTTTTATCTTTCATTTACACCGGTTGCAACTTGCGCGTTTTATCAAATTGTCTAGTCGACAATTTTTGGGGAATATCTTTGATTTTTTGCATTTTTTTTCCTTTCTTATAATTCTATTTGCCTCTCTTTTGCGGCGATTTGGCCTCGCGTTGATTCCTTTTTGTGCTGCATTTTCTGGTTGTTGATCTTCGCTTTTCTGTTTCTCTGTATCACTGTTGTCCATTTCGAGGCCCTAGCCCGAGGATATACACTGCTTGGCGATGGCGTCTCGCCAGTAAGCCAAAAAGGCTTGTTTGTTGACGGTCTGAATTGTCTTCTTCTTTTCGCAGAGCCATTGCTCCGACTCGTCTTCACTGTTGCTGAACGACCGCCGTTGCAGATGGATCCGTTTGACATCTTTGTATCCCAAGCAAAGACAGTACACGGGGATCACAAAAGGCTTGCATTTATCTGATATTTTTTGTTGATGGGGACCTGTTGTATTCTGCAGACTTAGTGAACCTCGATCTATGTTTCTATATCTTAACTCTCCACGATTTATAAGTGCATATGCCATCTTCCATTTCGTGCTAGTTGAAATATGATCTGATAGCACAACTTGTACGACATGGGATTACAAAATGCGCGTGCTTATATCAAGCAAGGAAGATGTACATTATAGATTGATTGGTATTTGCTGCTGTGATCAGAAATTTCAAAATAAAATATTAAAGAAAAGCAAGAATGCCTGAAAAGGGTATCCTATCGAGCCGTCTCCTCCCCCGCATGAACATGAAATATATAAAGCAGACTGACCTCCCGTCGTTTCCTGCAGCGCAACTATGTAGTATAAGAGCTAAGATAAGTCCAAGACAAGAAAGACTATGAAGAAAAAGGATTTATAATAAAATAATAAAAGGGGAACAAAGGGGAGAAGCAAAGTACGAGAAACAGAAAATATAACAAACAAAAAAATTAGTACAATAACTAGCACGCCAGACAATGTGTGTGTATAATATGCATAAGCGTTGCTCTGCGCTGGAAGAGTTGCAGCTGGATAGTAGGTTGTGTGCACAAGGACAGTCGGCTGAGCTTGGAGACGCGGTCATGTCTCCGAACTGAAAATGCGTGCCTCGGTGGGTGCTTCCCCGGTATGGGAAGAGGCTCTGGGGCTGATTTTGATTGCCATTGGTTGGCGGCTCATGGGCGACCGACACTCGACCAGATATGAGAATCCATCGTGCCAGACAATGTGCCACGGCCGGAGCCTTGAAACGGTTTCAACAACCGTTGTCCGGTCGTGACCGTCCGGTAGCGTTACCGGTCGCGTGAAAAGTTGGCGTCAGGGTGTGTGGTGTTGGCCGTCGTAACGGATTGAGCAGCCACATGAAAAAAAGCGTCGAATCACCCAATCACCACACGAGCACCTTCCTTGCCCAGCACACCGCGTTCCTTGGGCTTCGGGCTGTTTCCACGGCCCTTTTTGCGGCTTAAGAAACCAAACACGCCGCCACCGCCGCCAGCATCCTTACCGTCCGCTCCGGGATCACCGCCCTCGCCAAGGAGGCGGCCGACAGCTGCATCGGTGGGGAGCGTGTTGTCCTGTCTTGCCAGCTCAGACCAGTCGCCGGCGCCGTCCAGCCGCACCTGCACACCGCCTGTCGAGCTGCCGACCACAATGCTGCCGCTCGGCACATGGCCAAGGTGGCGTCCTGGGCGGCTGCTGATGTTGCGGGCGGAGTTTGTGTATGGGTTGGGGTATGGTGGCAATGGGGGCGGGCGGCCGGGCGGTGCTGCCCGTCTATGGGGATCGGGAGATTGCAGGTTGGCATAGTCAAGGTTGTAGTCCCGCGGGTCGGATGTGTTGCTGTTGCTGTTGCTAGCACGCGATGCCGGAAGCGCCTCGTCCGTCGTGATTGCCTGCGGCTGCGGCGGTTGATCGTTGGCATCCTCGTCGAAGGGCACAACGTGTTGACCATGTACCCTCAGCTCCTCCTCGGCAGTCAATTTCTTGTACGCAGCCAGCGTGTAGTCGAAAGGACGGAAGTCTCTCTCGATGGTGCGGTACAGCTCGTCTTCACGAATCTCCTTGTCGGTCGCATCGTCCTTGAGGCGCTCCCGTGGCTTTTGGCGGCGAGCACGTGCCTCCAACGGCGCCTCTTCCAACAGAAGCTCTTCCAAGTCGTACGTGGCATCAAAGTTGGTCTTGTCTGCCGATGGGATAAAGACGGGTTCAATCTCTTTCCGCTCGAGGGCAATAAAGTCGATCTGGGAAAAGAACTCGTGCCGGGTGAAGCTCTCCCAAGTGGAGCCGAGGCGCATGTCAGGATCCGGGTGCAGGGCGTCGCGGATGGCGTAGAGACATGGGAGGCTGACGGGTGGTGATGTGATGGGGAAGTTTGGCTGTGCGTTTTGAATCGTTGCACCAAGAGACGATTCTGTGTTCCCCTCAAACGGACGCTGTGGAGAATGAATGTTAGAAACGGACGCGTCGCCGACGAGTCATTGTGGAACAACGGCTCTCATCGTCCAGACACCGAGACTCGCACGTACCTTGCTGTATATGCACTCGTAAAATGTGACGCCCAATGACCACCAGTCGGCGCGGACATCATAACCGCGGCCGGCATAGACCTCCGGTGCCAAATACGCGAGTGTTCCAGATTTGCTCGTCAACGTCCGACCGGGGACGATATCGGAAGCAACATTCTAGAGGAGGATTAGCCACAGGCAACAAAATGGAACAGTTTCTTACGACTGGGTACGTACAAAGTCTGTCAGGTGGACGTGGCCATCAGCATCCAACAGGACGTTGTCCGGTTTCACGTCACGGTGGATGATGCCTTGGCCGTGGACGTAGCGCAGGGCACATCCTAGCTCGGCTATCCAGAAGCGCACGGCGTCTTCGGTGAATGTTTTGCGGGAGATGTGAAACCGAAGATCGCCGCCGCTCATCAGGTCGACAACGAGATACATATACTCGATATCTTGGAAGCTGTATCGCAAATTGCAGATGAACGGGTGGTTAACGTGTTCGAGCATGCGTCGTTCGCGAATGATGTTGCGTACGCTTTCGGACCGGACAACTGGAAGAGGGACATAGAAGCAACGGGTCAGCTCTTTGACACTCCTCTGGCAAAAGAGGGGGGGGTAGTGTGGTATGGAGGGGACGCACCTTCATCTTTCCGAATGTATTTCAGCGCAAACGATAGGTTGGTGTCTTTTCTCTCGACGATGCGGACCTTGCCAAAGGCACCGCGGCCGACAACTCGAAGCAGGCGAAAGTGGTTGAGATTCACTGTAGAGAAGGTCGAGGCCGCAGAGGGCCGAGATACGTTAGCCGACGGTCGTTTTCCTGGTGAGTTTCGCGGGTCCTTTCCTCGCGAAATCCATTATTCCATCGTGCCCCCCTTCTTCGTAGGGAGAGAAGTGTCCTTTGCCTTTCTAGACAGCGTACCTTCGCCAGTCAGGTCGGCCACTTTCCCCTGGCCGTTACCCATGGTGCTGTTTCACGCAACGGCGGCGTAACCTGGCTGGGGAGCGGTTGCTCAAAATTGCGTCGTCGGAAGTTCAACGGGACGGAGAATGACAAAAATATGGCGGTGGGGTTAATTGCGCGGCCGAAAATAGGGAGTGTGAGGACGCCGTTAATTTGCTGTTCTGTTGGATGTCGCTCACGTTCGGCACTAAATCATTATCGAGGCTCGTGGCAGTCGGGTTCGGTATTCGTCCCGTGAGTTCTCGTCGAGATTAAAAGTCGGGAAAAGGGGGACAACGTAGACAATTGGGGGGGAGAAGGGGCTGCTCCTTCGTTCTACACCTTGTCTCGTGATTTTCCGCTGTAGATTTCGAGAGCGGGCTTGCGTTTTCCGTTTCCGTTTTCGTCGCCCTCGTGTGCCAGGTGCGTCTGTTTGGCAGAGCGGGGACGATGGGCGACAATGTCACCTGTGATACGGATCTGCAGCGCGTCGATTTCGACCGACGATGGGTCGCTTGGCTATGGTAGTACTTGTTTCTGTCGGCGGTTGGAACGCTGAAAACGCTGAAACGCTGAAACGCTGAAACACTGAAACGCAAAATCGGCTGTTGATCGAGGTACTGGTTGGAACGTCGTTTTCAAAAACATCCAAGAGACCAGGTGTAAGAAGATGCGGGAATCGAAGATTCGGGGCGCAGCGTATCGAACCAAAAGACGGCGGCGACGGTGAGAAGGGTGCTGTGAGTGGAAATTGAAAGAAAAAAAGAAAGGGAAACAGTGAGGAAGGATGCGAAGAAGCAGCAGAAGAAGCAGAAAAGAGAAGCGGCATAGGTGGAAGGCTGGGTGAGGTCGGGGCAGTCGATGCCGGAGGAGGCGGCCTGCTGCTTATAAGAAACGAAGTATGTCGTAGAGAAGAGGGGAAAGGATTGGGGGAGAAGCTTGTGAGGTGTGAGGGTCAATGTGAGGACGCAAGGAGGGTTGGTGGGCAGCGGGAAGCAGAAACGTGGTGGGTGGATCGTCCAAGGCAGGGCAGCATGCAAAGGAAAGCCGCCGTGTGTCGACAAGCAAGGAGGCGAGGGAGGCCAGCTCCAGGCACTGGAACAGACGCACGAAAGAAAAACGTGTTTTCTCGGTGGGGTGTGGAGCAGCCGATCGGTTTAGGGGGGGGGGGAGACAAGCACGAGATTGGTTCTTCTTTACAGAAAATGTCCGAACAGACTATTGATTGCCTGGGAAGCCAGTGACCAGAAGGATGGACGGATGGTATCTGGGGAAAGCCAGAGAAACGAATGGCGGGCAAAGTGCTCCGTGAGTCGGGACGAAGAGGGGGTGGATGTGTGGGTGTGAAGAGGCTGGATCTGGACCGGGCAGAAGAGGAGAGAGGAGAGATAAAACGAGATAAAATGAAGCCAAAACGGGGCCGCGCAAAGAGGGAAAGTTGCGGTGTGGAGAGATGGCGACAGAGAAAGGGGGGAAGGGAGGTCAGGACGTGAGCAAAACAGGAATGCGCAACGGAAGAAAACGAGAAGGAACGCAGAAGCCAAACAGAACAATGGGAAGGTGAGCAAGTGTGTGAGTGTGATAGGAGATATGGGCAGGAAGGAGCAAAGGGCAGGCTATATTGGTCTAAAATGGCGACGGGCTCCAAGTTGAAAAACGGGCAGCCGAATAAAAATGGCGCCGAATAAGCTTTTGCTTGCCCTGTCTTGGAGTATTGACGACCTTTGCTCTGCAGGTGCACCTTCTGTCGTTACGTTTCTATCTCGTAAGGAAGGCGCAATGCACACGACGTACTTGTCGCCGGACGCGTCAGGGCTCGGTTTCTGTCTCTGGGCAACAGCAGTGCTTGGAAGGCGCAACCCAACAGCCAGCAGAGGTCGCGGCGCCGCGACGCATGGATCATGTAATTATACGCCCAATGTTGCTTTGCCACGTCGGGCTGGAGATGTGAGACTCCATTGGAAAGTGAGATGTGCTGCAATATGCACTTTCATTTCCTTCTTTATTTGTTCTTTTCTTCTTCCATTCTTCTTTCGTCGCTGTTTCCTGGGCGCGGTGGGAAACAACTGAAAATGGAAATACCGGCCTGCAGCCTCCCATGCACGGCCCGTATTAATTATTAATTATTACTTATGTGCACGCAACAGGGGCGCTTGTTTTATTGAGCAGTCGCTCACAGGATGACAGAGTGGGAAAGAACCCCGGCTCTTACACCGGGGGAAGGAGCGGGGTGCCGCTCTCAGATAAAGAGATACGAAGTAGTCTGGATAGTTTGATGATTGCAAGGACATCGCCTTTGCCCCTTTCGGCACAGCAGGCTGGACAAGCGCAGAGCACCCAAACTACCAGACAAATCCTTCAGTGTTTCGGGAGTGGCGTGGCGACGAAACAAGACACGATCTGACGATGAAATAGGGGGCGGAGGTGGTGTGTGGGAAACGTGGTAGAGAGCCAACAGAGGCCTGTTAGCGGGACATTCTAGCAGGGTTGAGCAAGGATTTGTAGTGTGCACATGGCAGTTGACACCTGTTGGTTCGACAGCAGTTGGCGTCAGGGGACGAAGAGTGGAGAATTGCGCAGTAATACAGGTCGATTCGGGAAGGATTGGCGTTCTTTCATGTGAGCGCATTATGCAGGCTCGGCAGGCAGGAGCGGCCGACGAAGGTGGACACAAAGCGTCGGCACAGTCTGAAGGAGTACCAACATCGGAGTGTCCATTTACTTGAATTTGTTGAGCCGGAAGCGCTGTGCTTTAAGCATTCTTCAAGTCCTTTGAAATATCTTGATTAAATATCTTGATTAAATATCTTGATTTAAAAAGACACCGCAGTCTCTGGGCAGCCGGTTCAGCGACGAAGGAAGGAGCGAGGCAGTGGACGCTAGCAAGAGTGCCTACAACGTATTACTCCACATGTTGTATGAAAATGGCAGTCGGCACTTTGCCATGAAATACGACATTAATATGCCAGTCATGTCATCGGAGAGCCTGGGGGTTAATACTTACTGCTGTGCATGTGCATGTATCTTACCAGATTAAAATAACACAGGCTGACAGGGCACACAATACGTGCACACCGTACAGAAGTAACTTCACAATGTAATCTGTCGTTGCTGCGAACGGCGATGTGAGACAGGGAATAAGACGGACGGACGAGATAATCTTACAAGGCAAACGCATGCGGAGAGCATGAATGCGCTGTCACAAGCGATCCTGCCTTCCTTCCCTGTCCATTCAGCGTCCGGGGTGAGAGTGGCCGCAGGGCTTGGACCGCGAGCCGGAACTCAGAGGACTGGTGTCAGAAACAGAGACTGACCAAGCCCGATGGGAGCCTGATAGAACATGCAGTTCTTGTGCGAATACGTCGTAGTTGCTGGCTAGCAAGGTAGAGAACATCTGTGCGTAGAGAGGCGGGTCGAACTGTGAAAGTACAAAGTAACAGGCCAACCTGCGTTGAGACGAAGAAACTAAATTCTCTGTCCGTCAGAAACAAAAATACATTAAAATTGAGACGAAGTCCCCATTTGCATCAAACCTCACCGCCCCCCTTGCAGGCGTCCTTGCAGGCGAACCCAGGACCACGGAGACACCGAAAGGCTGCTCCACTTTTGCATTCTTCCATGCAGCTTCCATTTTTCGTCTCCCTTTTTTCAGGGCCTGTGGCGAAAAGCTAATCTAAATTACCGACGGCAGTGGCGAGACTGTATCTCTAAGTTTAGCGGCCAGTCAAGGCACGTTTCAGGACTGCTCAGTACGAAAGTAGCATGGCCCTGTCCTAAGGGAAACGAGCAGTCTTTCGCACCCCAACTGCTGGGTCGTTCTCGAACGCGTTGGTGGTCAACGGCGTGCAATATCTGGTACGTTGTACGTCGTAATTACTCCGTGGTATGCCAAAGTGCGCAGAGCAAGAAATGTGGAACGCGAAATGTAGATGCAACAGCGCACATGGAGTATTAAACGAGGTCGTTGCGACGGACCCATGTCACCGCCACGTGTGATAAGTCGCTGCAGCCTCCCAGATTGGGCCTTGGCGCGTGGCAAACCTGGAAAGCCCAGCAATTGAAACACTGGCAGACAGGGCAATGGAAAGTGAGACATTGCAAGAAAAACATATGATAAAGTACGACAAAAGAGGGTGCAGAGTATTTCGTACATCGGCAGGGAAACGAGAACTAGGAAGGACTGCGCCCCAGAACAGCCCTAAGATATAGACCAAGCGGAAAGAGACAACAACGCCAGGGCTAGATGCCAATATTGGAAGATAGGGGCACATGGCCTGGCACCAACCAGGGGCAGAGACTCCAAAGGACCAATGTGACGGAGAAGATAGGTCGGGTGTCCCGCCGACATCGATTTCACGGTAAAAAGATGACATTCTCACGGTATAGACGACGATAGTGACTGGGCCGAAGAAAACAAGCGCCCACGCTAGAGGAAGGGACGGACCACGATGAAATGGACCGCGTCGACGATATCCAAACAAAAGGGAAAAGAGCGGGTGAAGAGAGGTTCGCGGGGGAGTGAAGAAAAAGTAACGGCGGGCCTCTGCCACGTGGAAATCATAAGAGTCTCTGGGGGAAGGGACCAAATCACCGGGGTGGTGCCCTCCCGTCCGTCCCGTTCCTCTCATTGTTTCTCGGTATCTTTTCCCCGTGTGCCTCTGCCGGAGTACCTGCCGCACCTACGGCTCTGCCATCATTGCATGGCCGGTCTAGGTCGTGTTTCTTAGCATGCCATGGCCCAAGATTTGATGCACCTCCAGTCAGGTCGTGCTAGAAGCTAGGCAAGTGCTCGTCAGTGCAATGTTCCACAGCACCAATATATCTACGGATTGTGACATATTCTCGTCCCTTTCCGCCGCATGTCCCGACTTGTATCTCCCAATTCACAGTGTTGCTTTATTCTACTTTCCTCCATGCTCAGGACGAACAGACTAAACATACGTCGTATGTTGTCTTGTGCCAAAACCTGAAATAGCATGCCGCGCAGGCTTGGTGAGCCGGTCGTCTTGGCCTATCTATTCACGTGGGGCCTTGTGACCGCTCCCTTGCCGCCTCTGCATACGAGTTGCATTTGTTTGGACTCTGCTTTGGATCTTTGGACTGGCAAATTCCGTGGGCAGGGCCACACAGTGTAAGTCGAACATGCGAGTTTCTCAAGTTTCGCACCTTTGCGTCTCATGATATATGCCATGGCCTCTTGTCGTTTGTGCATCTAGGCTCGTCAAATAAGCAAGGATTGCCGGACGGTTGTACGGCTTCGGTCTTTGATACGCGTCCCGATGTGTACCAGAGACTGTCAACACGAGGAACGCACTGATGGCAAGGCCAAGAGACGGGGTTGTCGTTGAATTTGTTTGATTGCATCGTGCCAAATTTAATGCCCAGTAACGCCAGCTCGCTCGTTCATTCATCTTGCCATATTCTCTCTCACTGTCTCGCGCTCTCACCCTCTCACTCTCTCCCTTTTCCCGTCCTCTGCTCTAACCAAACATGCCACCGTCGTCCTCCTGCTCCTCCTCGTCGTCGGGCGTGACCACCTGCTTCTTCTTTGTCAGGTCTGTCCGGCACAGCGGGCAGTTGCCATTGGACAGCAGCCAGGGCCCCACGCACTCCAGGTCGAAGCGGTGGCTTGCGTGGCACGGCAGCTCGACGACGAGCGCGTACGGGTCGTCGAGGTACCGCTCGACGCAAATGGGGCACGACTCGTCCTGGCCGAGCAGCTTCTTCGGCACGCGGTCCAGCGTGTCCAGGTACTCCTGCGAGACACCCGTAATCTCCCGCGGCGGGTCGGCAATCTGCTGCTCCAGCTGCCCGGCGAGCTGCTCGAGCAGGTCGCGGTTGGCCGCGTTGGGGCTGTCGGGGAGCAGCGTCAGCATCTGGTCTTGCACGAGCCGAAAGACGGCGGCGACATCGACCGGTGTCGGCGTGGCGTGGGGGTTGTTGTGCGTGGCATCCGCATGGGCACCGGCGGCCGTGGCGGTCGACACGTTGTTGAGGTGCGCCGTAAAAGTGGACATGTCGATCTGGCGCCGCCGCCGGGGCGCCGACGACGTCTTGATGTTGTGTTCGACTATGTTTTGAGATTATTTATTAGCTGAGGGCAAAACGTACGATAGAAGGAAAAGGAGAATACAAAGGAGGAAGGAACGCACCCTCGTATGGTGTGGCCATTGTGGAAGCCTGTCCTTGTGGTTCTAGGAGAGGGACAGGAAAAGAAAGAGCTATCGTGAAGCTCGCCAAGTCGTAGTGTGACGGATGGCTCCAAAATGCGCAGGTGCGGCGCGGGGCAGAGCCTTTGCTGGCCAGCGGATGCGGCAGGCGCAACAGGCAGCGCGGGCGTTGACGCAAGAGGCCGCAGGCAGGTGCTACCCTGCGCGGCTTCCCCAAGCGGTATCCAGCAGCGCTCCACCGCTAACAGCGAGCACCAGCGTATTTTTGGCGGCCGGATGTCAAAATGAGCACGTGATGCCCATTTCGGGCAAGTGCGACAAAACCCAATGACGCCAGCATCGAAACATAAAAGCAATGCGGAGAGCTACGGAAAGTGTCCGATGAACCAGATAGATAGCCATTGCGCCACGTCTCTTGTTTCAGTGGCCCGATCCGCTTCTTTGAGTCCTCTCTACGTATCATCCGTTCTATTAACAACTTCATCTTCCTGGAGTGCAATCTAGCTTCACGTCGACCAGCTTCCTGTAGCACAACATCAGTTGCTTGCTCGACGTCGGTATCACCGCCATGGCTTCTTCCCCCATCACATCGGCCGTCTTTGGCGCCACGGGTCTCGTCGGATCCCACCTCGTCACGGCGCTGCTGGGCCTCGACGCCTTTGGCACCGTGCATACAATCACGCGCCGTGCGCCCAAACAGGCCGACGACGCCACGCTGGCCAAGAAGCTGGACGCCGTCGTTGAGAAGGACACAGAGCAGTGGGCGCCCAAGTTCAAGGAGGCGGCGGCCGCGGGTGCGCAAACGGTGTCCACCGTGTTCTCGTCGCTCGGCACCACGCGTGCCGCGGCCGGCGGCATTGCCAACCAGTGGAAGATCGACCACGACCTCAACGTCGAGATTGCGCGCGCCGCCAAGGCCGCCGGGGTCAAGACGTTTGTGTTTGTCTCGAGCGCCGGCACGCGGTCGCTGCTGGCGCGCAGCCTGCCCTACTCCAAGATGAAGAACGGCGTCGAGGACACGATCAAGGAACTGGGCTTTGAGCAGGCCATTGTCCTCAAGCCGGGCCTGATCCTGGGCGACCGCGAGGTCGAGCACCAGGGCGCCGGCGTCTTCAAGGCGCTGGTGGGCGCGTCCAAGACCGTGTCCCAGGCGTGGCACGACAGCATGGCCCAGGACGCAGACGTCATTGCCAAGGCGGCGGCGCACGCGGCGCTGTTGGCGTCGCAGGGCAAGGCGCCGTCGGCGTACTGGGTGATTGAGACCAACGACATTGTGCGGCTGGGCCGGGACGACTGGAAGTTTTGAGGGCTGCGGTGTGCGAATGGACGACGATGAGTGAAGAGGGATGTTGTTTATGACCCGATATCGTGGGAATTTCACTCTTTTCGGTGGCGTTTTTTTCTTTTCTTTTTTTCTTTTCTTTTTTTCTTTTTTAATTTGTCAATATCCCCTTTCGTGTTTCTATGCACTCGCATTTTGCCTTTCCAGACACTCTTTAATCTCACCGCATCTCGCCTCCGGCCTGCTGTCGTATTGCCTGCCACACCGGTTCTCGCGCTCATCGTGTCGTCTCCAGGAGAGCCAAGCTCCATTTACCAACCGGCCATCCATTTCTCCGTCTGCCGTCAGCACACTCCATCTCATCCATGTCAGCATCCCCACGCTCACCGCCAACAATCCTTGCCTTGGCATGGGGACGAATCATTAGTGACGCAGCCGTCGTATTTCAAAAAGCGTCTCAGTCAGGCCCTCTCGCCCTGCAGTCCATTGTGGAGCACTGCAGTGAAAGTTTGGTGAGACGAGGTGCGAGGGCGGAGAATGCCGTCGAACGTATCACGAGACGTTTCCTTTACGGGTTGAACAGGGTGGCAGAGCAAAGGCATCAACACCGACATGGGTCAGGTGCTTGTATTCGGGTTTGAATGAGCCCAAAGATTGTACGGCACAAATGGGATGAAGGCTTCAATGTATATCATAACTTCTAGGCTGCGAACGGTATACCTGCGTCTGACTTTCCCTTTGAAATGTCGCCGTCCTTGTCGTCGGCGTCTGCGCCCTCAGCGCCCTCAGCATCCGTCTCGCCCTCGGGACTCTTCATGGCCCTTTTTGTGCGTCTCCAGGCTCAGAAGCCACAGGCGCCGGCTTCGTCGAAGTATTGGGCGCGGCTGGCATGTTCCACACGGTCCAGGCACCGCCGTCTCCCCGATTGCCTTTTCCACCTCGCACGGCAAGTCCTGGTCACGGCGGCCGCAAAAGACGGTGCCAACGAGATGAGAGTCGATGTACCCGTTGCAAGTCTCACAGTAGGTGATGTGGAACCAGATGGTGCACATCGTAGTAGCTGATGACGTTTGCCAGGAAACTTGGTAGTAGGTTGACGGCGATGTATTTAGAGCAGTGCAATTACTTGTGCAGGCCGTCAAAAGGGTGACTAAAAGCTTGGTGTCTTGACTGGCAACTGGGGCTGATACTGCGTTCTGGAGGCCGGTAGATGCTAGGCAAATGGCAACGTAGAACCGTAGATGCTGTGAATATCAAAACATAGTATTCTCAACACGACATCCCATGACTGCGCCCGTTTGTTGTCGTCGTTTGTCGTCGTTTGTCGTGTCGACTTCCGCCCTGTCAAGGTACTTCCGCTAGCTATATTGTCTCAAAACAAAGAGGCAATCTATTTTGACTCGTTCAGTTGAAGTAACACGACATGGAGTAATTCACAGCGCATGTCTCTCCGGTTCATGCCCAAGTGACAGTACATACAACATCAATTTCCCATTCGCCTTCATTCAATAGCTTCCACCTTTCTATCCAGTAGTTCTGCTTTTCCTCGCCCCTAGAATCGAATCCTATCATGCGTACTGGGGTAATACCAGAAAAAATACAAGGAACAAATAGCCAACATGAAAACATTAAGAATGAGACAAATCGTTAAATATACAACCGAGAAAATGCGAGCCCTTCAATAAAGAAAAGAAAAAAGAAAAAAAGAAAAAGAAAAGAAACAAAAGACGTTAACCACGCGTGGGATAATTAGTCCAACAAGTAAACACCAACTTTGGATATAGCAAAAACGACAAAACAGAAAACAAAAAGAAACGCCCAAGAAATAAATTGCATACATCAAGTGAGATCTTCAAAGCCGCCCCTTTTCCTCCTGAGGGGAGAGAACATTAAACATGATGGGGTACAAAACTGACGCCGCCGGCCATGGCGGTGAAAGGACGACAACCTTCTCCTAGCGTAGGCCAGTGTTTCTATCGGAACAAGTGAAGCGTCATGTCGAATCATAAACGGTGACGGAATCGAGGTAGGTGGTTGGTGTAGGTAGCAGAGGGTGGGTATTGTGGTATCTCGCGTAGGACGGTAGTTATATGCCCATATTGAGCTGATGTGAATTAGAGTCGTCTGGTAACATGAGCCGCTGTCCATGGAACGGGCCCATCCAGTCATGATTTTGTTGTTTCGTTGGTGTTCAGCATGCTGCGCAAGAAGTCGAGGATCTCCTTGCCGCGGTTCGTCTCGAGCAACCGTGTGAACTTGGCACGCTCCTTGACTGGATCGCCGCCGATGGGGAAGTTGGACGACAGGATTTGCAGGCACATGCCGAGCGGGAAGGACGTCATCTCCAGGCCGTACTGGCCCGTGCTGGGATGGAAAAAGACCTGTAGGTACAGCGCAATCTTGTTGATGTATTGGCTCACGTTGGCACGCTCGGGGAGGTCGGGCACATTCAGCGAATGCATGGTGCTGTAGAGCAGCAGACAGGCCGTGCAGTAGACCGTCATGATGTAGACAATCGACAGGTCCTCTGTGGGGAGGGCGTATTCTTCGCCGTCTTCCGGCAGAGGCCGGAACGCGCCTTCGCTGTGCAAGGTGCTCTGTTCGAGGGCAAAGAGGCGGTCTTTGGGAACGTTCTCTTCGTACCATGCGCTGAGCTGCTCGTCGTAGGACCAGCACGTATTGATCACCTTCCTGCGGAACTCGTCGTACTCTTTGTTGCGCGGCATCTGCTCGAGCCAGTCGATGTTCTCAAGGATGGTCGGCATGCCGGACATGATGTCGATGAGCCGATCTTTGGGCGTCTTGGGGATCTGCGACCACGGGATCGTCATCCACTGGTGGCTGTTGAGGGGTGACCTCTTGCGAATACGCATGGCCGCCACAATCTGTTTCGAACAGTTAGCCGTCAGGCCACAAGGAAGCTACGGGGGTTGGATATGTGTGTGGCGGTCGTCTTACAAGAGCGAGGCGGCAGTCAACGAACATCTGATGACCGTGGCCAGAGATGTGGGCTTCAGGCCCACGCGCCCGAAGAAGGGCAAGCACGCCTGCATTGTGCTCCTTCCAGCCGCGGGCGCGCGCCCTCCGGTCTTCTTCGTATCGATCCGAGAAGAACATCTGCCTGTGGTTAGAACTGAGACATGCCGGGGTATGGACTGTATAGGAGTACCGGCAGGTGGGGACCACAGATCAACGTTCAGAAAAGACAATCATGAGCCGCAGGGTAGAAAATACACTGTCGCTCCTTGCTTTCTGCGGATTGTCGAGAGCCACACGCAATTCGTGCAGCGCTCGGCCGTGCGAGCGCAAACTCTGCTCAGCCAAGGCCCGAGAGTCGTCTTTTGTTTCGGCGGTGCGTGCGGCGGCCGAGAAGCAGTTTGCCATGAGCGTGTGGCGCAACACCGGATCTTTGCGGTACAGCTCTTGCACCACGTTCGTCCAGCCGCCACTGGCATAGCCAACGGCCTGCGGCGGGAAGATGGTGCTGTTTGGCAGGTAGGCCTGCCAAAACGTGGCGAGCAGATTCTCCTCGCGCGCAGACCCGATCAGACTGCTGTCCGACCCCAGCGAGGACCCGGCCCCGTAATACGTTGGCACGATGCGCAGGTCAGGTCTTCGCCGCGGTGAAGGAGTGGCTCGCGGGGTTTGTAACGTCGGCGTTTGCCGGCTGGGTGTATGCGGCGGCGTGGCGTTGGTCAGGGCGCCGTTGGTAGCAACATAGTTTGTGACCAGGGCGTTCGGTTGGTCGTATATAGGGCCGTTGCCGTCGTTTGTGTAGTCATTCGGCTCGTCGTCGAAGTCGATTGGGAGGTCGTTTGGCAGGCCGTTCGGGAGGTGGTTGGCATAGCCATTCGGGAAACCAAAGCCACCCGGCAGACCGTTGTCATAACTATTTGGTGTGGGGCTCGGGGTCACGCCGCTGACAATCGAGGTGTTTCGGCTTTGGTTGTTGGTAATCGACGAGAGACCAGAGCTCGTGCTCGTGCTGCTCGGTGTTGCACCAATGTCGACGGTCGTGCCGGGTGCAAATGCACTCTCGCGGACAGACACCAGCGCCGACGGGCGGTGCTGCGTAGTGTGGACAAAGATGCGGCCGCGTTCGTAGCCGCCGCATTCGAGGCCTGCACGCAGGCATTGGGTACATGACGGTCGTTGGAAATCGCACTGTAGAAGCCGAGCAGGCAAACGACAACGCCCCCTGGTTAGTAAAGAAAGACGAGACCAAAAGAAAACGTGCACCCCCAAAAAACACCACTTGTGTCACCCGCCCCATCGTGTGCGACCATCCCAGCCCTGTAAGGCTGCCTCTCGGGTTCGTCGAGACCCGATCCGGCCGTCCCGCCGCTGTGGTCCTGGGCCCTTCACTTCTTCATCCGGCGCATCGACCTGCGTTGTCCTACGTCACCATGGCATGAGGCGTCGACGGCGAGGAAGCATGGTGACGACCAGTGACGACAAGGTGACATGGCGACACGACGACGCAGCTGGCAGGCGTTTGGTGTGCGGCGACGAGCTGTCCTTGGTCAAACAAGCGCGTGCCGTCGTATTGACAAGATCCCGAGATGGGATGCCCACGGTCGAAACCGTGCAAAAGAGAAGACGAAACACAAACGCGGGAGCATGAACGAAGAACGTTGAACGTTGGGCCTCTGGGCACAGGCCCAAAAGGGAAATAAAATGCGCGCTGCAGCCGTGCAGCCATCGTCCACGTTGGCGAGAACATAAAAATAAACACGTACGGCCCCCAACGTGCGACGGGAGGGTCCTGTGCAACGCAGGCCAGATCGATGCGGCTGAAGAAACAACGGACACAACGGACGACGACGAGAACCGACGGGAAACAATGCAAAACAGACACCATCCAGGATCCAAAACACTTACACCTTTTTTGCGCCGGCGGCACGTCGCGCACGCCTTGGAGCGTCCGGGAACACCAACCATGGCGGTCGCTGGCTGTTCACTCAAAGCGCGGCTCGCGAGGACGGCATTGAGACAAGGCGTGAGAAGGAGGGAGCGAGAGAGGGAAGAGGCAGTGGTGGCCCCGGCGGTGGATGCGGAGGTGAAGCAACTCAAAAAGTGGCGATATGCGTATATGAGAGAGAGGCCGCGAGTGAGAGGGAGAGAAGGACACGGACGGGCGTGTGCGAGTTGGGCGATAGAAATGGGCAACGGGCGCGCCAGAAGCGACTGGCGTGCGGCGTGGGTGTGAGAGGCGTTTGCACGTTCGAAAGGGCGGTTGTGGTGGTGGTGGAAATGGTGAGAATTCGACCGGACGTGTTTGGCTTGGGCTTATGGTCACCGGAGGACGACGCTACCAAAATGCACAATACCCGAGTGGGTGGTTGCTGAGGGTTGTGTTGAGGGGAGGGGGGGGGTCGGGGGTTTGGGGGCTTGGGGAAAGGAAGGAACGAGCGGAAACGTGTTTTTGTGCTGCAGGCAGGTGCAGGGTGGCATGCGCCAGCAGGTGGCAGTGGGTGTGAGGCAGGCGAGGCAGGAGCGATGCTGCAGTGCTGCAGTGCTGCAGGCCATACTGCATGGGCCCCAGGGCCCTCGCTCCTGCCTCGCCTTTTTCGATTTCGCTTTTCGCCTTCGCCTTTTAGCCTTCGCCTGCTGCCTTCCGCAACGAGACTTGACGATGCAATTGGCCCGACATCCTATTTAGTGGGCAGGCGCGCCTGTTTCTCGGCTTGCATGGGCAGGCCAGGACCTTGGGTAGGCCACTCGAGGCGCGAGCCTGCGCTAAATCTCAAGGGAGTGGGCCCTGGCGCTGTCAAACGCTGCTGCACACACAGTCGGGACGGCCTGCCACCCCCGCAACGACTCATTTCCTTCGGTTGCCCTTACTTCTTTCTCAATTTCCTGGATGCTTGACGCTTGCTGCGCCTGTTTCTGGTTTATTGGGCCTGTTGGGGGCCAGAGCTAGCCCTGCATGGATGTGTGTTTGGGTGTTTGGCCGGCGTGTGTGTGGGCTTCTCCAGTCGCTCCTTCCTCGCTTGGTACCTTGGTACACCTGGCCTGTCTCGCTTGTTTGAAGGGGCTTCTTACCTCGAGTAGTCCATTCTGTAGTAGTCCAGTCGATGCGGACCCGGGCTCTTGCCAGTTTGTTTTGAAAGTCCTGTCCCGGCCGACGGCATTGGGACCAGGCAGGAAGCTGCGACCTGCGTCCTCCGTCCTCCGTCATACACACATGTCCCTGCAGCCTGCGTTGTGTCAGGCCTCTGACACCGCCGTGATTCGTCCAGAAACACATGCTGGCGACAAGTGCCACGCCTCCTGTGCAGCATGCATGGCGTGGCGTTTGCTTGGCTGCCCCTGTTCTGTTGTTCCACAGTCTTCGGTGGTGTTCCGTCTGTCCTTCGTTATGAGTGGAAATTGGCGTCCACTCCTTCTTATTTCGTCCGGCAGCCGTTTTGTCTCTGTCTCTCTGCCCGTTCGGTCCTTCTTTTTGTTCTTCTTTGCTTCTTTCCCCCCTCTGTAATGTGCCATGTCTCACCTTCCTATGGGGAGTATCTTACGACATATGGAGAAACCACGGAGAATTACCGCCTTGTCGCCCTCGCTCTTTCCTCCTTGAATGCTAGCTCGTGAAAGCTCTTTCCTTATCCGTGGAGAGCGGACAACCCCATCGGGAAAGAGCAAATCAAAACAAAAGAGGCGACAAACGACTTCGGTTCCTGCCTCCGACTTGTAGGATTGTGTTCTTTGTTTCCCTGCATCTCTCCTTTTCATACTTTGCGTACGATTTGCTCCCTCCTCCGGCCGATCGCTTTTCGTCCACCTATTGTCATCTTTTGGCGTCTGGCAAGCCTTCTTTTTTTGCTTTACTTTGTTTTCTTTCTTTGTTCCTCGGTTCTCGATTCGAGCCGTCGATGCTTGCAAGACCCACACACCTATTAAATATGATGCTGATCCATGCCGGCAATTTCAGAATCACGTGAGATTCAGATGAAACAAATTGACCGTCATTTCGCGGTTGCGCGTTGCAAGCATTCCATTGCTGCAAACACATGCTGTTAGGCTTGGCCAATCGCCAAGGGCCTCGACGATGCACTACGACAGCGTGGCCACCTGGGTTTTGTCGCGCTCACCGTCTTTCCGTGACATGGGTGGGGACGGATGGGTTTCTATGCGAATGGAACGACGGCGGGTTGCTTTGCAGCTGGCCATTTGCCTCTTGTCTGACTGCGACGGGTCAGCGTGACCAACATGGCCGTGCCAACATGGAGCCAACGCCAACTGCAGCGGCCGGATGTGCACGGAGGACGCTGCGAATCCCTCGTGCGGACAAAGTACAGCAAACAGGCACTACGTCTACGTCGTGCTTTTCATGGAAGCGATGTTGGTGCCCTGCTTCAGCTTTGCAACTGTGACGGGAACATACAACATATCAGAGTCTTTCAATACCAACGAGGGAAACAACACTAACTGCCAAATGGAGTGAACAGGGAACGCCGCTTGTTTGGTTGCTTTTGGTAGCTCTGGCCCGTCCGCCGGGGCCGGTTGGCGTGTCTCAGTCGACCTGCCACATTTCGCCAATTAAGAGTTCATAATGAAGCCAACAGTTGAAGAACAACAAAGAAGCACTTTCTTTCTAGGTCTGCCCTATTTTCCGTTTCGCCCGGTCAGGCAGAGGCAAATTTCATCAGCGTGAATCGAAGGGCAGGTGTTCGACTGGAATCGAAACGACAAAAAGAAAAGCCTCCCTTTGTGTGTGCCTCCATGCCGCAGCCCTATGGGCGGTTGCGATTCAGTGCTAATCGACAAGCGGCTAGATGCCCAATGTGGAAAGGGACACGGGCAAAGGGATGAAGAAATCCTTTCAATACGAACGACACGTCACGATACTAGAAGACAAAAAGAAAGAGACGACAGAAGTGGCAAAGGACAGGACAATGGGCCAATGGAAAACTAAACAGGCCAAAGACTACAAATGCAACACGAGCACACAACGCACACTCACACACAAACTTTGGCCACCGCACGTGGAAAGCACGCTGGGGGCACCAGGGGACTTGCAAGGCCAAGAGAGGCGGTTCCCGTTAGAGGTGGGCATGTGTCATACCAAGTGGTATATTCTTTGAGGTATGGATTGTGTCTATGTACAATGGCATGGTGATGCAACGTTGACTGGGATATGTTGTATGCAGCTGTCCTTGGCCGGCTTCAGGGTTAGATCCAGTCCTGGCCGCGGGCCTTGCGAGTCGCCGACGAGGTCTTGTACAGGCCAATTTTAGCCGTGCGGCTGCCTACACGCACGATGCCCGAAAGGTATTGTACACCTGCGAGCACTCCATCAACGACTGTCACGTCCGGTCCGACAGCAACCTCGACAGCTAGCTTCAGCGGCGTCATACCGGCACAGCCAAGTGTCAACACCTCGGCGCCCTTGGCCACGAGACTCTGTGCGGCTGTGAAAATGGATTGATTGACCCTTATTTGGGCCTCGTCGTCGCCGGCGTGCAGGTCGAGCACCCCCAGTTTGCAGCTTGCGACGCCCGCACAAATGCGCGACAGGCCCATGTTGTGAATGGCGTCCTCGTGCGCGACGCACGACCGGTCGCTAGTGGCTATCAGGCCGAAACGACCACCCAGCGTCCTTGCCACGGCCAGCGACGCCTCCATGATGCCGACGACGGGCTGGCCACTCAACTCTTCGCGCAGCATGCGGATGAGGGCGTGGTCCGAGTAGCAGGCCACGAGCACGGCGTCATGTGTGGCAGCGATGGGCAGGACAGCACGTGCCGCTGCCGCCGCCGACATGACATTGTCGAAGCTGCTCTCAATGGCCGAGGGCGCAGGTCGCGGCGCCGTGAAACCCGTCAGCTCAACATCCGGCGGCAGTGTTGGTGCAGCCAGGGCAACACACTCAGCCGTCATGGGCGCGGTGCTGTTAGGGTTGACGAGCAGAATGCGAATTTTCCGCGAGGATGGTGGGGCTGCTGTCGTGCCTACAACACCACCATTGCTCCCCAGTCGCGGCGGCTCAACGACACCTGTCTGCTGCGTGATGCGGCCATAATGTTCTACGCGGCGGTGGCGCTGGAAGTCAAAGGTGCGCGTCTTCCCCGCCTTGCACTCGGCGAGGTTGATGTCTGCGACGACAATCTCGTCCTCTTCCGTCAACGCCTGCGCGAGGATGTCGCCGTCTGGGCCAACAATGCAGCTGCCGCCGATCAGCTCATACTTGCCGTCGTCAAGACCCGCACGAGCGGCACTCACACTGAAGCACGAGTTGGTGTAGCTGTAGGCCTGCATGACCAAGTGGTGATGGAAGAGCGCTTTGGCACGCGAGGCAGCATAGTCGTCGGCGGCGGGTGTCCCGTTGGTGCCGTACAGGTGCGGCGCAAAGCCGGGCGTGTTGTAGCCGCACAGCACGACCTCGACGCCCTGCAGGCCCAGCACACGCCACGACTCGGCCCATCGACGGTCGTTGCAGATCATCATGCCGAAGATCGGGTCGCCCTGTGCCGCCGCCTCGGCGCTATCGACGAGGCCCGGCACACGGAACGCCTGGAAGCCAAGGTCGCCCGGGCGAAAGTACCGCTTTTCGAGCTGGTTGAGGGCGCTGGCGTCGGCAAAGGGCTCAACGTCGCCCGGCAGGTGGATCTTGCGGTACTTGCTGAGCAGAGCGCCGGACTGGCCGTCGTAAAAGATGCACGCATTAAAGGCCTCGCCGGCGTCCGTCTTCTCGGCGTACCCGACGCAGATGTGTACCTTGTGCTCGCGCGCGCGGTCAAACAGCGGCTTCGTCTGGGGCTGCGTGACAATGTCGCCGTGCTCAAAGAAGCTGTCCAGCTCGACTGGGTCGGCGATGAGGTGGCGCGGGAAGAAGGTGCCAAACGCCGTCTCCGGGAACAGGACGACCTGGGCGCCTTTGGCCACCGCGCCGTCGAGCAACGCCAACATACGGCCGACAGTCTTGTCGCGGGGATCCGCGTAGTGCGTCGAGCCCATCTGGGCCGCGGCAATGCACAGCGAGCGAGACATGGTGGGAGGCAACGGAACACGGACGGTCAGTTTGTTAGTACGTCCCTGATTTCGAGTACTGTGTGCGGCTGGAAATGGAAGCCAAATGAAGCGATTCTACAGAGGGCAGTAAATATCAGATACGGTCTCGATGCAAACTTTCTCAAGTTCTCACATTTATCAGGATTTGGCATTTCATATTCATATCGATTTGGTAGCAATCGCGGACGCGGCCACCTCCGGCGCCGAGTGAACCTATCGACCTATCGACGGTGTCGGGCGTCCGTTATCAGGCGTCTCGATTCGACCAGGGCCAGCACCAACGGCGTCGTAACGGAGTGGGCGCGTGGACGAGATGCCGCCAACTATGCATGTTATCTATGTGGAATTTATCGACGCCGAGCTAGCGGCCAAGAGGGCGATAAGGACCTCTGTATTGTCGGACACTATTTAGAGGGAGGTCCGTCCCGACGTCGATAAATTCAAAGTGGCTTTTCCTCGACTGTTTGGATCGCAGGTATTTTGTTTGGTATTTGAGAAACGACCGTCGCCTTATTCTCTTCCAAAACGATGCTCAAAACTCTACAGCGGCATTTGCGGTGCCGGGTATCCGATGCAGCAGGCCCACAGACTCAAGCGTCTGGTGGCTCATACTTTGCTCGGTCGACGCGACGATGTTGCATCCATTGAGCCTTCATTGAGCCTTCATTGAGTCTTCATTGAGACTTTCACTAAGTTTTGCCATTTTCTTTTGATTTCAAATAGTTTCGTGATGTTCTCGAACAAATGCCCTGCATCGCTCCTTCCGTCTTGTTTCCCGAAGCACATTTGAGGAATCTGTCAGCCAGTTATCCAAAGCGGAAGGCGCAGCACACTTTTTACGACGTAAAGCCGCGAAATTTGCACGCCAAGCCGCCCGGGGAAGTGACTCAGCGGTAGGCGTTTCCGGGACTGGAGAACAAGAGAACAACGGCGTTTGACTCCGTCGAGAAGGACTTGATACAGAGATACAGCAGACGGGTTACAGGGAAGACAACGAATGACAGACAATTGCAGCTGTCGAAAATAGTTGCCGCGCACGATCCTTCTCGGGCTCAAATCAACTGCAATTTTGGCCGCAGGCTGTGCTAAAGGGCGCAATGCAACATGGGGACGCGGGGAGTAAAGGGCGTCAGATGTCAGTTCGTGACACGGGATGAGCTGGACAACAAAGACAAAAAAAACCATACAAATGGCATCGTATTCCGTCGCGAATTGAGTTGTGAGAACGTTAAAATGGAAGAGAAGAACACTACCAAATAACGATTTATTTATTCAATTATTTTAATTACTTCATTGTCTGCTAGACACTTGCTCCTTCCTCATCCCATCTGTTCCCATGGCCGACACCGACGCCATTAAGCCCGCGGTTGCGCCTTCCACCGACGAGCCTACCGTCCTCGAGACCACGCCTGCCGGGCTTGCTGGGCCGGCGGTCGTGCCTGCCCCGGCAGACAAGGCCGTCATCGATCCCGTGGAAGTCGCGACCGAAGATGAGGAGCGCACCAGCTGGCGCCTGTACGCCATTCTGGCTTCCCTTTTCGTACGTCCACTCATACCCCTTTCCCTGCTCCAATCCTCCCCTGGCATCTCTCTCTTACTATCGCCACACACACAAAACACAAACGCTAACGACCTCAGCTCTCCCTCTTCATTGCGGCCCTTGACCAGACCATTGTTGCCACGTGCATCCCGACCATTGCTGCGTCGCTGCACTCTGCCACCGGCTATGTGTGGATCGGCGGCGCCTACCTGCTAGCCACGGCCGCAGCTGGGCCCATCTGGGCTCGTGGCAGCGACATCTGGGGCCGCAAGCCCGCGCTCCTTGCCGCCATCGTGCTGTTTGCTGTCGCTAGCACGGTTGCTGCGCTGAGCCGCAACATGCCCACCATGATCGCCGGCCGTGCGCTGCAGGGCGTGGCGGGCGGCGGCGTGTTCCCGCTTGTCACCATCACCATCTCGGACCTGTTTAGCGTCCGCCGTCGCTCGCTCTACCTGGGCGCCCTGGCCATCGTGTGGGCCGTCGCCGGCTCGGCGGGCCCGCTGCTCGGCGGTGCACTGACGCAGCTGGCCAGCTGGCGCTGGTGCTTCTGGATCAACCTGCCCATCTGCGGCGTGTCCTTTGCCCTCGTGGTCCTCTTCCTCGACGTGCACAACCCGCGCACGCCCCTCAAGGACGGCCTGCGGGCCGTCGACTGGCTCGGCACCGTTGCCATCCTGGCCGTCACCCTGCTGGTGCTGCTCGGCCTCGACTTTGGCGGCGCCACCTTCCCCTGGAACAGCCCCAAGGTCATCGCCCTGATCGCCGTGGGCGTCTCCATGATTGGCGTCTTTGTCTACACCGAGGCCCGCCTGGCCACGTTCCCCATCATGCCGCTCGGCATGTTCACCCACTGGCACAACATTGCCATCTGCATCATGTCCTTTGGCCACAACATGGTCGCCATTGGCTGCGAGTTTTACCTGCCCCTCTATTTCCAGAGCGCCAAGCAGGCCTCGCCCCTGCGCAGCGGCCTCATGCTCATCCCCATGACCGCCGCCGAGGCTGCCGTCGACATCCTGTCCGGCGTCCTCATCCACTACACCGGCCGCTACCGCGAGATGATGTGGGTCGGCACCTCTCTCATGGCCCTCGGCACCGGCCTCTTCCTCATCTTCACGCCCGACACCCCCATTGGCACCATCATTGGCATCGAAATCATTGGCGGCGTCGGCACCGCCCTGCTCTTCCAGTCGCCCATGCTCGCCGTCCAGAACACCGTGCGCCAGTCCGAGACCGCCACCGCCACCGCCACCATGGGCTTCATCCGCAACGTCGCCACGGCCCTGTCCGTCGTCTTGGGCGGCGTCGTGCTGCAAAACGGCATGAACACCGAGCAGCACACGCTCGAGGCCGCCGGTCTCAACGGCACCACGCTCGCTGCCTTTGCCGGCAACCAGGCCGCCGCCAACGTCGACCTCATCGCCGACATTGCAGACGCCGGCCAGCGCCGCGCCGTCCAAGACGCCTTCTCGGCCAGCATCAAGAACATCTTCCTGATGTACACGGTCATTGCCGGCGTCTCGGTCCTCGCTAGCCTGTTTGTGAGGCAGCGCAAGCTGCAGACGGAGCACTCGGAGACCAAGACCGGCATCGACAATTTGAAGAAGCGCGAGTGAAGAGGCAGCCGCAACGTGACATCGTCACGTTGCTACGAGCCCTCTTGCCCTCTTTGTCAGGCTATGTGGCTGTGACCATCACAGCCAGTCTATTTTCTATTCTCCTTCTCGGAGAGTTTTGGATCGTATGGCGTGCTTTCGCTTAACAAAGTGGCACAAGGTATATGGCACACGACATACATATAAACACATTGCTCTCAACAAGCATTGTACGTTGGCAGATGAGTAAAACATTATCCCAGACTCTATTGAGGCCCTAGCTAACAAACTTCAGACGAGGTTCATGCCAAAGCAGACGTGCGAGGAGGCAGCTGCCGAAGCAACTTTTGTTACATGGCGGAGCCAAGGCTTGGGGCAAGCGTAGAACGCAGAAACACAGAAGCACAAACGAGCACTTCAACCTGCTCTCGATCTTTTACACTCAGATTGGACACTCTATTTCATATTACCCATACATTCTTTTCTTTTCCCTATTTAAAAGTCTTTTGATCACCTGGTCATCTTTTCTTGGATCTATTATATACATTCTATATACTTTTCTACCATATACCTTATGCTAGCAGGCTGTCGCTCTCGTGTACTCGTGGGCTGCGTTGTCTTTCTATTCGTGACTCTCGTTATTATCCATTTTTTTGCCCGACACATCTATAGTTGCTTTTTGCTCTTCTTGACTCATGCGCCAGCTGTGGCCGTGCCGCTATTTCCAACGGCCGCATCGTCCATGGTGTCTTCATCATTCATACCCCCGCCGTCACTCTTCAGTCGCCACTGCCGAGCAGGGTCATCCCACGCCTCCACCGTCTCACAGCCTCGAGGCACCCGGCACGAATTGCGCACGTTGCACGTCTTCCAGAGAACGTCACGCACCTCGCTGAACACCTCGTCCACTGCGTCCATGGCCCAGATGACGTCCAGGTGCTCGTACTCTGGTATCACCTTAGCGTGCACGACGCGCACATGCGGCTCGCGGAGGCTGCGTTGTATCCCACTGCTCGTGCTGCGGCTACCCTGACCACGTTCGAGTGCTGCAAAGACGGGCCGTGGCAGGAAGCGCCTCAGCAGCCGGCGGCCGTCCACGAGATCGTCGCGGCCACACACCCACAGCGCAAATGGTGGGACCCGCTCGTCGTACCAGGCCGAAGAGCCAGGAACGCGGTTTCCCAAGGCATCATCTTCGTTTTCGTCTTCGGCCGGGCTCGCCTCGTCGGACTCGTCGGCCTCATCAGCCTCATTTGCCTCGGCCGCAGCGTCAGCCTCCGCCTCTTCACGCCGCCACTCTTCCTTGGTCGCCAGGATGCACTTGTGCCGCGCAAACCCCTCGCGGCCCAGCCACCACCGCATCGACTCGGCGCTGACATACACTGGCGAAAACTGGAACATGCGGTCGCGCAGGCCGCGGTCCCACCGCGCGTCGGTCCATTCAAACAGGAAAGAAAATACCCGGTACCCCAGCCAGCCGTACAGCCTGCCGGGCAGCAGCGGGTGTACTTGCATCATGAGCGGGATAAACGAGTGGATGCCAAACATGATGCGGAACATGGCGGGCGAGATGACGCGCATGAACTTGAAATACATCTTGCCAATCAGGCGACCCGCATACACCGCCGGCGCCAGCGCACAAAAGACGGTCAAGGCCTCGCCCAGATCCGGCCGCTGCTCCTTGGCCAGGGCCACGAGCGCCTCGGTGGTGCCCTGCGAGTGGCACACCAGGCCCAGGTGCGCAAAGCGCGTCTCGCGCAGCACACGCGACGCCAGCGCGGGGAGGTCAAAGACGCCCATCTGGCGAATGTTCCAGCACCACATGCGCGGGTCAGAGGGATGCAGCACGGTGTGGCGCGGCTGGAAGCCGCAGCGGTTGTTGCCGAGCCACACGTCGTACCCGGCTTTGCAGAGGTAGAAGGCGAGCGAGTCGTCGTCGCCGACACAATAGGCGCCGGCGCTCTGCAGCAGGCCGTGCACGAGCAGCACGGGGAACTTGGGCTTCTTGTTGTTGGTCCGCGGCTCGTTCAGCATCGCCTGCTCGGTCGCGGCACGCTCTTCCTTTGTCGTCTCGTCGAACAGCAGCCCCGGCCCCCGGTGCTTGCGGGCCTCCGATGGCCGTGGCGTGTCCTCGTTCGGGTCGACAATGTGCCACAGGTCGATGAGGAAGCCGTCTTCGGTCTGCACCTCGAACGCCTCGACGTCGAGCCCCACGCGGCGCGCATAGTGGGCCACGTCCGGCACAAGAGGATCGGGCCCGCCAGCCGCGGGCGTGTATGTGACGTCGCCGACACCAGCACCTGCCGGGTCTTCGTCTTCGCTGCTGTCGCGCCGCTGCCGCTGCCGGCGCTGCTGCCGCCGCCAATTGCGGTCCACGTCACGGCGCAGCTTCGCGCGGCGCTTCTCCTCGGCATACAGCGGTCGGTTGGCGTCCGGGTCGCGCAGCGTCAGGCGGCAGGCCATGCGTCGAAAGGCGCCCGGGATGCTCGTGAACAGCGAGCCGAGAACAATGACGCTCAGAAATGACAGGCTGAGAAAAAACGACGTCACACGGAAGGTGGTGCTCTGCAGGTTGCGCAAAATAGACGGCGGGCCGTACAGCGGCAGTGGGGGGAAGAGCGGGTTGGTGTGGGATGGCGGCATGGCGCGCTGCAGCGTGCCTTCGGCCGACCGTTGCATGGGAGATGCGAAGCGCTGCTTGGCCCTCTTTGCCTTTTTCTGCCGCTCTTTCTGGCCAATGTCAAGCAGCTTCTCGGACGACGAGGCCGGACCCGGCTGATCCGGCGCCCCATGGGGGGGTTGGTTGGAGGAGGTTGCTTTTTCTGGTTTCGTGGCCTTGTTCGCAGAAGCCTTTTCATCCAGGACCTGTGCCTTGCCCTGCAGCTCGTCTTTGAGGATGTTGAGCTTGTGGGCCTCGGACAGGGGCACGGGCGGCAGTCGGTTGCCATCGGCTGTGACGATGACGGGATCTTGCGGCGTGACGAAGCGGGCTTCGACGGCCATGTCGCGTGACTGGCCTGGGGGCTCATTGTCGGAATTCTGCAGTGACAATTTCTCGGACTGCTTCACGAACTCGACGGCTGTCTGTGCGAGTGTCTCATCTAGCAGCAGCGGGCTGTGGGCGTCGTCGCTGCTGTCGCCCTGCTGCCGTTGTTGAGCCGGTGGATCGCCGTCTGGTCGTGGCTTTTCGGACACCATGGCGAGAATGGGGTCCGGACCCGAGGGATTCGGACGGGTATGGGAATCTAAATGCAACGACCTCGGATGTTGTATGTAGCTTGGCGAAGCAGATGCTGCATCAGGTCGACATCGAAACGGTGTGATGATGGTGAGGGTAGTCAACAGTGAGAGATGTACGACGGATCGATACACAATGAGCGGAATCTGGTCATATATGAGGATCTGATTGTCCAAAAATCGAACAGAAAAGAGGCGTAAACAAAATGTGCATAAAAAAGGGCGCCAATGAAAGTAAAGAAAAAATGACGAAAAAGATAAAAAACAGACGTCAGACTGGATTCAATGGGATTCCACAACGGCCGCTCCGCCACGCACCAACCAAAGCCGTCCCAGTCTTTGACAGCTAGGCTTGTCAATGACAACCAGGACAAACCTCCCAATACGGCAAAAACAAGGCACGCTGGCAGTTGGTTCGTGGAAACCCTAAATTAGATGAGACGAGAGGTTGGCAAAATGCTTTAAACTTGTTTGGCGTTGAAGACTTCAGCCAACGATCGCTCTTGCCGCGCCCAGGCGTGTCAGGGAGGGAAGGGGCGGCTGGTGTTGCGTCATAGCGATCAATACTCCACGGCGATTTACAGGGCCTCGACCGCCTGAAAAGCGACTACTGTGGACCGTGTGGAGCGCTGATATGGAGTACTTATAGCGGTCCTTTCGCTGGCTCACATGTGATCTGCCCCAGTTTCTGTCGCGTTTAGTGGACTGCCACACTGTCAGCGAGCAATCTGTGCGGTGGCTTTCCCCAAAATTGTCACGTGACTATACCGCAGCAGTGCTACCCCAGAGGGCAGGCGCGACCAACCGAGGCCAAATGAAAGAGCCGCTAATAAGCTCCGCAATGGTAAGAAAGCTCTGGGGCAGGGGCAGCGAGCACAAGGGGAAACGACGACCGAGGAGAGGTTCTGCAGGCGCTAGTTCGGTCTTGCTTCCCCAGCACCATTTCGCGACCCATTGGACTTTCCCTCTCGGATCATAATCGCCCATCTCGCATCACATCGCATCACGACGTGGCCGGCACTCTGTAACGTCTCCTCTTCGCGTCAGCTTGCGAGCCTGCGAGCCATTGACCCATCATCCCGACAACACGCCTGAAACAGCGATGCACGCGTTACACAGCCGGGCAGACACAGCATAAACCGAGCCCGTCTCGAACTGAACGACGCACACGACAAGAAACGAAGGAATCAGAATAAACAAAAATAAACAAACCATCTTGCCTTACCATCCTCCCCTCTTTCCACACCTCGCTATGGCTGCGGTGGCATCTCCGCCGCAAGTCGTGGCCTCACGGCCCCGCAGACGCCGTCTTCGTCGGCGTCGGCGGCTCGACAAGCCCGCTGTCAACGCACGCCTCGTCCTCGACGACCACGTCCGGGGCGATGTCGGCATCCTGTCCGAGGACCTGTTTGCCGACCTCTTCCCGCACCTGTACCAGCAGGAGCAGCAACAGAAAGACGGTAGGCCTCAACATGCTCTGTCATTTTACCTTGTGTCGCTCCCTTGGCCCATGCTGACCGTCTTCGCGTCCCAGGTGCCAATGGCTTTGGTGCAGCCCTCGCCCGCGCAACGCCCACTTCGACAGCCGCCGCTTCCTCCATCGCCGAGCCCGACGTCTACCACGTAGCAATGGCCCCCTGGGCCCCGAGCGCGTCTCCCGAGTCCACTGACTGGACCATTGTGCCCGTCTCCAAGTCCTCGGCCCTCGCACCCTCCACCGTGCAGTTTTCGCCCTCGTCTCTGGCCCTTCAGAAATTCGCCGCCATTTTGCAGCAAGTTGCACCCTCCAAGTTCTCCGGCCACAGCCGCCGCGGCATTGAGGTGATGCTGCTCGATGTCACGGCCGTGTCCCTCGATACCGTCTTTGTGAGCCTCGAGGGGGACCTCGGCAAGCGGCTCGAAGCCGGTGAAGGCACCTTCTTCCGTGACCACCCGACTGCGTCTGCTCTGCAAGCCGCGAAGAACAAGACCAAGGGCGCAAACGGCACGCAGGTGTCGGGCGAAGACCGTCTGACCGCCGCCCTCCGCGTTGCTTTGGGCACTCTGCAGGTGGTCCACTCCGGCGACCTCTTCCCGCTGCCGCTGCCGCCCCACCCCATCACCCACGTGCCGCCAAACCCGGGCAAGGTCACCTTCTGCGAGCCTGTCGCCCAGGGCGTGCTTACGCCGAGCACACGTATCATTGTGTCGCGCGGCCGCCTGCACTCCAAGAGCGGCCGCCACCGCGGTGCCGACTTGGCCCCCATTCCTGCGCGCCGCAAGCTGAATGGCGTGTCTGAGGACGAGGGCGACGACACGGCCAACGACCAGTTCTTCTCGGCCGCCGAAGAGCGCACGCGAACGGAGACGGAGACCGACGCACCTACCGAAGATTCCGAGACTGGCGAGTCCGAGGCTGACCTGTCGCCCGCCGGCCACGATGACGACCTCGAGGAGGACGACGGCGGCGAGATCTCCGACGACTCCATGGACGAAATGATCTCCCTCCAGGCCCCGACGCTGCCAGCCACACTCGCCAGCGGCGTCTCGACCTTGCAGCCCGGCTCACCCATGACAATTGGCCGTGGCCGGAGGACGAACGGCGTCGCCACGCCTGGCTCGGTCTTCTCTAGCTTTACCGCCACAACTGCCCGTCCCGACCGGCCCCGCGGCCGCCTGTTCAAGGCCCAAGGCCTGACCGCCCCCATCCCGCCCGAGATTCTCCACCCGAAGCCCGGTGCCGACGACGACGATGAGGCCCGCGTCTACGTGGACGTGAACAACCTGACCCGCATCGGCTGCTTCTCGGGCGACTGGGTGCGTCTCGAGGAGGCCGAGGAGCCGCCCGTCAATGGCTTCGGCCGCTTTGCTCTGGGCAGCTTTGGTGAACCCGTGGGCGACGAGCCGGACTGGCGGCCTGTCCGCGTCTTTGGCCTGCCCGAGGGCTATTCGCAGCGGCCGGTGACACGCATCCCCAGCGCCAAGCACGAGGCTGGTGGCCGCCGCCTGTCCTTTTTCGAGTCGCAGATCCAGCGCCCCTCCAGCCCCATCGCCTATTTGTCGCCCATCCTGCTCGCGAACATGCAAAGCACGTCGTATCTGCGACTGTCCCCGCTGCGAAGCGCCCAGCACCCACCTTCGTCATCCCTTGGTCGCCACGGCGCCCATGCTGGCCGGTCCTCTACGAAGATGGGTACCGCCGCCCAGCCGCCATTTGCGCAAAAGGTCATCATCCAGCAGGTGCGCACGCCTGTGCCGATTGAAAAGTCGGTGCAGACGGCCGTCGTGGCCGGCCTCAAGTGGCACTTTGAGAAAAAGCTGCGTGTTGTCAAGACTGGCGACTACATTGCCATCCCCATCGATGCACAGCTCGGCCGCACCATGAACGACATGCTCCAGACCAGCGAGAACGCCGCCGTCACGGACATCCTATCCTTGACTGGTGGCATCAAAGAGTCGTCGGCCGCCGCTACGAACGGTAGTAATGGCACGTCTGCGGCGGCCGCAGCAGCAGCAGCTGCTGCGTCGCCGTCGTCGTCAGGCACCCCCGCCTCGGGTGCCGGGGCCGGCGCGAGTGGCAAGCCCACCCTCAAGGCCGACGAGGTGGCGTGGTTCAAAGTGACCCATGTCCAGCCTCAGCCGCAGCCTCAGCAGCAGCGTCACTACGTCGGCGACGAGGGTGAGGAGGAGGAGAGTGTCTGGGGCACCACGGTGGCTTGCGTGGACATCTCGACGGCGCACCTGGAACAGTCGGGCACCACGACGTCGCGCATCCCTGGCACCAAGGACAGCAACTGGCCGTACTACCTCGGCCTCCGCGAGCCGCCCCGCCGTTATGGCGACCGCGCCGCCCCCGCCGTCGTCGAGCCCGACCGCAAGCAAGTCTCACCTCTGCGGCGACAGCTGCGCGATCTCGTGGCGGCTGCCACGAGCAAGCGCGCCCTCCACCTCAACATGCCCCCCGTCGCCATTCTGCTCGTGTCCACGCAGCGCCACATTGGCAAGGCTACTGTGGCCGTCGACGCCTGTTCCGACATGGGCCTGCACACGTTCACAGTGGACGCCTACGACGTGGTCAACGAGGCCAGCGCCGGCGGTGGCGACGCCAAGACGGAGGGTGTGCTCAAAGGCCGTGCCGGCCTGGCCATGAGCTGTGGGCCCGATTGCTGCGCGCTGCTCATCCGCCACATGGAAGCCCTGACAGCCGACCGCATGGTCTCGTCCATGAAGGAGATCCTCGAGGACGCACGTGTGCTAATCGCGACGACCACGGAGGCCGACAAGATTCCAGACGGTGTGCGCAGTCTCTTCACGCACGAGATGGAGATGCACGCGCCCGACGAGACGGAGCGTCAGAGCATCCTGCGCAACATTGTCAACGACCGCGCCCTCGTGCTCGACCCGGAGGTCGACCTCGGCAGCGTAGCGCTGAAGACGGCCGCCCTCGTGGCGGGCGATCTTGTCGACGTGGTGGAGCGCGCACTTGTGTGCCGCCAGTCGCGTTTAGAGAAGCTCGTCGTGGCCCAGTCGACGCCTATCGCACCCGCGTCGCCCTCGGACGCGTCCGATGTGGGCCTCGATCCGGAGCAGCAGCTGAACACCAAGGTCCTCACGCTACGCGACGTGCAGGTGGCCGGTGGTGCGGCGGTGCGCGGCCTGACCAAGGCCGACTTTGACGCCGCCGTCGACGCTGCGCGCAAGAACTTTGCCGACGCGATTGGCGCGCCCAAGATTCCCAACGTCACGTGGAACGACGTCGGCGGTCTCGACAACGTCAAGGATGTCGTCATGGAGACGATCCAGCTGCCGCTCGAGCGGCCCGAGCTGTTTGCCAAGGGCATGAAGAAGCGGTCCGGCATTCTGTTCTACGGCCCGCCCGGTACGGGCAAGACGCTGCTGGCCAAGGCCATCGCCACCGAGTACAGCCTCAACTTCTTCAGCGTCAAGGGCCCCGAGCTGCTCAACATGTACATTGGCGAGTCCGAGGCCAATGTGCGGCGCGTGTTCCAGCGCGCCCGCGACGCGCGGCCCTGTGTCGTCTTCTTTGACGAGCTGGATTCCGTGGCGCCCAAGCGCGGCAACCAGGGCGACAGTGGCGGCGTCATGGACCGCATCGTGTCGCAGCTGCTGGCCGAGCTCGACGGCATGTCGGGCGGCGGCGACGACGAGGACGAAGGCTCCGGTGCCGGCTCGGGCGGTGTGTTTGTCATTGGCGCCACCAACCGGCCGGATCTGCTCGACCAGGCGCTGCTACGTCCCGGCCGCTTCGATACAATGCTGTACTTGGGCGTGTCGGACACGCACGACAAGCAGTTGCGGATCCTGGAAGCCCTGACGAGAAAGTACGTTTTTTTTTTTTTTTTCGTTATTTTCCCATCGCCGACCCTGGTAGGACACGCTACATTTTTCCGATTCAGACACTAATGCTCGTCCCTCTAGGTTCACCCTACACCCTTCGGTGTCGCTGCGCGCGATTGCCCAGCAGCTGCCGTTCACGTACACAGGTGCCGACTTTTACGCGCTGTGCAGCGACGCCATGCTCAAGGCCGTGACGCGCCAGGCGTCGGCGGTCGACGACAAAATCGCCGCTATGACGGCCAGCGGCAAGAAGCCCATGTCGACGGCGTACTACTTTGACCACTACGCGACACCCGAGGACGTGGCCGTGCTCGTGACGGAGCAGGACTTTTTGGAGGCGAACCGCGAGCTCGTGCCGAGTATCAGCGCGGGTGAGCTGGCGCACTACGAGCGGGTGCGGGCCACATTTGAGGGCAAGAAGAAGGAAGATAAGGAAAAGGGTCAGCAGCAGCAGCAGCAGCAGCAGTCCTCGTCCTCATCCTCGTCCTCGTCTTCAAAGACACCCGCCGGGTTCTCTCTCCCTACGGCCGTCTCTGCCCCCGCCTCGCATTCCGCACGGCTCGCCCGCAGGGGCAAGGGCAAAGGCAAGACGACGTCGCTTCGGTTCAGCGATGTCGAAGAGGAGGATGAGGAGAACGAAGGCGGCATCGACGGCATCGGCGGTAGCGACAACGATGACGACGACGACGACGACGAGACTGGCAGTGTTATCCTCAATGGCCGAGCCAGCAAGGGCAAGGGCAAGTCCTCTGTGGGCGCAGGCTCCTTCCAAGACCAGCGCGCCAGCGACGACGAAGACCTGTACAGTTAGGACTGTACAGGTGGGTGCGGTGTGACGAGTGCAGTGCGTGCGGTGGTGGCATGGGTGGATGCGTTGTGTCTTGTCTTGTATATTGTCACGTTTTGTTTGTACCATCCCCAGCATATATTGTCTTGTAAAAGTATACAGAATACACCGTCCGACTGGACCAGCACCTTGTACGAGGATGAATGGGAGGAGGGTCTTTTGGCAGGCATAAAATCAACCAGCCACGAAATGCAATAAAATAAAAAGATTACACTTGCATTCTCGTTGGGAAGAAGAACCGAGCCGCATCTTCAGAATGCGCCAATCGTCCACCGTAAAATGCTCGAGAATGCTCTCCAACTCGGCACGAAAATGGTTGCAAATGTCTATTGTTGTGAGGAGTCATTTGTTTGGGCCGTGTTTTACGTCGTATTTGCGTCACTTTTGTTGGCCAGCCTGCCCTCTGCCGCCGTCCGCATGCAGCCCCCCTTAAGAACCCTAATTAGGAACCGGACCGCCACAAGCACAAGCGCATTCCCTCGTGGCGCAATTGGCTAGCGCGTTAGACTGTTATCCCATATGATAGTCTATCTAAAGGTTGGTGGTTCGAGCCCACCCGAGGGAGGTTGAGCCGTGTAATTTGCATTGTTTAAGCAAATTTTTTGTACACTTTTGCACGCTTTATTTTAGAGTGTCGATTGTGAGTCAACTATGTCAGTAATGAGTCTATTTCTTGCTTGTGTATTTTTTTTCCCTTTCCCATTAAAGATATCATATTAGAGACTGTAGTCTTTCTTCCTTTTTTCAAAAAGTAGGAGTAAATCGCATCTGCGAATGAGTTTTTTATTATTATTATTATTATTATTATTATTATTATTATTATTATTATTATTATTATTATTATTATTATTATTATTATTCTTTATATTTATTTAGACAAACTTAACCCATCACAAGTCCAAGGTTCAAACGAGTATATACGATATAATGAAGTTAGCCACTACAAGCGGCATGCTCTCTGTTCACCACAACATTTATCAACATACAATTTCAAGTAGCTCTATGTCTTGAACACCGCCAGAGGTCGTTCTTGCTAATACGAACCCGGGAAGCCAGATCCCTCCCTCTTAACAGAACAAATCAATCTGACACCTCTCCTAATATGACGTCCGGAAGACATGAGCATAGACAGTCCGACACATACAGTGTTTCGTCGTCCTTCGACGGTCGAATTTGCTCTGCAGACACTCGTCGGTACTGAACCAGACAGCGTATTATCCCGAGAAGGGCAGAAATGGGAGGGCGTTGAGCAGTAAAGCTCATCCGACTTTTCAGAGACCGTCCACCTTTTGTTCTACTCTTCTTTGCAGGCAGCAACTCAATCGGTATTGCCCACGTCTGTAACACTGCCGGGTCTTGGCCACCAGGCGTGTTCATGTCAAATCACGAGAAGAAAGAACTTTCTGTGCTTTATCTCGTATTTCAGTTGGTGGAGTCTTGGCCCGTCGCACCTTTTGGTCGTATTGCTCCTTTCTCCAACTCGCATTCTCCAACATTTCTGCTCTGACTCGAAAGCACATGAGTTCGCGAATTTTGCCACGGCAGATGAAAGCAGGTCCATTTAAAACGACGCGTTATGATTGGCCTGTCGCAAACACTGAGTAGATTTTGCGCTACTTTGCAGCGCAATCGCGCCACCTCGAATTTTTTTTTTAGCCATGTACGAAATACATTTGGGCTAGTTTTTCGCCTTTTGGTCCCTCTTTTATCAATTCCTTCTGATTCTTACGTCTCCGTTTTGGAGGGGCAGGTCTAGACAAATAAGTGCCTGGTGCCAACAGGGAGCCAGTCTTATGCCGCGGCCGGTCTCCGAAAAGGTTCACAGCCGTGCATGTGTTGGCTGGACCCTTGCTGTTTTTCGGATCGTTTCCACGTTTCCTAGGTGTTTCTTTCGACTTCCGTCAAGTGCCCATGTCCCCTAAAACGTGTCTGCGCCAAGTGGCGGTACCCTGCCTCCCTGCTTCTTTCCGTCTAGCCGGCCTTCGGGAGGACGGCAATGGGCCGTGAATTGGATTTTGGGGAGAAGGAAAGAGCCCGTACTGCAACTGCGACCGGTATACCATTGGGGGCCGAGTAAGAGTGATTTCTGAGGAAGGAGGGACCGTGGCGCATGGTCGCACAAAAATTCGAGAGGAAGGAGCTGGCTTTCAATGTATTGACACAGCGGCGAATTTCACGGCAAGAACCAAGAGCGGGTGGTCCGATCAAAGGCCGATGCATTGGGGGGGCAAAACGTCGCCTGTCGTTTGACGAGGACAGACCATCTCCGTCACTGCCTACCGGCAGAGCGGTACGTGTCTGTCTCGTAAGCATTATTGGAGTTACCTCTCTTTTGCCGCCATGATGCAATGTGGATCAGGCCAGCACGATTCTGCTCCGTTCCTCTCCCGGCGTCTTGGCCCGCCTCTGGAACCCTTCTGGTGACTCCTTTTTGAACCCGGTCTGCCAGTATTAGTCTTCAACCCACTTGGGCCTGCAATACCCACCACGCTCATTCTCACTGGCGCTCACAGTCCCGTCGTTTCTACTGTGTATCTTGTCTCCCACGCCCGTGCCTTCCCTTGTTGCCTCGGGGAATCTTGCCACTTCCAGATAACCCGTGTCAGAAGGCAGGAGCACGCCCGGTAAGCTGGAAACTGTTAGCTTCCTATTGGCCCGCGCGGCACCCGGGATTTGACCCTGGCCCAACAGGCCATTTTGAGCTTCCTTGCTCCCGTACTTCCTGTATCTCTTGCCCGAGTAACTGCCCTATCTGTGGACAATCCTCATCGGCTCGTTGCGTGCTGGCGTTCCTTCCATAGTCTTCCACACCTTGCTACGTACTACTGGTAATTCTGGTAGTTCGCTCCTTCCTCACTTACACTCCCGTCTCTCCTTCCGTTGTTGACTTCCTCTGTCTTCTAAACGTACTCTCTTTTTGTCTTTCTTCGTTTTTTGATCCTTTGCTCTTCCTCCTCGTTTCTTCTTTTTGACTCATCCACAGCTTGGTCACGGTATGTAATCATCGTTCTGTTGTGTTTAGGACCAGTCCCGCTGGCCATCTTTTTTATCTACCCCCCTCCCCCCCCCTTCTCCACTCTGCACGCTCTGAATACTTTTTCTTCTTGTATTCCACGGACAAACGCTCACATTTCCTTCCTTCCTTCTTTCTTCCTCGCAGAGACACATCTCCACTCTTTCGCCCGTTTCGCAATATATCCGTCACAATGGCTTCTGCTGCTTCCCGCCAGCTGTTCCGCGCCGCCACCCGCGCGGCTGCGCCTGCCCGCCGCGGCTTCACCAACTCTTCGTCCAGCGTCAACGCCTCGGCGCGCGCTTCTTTCCGCCAGGGCTCTGCCGGCGCTGGCCGCCGCTACTACTCGTCCGAGACCCCCAAGCCGGGCAGTTCGTCGAGCCTGCTGTGGGTCGGTGTCGGCGCTGTCGGTGTCGGTGCCGCTGCCTACTACCTGACCCAGAACGGGTCTGCTTCGGCTGCGGCGCCCAAGGCGGCCTTCAAGCCCGAGTTCAAGGACTACCAGGCCGTCTACAACGAGATTGCCAAGCTCCTGCAGGAGCACGACGAGTACGATGACGGCAGCTACGGCCCTGTCCTGGTGCGCCTGGCGTGGCACGCCAGCGGCACCTACGACAAGGAGACGGGCACCGGCGGCAGCAACGGCGCCACGATGCGCTTTGCGCCCGAGAGCAACCACGGCGCCAACGCCGGCCTGATCAACGCGCGCAACTTCCTCGAGCCCGTCAAGGCCAAGTTCCCGTGGATCTCGTACTCGGACCTGTGGATCCTGGGCGGCGTCTGCTCGATCCAGGAGATGCTGGGCCCCAAGATCCCCTTCCGCGCCGGCCGCCGTGACCGCGACTTCAACTCGTGCACGCCCGACGGCCGCCTGCCCGACGCCTCGCAGGGTGCCGACCACGTGCGCAACATCTTCTACCGCATGGGCTTCAACGACCAGGAGATTGTGGCCCTGGCCGGCGCGCACGCCCTGGGCCGCTGCCACACGCAGAACTCGGGCTTTGACGGCCCCTGGACCTTCTCGCCGACCGTGCTGACCAACGACTACTACAAGCTTCTGCTTGGCAGCAAGTGGCAGTGGCGCAAGTGGGACGGCCCCAAGCAGTACGAGGACAAGGAGACCAAGTCCCTGATGATGCTGCCGGCCGACATGGCCTTTGTCCAGGACAAGACCTTTAAGAAGACCGTCGAGAAGTACGCCGCCGACAACGACCTGTTCTTCAAGGACTTTGCCGCCGCCATTGTCAAGCTGTTTGAGCTGGGCGTGCCTTTCCCCGAGAACACGGAAACCTACGTCTTTAAGAACCTGGGCGAGTAAATCGTCCTGTATTGAAGAGAGTGGGAGAAAGAGAGACTTTTTGAGTATTCTGCATTTTGTTTTGTTTTCGTTTCGGACACGCGCGATACGCCACCCCCAACCGCTTCAGCATACCATCCACGATACCGTGGAGACCGATAGACACGGCCGATTGCAAACGCTTAAAGTTCCTTTCGAGAATAGACTTTCCAGAGGGACAACCGGAGGGGACAAGTGGTTAGACATAGACGGGACAGGGGGAAACTGTAATCTACCGGGAGCACCTTAGACCTAGACGCTCTGGATGGGGACGAATGTAATGCAACTAGCGAAGGCTAGGCAGACAAATAATCTATTTTTTTTTTTTTTCTCACAGAATTTCAGAACAGTGGGCAAGGAGAGAAGTGAATATATGCACTCGTTTTGCGCCCCATACGGATATTTTTTTTCTTTTCCTTTCCTGCTTCTTTCTCCGTACCGTGCACGGGTTTTGCGTCATAAACTGGTCCTGCGAAACATGACTTCGGTAATAGGACAGAGACTCCCCGGCTTTTGACACGTGAAGTTCGGTCTTGTAATTCTGTAGAATGCGGGAAAAAGGAACGCAGGAAAGAACAATGGCCTCTTTTTTTCCTTGCCTGGGGTTGTTCGTAAAGTATAATATTCCTTTGATTAACCTCAAGGCTTCGGTGTGAAAATTCCGAACGCCGTTCAAAACTCCAGCGCACGACGTATGAAAGGAGCCAAACGAACTGTGCCAAGTGTTGCTCCACTTGGATTTGGACACAAAGTGAGGTCTCTGAGAGCTTTGTTGACACTTTCCAGAGGCTGCTCGAGTCTGGACAATTGCCACTTTTGATTGTATGGGGCAGCGTCGATCGTGCTTGCCTCTTACGATGACGGGACGGCTCTGCCCGAAACGTCGCTCTTTCCTCAGTGTTGTTTATTCCAGTTGTTGTTCCTCGTCCATTTTCGCCCTTTCCCTCTTTGCTACCTAACCTTTGCACCTTTCTGCACGGAATGTATTTGAAGGTTGAAACGAGGCTCGTTACTTTTAGGATGCAGCTTGATTCAAATGATATGACGAGACTTTGATTTTGTGACCATGCAGCCACTACTTGCCACTTGTTTCACAGAGTGACATTGCTCCGACATCTGTAAAATTGTTGTATAAACTGTACAAAACGTTCATAGAATAATTATACCTGGAAATGCATAATTTTATTGCTTATAAAACATTGCCGTTGCTCTGTGTTCCGTAATGATGAACAGTCGTTGATCTTGATGCAATGCACGTGACACCGATTGACACGGCTGCAAACGGCTGTTGCGCACGTAAAAAAATTGGACGCTACCGATTGCTGACCTCACTTTGAAGAAGCTCGGTACCCTCCACTTTCAGACACACCTCGCCACGCCGCACACTGCATAACGACACAACCATGGCGTCCGGAACAGCGAGAACGGTCGTTTTGTCGGCCAGCCGCCTGCAGAGCGCTTCAATGCGCCCTCTGCGCCCTTTGCGCCCGTCACTCCTCGTCTGTGGACGTGTCGCCTGCTGCGCCGCCGCCGTCACAGCATCCAACGCCCGCCACCGGACGCCGACGTTGCAGCGCCTCTACTCGACAGAGTCCTCTTCTCCCGCCGCCTCCCCTTCACCACGCACCCCCTCGCCCGCCAATGACGTGGTTGAGCGGTACCGCAGCCGGCTCGAGAGCAAGGCGCAGAAAGAGGGCGTGGCCGACATTGACCAGCTGCGCGCGGCCTACATGGACAAGATCGAGGCACTGCGGCGGCGCGATGCTGTTGTTCCCGAGGGGGCCAATGTGGCCGCCGACACACCCACACTCTCCACGTCCGAGCCGGCCTCGGCAGAATCGTCACGGCCGTCGACACCGGCATCCGAGTCAGCATCCTCCGGAGCGTCGACAGCGAGCTCTGCGTCCACGACTGCTGCGTCGCCTACCGCCTCGGCCGCTTCCGCCGCGTCAACACCCCGCGGCGTCCGCCCCCTCGCATCGCTGCTCGACCTCGACAAAGTGCGCACGCTGCCCGTCGAGGAACTGTCGGCCGTCTGGCGCCTCCGCTTCGCCAACGACCCGCTGTCGCTGTGCGCCGTCATCCCCGCCCAGACATATGCGGCCATGGAGGCGGCCGCACGCGCACGCCCGCAGTTTGTGCTGCCCGTGCCGCACCCGGAGCAGGGCGCCGAGATTCACTTTTTGCAGTGGACGTTTGACACGCAGGGCGGGCCGGCCACGGCGCCGTCGAGCACCGTGCTGTTTACGCAGCTGGCCGAGTACAAGGTGCGCGGCGAGTTTGCGGCGCCACACACGACGGTGACGCACTACACGGACCTTGCGGCCGACTGCGGCGTCGTGCTGATGCAGGGCCAGGTGGCGGACGGCCGCGGCGTGACGGCCGACCACGCGCAGTGGCTGGTCATGTGCCTGCAGCGCTTCTATGGCGCCTGGGCCATCCCCGGCACGCCCGGCTCCCAGGACCAGAACAGCGCGCTCGACGAGGGTGCGCGTGCGCGCCGTCTGCTGTTGCAGTGGTTTGCCGCCGGCGACCCGCAGTTTAGCATTGAGCGGCTGATGGAGGAGGTGGAGAAGCTGGCATGAGTGTACCGGGATACAGACCGGGATCCCACGAGACACCACATGGATAGGATGGTGTATGATACGACGAACGTCGAAAAGCGACCTTGGTGCTGTAATGGAAAACGCACAGACGGCACGCATTTGTATAGAATATAGATAGTATCCAACAACAACGAGACAAAGAAACGTCCCCATGTACTATACCTTCTGCTCTCCGCCCTCTTGTATTTAATAGCACCCTGTTTGTCTACAGCTTCGACGCTCCGGCCTTGTCGGCCTGCCGTACCTGGTCGCGTAGTACCCGCCGCAGAATCTTGCCGCTGGGTGACTTGGGAATCTCCTTGACAAAGTGCACGCCGCCGCGCAGCTTCTTGTGTGGCGCTGTCAGCGACGCCAACCAGTCGACAATCTCCTTGGCCTTGGCTGCGTCCGTGGGCAGGCCGGGCTTCATCACAACGTACGCCCGCGGCACCTCGGTCGCCTGCGCCTTGTCCTCCACGCCAATCACACCCGCGTCCGCAATGTCCTTGTGGCCCAGAAGGATGCCCTCGAGCTCGGCTGGCGGCACCTGGAAACCCTCTGCAAGATGTTAGTCAAAAGGCGGAATCGTCAGGAACATGCAAGGACAATCAGAGGAATGTCCAATGGGGCGCAACGTACTGTACTTGATCAACTCCTTGAGACGGTCGACGCAGGTAAAGTTGCCGTGCTTGTCGGCAATGAAAATGTCGCCGGTTTTAAAGTAGCCGTCCGCTGACATTGTCGCCTTTGTGTTGTCGGGCAGGTTCAGGTAGCCCTGGAAGATGTTCGGGCCCTTGAGCCACAACTCACCGGGCTTACCCAGCTCCGCCACATCCGTGCCCTCGTCCGGGTCGACGAGCCGTGCCTGCATGTTCGGCAGCAATCGGCCCACCGAACCCATGAACTTGCCCCACTCGTGTGGCAGCTGCATCATCGCGACAGGCGACGTCTCGGACAGACCGTAGCCCTGCTTGACAGGAATCTTGAGTCGGTCCCACAGCGCTGTTGCGAGCTCAGGCGTCAGCGGCGCCGCACCGCTGTGAAACATGCGCATCGATGTCAGGTCGTACTTGTCGACGACCGGGTGCTTGGAGAAGGCGAGAATCACGGGCGGCGGGACGTAGGCAAAGCTGATCTTGTATTTCTCAATGAGCTGGCACGCGCGCTCAAGGTCGAAACGGGGCATGCTGATGAGCTCCCAGCCAGTGTTGATAAAGACGAGGATGCAGCAAGTGAGGCCCTAGCTGAACGTTAGCAGGTTTGAGTAGAGAGCACCCTTTTCCCGGCACGCAACGTACGTAAATGTGGAAGAACGGCGTGATGCCGAGACCCTTGTCGCCCTTGCCATCGGCACCACCGAAGGGATGGAAAATCAGGCCGTCCATAGATGACATCTGGAGCACATTCGCAACGACGTTGTAGTGCGTCAGACACACGCCCTTTGGCAGGCCAGTGGTGCCGGAGCTGTAGACCAAGAACGCCAGGTCTTTGTGCACATCAACAGGCTCGGCCGTTGCGCGGCCCTTGAAAGACGGGTTTCGAATGGCACTGAAGTGGCGGAAGCGGCCCGACGGGTCGTGTGCGTCGCCGAGCAGGATAATGCGGTCCTCAGGGATGCCGACAGCCCTGGCGGCGCGCCGGGCGGTCTCGAGAAACGGCAGCTGGGTGATGACAGCCACGGCACCCGAATCGCGCAACTGGAAGGTCAGTTCGTGCTCGGTGTACAGTGGGTTGGCGGGCGAGCAGATGCCGCCGGCCCACAGCAGGCCGAGCATTGCTGGTGGCGTGTCGATGTCGTTTGGCGTGTAAAACGCCAGGACGTCACCGCGCTTCCAATTCCATAGCGATTGAAGGCCCTTGCCGAAGTCGAGGGAGGTGCTGCGCAGGTCGCCAAATGTATAGCTGCGGCCGGTCTCGCTATCGGTGAAAATCTCTGCGCGTGGTATTAGCTGGCGGAGGGCAGAGCAGGGGGCTTAGCAAGGACCACAGGGAAAAGACTGTTGTACCTTTGCTGTCGGAAAACGGCTTCGACTTGCGTTCAAAGAGCAGCGACCAGAGGTCGACCTCTGGGATGGTGAGTGGTGTGAACGGCGACTCAAACGGCATTGTGACGATGAGAACTGCAGAAAGTTACCGCAAAAGCTGCTAATATATATGGCTTTGGATTTTGCAACAAATGCAAGTGGAGCGGTAACACAGAAATGGTCGGATGAGAGCACAGGATGTGGGGAAGGAAAAGAGATGAAGAACGTTGAAAGCAAACACAAAATAAAGAGGTACAGAGGAAATACAAAGGGACCAAAGGGACCAAAAATACTCTTGGCAATGGCCGCATATTTCGGAGAACCATTGTCTCTCCGCAGTACTCCATAATCCAGCAATATCGTGGGTATCTTCGGGGGTGCAGTCCAGCTGCACTCCAGCGTCGCGTTTTGGGCCTAGCCCTTGGTCTCCCCCCTCGTTTTTTATCTTGCGGGCGAAGCCTTATGCTTGTTGATCCTTTTCTGGCGTCTTGTTCTGACACCTTGGTTGTACTTCTTGGCTTGGTACAGACCTTTCCGCGCGTCTTTTCCGAGGTGGTGGGCTCTTGTTCGGCTATCCGCGGACATCACGGGAACGCGATAACAAGCGCCGATCCCAAACGTGATTTGTGTTTTTGGCTTTACCATGTCTTGCAGGGTTCAATGCACATATCGCAGCCGGTCTCGATTCCCATCCTGACTTATCCGGACGCTGGTATACTTTTTCTGCAGAGAGAATGCTTCTTTGGCGTGGAGCCATCATTCGGAATACGCAGGTCTCGTCTGGACTCGTTTGAACTCGCCGGGCCGCAGTCTCCTCATTGGACCTAGCGTGTGTGGTCTGACGTTGTAAATTCGATAAGCGCAAGGTAGTATGGGACCATTTGTGCGGGGAGAGCGTCCTGCGGAATAAGCCTGGGGCGATGGACTGCATTGGCTGGCTCCGCACTCTTGGCCATTATGGCCGGCCGAGGCTCGCTTGCTCACGCCTGCGCGTCTCGAATTTCGGCAGGTCTTTGCTCAGAGACCAGCTTTGGAGCACCGGGAATGTTAGACGGATATAGATTGACAACGACAACCATGGTAGGCGGTGAAGATCCAGAAACACGAAACCTGGTGATGGCCAAAATGATCCTCGCCGGATGATCTGCTGTATCCTTGGTAGCTTGATTTCTATTCGGCGGTCAATGAAGTTGCGGATACGAATGTCATGGGGCATAGTAAATGGGCGGGTCATGCTATGCTCTTCTTTGAGATTGTCGGTCCGGGCGTGGGGCTTGGAAATGTGTTTGGAAGATTCTGCTTTTGAAGCTTTTCAAATGTGGCGTAGGATGTTTTGGATATGATCCTAGGGGGCAACTCGAAGAAGAAGGCGCCACGGACATTTGACCGCTCAACGAGGCAAGGACGATGGGGTAAACCAATGTAGAAGGTTCGGCAGAATGAGGAAAGAGGGAAGAAGAAGAAAAACAGGAAGAAAGAAGGCGGAAACGGGTCGCTCTTTCTACTTTTTACGACCGCCAGCTCCTTCCTTTGAAAGGAACAGCATCTAACAGCCTACAGTAAACTCGTAGTGGCCATGAGCTTCCAACGGAGCCGGGAAGCAGCTACCGGAGTCGGCGCTTGGCATGCGTTGCTGCACCTGTCCAGCATCGACTATCGTGACGAAAATTGACGAAAATAATACCGAAATTCAGGATAGCAAAGGCATCAAAGCCCCAAAACCATCTCGACACTCCGCTCACGCTTCCATAATTTTGGCCATTTGTTTGCCGACGTCAACGAAGATGGTATTCTGTGCCATCGCTTGTTACGCCGACGCCTAGAATGTGCTGAGAGTCTGCCTTTACGACCTGATAAATAGGCACTATTTCGTCTTTTCCAACAAGATCGCAGCTGAGACGAAGAAGCTCAACACCAACATTGGCCTGGACCAGATCGCCGCCGGCCAGACCAGCCAGAGCGTTGGTCTCTCGGACAACGACGAAGCGTAGATGGTGGATATCGTTCAAAAACGATGTTGGAATCAGGACGGACGGACGTCACAAGAAAGGAAGCTCTACCGGGTAACCGCCATCTCGATTAGATTGCAGCTGCCCGGCAAGGGAGCCTTGAGCGTGGAAGTTTCTTTCTCGTACATCATTTCACAGGATAAACCATTTGCCATGTGGGACGCTTGTACTGTTTTCACTTTGCATGTTGGGTCTGCTTGGACCGCAGCGATTATTTTTCGTAGTCATTCCCATTTCTGCTACCGTAAGACAAAAAAAAAGAAAAAGAAAACACCCCTTGGATCATATGTTCTTTTCTTCTAAATCGTTGTATCTAGATGGTGTTAATTGTATGAATTTCGCTGAGCACCATGCGCGCCAAAAAGGACACACCGAAGTAGTCAAGAAAGAAAACAAAAAGGTGGAAGTGAAGAGAAAAGAAAAAGAGGTATAAATGGTAAAAAGGTTGGCTTCCGGAGGACAAGACGAGCGGCCCACAGGACCGACATGGTGTTTCGCCTCGAGGAAAGCCAAAAGAGAAAACGTGAAGAATGGTTTTTTGTTATATGCCTTTCGCCCTTCCCCCTTCACGGCCGACGACGAAAGTTCCTCCAAAAAACAAGAAGTGAATAATGAAAAAAAAGCCTTTGTCGCCGACTTTTGGGAGAATGAAGGATGCGATGAGTGCTGTGCCGTTGTCGTAAAAGAATGTTGGAAGACGATGAGAATCACACAAACAGCTCAATTAAAGTATTAAAGAATTAAACACATTAAGTAAGGTGATTTGCGCGATTCTCTGGTTGAATTTGTCTTCGTTTCTTTGTCTGCCTGCCACCTATCACCCATCGGACACATCGCTTGGGGAATCTTGTCTTGTTCGAGCGAAAAAGGAGGGAAGGGTATTCCGTCAGGCCAATCCAGCAGCCGAGAATGCAAGGTAGGGTAGTTGCAACACGTCGCGAAGAATGGACAGAGAACATCAGTTGTAAAGGGGACAAAGGGAAAAAAAAACCCAAGGAAAATGGTGGAAATCAGAATCAGATATCGTGAGAGAGAAGTAACAACGTCTGAAATGCGAAAAAAGAAGAAAATAAGAGGAAGTCTCTAAAAATGCAAGGCAGCAGATCCGGATGCCGAGTTGATGTGAATACGCGCAACAGTCGTCGTACGTATGTCCCCAGGCCCGGCGCCATCGCTCGTACCGTGCACTCTTAAAAACGAGATAGAATATGCCTCCAGAGCAAGCCATTCGACCGTCGTTCGTCGTTTCCGCTTTGTATCGAGATGGTGTCGCGATTCAAAACGATACCGATTAGTCACTCGTCATGCTGTGCTGTGTTGGCGTGTAGTTGTTGGTGATTTGTCAAAGTTTAGAAACCCATCCATGGCGCATCCCCCCCGCTAATCCCCTCCGTTTCGCCGTAACATCGTCAAGTGTTGTCACCATCCCCCAAACACATTCTGATCCAGAGTTTCCGGAAATGCGCCTATGCCAGGATGGCAACAGCAGCAGCCAGACCACCAAGCAGCAGGCCGCTCTGGATGAACAGGCCCTGGGCACCGGAGGTGGTGGCGGTGGAGGGCGAGCTGGTAGGCGCAACGACGACGGAGCTGGGCACGACGACGACGGTGGAAGCGGCGCCGGTGGTGGCCGTGGCGTGGTGGGAGGTGGTCTTGTTGTGGTACGAGGTGGGCCAGGCGACGGTGCTCGTGTTGCTGACGGGCCAGTGGGTGGAGCTGGAGGTGGTCGTGTTGTGGCGGTGGGCCGGGCAGTTGGTGACCGAGGGGTTGCAGCGGGTGATGGTGATGGTCTGGGTCCGGGAGATGGTGGAGGTGGTGGTGCCAGTGGCAGCGGTGGTGGCGGCGACGAGCGAGACCACGAAGGCCAGGACGGTCAGGTAGAAGGAGGCGAACATTTTGGCGGTAGTTGTTGTGAGAGGCGGGTGTTTGTGTTTATTTGGTCAATTGTGACAAGTTGAGATGTACGATTCTGAATTCTGGTCAGTCGCGACACTTCATTTTCAGGGCTGCCGTTGTTGTTTTGTTTTGTTTGGTAGGATGGCGACGCGACGAAACGAAACGAGAGAAAGGAAACCAAAATGGAAAGAAACGAAACAGAAACAAGCGGGCATGGCGACAACAAAATAGTCCAACGTCGTCTGTCTGCCAGACACGTCGTTTCATGAGCAGAGCATTTTGTTGACAGGGCGCTCTTCCTCATGAACAGACGACGCGTCTGGGGTTGGAATGCCATCGTTGGTAGTCGTGACGCCAGGGAGACCTCTTTAAGATGCTGGCGAGGGGGGACGGGAAAACAGTTTGGTAAATAGGCGTCGCGAGGGAGACGTATGACATGCGCCGTTCGTTTCTTGTCCCTTTTCTCATAATTGTTGTCTCTCTCTCGTTTGCTCCTTTCCTCGTCTTGTCTCCAAACACAGCGCAAGAACAACTCATTAAAAGCACTTACCTACTGAAGTCGTGACGTTGTGTTTGTGTATTTTCGAAATACGGCAGATGCACGAAGATACGGTTGTGAGAGAGATTGTCCGAAAGAGTGCTGTGGTTATCAAAAAGAGAGTGGTTGATTAAAAAATCAAAAAAGGAGTGGCAGTCGAAGAATCGAAAGAGACTTGACGAAAAGTGAAGGCAGCGACAGATGTCGAAGAAACGAATGTGATATCGGACAGTGATGGTGAAGAAGAAAGGAGAGAGAAGAAGAAGGGGAGAGAAGGAGAGGGAGACAAGAGTAAAAGGGGGCAGGGAGACGATTTTCTCCTTTTCTATATTGAGGAGCACCGATTTGGGCAGATTGGGGCAGATTAGGGGGGCAGAGGCCTGTTCTTTCCCCCCTGGAACGCAGATTATGAGAGGGAAGTAGGGGACGATTGTGGGACCGACGCGCCTGGGCCATGACATTGGCAAGAGCAGGGAAGACCATGACCTCAAAAGAGCATGGCACGGTCCAAGTTGAAAAAGGAAGTCACGCAAGGCCTGACTGGCATGACCAAACATCCCACGCTCTCATACCAGTCGTTTACACAGCATAGACCCGTGCCGGCAATATCCAAGATGCGTCTGCATTCTGCAGACGAGGAAGAGTGTACGGATTACGGACCTTATGCACAATGCAGGCAGGCTGCCATGAGGCAGAGGCATTAATTAATTCTCGCCGCGGTTTTCGCATGCCCCTTCTCTTTCTTTCTGCTGGAAGGTGGGACACGGGCGCAATGGACAGGAAAGAGCAAATGAGAAAGAGGAAACTGAAGAGAGTGCAGATTGAGAAGGAGCAAGGGTTGCGCAAGAGAACATGGATGGAAAGAGCGAGCGGAAAAGAGGGGGGGGGACATGGAAAGAGCCTTTCATCCCCTGTTGCGCAAGAAAAACGCCACTGCGGTGCCACGAAAGCAAAGGGCCTGGGGCCACCGCCTTGGGGTGAGAATGCAAACAAAAGACAAAAGATGACTTTTTCCTGGTGCTGACGGAGTGAGCCCGTCCAAATATGAGTAAGTCTTGAAGGCGCGCCACGAAAGTTCGCCGGCAGGAACCCGCCCAAGAGCCAGGGGTAGGCCAATCATATTACAGTGTTTGTTGATGGGTGTGCAAGGGTGTTGTGGCAATTCCAGGGGTATCCACCCTGTGAAGGACCCTCATTGGCTTAGTGATCCAGGGGTCCACTGTTCCTGCAGAAAAGGGAAAGACCGAGAGGCAGGGAAAGAGAGAGAAACATCCCGTCAAAAGGACAAAAGGAAGGGGGGGACTGGCACGCTTGGAATCGTGTGCCAAGAAAAACAGGTTCGATAGGTCGATCATTGGCCACAGTCCAGGTCCTGGAGGCTGGAGGGCCTGGGCCAGCAGGGGACGGGGGTATGCGATCGTGACGATGCTGGCCGTTTCACTGCGTTGCAGCCGTTTGCTGGTGAGGCGAGGTGGTAGCAATGGATATTAGAGGGGGCTGCGGTAGGTGTTTGGCGGTTGGTTGTTTGGTTCTTCGGTTGTTTGCATTTGTTTGCATTTGTTTGGGTTCGTCTCTTTTTGCATTGCCGTGTTCTCTCGACTCTTGAGCATTGGCTGTCTCGTCGCCCTTGGTAGTCTCCCTCCCTGAACAAGGAACGCATCAAACAGGCACAATCGTCACGATCGTCAACAGTGGAATTTCGATAGTCTACGACGGTACAACCTAAGAATACTTTCTTATCATCGATTTTTTTTTTTTTTTGTACCCAGTCCGTCGCAATCTCCGTCGTCTGGTCTTGTCCCTTAATCATTTCGTCTGGTCTATTGTTCTTGGTTGTTTTAGCACCCGTCGACTGGTTTGTGGTCTCCTCTTAGGCCCAAGATAGTCAGGCACAAGTCAAGTAAAGGGCCACGTCAGGCGGCCCCAGTGCGCCCTCCAATAAATGAAGAAGACGTATACGCTGTTAAATGGTGGGGAAGCTAGTGTGAGCGGGAGAAAGTGAAAAAGTCAGCAAACGGTCACTTGGCCGGCCCAGTTGCAAAACGTTTTCAAGTAGAGTACTTGGGCTGTCTCTAAAATTGTTTGAGAAAGGATGTATTACCGTGCCCCCAAGTATCTTCAAGCTCGGCAGGCCCACTTGGCCACCTTCATCTCGGTCGGTGGTATGGACTCTTGGTCCCCACCGTTGGCCCACTGGCACCCACTGGTGTGTCTTCGTACGGGTGCTGCGCGGCCATGGATTCTGTCCCTGCTGGGCCAGGGTACGAAGGAAAAGGAAAAGAATTGACGGTGTTTGGCGTGAGGTTGCGTTAGCTCTTCGTCTGCCGGTGCGCCAAGAGATCCAAAGAAGAAGGGATTGAGGAAAAGAAAGGTAAGATATTAGAATACTATGTACAGCAAAAATCAACACCTCGGCAGGGCGTTGAATCAGGATCATCCAGATCGTCACGATCGTCCGTCCCAAGGGACTATTGCCACAGTATGGAGTACAAAAGCAAGGGGAGACTGGCAGGACTAGGTTCCGAGCGGCATGCAGGGACAGAACGGCATTGGCAATGGTGGCTCTCAACCACGAAACAAAACGACGGAACGCTGCAGAGAAGCTGAGGCGTGGCGCTCATGTCGTGTCCCTATCGTGTTCTCGTCGTGTTGGACAAACGATTTGGAATATGGCAGCCGGCATCAGAGCGCAAAAAGGACCAACGGCGCGTACTCACCCTGAAAAGTGTCGGAGGAATATACGGATTGAAAGGCCGTGGGCGTTGAAAACTCTGATTCCTTGTTTCTTCTTTATTCGTCGGGTATTTTTAGTTTAATGGACTTTTGTCTCTGTCTTGCCTGGCTTGTCACGATCGCATCTGCCACACGTGAAAACACCAACCGCAGCGAAAAGGCCCGTAAATGCCAAGGCTTCTAGCCAAGACATTCAACGAACTGATAATTGACTGACCGGGAACTCCAACAGTCCAACCCTCAAACATTGACTCAATTCCATGCCAAAAAAACAAAAAGAAAGAAAGAAAGAAACGAAACGAAAAGCAGAGACTTTCGCCAGACATGTTGGTGCATTACATGTGGTACAATTATGCCTTCCTCAGCTGAAATCCTCCATCGCGGGTGAAACGCCCGCGGAAAAGAAAGGCTGTCCTTTTCCACTTCCTACCTTAAATCTCCCATTCTGTCGTACGGAGCAGTACTGTCTTTTCTTTTTCTATTATTCGTCGATATTGCTTGCTGGGTCAAGTCGCGCCGTAGTACGGCGTTGACCAGGGAGCGTTTCGTGGTTAAACCGGGGTCCAAATATGTGCTAATGTTTGATGTTTGAAGTCGGTGCCGCTTTTTTGTTTCTTCTTCTTTTCTTCTCCCGGAGATTGAAGGACAATAGCGCAACGAAAACGGCGTTGCACAACCGTCACGGCACCACTATGTTTTTGTGAGACGGAAATGACGAGAACAACCTTGTCGTTGGAGGCACAAACTCGGGGGACTGCATCAGAAATCAAAGGCACAAGTACGACAGCATGTGCCCCTGGATATTACAAGCCCCAGCATTTTCTTTTCCTGTTATTTCGTATTCTGCACTTCCCATTTGGTGCCATCGCTCCCCTGCCTCCTGTAGACCCGCTTGGGATGCACGGCCTTCCGACCAGCCACCAGGACCGCCTGCATTGCATCGTCCGGTGTTTTGATTCTCAGCTCTGGCTTGTTGTCTGTAAAGGAAAAAATATCGCAAACAAGTACCGCACAACGCCCATCCACGCCTTACCTCACCACCGCCCGCCTGTGCAGTTTTCATTGCATAGGATGCATGTCGTCGCGCCGTCGCGGAGACCACGTGCCGAAGAACGCCTGGTCACCAAAGTAGAGGCTCGCCTGCTTGAGTCCACGAAACCGGTCCAGCGCGCTTGCGGCGTGCGGTGATGGCTGCTAGCAAGTGCATGCGGTCCCAGCTCGAGGACCCAGCGCGGTCGGGCTGAGTTGCGACTCCGCTTGGCACAACACCGCCATGCTCAGAGCGACGATGCATCGAATCGCGCCGTGTTCTTGGTCAAACTGACCCTCGAGGTAAGTCGTACAACGCCGTCTCCATCGTCAACGCATCGGCCTTGGCTGTGTCCATGTCCGCAATGTCCTGCCACACTGCCCTGTGGACCGACAGGGTCGTCGGCTCGACGTGAATCCTGTCCATATGGTGCAGTTGATATTCATGTCTTTGGGGAGATTCGAGGCGCGACTGTAAACTATAGTTGTCCTCTGGGTCTGAGATTCCCGGCCGAAAGTGTACTTGTGGCCAAATGCCTCCACGGCAAGGCCCAGTGCAGCGCCATCGAGGAAGAGTCGAGCATGCGAGGTGACCATGGCTGCGATGACGCCCAGATTGTTGACAACTTGCAAAGTCTCCTCGTCGAGGGACGTGATATTGCCATCCTGCAACAAGTTCTCATCCTCAAGGCACAACGCACAACGCACAACGCACAAGGCACCTTGGTTCAATGTCCACTTGTGAAGTCGCTGTATCTGTTATCGACACGGAAGCCGTATTTTGTCGGCACCGAGGACGACTCAGCGTCTCTGTGAACGCTGTATCAAGAATATAATTGTTGGCTTGCTAGTTCGGCTTGTGCTCTCATTTTTGTCTTGCAGCCCAAATCGCTAGTATAACCTGAGAGACGGTCACCGGCCCCACCGTCAGGAGTGCGAGCGAGTTCTTGTCGTCATTGTCCAGCCGGGAGTGTGCCTGTTGTTGATGGTACAAAAACTTGCGTTTTGTAGAAAGGAGAAGCTTTTCCTGTATCGTGCAAAGTACGGAATTCGGAATCCCGATTGGTCTACAAAACGCTGATTTGGGGAGCATTGGTGATTGGGGAAGGAGCACCAGTGGCACTTGCTGTCCATGCGACGCTCTTTATATATGTGGAAGGAGGCACAGAGACATGGCTTGGGAAAATTCTTGGCATGATCTTCTTAGTGGGCAGGAAGGTGCGATGTGCGATTAGTTAGCTGTTTCCGTGGAAGGTACGAAATACGGCGCTGGACCAGATGGACATTTTGCCTCCCATCTTATCCGAGAGGAAGAATGAGGGGCAGTTGAGGCATGATTGTCAACGGATCGCTCTTTCCTTCTTTCTCGCCCCCTTTTGTTTTGGAGCGGTACAATATTTCGAATATGCATTTATCCCGTCACGTCTTGTCGTCTTCGCGCAATTGCCCTCTTTTCTGCCCTCGTTTTGGAATCCGCTTTGCCCAGCGTTCTGCACCTTTCATTTGCGCACATCACCGCGCACAGCGACGCACAATGGGCTCTACCTCAGACACCAGCGCGGCCACTGCTGCTCTGGCGGAACGCACGGCGAATGAGGCCGCAATCAAGCGCAACCCGCACCCTGACTTCAAGGCTGTCGAAGCCTCTCGCCCGGCATGGAACAGGTCAGAGGAGTGGCACTACACGCAGGCGCCGGCGCCCGGCTGGCAATGGGGCGAGGGCGGCAACGACGGCGGCGCGTCGCTCGCAAAGACGCACGTTGAAATTGACCCGCACGAGCCCGGCCGCCCGGCCGCGTTCAACTACAAGCTGCTGATCTCGGCCATCATCCCCCGGCCCATTGGCTTCCTCAGCACACTGGCCGCCGACGGGACCTCCTCCAATCTTGCACCATTTTCGTACACCAACATGGTCAACCACGACCCGCCTATCTTTACCATCGGCATGGTTGGCGGCATTGCCAAGGCCAAAGACTCTCTGGCCAACATTGTGAGCAGCAAGGAGTGCGTCCTCAACATCATCTCGGAGCATTTCGTCGAGGCGGCCAACTCCACATCCGTCAACGCCCCTTACGGCACGTCGGAGTGGGGTCTCAGTGGCCTGTATCAGGCACCGTCCACGATGGTCAAGGCGCCGCGCGTCAAGGAGGCCATTTTCTCGGCCGAGTGCAAGCTCGTGGACCTCAGGGAGTTTGAAAGCAAGGCCAAGCCCGGCAACATTGCGGGTACGCTTGTCATCCTCGAGGGTGTCAACTTCTGGGTGCGCGAGGATGCCATCAACGAGGAGAGAAACATCATTGATCCCAAGGTATGTTTCCTCTGCCATGCCCTTCTTCCTCTCTTCTCTGCTGTTTCCCTCTGTCTGATGGCCCTTCTCTACTAACAATAATAGGTCCTGAAACCAGTCAGCCGTCTCGGTGGCATCACGTACGCCCGCACGACCGAGGGCTTCGAAATCCCACGCCCTGACTTCTCCGCTGTCACTGAGGCCAAAAACGGCAAAGAGCTGCTCGAAAAGGCGTCGAAACCGTAATGCCGTATAGACGAGTCGATTCGAATCGAAACCAGGTATCACGTTGACTTTGTTCGTAGAGTTTCGGAATACACAATAAACGATATAGATTTGGCCCGTTTGCTTTGAAATTGTTTTCATTATTTATTTTCATTTTTTATTTCATTCTTATTTCATTCTTATTTTTGGTAATAGGACTTGAGTACGACATTATTGTCGATGTCATCATCGTTGTCAGCCGCCTGGCTTGGCGAGGCTGAAGATCGGCATGCTCCATTGTTGCCCGCGCTGACATACAAAATAGTGTATCTTCTCACACCGCCCGCCACAATCGCACTGGAAAGTAAGCCAGCCTTGCATGCCGTACCGCAGATACTGTCTTCAAGATGTGCCCGCTTCGAGACACTTCCAGCTTCGTCACCGTTCGCCTCACCCTTGCTAGCGAAAGAGAAACGATTTGTGAGAATTTTGTCTTGATGTTTTTACTCTTATGGACATATCAGTGAACGGATCAGAGCCCGCTAATGCCATCCGAACATGCCGAATGCCCGGGCGAGTTGTGGTGGCAAGTTAGGGAATGGCGGAAACGGACTTGATGTCCGCTCCAACATCTATCCGCGCCTGTTGTGTAAGTGTCCACCCCTGCCCCAACTCTGCCCCAACTTGAACGGCATGGAGTCCGTTCCGCACAAAGCAATGCTCATGCCCAACGGACGCAAAGGAACAGCATTTAAGATGTCTACTCATCGGCCGTTGTTCTCTCAACATCTATTTAAATCATGTTTTTCGTGCTTTTTGGGTTTCTTTGTTTTCTTATTCTCCATTCCATCTCTCGATAACATCAGAACTCGCCGCTGCAACCCACCGAAATGGTCTCCGTCGCTGACGTCAAGGCGTCCAACGCCCGCATCACGGTTGACTCCGTGCCTCGTGTGTCGGTCTTGTGCGGTGCCACTGATGGCATCGGCAAGGCGTTTCTCACACGTCTCGTCGCAACTAAGCTCAAAATTCGCGTCTACGTCCTCGGCCGTAATGGCGACAAGCACAAGGCCTTTCTCGACGAACTGCGTCGCGGCAATGCCAAAGCCGACCTGATCTGGATCGAGTGCCAACTCTCGCAGGGCTCAGACATTCGCAGGGCCTGTGACGAAATCCAGCGGCAAGAGACGAGCATAGACCTATTGTACATGAGTGCCGGCTTCATCAATGCGGGTAGTGCCAAGTCAAGTGAGTGGTCTCGAGACTCTATTCCACATGATTGTGGCTCTTGTGCGTTGTACTAATATTCATGCCCAACTGCAGAAACGGACGAACAGCAGAAACTGTCCATCATGCTGTCCTACTACGGCCGTTTGCTGTTTGCCATCCTGCTGCAGCCGCTGCTTAAAGCGTCCACCAACAGCCCCCGCGTCATCTCCGTGCTGGCTTGCGGCAACGAAACGGCGGACATCTTCCTCGACGACCTCGACATGCTCAAGCCCGAGCACGCCAGCTTGACTCAGCGGTCCCGCTCGCTGTCCACGTACACGACCATTTCTTTTGGCCGCCTCGCCCGTGAAAACCCGCGCGTCCTCTACTTCCATCACTACCCAGGCGGCGTCAACACCGGTGTGTTCAAGAAGTCGTTTGGCATGGCGTGGTACTGGCCGCTGCTGTCGCTCGCCCTCTGCATGGGGGCAACGTCGCCTGCAGACGCCGGCGAGAAGGTCCTGTACATGGGCAGCAGCGCCAAGTACAGCGGGGCAAGCAGCAAAGAAGGAACCAAGGGCGGCGTTCCGTTGGCGTCTGGCCAGAGTGCAGGGTTGAACATGGACAAGACTACGGGCGGCGGTGCGCTGTTCTTGGTTAACGACAAGATGAAGGAGCTCTACCAGGAGAAGGTCATGGCGGACCTGGAGAAGCGCAATGCGCCGGCTATTGTCTGGGAGAAGGCCATGGATACTCTCAAGCCGTACTTGTGAGGAGAAAGGGTGTCCAACGGCCAATATTTGTTCTATTCATTCTGCAACTGTATTTCATTTCTGTTTTTATATGTCTATTATATTTAGAAGTTTGCCATTGTACCTAGACGGTAATATTCCCATTAATTATAAGCTTTCCACTTTTTATTCGAGAGTATACAAAGGGCTGTTTCTTAAGCAGGTTTGCGGTTCTTACAGAGCCTCACTTACACGAAGTGCCTCATTGCCGAATCCCACTTATATTGAGAACGATGACCCATTTATTTCTATATTTGGCTAGCCCCACGCAATCCCTAGAACAGGACTCGGACTCCAAGTCCGTTCGTCTTCAGGATTTAACGTTCCGTTTCACCCGTCGGACATGGATCGCCGTTGTAGTCGACTGCCAGCCGGCATATGTTCTTTTCCTATTCACGAGGTCACTTGATCCCGTAAACATCGGCGGACATGGAAAAGCGAGGCCCGACGGCGGGGGCCGGTAACTATGGCCAGGCCTGCATGCAATGCTTCAAGGCCAAGTGCCGTTGCATTGCGCGACCCGATGGCGGCGCTTGTGAGAGGTGAGCTCCGTCGTGCTTTCCTTACTATTGTGGTTTCCGTCTAATGAGACTAACGCCATCGCTCCTGCCTCAAGATGTCTTCGGCTCAAGAAGCCGTGCCAGCCGTCCAACTCGGCGCGCCGGCGCACGGCACAGAACGGCCAGGCCGGCGCTGGGGCGGCGGAGATTGCCAAGCTGGAGGGCCGTATCAACACGTTGACGACGATGCTGCAGTCGGTGATGGAGAAGGCAGGGCTGGCAGGGGATACATCGACACCTGCGGACCCAAAGTGTAGCGTAATGCCTGTCCGGTCCGAAACGGCAGGCACTACCGAATTTGCAGGACAGGGTGCAGGAGGAAGTAGCGATACAGCAAGCATGACGAGCATGTCATTTTATGAGGACGGGCTCGGGCCGGGCCCCCTTCCTACTCCGTTTCATACGCCCCTGCCAGCTCGACCACCACAAGAACAACAACAACAGCAAATACCACCGCCACAGCCTCCCCCACCACGACCTCCGTCAACTCAGCCACAAACAGAAGTGCACTCCCATCTACCGCTGTCGCCGACACCTGAGCCGCCATTGTACGAGCTTTCGCTCAACGAGGCTGCATGGTATCTGGACCGATTTAGCACACACCTGCTGCCGCACTTCCCATTCATCGTCCTGCCTCCTGATACGACCGTTGACCAGCTATGCCGCGACCGCCCACTGCTCATGCAGGCCATTGTCGCCGTCGCCACGCCGTCGACGAAGCTCAAGGCAGAGCGCGCCGAGCGGCTCAAGCAGACCCTGACTCGGTGTGCCTTGCATGAAAACCAGTCAGGCATCGATGTTTTGTTGAGTCTCCTCACCTACGTCACCTGGAGCACTGATCCCTTCAAGCAGCCGGCCAACAATCTGTCGCGCATGACCATGCTGGCCATCTCACTCGTTTACGACCTGCAACATGCGAGCCGCCATCCGCCTGCGCCCGACGCACAGTTTATTGCCATCATGACGCCCGGATTTGAGCGTCCCGGAGACGGCAATTCTGGATCGGGCGACACCGGCCGGCCGATGCTGCTGCCCAGCATCCTGGAGCACCAGCGCGCGTTTCTGGCCTGCTTCGTGCTGAGTTCCATTGTGTCGGCGTCGTTTGGGCGCATGGTGGCGCTGCGCTGGACGACCCAAATGGAAGAGGGTCTACAGCTGATTGAGGCGGCGGCGAGCAAGGGAGACAGCCCGTCGGACGCAAATTTCGCCGTGCAGGTGCGCCTGCAGGTCATCATTCAACGCGCCGCGCTCGTCCGCGAGCAGCTCGAGACCGACCGTTTCATGGCCCCCTCGCCCACAACGGCGGTGCCCGTGTCCACCAACCTGTTCATCAAGGTACTGCAAGGCCAGCTCAACGAGCTGCGCAGCTCCTTGTCTCCCAGTCTGCCACGACGGGACATGCTGCTTATCTATTCGCACTACGCGGATCTTTTCCTCAACGAAGTGACACGCCTCGCCAGCTCCGAGGCTCCACTGGCCCCGACGCCCGCACCGTCGGGACACACCGTCGGCGGGGCCATGGGAAGCAGCCAGTCGCTGCCTGCTCTGGAGCACATTGAGTGCCTGTGGCGGTCCGTGTACGCCATCAAGGCCTTTCTCGATGCCTACCAGGCGATCCCACCGCTGACCTACGTCGGCGTCCCCTTCTTCTTTTGGTTCCAGCTCGTGCGCTGCATCGTCCTGCTCAAGCACCTGGCCACCTTTAACGACCCCGCATGGGACGGCCAGGCCGTGCGAGATGCTGTCGACATGTCGACCATGCTCGAGTGGATGGCCGTCAAGGCCGAGCAGGCGAGCAAAGAAGCTGGCGAACAGTCCGACGACGACATGTTCCGACGAGTCGGCAGCATGATGCGAAATTCGCTGGCGTGGGTGGTTGCGAAGCAGCGCGCCGTCGGCGCTGCAGAACTTGGTGATATGCCACAAAAACACGCAGACGCTGCCTCTCACTGTCAGCAGGACGCGAGTGACCTGGGCGGCAACAACGCCGTTCTTATCACGGATGCGCCGGTAGAGGAAATGATGGTTCCTGTCGACCCCCCGTTGACGGGACCTTTTGACATGACGGAAGAAAACTGGGTCGAAGAAATGTTTGGCTGGCCCATGGCGAGTATTTGACTGAAGCAACCTCGCTGCGAGTCTGATCACAACGAGCCCGATTTGCATTGGGCAAACCGCAAGGACAGCCCAGCACCACGACATCATTATGTATATTAAACAAGAGGCCGGAAATGCCACTCATGCCGCCGAAAATTCGAAACCAGCGAGACCTGATTTTATTTAATGACGACGAGCAGATAATCAAAGCTGTGACGTTTTGGTGAAACGACGGCTGGTTCATTGCATCCTAGAACAATGCGCAAGTAGGCAGCCCATTACTGGATAAGAGCTGCCAGAATTCTCAGCAGAAAACGAACAATATTAATCGCATAAAACTAGTAAATAAAGAAGTGGTTATATTGCAGAGCGCGCGACCCCAGGATATTTGCCTATGACAGATCGAACAACCCTGAGATTGACGCTTTTGTTAGTGGAGGAGCTCCCGCTGTGCCTGGCGCTAAAACGCCCGACGACGTCAGACAGATTTTCAGGGGTTTCAGCACCGGGAGGTGGTAGCCCACGTGACGGTATTATAGCGGTGGGGAGGGAAGGGGCTGGCCCTATTCCGGACTGTTCCAGCACCCACCTGGAACACGCACCTGCCCTCCTTACCCCGCGGCCCATCGCCCGACGTTGTCCAACATTGCACAGGCAAGAACGGACAGGCAGCTGAACTTCCCTCCTGCGCTCCTTCTCTTTTACGGTACGAAGCAGTCGTTGTGATAGACGGCAACTTTGGTAGAAACAAAACAAAAAGCACAAAAATACAGGAAACAGCAAACAATCCACACTGCGCCCCGGTCCACGCTCCACGCAGGACCACGCCGCCGCCACCATGACGACCTTCTCGACCGACCCCGCCCTCTACATCTTCACGTCCCTGACGGCCGGGTCGATGCAAATCGTCACGGGCACATCGCGCATGGAGACCATCCTGCGCGCCAACAAGATCCCCTTCAAGGCCGTCGACCTCGCCACCGACCAAAAGGCGCGCATGCTCTGGGGCCGCCGCGCCGGCAAGGATGCCAGCGGGCGCGCCCGCAAGCTGCCGGCGCTCGTGCAAGAGGGCATTGTGCTGGGCGACATTGTCGAGGTGGAGGAGTGGAACGAGTACCGCGAGCTCCTGATGAACGTCAAGATCTACTGGGACGAGTTTACGCAGCCGCCCATCAGCGAGAAGCCGGCGGACCCGCCACCGAAGAAGAAGCGCGTGGCCACGCGGCCGCCTGCGGCCAAGGCTGTGGCAGAGGCGGCGGCAGCAGCAGCTGTTGCCAACAAGGCGGCGAGCGCAGCGTCAACGCCGGCGTCGACGGCCGCGGCCCCGCCGCCACCGCCCGGCCCTGCACCCCCGCCGTCCACCACCGTGAGCGGTTCCTCCGCTTCCTCGACGACAGCCAAGACGACGACAAAGGCCGGGGAGTCGACGGCCATTCCCATCCGGAGCATTGCCGACGAGGCAGCAGCCAAGGCGAAGCAGGTGCGCTCCCAGAGCTTGCGCGACAAGGTCTACGGGAAGGGCGGCAAGCCCGAAGACAAGAAGGAGGCCATCAACGATACCAAGACGGAAGACGGGGGAAAGGAAGACGAAAAGAAGGACAAGAAGAAGGCGGCTGAGGAAGACGACGACGACGAGGAAGAAGAATCGGATGAGGAGGACAGCGACGACGACGATGACGATGAGGAGGAGGAAGAAAAGAAGGAAGCGAAGGACGCAACACCGGCCACGGCAGCTGCAGCAAAGCCGGCAACGCCAAAGAATTCGGACAAGAAGGCCAAGGATGACGAGGAAGAATCGTCAGACGAAGAGGATGACGAGGATGAAGACGATGACGAGGAAGAGTCCTCTGAAGAGGACGATGAGGATGAGGAGGAGACAAAGGCTCCGGCAAAAAAGCCCACAGCAGCATCTACAGCAAAAGCAGCAGCAGCAGCAGGCAAGACGGCCAAGACCGACGCAAAAGACGAGAAGAGCAAGGATTGGAAACCAACCGATGTCGATGCGCCAGTTACCAGCTTGCACGGCTCTCGTGTCGACAGCAACCTGTCCGCCAAGGAGATTTCCGCCATCGAAAAGGAGCAGGCGATTGCTGAAGAAGACGAGTCTGACGAGGATGACGAGGATGACGAAGATGAGGACGATGACGAAGAAGAATCTGAAGAAGAAGAAGGCGACGACGACGACGACGATGATGACAGTGACTCAGAAGAGGAGGAGGAGGAAAAACCAAAACCAAAAGAGAAGCCAAAGGCCGAGGAGGAGAAACCCAAACCCAAGGAAGCAAAGGCCAAGGCGAAGGAAGACAAGCCCAAGGCCAAGGAGACGAAGCCAAAGGCAAAGGACGACAAGCACAAGGCAAAGAAGGACAAGGCAAGGTCTAAGAAGTAGACGTGGAAAAGGAGAGCACATTTTATCGTAACAACGTTGGCCATCTTTCACGGTGAATCTTTGCAGCCTGCATTTTGTTCTTATTTTGATTCGCATTTTCATAATCAGCCCAAGTCTCACTCGCTTTATTTTACTTTTCCCCCCCCCCGTTTGCTAGATTTTAAAGCTTCAATTTACCAAACATCGAATCAAACCATCGCCATTCAAGCATAATCAGATCAGCGACGAGAAATGTGGCGCGAGATCTAGTATATTGCTGATGTCGCAGACGGAGAACGCACGCATGTCTTGAGCGAAAATGGCATCGAAACATCAAAGACTGGGGAGAGACCATTGGAGGCGGCTGGGAATTGAAAAAAAAAAACAATTTTTGACAAAATGGGTAATCTGACAAATGCCTCCACAAACCGCCATGTGTTATCCCTGCTTTATGTCGTACTTTCAGAAAGCATCGCCGCCGGGGAATACAAGGAAAATTAATCAAAAGAAATGGGTAAACATATAGTAGACACAGGATCACAGACATAGGAAGGGGAAGCGGGAGTAACACAACGATGAAATATAGTACATTGGCAAACCGGGATATCAGCACTGTGCAATGGGCACCTGCATACCAGCGATTTATATTAGTCGAAGCTGGCCGGCCCTTGGGCTAATGGGTCCAGGCTCGGGTACACTTCATAGAAGCTCTGGTACCGGGCCTCGGCCCTCTGGAGTGTCGCCTCGTCTAAGCTGGCCGGAGCGTCACCCGTCTCTTTGCTCTTTGTCGCGGTAGATTGAACAGATGCCGGCCTTTTGTATGTTAGCAGTCGGCACGTTCAAAGACATGCATCGACACATACCGAGGCAAGTCAGAGAAGAAACGGAAGGAACTCACCCAAAGATCTCGCAATCCATCTCGATAAATTGCTTCATCGAGTCCTTGCCACCTCTTTGCTGGAGGAACGTCAAATACGCCGCGTAGAACTCCCTCTTGGTCGACTGCGAAAGACGGCTCCGTGTCCGCATCTCCTTGATGACGTTGTCGACACGCTCGGCAGCCTGCGCCGCCGTGTCTGCCGTCGTCGGCTGCACCAGCTCAAAGTCGAACCACTTCCACCAGAACTGCCGGCTGTCGGCGTAGTACTCGACATTCTTGACAAACACGGTCCGTGCGTCGTCGACGGATCCCTTGATCTTCCAGAGCAAAAAGGCCCATTCCGCGACGATCACCGCCTTGATAAACAGGTCAATGTCGGGCTCGCTGAGCGTCTTCTTGAACACATCGATTGCCGCCTCGAGGCCCACCTGCCGACGCTCTAGGTTGGCGAGCGACACAATGGTCTCGACGCTGCTCGGAAGCACCTCGAGCACCGCTTCGTGGACGGCACGGGCGATGTCGACGCGCCCACGGCTCTCCTCAAAGTAGGCAAACTGCAGCCGGATGGCCGGCCGGCTGATGGGCACAAACAAGGTCGCGGCGCGAAGGTACACAATGCGAACGTCCTCCTCTTTGCCCGGCTGTGCCGACATCCACCGCGCGTAGCGGAACCAGAATTCGTCGTAGTATGCGCATGTCACTAGACAACGCTCGTACAAGAAGACGATGCGCGCGTAGTCGCCGCTGGCCTCCTCAAAGTCCAGGTACTTGCGCCAGTTGGCCAGCTGGGCGTGGTCGAGCATCGTCACATGGAAGTACGGCCGCTTGATCTCCGACTCAAACGCCCACCGCTTGGTCGTCTCTTCCTGTGTCTTTGTAAACGTCTCGTAGGAGAGGGCGTCTGCCTTGGCACGCAGAACGGCCTCGATTTCAGGCTCGGTCTTGCTGCTGTAATGGGGATCCTCGGCCTCGAGATCCTTCCGCAGGCGCGCGAGGACCTCTTCCGACGCAAGCTCAGCAATGGGCCGCGTCTGCGCCAGCTGGCGAAAGCGCTCATAGTACCGTGCATACTGGTGCATAGGGATCTTGATGAGGCGCTTCAGGATGGCGAAGATGTTCTCAGTTGCCTCCAGCCGTTCCTCGTACTCGAGGTATTTGTCCCAGAAAGGGTGCGCCAGGAAGTCAAGACCAACTTGATCGGCAGCGCGATTAAAAAGCCTAGACAATAGGTAGAGCGTCAGTCCATGTTCATACTCACACACATCTGCTCACGCGCCACATGGGGGCGCCAAGACGCAGAGAAGCCAAAAGGGGCTTTTGCACAAAGGGACGACAGGAGAAGCGAAGAAAAGAACAGGGGAGAGGAGGAGGAGTAGGGAAGGGAGCAAAAATACAAAAATATTGTTTTTGATCCGAAACAGGTTGGAGGTTGTAAATGATTGAACGAAGAGCATGGTGGGTGCCGAAAGTTGCAGGGCATATATCGATCAGAGCAAAAAAGGTAAAGTCAAGCAGGGCTGCGAGCGGTCTGCATCGGGAGAGCAGAGGCGGCAGCGGCTGTGCACACGAGCTGCAAAAGCCGTTGCCGCCCTTCTAGAACGGTATAAATGCTTGTGTGGTTTGTGAGAGAGAGCACATCCACCAGGACGTTTTGGTTTCAGAGTTTTTCAGAATGGCCATGACTGGATATTCTCACCGTGAAGGGTTGATACGATGCGGTACGCTGACACGACGCACGAAGACACGGGGCCTGTCTCTCGGGCTGCGCATTGCGCATGTCGCCGGGCACTCCTCCATCCTCTCTCTTCACACGCGTTCGCCCACACGTCTCTTTCTCCCCGTCCTCCTCAGTCTCCCTCGTGGCTGTCTCCGCGTGATTCTCGACTCTCGTTCTTTCCCGTAATCGGGCTAGAAAACTACTGGTTATGGGTAGATAACAAAGGATATGGGGAGAAATACCACAATTGGGGCGCAATGGGGGCGGCGGAGGGAGGGGGGACACGGGGGGAGATGACAACTCTGTCGGGACTTACTCTCGCACGGGCTGGGGCTCATGGGTCGTCTCAAGCTTGAACGTGCAGTACTGCGTCCACAGATCGACCGAGTTGGTGATGCTGGCACAGCCGCGCTCGTAAATCATCTCGGCCGCCTCGGGGCCCGAGATGTTGAACTCAAAGTCGGCATACTTTTTCCAGTAGCCAAACAGCAGCGGGAACTTGCGCAGCATGCGGTCGTAGGTGCTGCGCATCGTCTCGATAGCCAGCGGGGTCGAGTTGCGGTTGAGCCCGCCGTCAAGGGCCTCGCACGCGTACAGCAGCTTCTCCCAGAGCTCGAAGTTGTCCGAGTCGTCATCCTGCAGCAACGAACAAAGGTCAGTCGACGCTCAATACAAGGGGCATCATTCAAAAGCGCGAGAAACAGGCGCGGCGCGTACCAGCTGCAGGCTCAACGTCCGGATCTCGGCGTTCTCCTCGTCGGTTCCGCCATAGTTGTAGTCAGCCAGCGTAGCGTCAGACATGATGGCGATGGCCGGTTCTCAGACGGCGGAGACTGCGACGGCGTGAAGGGGGAGACAGATCTGTTTGCGACGCTTTTGCTTCCGGCAGAAAGCAGCAACAGCGATGGCAGGAGGCGAGAGAATACAATGTCGTGTATTCGAGGCAAAGGGACGTATAATTGTAAGCCGATACGTTCGGGCGCGTCTGCACGTTTCGTCGTCGTTGGCTATGCGTGGTGCGCGTTCGCGATAGCAGAGACAATATGGTGGTGCAGGAAGCAGAGAAAGCAGAGAAGGCAGAGAAGGCAGAGAAGGCTGGAACGAGCAAGATTTGGCGCTGACGATTGGATTTGTTGTTCTTGCTGTCTTTGGCTTTTCTTAGCGCATGTGCATTCGTACAATGCTGAACGCACGGGCCAACCAGGCTGGGTCGTGCCTTCCGGCTTGCTGAACTGCCCAGAACGGCTAGTACGATGACTTCGTGTTTAGTCTCGTCACGTGCAGCTCCATTGCACCTTCCGCTCGCCACGTTGGTCGCTGCGTCATGGTATCCACCCGGAACAGGCGGTGTTATGCAGTGCTCTTGTGGACGGCAGGTGCCCCTCAGCGTCTCAGCTCAGCGTTGCGGCAACAGCGATGTCTTTTTTGGGCATCGAATCTGACGACATTTTTTTCCTGTGCGATATACACACGGACACAGCACAAGCATGCACACGCCCAGCTAGAACGCCAGTAGCAATTCGTACGGCCTCGGCCTGGCACGCTTGCGGCAGAACTCTCCATCGACGGCAAACTCTCCATCCGAAAGCGCGCGGGGCTCCAAGCTCGAGAGCTGCAATCATACCGAAATCGGTACTTTAGAAGCACGAGACCTATCTAATACCCGATCGACCCGCCTATACGGATAGCCTTCTCTTGATAAAGAGCTCTCTGTGCGAAAAGCGATGCCCGGACGTGTCCTGCAACTGTTGTCTGCCTCTCCAGCGCTTCTCGCACGCGTGAGCGTCCTGGTTGTTCCCTTTGGATCAATTAATTGATTTTGCAACTTTTTGCAATTTGTTGTCTTCTCCACCTCTCCCTCGACAAACGGACGCCTCCTTCTCCTCCCCGTACTCCTCGTGCAGAAGATCAATGGACTACGTCGGCAGCACGGTGTCGTGGAACGGCCACGTACCGGATCCCGACACCTCGAACCAGCTGCTGATCCGCGACTTTCCACACCGCGCCATCGCCATTGTCTCGCAGACACACGCCCTCATCTTCCGCCACAGCGGCGCTGGAAGCGAATCACAAAATGGCAGCAGCAGCAACGTCAACAGCGGGAGCGGAAATGGAAATGGAAGCGGAAACGGCGGCGGCAGCGCCAAGTGCATGGTCGAGTTCTCTGCCATCTCCAAGGGCTTGCTGAGCGACTATCGGCCGCTGACACCGAGGCCCGTCTACGGCACGTTGGGGCTGATTGCTGTCAACCAGGACGTTTTTCTGAGCGTCATCACACAGGCACTGCGTGTGGCCACGCTGCGGCCGGGCGAGACCGTCGAGATGATCCAGCAGGTGCAGTTCTTCTGCCTCAACACCAACGAGTACGACGACGTTCTCTCGGCCGCCATCGACCCGTGGGATCCGGATGGCGACGCGGCGTCCGTCTACTCGCAAGGGCTCAGCCGCCGCGACGTGCCTGTCGAGCACCCGTGCCAAGAGCTCATGAAGCTGCTGGGCAACCGCAGCTTTTACTACAGCACCGACTTTGACATGACCAACCGGCTCCAGGACCGGTCCGCCGACGCCTCGTCGTTTGACATTGACAACTTTGACGAGTCGTTTCTGTGGAACTCGTTTATGATCCAGCCACTCGTCCAGTTCCGCGCGCGGCTGCAGCCGCACGAGCGCAGGATGCTCGACGCATCGCGCATTCTCACATCGGCCGTGCGCGGCTTCTGCTTGACCGTCACCATCCCGCAGTCTGTGGCGCCGCTGCGCAACACCCAGTCCGGCATGCCGTCGTACCTCACCGTCATCTCGCGGCTGTCGTGCCGACGTGCCGGCACGCGCTTCAACTCGCGCGGCATCGACGACGACGGCAACGTGGCCAACTTTGTCGAGACTGAAACCATCTACTGGAGCCCCAGTGGCGTCGTCTTCTCGTACGTGCAGGTGCGCGGCTCGGTGCCCGTGTTCTGGGAGCAGTCGCCTGGCCTCATCCCCGGCAACCAGAAGATCATCGTGACGCGGTCACCCGACGGTGCGCAGCCGGCCTTTGACAAGCACTTTGACGACCTGGAGACGTCGTACGGCGCCGTGCACGTCATCAACCTCCTGAGCGAGGCCAAGCCTGGCGAGGCCGAGCTGAGCCAGTGCTACCGCTATGGTCTGCGGCACACCCCCCTGGGCCAGAAAAGCGGCGACAAGGAGAGCTCGTCAGACCATGCACTGATCCGGTCCACCGAGTACGACTTTCACGCCGAGACAAGGGGCCCGACGGGCTACGAAGCGGCGCAGGAGATCCGGCACTACATTCGTGACTCTGCCAACGGCTTTGCCTACTACCTGGCCATGGAGGCGGCCGACGCGCGGAACAGCGGCACCAACGGGCGCAAGGCGAGCACCGCAAGCGCACGCCGCCGGTTTGTTGTTGCGCTGCAGCAGGAGGGCGTGTTTCGCACAAACTGCCTCGATTGCCTGGACCGCACCAACCTGATCCAGACCATCATCTCGCAGATGGCGGTCGAGACGTTTTTGAAGCAGCGCAACGAGTCTGCGGGGCCGGACTTTTGGATGCGGCACTCGAACCTGTGGGCCGACAACGGCGACGCGCTGTCCAAAATCTATGCCGGCACGGGCGCGCTCAAGTCGTCGTTTACACGGCACGGCAAGATGTCGCTGGCCGGCGCGATTGCGGACGCGCGGAAGTCGGCGACGCGGCTGTACATCAACAACTTTGCCGACAAAGGCCGGCAAAACACAATCGACATGCTTCTCGGCCGGTTGTACGGCCAGGCGCCGGTCATTCTCTTCGACCCGATCAGTGACTATGTCACGCTCGAGCTCAACAAGCGCGCGGCCACCTTTTCGTCGTCCGAGGTGATTAAAATGTATGTCCGGGTTTGCTGTTTGTCCATTCTCCCCATTTTTCTTTCTTTCTTTTTTTTTTCGTTTTGGCATCTAACAGAAACAGATGGGTTGGCACGTTTAACCTCAACGGTCGCCTTGATGGTTTGCACGAGGATCTGTCGCCGTGGCTCTTTCCAGTCGCGGTGCAGTCGGCCGAGCAGCTGCCCGAGATTGTGGCGATTGGGTTCCAGGAGATTGTGGAGCTGAGTCCGCAGCAGATTATGAACAGCGACCCGACCCGCAAGCAGCAGTGGGAGGTTCTCGTGCTCAACACGCTCAACAAGCAGGCCGCCACCCTGGGCGGAGAGCCGTACGTGCTGCTGCGCAGCGGCCAGCTGGTCGGCGCGGCGCTGTGCATCTTTGTCATGTCGTCGTCGCTCGCCAAGATCAAGAACGTCGAAGGCAGCGTCAAGAAGACGGGCATGTCGGGCATGGCGGGCAACAAGGGCGCCGTCGGCATCCGGCTGGACTATGCCAACACGGCCATATGCTTTGTGACGGCGCACCTGGCAGCCGGGTTTGCCAACTACGAAGAGCGCAACCGGGACTATCTCACGATCCACCACGGCCTGCGGTTCCAGCGCAACCGCGGCATTGACGACCACGATGCCGTCCTGTGGTTTGGCGACTTCAACTACCGCATCGGCCTGGGCCGTGAGCGCACGCTGGACCTCGTGCGCGCGCACAACCTCGAGACGCTCTACGAAAACGACCAGCTCAACCTGCAGATGGTGGCCGGCCTGGCGTTCCCGTACTACTCGGAGGCGCGCATCACGTTCCTGCCGACGTATCGGTTTGACATTGGGCGGGACGACTACGACACGTCGGAAAAGCAGCGGATCCCCGCGTGGACGGACCGCATCTTGCGCCGCGGCCAGCAGCTGCGCCAGACCGCATACAACTCGGCGCCCTTGCGGTTCTCGGACCACCGGCCCGTGTATGCGCATTTCCAATGCACGGTCAACATTGTGGACGAGGTGCGGCGCGACAAAATCAGCCGCGAGCTGTACGAGCGGCGCAAGGGTGAGGTGGGGGACGCAACGGCCAACACGACGGTCGAGGACACGGACGACGAGGACCTGATTGGGTACGACGCCATTGAGCCCGGCCTACCGGCGGCGAGCTCGGACCGGCAAAAGTGGTGGCTGGACAACGGACGGATGGCCCAGGCGCGCGTGCAGCCGCCGCCGCCGGCCAACCCCGCGACACACACGGCCATTCTGAACCCGAAGCGGCCGGCCAACCCGTTTGCGCCGACCGACGAGCCAGACTGGGTGGCGGTCCCACGAGCGGAGTCGCGCCTGTCGTCGTTTTCGAGCCTGTCGACGTCGCCGTACGAGCACATCAACCACTCGACGGTGTTGTCGTCGTCGGCCAACAGCCAAAATGGAAGCGGTGGTGGGACTGGTGGGACGGCCGACCTGACAGCGTCGAGGAAGGGCGGGCAGCCCATGGGCCAGAGCTTGTCGTCGCAGTTCTACCGGCAAGAGACAACGGCGACGACGGCACCGCCGCCGCCACCACCGCCGAGACGAGGGGGAGCCGGCACCGGCGACAACAACGATGCGGCGTCGGTGGCCAGTAAGAAATCGGCCTCGACCACGTCGTTCGCATCGACGTTCCCAGGGCCGCCACCGCCACCAAACGCGCGGGTGCCGCCGACGGTCAGTGGCGTCACCAAAGCGCTGGACGAGCTGCGAGCCTCGTCTTCGTCCTCGCCGTCGTCCTTTTCCAACGCCAGTGACCGCCACGGCGGCCCGCCCGTGCCTCCAAGGCAGACGCCGACCAAGGTGAACACCACGTTCCCTCCACCTCCCACAAATGCCATGCCGCCCCGACCGGCGTCGGTTGCTTCGAGCACATCGGTGTCTGCCTCCGGAACAGGAGCGGGAACCGCCCTCTCGGCCAAGGGTAAACCCGTGCCACCGGTCGCCAAGAAACCGGCGCACCTAGCATCGGCACCGTCCACGACACCGTCTCCGACATCGAGCCGCGTCGGCTTGGCATCCGAGGATGGCGCCGGTCGCGGGACGCCACCTCCCAAACCGCCTCGGCGACGCGCCGAAGCAGCACCGCCTGCAACCACTGACTCACCGCCGAAATTGCCGGCGCGCACCCCGACAGTCGCGAGCCACAGCCGCCCACTGCCGACACCGACGGCAGCCTCAAAGGCACGGTCCAGCAATGTTGATCTGCTGGGCGACGACGAAGCGGGCACCAATCTGTCCCGGTACCAACCCCTGCAGCCGTCATGAGCACGCGAATCGCAGAACACGGGCATGCCGTGAACAAAGTAGAAAAGTCGTACGGATGGGAGCACACGTCCGATCTGTGATTTGCATACAACGATTCGGGTGGCAGAAGCGGCCTGCACATGGCATGCGCACAAGGTCGGAGGGTGTACTCTGGGTGTACGTCTTGCATCGTTGCGGCCAGAGAAACAAGACGAACAAAAAGGTCAGACACTGTGGGCTCCATGAGTGCACGAAGCATGAAGCACAGCAGTACGGTCTGTTATGTCGTATCAACAAATACGAATGGGCCAATATACCAATATACCAATATACCAATATACACGAATACATGTACAAGAGTTACCAAGCAAGGTTGCAAGCACAAGCCATGCCCAATTCAATATACTCGGCATAACGAGCCGCAAATGGGTCAACTCTGCAGTCGATGAATATGGCGTGCCGCCTGCGAGCCGTCCAGCCTACGGGAGCACGAATCTGCCATTGCAAAGCGAGCTGGCAGTCTTCGGTCTTGGCATCACTGTAGAAGAACCGCTGGTCGTTTCACACGGTGTCCTCTCGAGCCATTTCAAGGGTTTCGAACGATGTCGCGTTGAAGCGTTATGAGGCCATCTAATGCGTCTATTTATTGTGGTATTTATCATGACTTTCTATTTTCTATGTACCTATTTTTTCTTCTGTCCGCTGGTATGTTGTCTACACTTCTGTCCACTTCTTGGGTCTTTGTAATTATTATATTTGTCTTCTGCCTTCTGCCGTGTCTACGTCATTTGTTATTTGCCGCCAGACACTTATTGCCTCACTGAGCCTCCAGCGGCGGTCGGCCTCCAGCAGCGGCTTCAGCGGCTCGAGCGGCTCTTTGCGCGTTGTCATCACGATATGTCACATGGGTATCTGAACACGCAACCCAAATAATCATCCCAATGTATCTCTGCCACCGCCCTTTTGGAGGCCCTTTTCGTTACCGCCTTTTCGCTGGCGCGCGCCGACCGTTGGCGTCGTTTTAGGGCTTTAGGGCAAGTTAAGTTACCTTTAGCAGCTTTCAGGGCCGCTTGGGGCTGCGATGTGCCCTGGAAAGCGCCGCTCTCACGCTAACTTGTTGGTGTTTCCAGCGGCGCGCGCTCTCTGTCGCGTGCAGCGTTCTTGGCGCGGATGGTGTATGACGCTAATTGCTAGTGACACTCCACCAAACCTCCCACAACGTGAAGTGAGAGCGCCCTGGGCCGCAACTCAAACGGTGACCAAAAAATACGGTGGACTGACGAACGCATGCAAATGGGAAGGAACGACAGGACCACAAAAAAGGAAAAAGGCGACCGTTTTGGGGTGGGTTGGGGTTGGGTGGACAGGCCCCACGATGCGCCTTCTGAAAGCGGAAGCCACCACGTTTCGTTGCTTCGGCGCATCACAAACAATCCAAGGAAGGCGCAGAAAAGCATGCCTGGCTCGGTGTCCCGTTCTCCCCAACCACCTTTTGGCTCATGTCGGTGACAGCTGGTGTTTCCGACTCAATCAGAAAGTTTCGTCCTCCTGCAAGGCTATGAGGCAGGCTTTGAGGCTTTTGTTCCTCCGAGAACCCGAAGCTCAGCAGACACAACGAAGACCCTTGTTTTGTGACTAGTTCCTTCCTGTCTCGCGCCTCTCGCACTTTCCATCGCGCTTCCGGCGCACGCAAAATATCGTCGGCAGTTGTTGTTTCCTTTCCTTTCAGACGCACCTTGTCAACCACTACTCATCGCTGCTCTGCGCACTCTCCTTCCTTGCCTTGGTCTTGCATCGCGCCTTCCCACGACATTGTTCTTGACCTACTTCCGCTTTCGATGATTCCGTCTGCCTTCGCCAACCAGCCTCATCCGCCATTGTATATTCTCTCTGTTCACGCCTTGGACCCGACCATACTTGTAATTTATTCCCTAAGGCGATCCTGCCTTGCCCGCCTGCCTGCCTGCGTGCTATGACAGGCCGCCTCAATCATCAATTAACGCACAACCACTCCGCACCGAAGTCACATCTTATTGCCTTGGTTTACGCTGCGCTCCTTCCTCTTCCGCGTCCAGTTTCGTCCTGCTTCCCTCGCACCTTCCACTCGTCGCGACTTCCGACATGTCCTACGACTGAACGAACCAGTCTATCCGGCGCCTTCCTGTTTCTCGTCAATTCTCAGCTTCTCGTTGGCGTAACTGCCTTGTTCCAACGCAATTGTGGCCATCACGTTCAATTTCCTGATTCGTCGACTGCACGGGCGGTGCCTTCCTTGCACTCTCGACACACAGCACCAACCCCTGAACTGCCAGAGTGCCTAATATGCACAACCCGCCGCTGATGTCATTTGGCTGTCTTTGAGCTGTCTTTGAGTCCTTCCGCCTTGCGTCTGCCCTGTGCTCACACTTGCTCTTTCCTTTTTCCACCTCCACCCTTTCCACAACTTTGCCCTTGCCATATCGATTCACGACGTCGAAAACAAAGGAAACACAAGAGCGACACAGCACATCGACTACCACCAGCGATCGTCATCTCGAGCCTTGCTTCCTTTTCCTCCTCATTTATGACACAGGCCGTGCCACAAGGATCACATCGCCTCGAAACTATGGCACCTTAAGCAAGGAGGCACGAAAAAAAAAAAAAAAAAAAAAACAAGCAATTCTAACGAGCGCACGACACCACGTCCAACTTGGGAAGGACGTGGCCGATCATTTGGGAGAGCAAAGGCAGGTACAGTGTCCCTTGCACCTTCTCTGCGGCCCAACCCTTTTTCAAAAACGGCCATCGTCCCTTTCTTGCGCGGTGTCGCCAAAAAAGAAAAGGAAAAATAAACGAAAAATGGCGGCCCACAGCGCCCAGGCGCCGTGGTTGCCAAAGTCGCCACCGCCCTTGACACCACCACATACACGACTTGCCAGGCAAGAAGCGCCCTTGCTAGGAATGGCAGCCGGTCTCGACGCCGGCGATAGCCAGAGTCATGTCATTCAACCAGAGAGGGAAAGAGCTACTGGCTCTGTTGGCCCTCTTGCAAAGCTAGCCATGTCAGGTGCGCAAAACGGGCAACAACACCACCAAGACGGGCAAGAGCCAAGCCCTAGTGGCAAAGAGCAAGAACTCGACGACCGTCCGCAAAATCGTTCTCTCAGTCAGACTGAATGCCAAAGTCAACGTCAACAACAACAGCATCACTATCACCATCACCACGCTTCGCGGAAGCAGGCCGCCTACGAGGGCTCTGACGCCTCGACGCCTACACGCACCCGCTCTACCTCCTCCTCTAACTTTACTCCCCTCTCCACCTTCCCCTCGGCGACGTCGCGTGCCTTTGCAGTCGACGGCCAGACTAATCTTAATCACGTCGGTCCTACGGGTAACACTACCGATACCCACTGTGATAGCACAATTGGCCGGGCAGAGCACGTGCATGTGATCAACAACGCCGATAAGCACAGCCAGCACGCTTACGACGACAACAACGGCGACGACGACGGCAACGGCAGCGGCTCAACAGCCGACCATGTGCCCTTTGCCCAGCTACAGCCCATCCATCTCTATCCATCATCTCAACAGCAACACGAGGACCGGCACCGACAGGACTCGGCCTTCTTGTCCACCCCAGCACCGCAGCCTCATTCGCTGCTAGCCTCGCCTCCGCAGTTGTGTCTGCGTAGCCGATCTGGGCGGAGCGGAAACGGAAGGACCGCAAAGACCGGCGTCTCCAGTCGCAGCGACAGCCACAAAGATAGCCACGGTCAGCGACCGTCGTTGGAGGGACGTGGAGGTAGTGTCGACGGCAACCACAGAGACGAGACAGCAAACGCTGTCGTCCGCAGCGCAGACACCAACGCAGACACCAACGCAGACAACAACGCGGACAACGACGACGACTCCGAGAGCCTAAACTCGCATGCGCTCGCCTGGGACCAGACGTGCCTCCGAATTGCCTATCTTGTCAGCACCATGGTCACGCCCTCGGCGAATGCATCGGTCGGCGGTGGTCCTGTCGACCAGGACACACAGCTACCCACACCCTTGGCCATGGCCCATGACGGCAGAAGCCCTGGCGTGAATGGTGCAAATGGCGTCACCAGCGTCACCAGCGTCAATGGCGACACGGCATCTCTCGGCATGGGCTCGGCCGAGTGGGAGCTGCTTCCAGAGGTGCTCGACCACTTTGTCGATTTGTGCATACGGGGATGGACCGGCACGGAGCCCGACAAGAAGCGCCGTAAGATCGCCCAGATGCTGCACTGGCAGAGCGAGGTGTACACCTGCGGCAAGGCCGCCTACTGTGGCTGTGCCGACGGCAGCCCCGTGCCCAGCGACAGCCTCCTGACGGCGGCCCCTGAGCCGCCATTGCCGCTGCAGCCAGTCTCGGCGCCCAGCTCCGCCCCAGCCTCCGTCACCACGTCGGCGGCTTCCGCATCGGCACCGACATCGGCAACCGACGAGACCGCTGCTTCCATTGGCGAATGCGCCGCCCTGTGCAGCCGATGCTCGTTCCCTCTGACCCCGAATCGACCGATCGTCTGGGTGGCCGACCCCAAGGACGGCACCGACGAGGTCGTCTTCAAAAAGGCCCGCCGCACGCAAGAAGGGCCTGGTGACAGCATCCGCAAGGCCATCAAGAGCTTCCGCGGCCTTGTCTTTTCCAAGAAAAACAAGCGCAGCGTCTCATCGCCCGCTGGCGCCCTCGCCACGACGACCATGCTGGCCGCTCCGCGTGCCTCCTTCACGCCACCCCGGTCGTTGTCGCCCTCGATCCTCGACAAGGCCACTCTGGCCCGCCGCGCGTGGTGCCAGTGGGAGGAGGTCAACTGCCAGCGCCTGTGTGACGAAAGCGACGAGAACCGTGCCCTCTTCTTCCCGCAGACGGCAATGTACACTGTCCGCGAGGAGGATGTCGAGGTGTCGGCACGGCCTGCGTCGGCCGAAGAGGGCAATGTGGCGGCCGGCTCCTTATCGCCCAGCACCACTCAGGCACGAGCACAGGCACGAGCACGAATACAAGCACAAGCCCAGGAGCTGGGACGTCTTGTCGGTGGCATGAAGTCTGCGGCCATCCACGACAGCGATGAAGACGACGAGGAATACGACCCAGTGGGCGACATCGACGATGACGACGATGACGACGACGACGACGACGATGCCAAGAATGTGTCTGCCGAGCAGCGTCGGCAGCGCAAGACCGATGCCCGTCTCCGTCGCGCTGAGAGGCTTCTTAAAAAGACCAACGACGCCGCCGCGACCACAATACAAGCCGCCTAGAAGGCGTTGACTGTTCGCTGGTAGGCAGCCGAGTGTGCTCTGTATTGGGATACGTTTTGACAGCAGGTTTTTCGTGGAGCGTCGTTTAGTTGTCGTTTGGTTTGCATCGCATCCGCAGCATTGTTCCTCCTTTTATGATGGTACATCATTATATATTTGGCACTGGTTGCCTGCTTTCTTCAAGGCGGCAACTCAGGTGAAATCCAATCGCATTGCATGCGACACAGACACGACGAGCATTGCATTTCTTTTTTGTATATACTTCAGTGGCCTTCCTCCTTTGAGAGATGGACATTTACTAGCATGATCGGATTCCGATCCGAGGACATTTGGACGGTCCAGAGAGATACCCATTTTCATAATATATGTTTATATTCCTTCGCAATCACCGAGCGTGCCTCGTTACAACATAGTTTAAAGAACAAGAAGGGGTATCATCAATTCGTGTCGACTGTCAAGTCACGCCAATTTATGTGGGCCGGCCCCTGCACTTTCCAAAATCGGACGGTGCCGCACTTCGCCCGCGGCTTTGCCCGTCCTCCTTCCAACCTTGATGCCACACCGAAGAAAGTGGCGCTCATTGTCTGCCGTATCGACTTTCTAGTCTAGTCCTCAGCAAATGCGCCGTTGAGCAGTGCTCGCACTTGCTGCCGCACCCGAGGTGCAATGGGCTGGCCCGCCAGCAGCTGCAACACCGCCAGCGTCACATTGTGGTCTTTTGGCTGCGGGGAGGCAGACAAGGCCGATGCCTCCAGGCTGGCACGTGGCCCATCCTCCTCTCCATCAACGTGCATCCCGTTCTCCTCGGCCCAGTGTTGGCGCGCCACAGTGCCGTTGGGCTCGCTCGGCTCGTCTTCGGTTTTGATTGGTACCGACCGTCCCCGCGTCGTCGTCGGCGAGCTTGTTGGGGCAGCCTCCTGGCTGGGGCCTGCACTTGTCCCAGTGGCCTCGTCTTTACGGAACCGCACGCGCTTGGACGGTGTCGTGAACGGGCCGTCGTCGTCGTCGCTCTCGCCGTTGCCACCATCCTGCGTCGGCCGTCCGTACCATGGGTCGACGGCCGCTTGTCGGCGCTTTCGTCCGCTTCCTGTGCTCGCACTCGCCGCACTCACCTCGGAGCGGAAGGACGACGGCGGTGTCGTCATGGCCGCCGTGTCGACGGAGCTTTGTGTCGGGGCCTGCGACGACGCAGCGTGAGAAGCTTGTGAAGCAACCTGCGAGGACGGGACGGACGACGAAAATGAAAAGACCGGGTGTGGCTGCTGTTGCGCGCCGGTCCGGCTTCCTCCAAATAATGAGGCAAAGGATGTGGCTGTTGCTGCTGTTGTCGCACCGACAGGTGCTACCGCTGTAGGCGTCGGCGTCGTTGGTGACGCCGCCGCGTGTACTGCTTCTGCCGCTGCTTCTTTCGCGGCATACCCGTCCGACGCAACTAGAAGACGGTGGCCCAGTCGATGACGGGTTGGCGCCTCCTGTTCTTGCAGCTCTTCGCGCACAGGAACGATGATTCGTCGCCTCCTCTCCTCACTTTCCTCAACGTCCATGGCCAGACTGCCTCCTTCGTTCACGTCGTCCGTCTGCCTGATATTGGCCCCCGCGCCCTGACCTGCTGCATCGCTTCGCCAACGCGTCTTCCGCTCGCTGTGGTCCACCAGCGCCACCAGCGCCCGCTCCATGTCGCTGTCAAACTCGCTGTCGCTGTAGTCGGACGCAGTACGTTTGGGTGCCTCGAACCGTTGTGCCTGACCTGTGGCCGCGCCATTCTTTCCGCTGCTGCTGCCGCCGACGCCGTCACCGTCTTTCCCGCTGCCGTTCGTCTTGACGACGCCAAAGTATTTTGTTATAGGACGGCTGGGCTTCTCAATAGGAGCTGGTGGCAGCGTCTGTGTTGCATCCAACGACGCACCTTGCGCTGCTGTCCCACTCGTCCGCCGTGCTCGTGCAGGTGTCGGTGTCGGTGGTGGCTCAAAGCCATCGTCCTCGTCGTTGTCCTCGTACTCGCCGCCATGGTTCTCGTAATTTCCATAGGCCATGTCTTGGGGGAATTCGCTCGCTATCGCCGTCGTAAAGATGCGCTGGCGCTGTCTAGGCGTCTGCTCCGGTGCCGGGGGCGGCAGTGACCGCTGTCCTGCCAGTGTCGTGTGCGGCGATGCCGGTCCGTCTTGCCGCTCGGCGGGCGGTGTCGTGCGCTGCCCAATGGATGTCCGGTACGTCGGCCGGGGCGCCTGTGATGACGGCGGGCCAGCGCCAGCGCCGCTCGCGCCGGCATAGTCCTCCCACAGGAAAAACGTGCACTGCCGGCGCCGTTCCTGGGGGCACGTGTAGAACCAGCGGCCCTTGTTGGCGCCTGGTTTGCGGGTTTCGCGCAAGACCGCCGGGCGCCGCGGCTTGCAGTCGCAGAACCATTGGCCATTAGCAAAGAGGCCGTCGCTGCCACGGCCTGACGACGGGGTGGCCGGGTTGCTGGTGCGCGTGGTCCTGGGAGTCGACGGTTGCGATCGGCGGCGGCCTATTCGACGGCCACCTCGAGGCATTGTAAAGCGTTGGAGAGGAGGAGGGGATTCGAGAGGTTGCGCAACGGCAATCAGACCATCGCAGAGGGCGTCGTAAGAGAGGTGCGATTGCGTTTTGGCGCCGGGCGGCGCTGGTGTGCGATATGCTTCTCAAGGTCCAGAAGTTCACTGAGACACAAGCGCCGAAACAACGTCATTTGGTGTTTTGGATGGCTTCGGAGCTGGAGCTGCAGAGGAGGATTGATGGGCGTTTGGTGCGTTGGGCGGGGCAACACTGCTGGAAACCCCGTGCGCATTAACAATCTCCACTTTTCGCCAACTGTTTTGTTTCCAACATCCAAGAACATGCGAAAACAACATTAGAAATAATAATGCTCGGCCAAACAGGGGTATATTTCATGGCCAAATAGTCAAAAAAGAGCAAATACATGCAGAAGAATGCAAGCTATAAGACAAAGCTTCACATGAGATGAAGAAGCGGTAGAAAAAAAAGCAGAAGAAATTAAACGGACGACAAAAGACGACATAAAAGAACCGACAAAACGGCTCTACCAAAACCAATCAATGCGCTTCCACTGTGCGCAACAGGTGTTTCCTGTCCCCTGTCAAATGTCAAATCTCGTAAAAGTAGTCGTCGTTGAGACCCTCGCGGCTCGGCACAGCACCGGCGCCGGGTGGTGGCCCTGCATAGGCAGCCTCTTGCCGCACGTTGAGCAGCCGGATCTTGAGTCCATAGTCGCTGACAAGCGACACCAGCTTATTCGTCTCGGCCGTGATGGGCGCCTGGTTCAGCAGCATCAACAGGCCGTCGAGCCACTCCGACGCCAGCGAGTGGTTGACTGGGTGCAGTGTCAGGATGGCCACTTCGCGCGTCGCGGCGCCAGACGCGTCCGCGTTGCTGTTGTCCGCCGCCGCGCCGTTCGCGCCATTGCTGCTGTTGCCCGCCTTGGCCGCTTCGTCGGGGCTCTCAAACGCATAGACTGTAATCTTGGTCGTCGTGGACCGCGCGCCGGACAGCGCACCGCCACTGCCAATCTCGCTGACGCCGTCCTCGTTTGTCGCGGACACATTGGACACCACCGAACTGATGGTGCTGAGGTCGATCTTCTCGGTCAAGGCATCCAGGCCCGGGTCCTGCGGCGTCTGCAGCGGGAAGTCGGCGTAGTGCAGGTACCGCCGGTTGTGCGACAGTTTGGCGAAACGCCAGGCCTTGGGCTCGTACAGCCGCCGCTTCTGTGCGTGGCCCGTCTGCGGCGGCGACTGGATCCCACCGCTCTGCGAGAGAGACTGCTGGTGCAGGTGCTCACGGTCGCGCTTCGGCACCGGCCGCGCAAACCACGAGCCCTGCAGCAGACAGCGGATGCGCTGCTCCTTGACAAACTGCAGCGCCTCCATGCGCAGCTCGTCCCGCACCTGGAAGAGGTGCGTGCCCCACTGGTCCTCGAACGAAAGCTCCAAGAGGCCCATCTGCAGCTCGCGAAGCCGCCCGCAGTCGTGCTCCTGCAGCTCCTCCTCGACCTCAGCCACGTCCTTGGTGCGCCCGGCTTGGCCGACAACCTGCTCAATCAGGATGCGCACCAGCTCGGCCACCTTTTCGAAATCGTCACGCTCGGCGCCGGTCGCCTTCCACAGCCGGAAGAATGCCTGCAGGCCCGCCGTGTGCAGGCGCGACCACTGCAGCAGCAGTGGACGGAAGATCCGATCGGCATCCTTGCTGTCGACGCCTGCGCCGTCCAAGCTCTGGTAGTAGCCCTGCAGGTCTTTGCTCAGGTCCTCGACGTCTGACCGGTCGACCTCGAAATGCTCGTACAGCGTCATGGTCACCGCCAGACTCGCGCGCGCCACGGGGCAGCGCCCACTCAACGGCCACGCCGACTGCTCCAGCAGCAGCTTCTGGAAGCCGTCTTCGTTCTTGCGCACATAGTCGGTCAGATCCATCATGCCGAGAAAGCCGCTCGTATCAAACTCGGACGCCGGGCTCTCTGTCTCGAAGCCCAGCCGCCGCCATTTCTCCGGGTTGTGTCGCCGGCTGCCCTTTGTGTCTGCTGCTGCACCGGAGGCTCCATTGGCACCCGCGTGGTGCCGGTCGGGGGCGCTCGCCAGGTGAAGGCCCTTGAGTGCACGCCGGTGCTCGGGTCGCTCGAGGTCGATCCGCACCTCCTTCCATTTCCGCAGAAGCACTTTGGTGAGTGACTGGAACTCCAACAGCGGGTGTGCGAGGTCCTGCAGCGCCGAGCTTTGCATCAGGTTATAGACGGCCTTGATCAGGCCCAGGTCCTGCAGCCGCTTGATCAGCTTGGACCAGTCTTCGCTTGCTGCGCCTGCACCACCTCCACCACCACCACCACCGCCACCACTCCCCAACTTGGGGCTCGTGACTCCGTTTGCTGCCGGAGACGGGCCCGGTGTCGCTGGGGTTGTCGCGGCTGGCGCCGCGGCCGCCGCCGCTGCTGTTGTTGTTGGCCCTGCTGCCGCTGCCGCTGTGGCTGTTGCCACAGACGCGGGGTCGCTGGACACAGCATCGCGGATGAGCGCGTTGACAAGCATGAGCGCGTTGGCACAGAGGGCGTGGTCGGCCGACTGCAGCTGCTGGATGACGAGCTCAAAGAACTGCGGGTAGACAGCAACAGCCGGCTTGAGGGCCCGGAACCCAAAGCTGGCGGGCGGACTCGTGCGCAGAGCAGCCGAGGCAGAGCCTGCACCAATCCCGACACCGATGCCACGCGCCGTGGACGACTGACTGTGGCTGACAAGAGCCACCAGGATGCTCATGGCGCCCCGCAGAATGTTGACGAGCGGGTTCGTGACAATCAGCTCGACCACACGCTCCACCAGGTCGCTGGCCGCCGGGCCCTCGAAAATATCCCAGCCCATGTCGACCTCGAGCAACCGGCTGAGCGACTGCAGCGAGTATGCGAGTGTGTTGCCGCCGGTGGCCATGATGAGGCGGCGCAGGATGATGAGACCACCCGAGGATATGAAGACGTCCGCAAAAGCCGGGTCGTTGATGGACGATTGCAGCTTGAAGACGGCCATCTTGCGCGCGGCATCCTCGTCGCTTGCCAGCCGCGAAAGCAGCGCAGGTATGTCCGCCTGGTCCATAGCAGATGTCTATGTGCTGTGTTGTATTAGGAACGTAAAAAGGGTCGTATTTTCGTATCTCGACACGCGTCGTCGTCGTCGTCGTCGTCTTGTCGGCGCAAGTCAATTGCAGAGGACAAGGACACTTGCAGCGTCGCTCAAAAGCGGCCCCTGGGGCCAGGCGGTCCGTATTACGCGCCTCGTGTATATATCGTCGTCTTCCGATCTTGCTGATCACCTCGCTGTCGTCGTCCGCTCAGCTACCGTCGTTGCGTCGTCGTTCTTGTTCGTAGTGTGTATGTGTGTATTTTTTATTCATACGGAGTACTTGCCTCGCCGCGTGGACTGAAGCAAAAGTCAGGGGTAGCATTGCCGAATGGAAGGTGGTGCACGGACCTGCCCAAGCCAAATGATCCAGTCGGGAAGGCGCTAGCCAATCATGGCTCGAGGGGCTTTGTTGACCCACGCTGTAGATACTCAAGGAAGCTACGATGGGCAGTTTGGGTCGCAGTTGCTGCAACGGTGTAAGTGTCTTGGTCGCAGCTACTGTTTTGGGAATCGAACGCCAACAGGCAGGTGCACGCAAAAATACGGGGCAATGATAGGGAAACATCCCAGTGAAGCAATTTGGCCGCCTGTTTTCTCTCCTGACATCAACAAAGACGATATTCTGCAGAAGCGCTCACCCCACAAGCGTCGACCTGCACAATTCGTTAGGGGCAGGTGAGCACGCGCCTGGTGTAACGATGATAAGTACAGGAAGCACAAAGGAATGTTGCCCTTCGCCCCGATGCTGTGTCCCGTGGCTCTTATCATTCAGTTCGAACTAACTGTGAAAAGACAGGCCGAAAGCATCCTTTTACACAGTCACTTTCGGAGCGCGACAACGATCGGTGGACTGTTTGGTCCCCGTGCCTTTTCCATGTTGCGTCCTGCCCATCTGCCTCGCACGGTCGAACCAATGTGCTGTGGCCAGGTGCGGCCCAGTGGCACACTCGTTGCACTGGCCTGGAAAGAGACTCTTTGATTGACAAAGGCGAGCGGTCTGCCGATAAGGACGATCGTTGCCCACGAAGTAATAAGTACAGGCGGGGCTCAGGGGGGACGCAACATCGCACAACTGCGCCTGGTGGCGAATAGTGCACTGGACAATAAGCCGGCGTCCGTTTCCACCGCGCCCTAAACCTTAACGAAACCAAGGAGGGGATGCGGAATTTCGGACAAAGTGGATATTTCGACGCAAAAATAACATTCGATAAACGTCAGACGCAGTCACCAGTTCGTCGGCCCTTTCATTCTCGATCTCGCCCACACTTTGGCTTCCGAGATCGAAAGACTGCCATAAACAACGCGATCCCTCAAGTCAAAGTCGGTGGCACTGCGGCGTCATTCAGCAGCTCGTCCCACGTCCCACGTCCCACGTCCAACGTCCAACGTTGGGGCATATAAGACCGTCAGGAGCCGCAGTGAACCACACCGGACGCCGTTTTGCTCCACTTCACACCTTGACCTGGCCGTTGTAAAAGTTTGAGTCATTCAGACTTTGCAATCTACTTCATTTCGTCGCCTCACCCACGCCGCAACCAGACACCATGGCGACCATTGCTGTCCACTCCACTGCGGACATCGCGCAGGTCGAGTCCACGTGCCGCCAGCTTGGCATCACGGTCGAAGAGTTCCGCGAGCTGCATCGCTACAGCGTATCGGCTGCTGAAAGCGCCTATTGCCCGTACAGCAACTTCCCCGTCGGGGCCGCTGTCATGACAAAGTACGGCGTCCAAGGCCCTGATGCCGCTGAAGGTCTGCCCGGTTCAGGCGGCAATGGCCACAGTCGGTTTATTCTCGGCGCCAATGTCGAGAACGTTTCGTACCCCGTAGGAACGTGCGCGGAGCGTGTGGCTCTGGGCCGAGCCGTGTTCGAAGGCCACCGCGACTTCAAGGCGATTGCAGTGATGGCACCAGCCGCAGCAGCCGGTATGCCGTGCTCGCCATGCGGCATGTGCCGACAGTTGTGAGTCCTCTGGATCTGAATTTGATGTCGCACGATGCAACAGGAGGGTAAAGACATCTGAGGTATCTAACACAACAGCATCCGTGAATTCTGCGGTCTGGATCTGCCGGTGCTCATGTTCGCCAAGGACGGCCAGTACATTGGCGTCAAGCTGGAGACGGTATGCGGTCCAATCAGTCACGCGTGTGCAATACGAGTGCCATCTTACTAACCCCGTGCAGCTGCTTCCCCTGTCGTTTGGTCCCGACGCGCTTGGTCCTCGGTAATCGAGGCATGTCTTTGTCAACTTGGGTGTTATGCTACTCCAAGTGAGGCCTGTCTGATCCCTAACGAAGACAATTATTGGCCTCGGTCTTTTCTCGTTCCTATTCGTCTGCACGCCCAGTCAACGACTACCGCTACATACCAGCCGTCGGTTCCGTCGCTTCATTTTGGATCAATATCAAGAATGCCATAACCACGGACTGCACAGAGACTTTATCACCCAGAGTACCCCGGATGCAGATTTCACACAAGTGCAAATACGCGATATCTAAGGTAATATGTCTGCCGTGTTTGCAGAGAAAGCAGACCGGGGTCTGGGCCTGGGTCACTTTTTTGTTACATTTTGTCGTGTCATTCGAAACACAAAAAGAAAAAAAGGAGATTGTATACTCTACCACTTTTTTTACTTTTTTTGGAAATAACAGTTTTTGCTTTGCTTTTCTTTTTTGGTTATGTTTGATTTATTTTTTTTGGGTCATTATTATGTGCTCGTTGCCTGGCGAGAGCGGAGGAGTCTACTCTGCTTGTTGCCCTGTTTTGGCAACGGTGTTCTTATACCCTTTTCACTTCCGACCGACCCCGCTCACGCAAAACAACGCTGTGTCTCTATTCAAAGCGTACGAGCCACAGATTGCCTCACAACCTTCAGCCTGGGCATCCGCCTTCGCTCCTTGTCGACACGCTTAGAACGCCGGTTTGGCGTTCTTGAGCAGCGCCTCGAAGTAGGCCTGGTTCCAGGTACCGGCCTCGGGGGACGGCTTGTAGGCATCGTCCTTGCCGCAGAAGGAGTCGTAGCGAGTGGCGCTGCTGTCGCTGGTGCCGTCGGACTCGCCGCCGGGCTTGATCCACACGAACGCATCGGCCAGCTCGTCACCCGTGTCAGCGGTGGGGCGGACACCGAAGCCGGCGCCGTTGACGTTGCACCAGTCACCCCACTCCTTGCGCAGACCAGTGACGGCGTTGCGGCCAGTATCGATGATGGCATGGTTGGGCATGCCGGCAGACTTGAGCAGAGGGGCAAAGGTGTCGACGTAGGTCTTCTCGTTCTGGCACTTGTTGTACTTGGCGTCCGAGGCGGTCGAGAACTCGCCGGGGCTCTGGTCCCAGGCGTTCCAGCCGGCCGTGTTGGTGGAGAAACCACGGACCTGCTTGGGGCTGCCGGCGGCCTTGTAGACCTTGGCAAGGCCCTGGGCACCGGGCTTCAGGTTGGCATCCCAGCCGAGCCAGCCGCCGTGGCCGGCGTCAATGTACATGACGACGTTGGGCAGGTTGAGGCTCTTGAGGGCGTAGGCGACGCCGGTCTCGTAGCCGTCGGCGCTCTTCTTGCAGGTGTCCAGGTCCGAGTTCGTGACCAGGTTGGGCAGCGAGTCAGGCTCGATGAGCAGGGCAAAGGCGGTGTTGGGGTGCGCCTTGAGGATCTTGACGATGGCTGCGAGGGAGTGTCAGCAGGGACGACGACGACGACGACGATGACGACGACGACGAAATTGAAATCGAAATCGAAACGAAAACGACAGAAACCAAGCATGGGGATCGGCAAAGAGAGTGCTTACGGTCAATGTAGTCGGACTTGTACTTGTCGACCTCGCCGACCTTGAGTTCACCGTTAGAGGCCTTGGCGGCGCAATCACGGCCCGGCAGGTCGTAGATGACCAGACCCAGGATGTGGTCGCAGGGCACATCGGCAATGGCGGGCTCGACCTTGGCGATGTTCGCAATGGAGTCACTGGTTCGGGTTAGCGGGTGCTCGCAACTACGACGCTCACGAACCACAGCAGGCTGGTTGATGTGCGACACAACGAATCCTCGACAAACCCAACTTACATCCACAGGAAGCTACCGACGTCGGCAACCTTGGCGGCCGATGCGGCCAGGCTGGTGTCGGTGATGGCGGCGACGGCAGCCTCGACCTCCTTGCGGTAGAACGTGTTGGCGTGCAGCGTGTACTTCTTGAAGGGGTTGGTGCTGGCGTCCAGGGTCACGGCAGACGCGCAGCCGGCCGAAGCCTGGCGAGCGACCTCCTTGACAGACTGGGTCGGGGGAGCGGCGTACGCCGACGCGGCGAGCGCCAGCAGGGCAGAGTACTGGAACTTCATGTTGACAAAGTTGGAGACGATCGTCCTTTGGGGGGTACTGGAGAGAAGGAATCAAACGAAGATACTGGCACAGGGAGTCAACTGGCTGAGTTGATCGAGGTGTGAGGAACAAAAGGGGAAAGGGACAAAAAGAAAGAAAGAAAACAGGACGCTCGAGAGTGGCCGGGGCTCAAAGTCTTTATACAGGACGAGACGGTCCATGTCTATTCGTGGGAGAAGAGGAGGAGGGAAGGGGGGCAGCCACAACGACCAAGGATAGAGTGTGCCCCGTGGGGACGAGAAGGGACAGGCGACCGACTGTTCTCGGCGAGATTGAACCAGACAGCCCGCCTATTGCTCGAAAGTGGACGGACCATTCTGGATGCGCGGTTCCCGTTTTTCCCGTCACGTCTCGATCTCGGTCCCTTTCAACCAGCAATCAGGAAGCGAGGCCCGCGCTGTGAGAGCTGCCAAATGTGCTCACAGGGGGGCACGCAGACGTACTCGGTCGTGGGCTTCCGAAGACATGCTCTGCTCTCGGTCGATGCGGCAACGTACATTGGGAGGCATATAGGCATATATGGCGGGATGCACGGCCAAAGAGGAGACCAAGACGGACGAGAGCAATCAAAGTCGACGGCGACGGGATGGTAGGGTGAGCATATTGGCCAAAATGCGGGGCGTCGAAGAGGTGCCGTGATTGGGACACACACTCCATCGAAGCAAGTCGAGGGACAAGCGATTGAGAGGGATCGACGTGGAGAGGACCGTGGAGAGACGTGTGGAGAGACGTGGAGAGGGGCATGGGACTGGAACGAGGTACCAGTTCTTCCATATGAGAAGTCCAGGACCAGCAGGACGACGGGCCGGCTCTGGGCTGCTCCAAGAGACCTGTTCCTGGCGTTCCATCTGCGGACACTCGACGACGACATATACCACGGGGGTACATTAATTCTTCCAGCGGGCCCTTGCAGGATGCTGTAAATTCATAACGACCGTTGCCAAGACAGAGGGGACAGAAAATAGACGAAGGGGGAGGAGGACGACGAGGGCGACGAGGGCAGACGAGGGCAGACGAGGGCAAAGCAGCCGAATACGTGGTCGTGCCTGGCAATACTCGTTTAATTGGGTGCTTTCATTTTTATATCGATATGGAGTGACAAGGAGTGGGAGATAGTGTTGCCAAGGCAAGACTGTGGAGACATAAATACAAACGAGGGAGGCGGACAATAAGAGAAACGGACGAAGTGGACGACATGGACCATGGGCGCAAATGGCGTATGAGGTTCTGGTTGTTATGTTCCGGTTAGAAGAGTGTACAAAGTAAATGTCTTTGGGGGTGTTTTCTGTGATCTGTTGATCTGTTGATCTGTTCTTCTCTTTGTTCTTTCATTTTTTTTTGTCTTCTTTTATGAAACAAATGAAAACAAATCCCACATAAAATACATTTTATGATGTCTTATTTACGTCTCCAGATCATATTCCAGCTATTAATAAAACCATAAACAGTCCCAAGCGCTCCACCAGTCCTTCTTACTCATTCTGCTCTGTGCCTTTTGTTCACACGTATTATTCGAGCACCTGATATAAAACTCGCAATTTTCATTGAATAAAACCGGTGCGCCTTTAATGGCTTTTTCACAGGCAGCATGTTTAGCCTGTACAAAGGACACAGTCGAAGACCAGTGCGGCAGAATGCGCCTTTTTTCATCCAGCACAGCTGAACTGCTTCGTTTTGTTTCCTTTTCTTATTTGTTTTACTTCTAATTTGTTTATTTTCGTTATTTTCTTATATTCACATTTAATTCGCATATTCTTCCCTCTTTAGTCGTGCGGTGTCTCCTTCGCGCCTTCCCTGGCCTTGACTCTCTCCCTCCTTCCCTATTTACCAGTCTGCCGTGGCTGTGGTTAGGCTCAACCGGCCCGGCTAAACAAGCCCCTGGCAGTTGCAACCGGCATGCGACAAAAATAATACGACGTAATTACGACTCAGCCGGCAAACGCGACCGTATGTCGACTCGCAGGAGACACTACCGGCAAAAGAAGCGTTGGTAGCGGTGGCCGAAAAGGTGGAAAGGCTTCTGGAAGTCCCGGTCCAAAAGGGGAAAGAGGGAACTCGACGGACAGGGAAGGCGCAATGAATGGGGTATAGTGAAGGCAGGGAAGGTGCGGTGCATAAAGGAAGGAACAGAGAGGGAGAGAGAAAAAATAAAAATAAAAAAATAAAAATAAAAAAAGACCAAAACATAAACTTCAAACAACTCTATTTCTTTGGATGAACCGACGCGCAGCGAGCCGCTATTCGTGTACTTCTATCCTCCCGTTGCTACGGCTTAAGCGAGTCTCAAAAGTGAAGCCTTCTTGGCCATCTGCATGCCTCTCTTCGACTGGGCGCCGAGCATCTCTCCACGTATCAAAGGAGACACAGCTCGCAAAACACATACAGTCTTGTCTAGAACTTGGCGAGACGGGGCCTCGCTTTACCTCTCGTTAATGGTATCCGAATAGCCGTCTGCGTCACAGTGCCAACTAGAGCCTCATATACTTGGCGGTCTTGCGAAATTGACGGATGCCGAGTCGTCGTCTAGGCCCGCCAAGGTGACGATCGATGATGATCTACTACGTACTGTAGCATCCGTTTGATTATGGCAAGTTCCCTGCCTGGTTCGGCCTGTTGTCTTGTGGCTGGCCATATCAACCAGGTCCTCCGTGGCGTTGCATCGGCCTTGCAGTACGGAAGAAGTGTCCTACCCTCCCAATTCGGCAATGTCGGATCGTTTCAGGTATTCGGGAGACATTCCGAACGTTCTTGTGATGCAGACATGGCGTGGACGAGGATGGTACGTCGTATATGTTCTATGTGAACAAGAAGAGCATCATATGGCCGTGGTAAAACAAGTGAAAACTAGAAAGACAGGTTCGCCCCATTTGATGAAAATAGAAATAAAAAAAAACAAAGAAATAAAACATGACAGAATCAAATGAACATCAAATCACGGCAGCCCTCACAACGGCCACCAGACGGCCGAAATGGCCAAATCGATCGACGTTTGTAAACCGCTTGCGTCCGTCTTTTACCCTTCTTGACACTCCTCTCGGCTTACTTTTCCGTCTCCTGTGGTAGTGTGTTTGGCGACGTCTCATTCTTCTCTCGCTAAAGACCGGACTCAACTCAACCACATCCGTGACTTTTATAATCTTGGAACCTTACTCTCAAAACTGTGTGTACCACCTGCCCCGGACAGATTCCAACATGCTCCAACATGTTCTTACATGAACGGCGGAAGCGAGAACGGGTAGCCTCCGTTCTTCATGCGGAACACGCTCAGCAGGAAGCTGTACATGAGGAAGATGACTGCGCCCCAAATGAGCGCCGCCACCTGCTGCATCTTCTCGTCGGCTATTCTCGGAACCTTGACGGCCAGGGAGATGGCGGCAAACGAAAGAATGCCATCTATACGTGTGTTAGACAGTCGCGACATTGTTTTCTTGGATGAATTTTTTTTTGGGACACGTACACATGGCAGCAATGAGCTGCGTCTCCATACCAAACTGGTTCTGGAAGCCCCCGGCAAAGTAGCTGATACCGCCGCGGCCATCACCCGCCACATACGGAACCTTACGGATGTGGTTGAACATGTGGCCCGAGGTAAAGAGCAGGATGGAAATCAGGCTAATGGCCGCCCAAATGTTGCGGTTTTGGATCACCGGCAGCACGTACGGCCACGCCACAAACAGAGCGGTGGCCGAGCCCAGCAGCATCGTGATGCTCGTGAGCCACGCAAACCAGTTGATCGGGCGCTTGATCGCCGGGTGCGGGCGGTCGGGCAGGTGGCGGGAGATCCAGTGGTGAACCACCTCAGCGGAGCCGGCACTGTACACGTCAGTATTTATTTTAATTTTCTCATCTCATTCTTCTCCTCGTCTCGACGTATCCGTTTGTCTCCACCTACCCGTTTGTAAAGTCGTAGCGCAGGGGCTCCGGAGAGGAGACGGCGTGCGGGCCGGCCGTGGGCGGGAAGAAGAGAAGGACGGGCGCCGTCTGCAGACCGAGCGACACAAAGGTATCGCGGCCGTCGCTGAAGTCGAGCGTCGTAAACACCAAGCGAGACTCGCCCGCCTTGTCGCCCTTGGTCCAACTACGGGCCAACAGGTCATACTCGGGCTGGAACTCGTGGCACAGCTGGCAGCCGTAGCGCGCATCCATGGCCGTCAGCAGCACTGCTGTGCTGTAGTCACGCGGCGTGCCGCCCACAAGCTTCTGGTAGGCGGTGTCCTCGATTTTGACCGGAGCCGACGAGAGCTGCTTGGCGTGGAACTGCTGGAAGGTATCGCCGGCGGCCTTCTTGGCGGCCAGGCCGCCCGTGCACAGCAGCGAAGACGCGAGAAGCGAAAGCCAGCGCATCGTCGCGGTTGGAGGTGTGTTGAGATTGAAAGGCAAAGAAAAACGGAATCGAACGAAAGGCCAAGGCCGAAGGCGGTCGAGTAAAGGAGAGGCAACCGAATGCAACTCGATTCAGAGAGCGTCCGTAACAAGCTCCCGGCGATTGATGTACGCCTCAATGGTGGGTCGTCGACGTCGGATGAGGAGAGACGGCTGCTGACGACAAAAAGAACAAAAGGTCAGTTGTCGATGCTCAATGGCCGTCGTGTCTCGAAACCCAAATGCGCAGCTGTTCTTTCCCAACTTGGTGCTTTCCCTGGAATACGCCAACGTGCTCCTTCCTGCAGCAAACGCGGCCCTGTAACCACGTACACCTTTAGCTGTCTGTAGCCTCTGATTGGCTGGGAAGCTGCCCCACGCTCCCTACAAGCTGTTTTCTCGGCTGCGGACCATCTTAGCGCCGATCCGGTGCTCTTTCCCCTGCGTCATCCTTGGCAAGCGAACTGTGGCGTGTGGCACAAAGCTGACATAATACAAAACGCTAGCCCTTTTAGTCAGAAAGTAAACAGTCCCACCCGACCAAAACATTGGCCCACCCTGAAGGCACGCCTGTCCACCTCTCTGTCCTTTCTGTTTCTGCCTTGTCTCTCTCTCCCTCTCTACTCCGTTGCTGTGGACGCAATTTGCCTCTTCAATATTTCGACGTCAGATCTCTTCTTATCGATCAGAGTTTGGTATTGGGTGTCATCTAGTCGAGCCATTGGGCATTTTTTATCGGGGGCTGTATTCTTTTTTCACCCTTCTTCATTTCCTTCTCTTTCGTGTCGACTGCTGCCTTCATCACGTTCTTTCACTACCTTTACCGCGCCATCGACGCGAAACCGACATCGACAGCCATGGACATCGACAAGGTACGGTTGCTTTCTCGACTGGGGGCGTTTGGGACACGGTAGACGACGGATAGGTGCGAGAACGCGATAGCTGACTGTCTGCAGAGATCCGCGACGAGCCACGACCTCGGCCTCAAATATCTCGAAGCCCGGCACCAGGAGGGCCTCATAGTCAAAGACGACGACGTGCGGCGGCACCGGCTGCAGGTGGTCTTGCTGCAGGAAGAGAACGGCCGGCTGAAGGACCAGGTGTCGTCGCTCGGCGACCGTGTAGCCTCGCTCACTACCCAGTACGACGAAGCGCAGCGCCAGCTCGACAACCTCAACAACAAATGTCACGAGCAGGACGACCAATTGCGAGCACAGGCCCGCGAGCACACGGCGCTCCGGACAGAGCTGCTGTCCCTCAGCAGCGCCACAAACGATTCGACAAAGGTTCTCACAGAAAAGCTAGCGTTGTCCCGCGAACTGGCCGTGCTCAAGCCCGAGATCGAGCACCTGCAGTCGCAGCTGGCACACCAAAAGGATGTGCTGTCCGAGAAGCTGGCGCTCGAGCGGCAACTCAACGCGGTCGAGGTGGAACTCGCAAACGAGAAGCGCGCTGCGCAGCGCGCCGCCGCCGCTGCGGCACAACGCCAGCAGACGGAAAGCGACAACAATGAAGCCGAAGAAGACTTGCGGCGGCAGATTCAAGACCTGGAGAAGAAGCTCTTGAACGAGAAGCGGGCCCGGGAAAAGATGCAACGGGAGCAGGAGGAGGCCCGTAGCACCGACAGGGACAAGATAACCAAGGCTGTCGAAGACGAGAAGCGCGAGAGTCTGCGTGCGAAAAAGGCTCTGGAGACGGAGTTGGCCGAGGCGCGCGGGCAGATTGATGTGTTTGAGCTACGCGTCGGCGACCTCAAGTCCAAGTTACGAGAGGTGCGAGAGGAGCTCAAGAGCGCGCGTGCCGAACTGGCGGCTGCTCACGACAAACCAGCAGCACATATTGCAGCAGCGGCCACGGTCAAAGAGGGCATCAAGAAGACCAAGTCTGCGGCGACGTTGCCCGGCACGACAACGACCAAGGTGCAGACAAAGGGCCAGAAGAAGCGCCGGGCAGACGAGCCCAGCGGCCCCGAATCGCTGCTGCAGACGCCTGGCATCGGAGACGAAGGCCGCACGAAACGCCCGCTTAAGAAGAGGGGCTTCGACGCTGCTGTCGTGCAAAAGTCGACCTTTTCCATCACGCCCTTCCTCAACAAGACGAGTAACCCGATGGACGAATCTGCCGATGTGGCCGCTGCCGGTGCTGCCCCAGAAGCAGCAGACAAACCAAAGGCGTCGGACGCCGAGACGTCTGCAGATGACAAGTCCGCCGCCGACAAGTCAGTATCTGCAGTCGAGTCCATGATGACCGAGTCGACGCTTCCCGGTGAAGCCAGCGAGCTGCCGGAAGACTCCATCATGGGCCGGCGTGTGTCTGCGAGCGCCACGCTGTCTTCGGTCGACATTAGCGAGTCCTCGTCTGTTCCCCCGACGGTCAAGGCCGTAGCACAGAACGTCGTGGCCGGCGCCAAGCGGCGCGGCCGGCCACCCAAGGACAAGGTCTTGGGCGATGCGCCCCTCTCGAAGAAGAATATGAAGGTGCAGCCAGCTGCAGCCGAGAGCAAACCTGTTGCTGCCGACGAGCCTGCGTTCACCAAAGCCCCCGCCGAGGTCGTCAAGGCAAAGGAAGCCGTTGCCGATGAGCCGGTTGCAGTCGAGCAGGAGAACCGACCACCGCTGGCAACGAGCGCAGCCGGCGGTGTCACAATGAAGGTGAAGAAGAGTGCCGCGCCCATTGTGGCCAAAGCAACGTCCGAGGCAGAGCCCAAGAAGAAGAAGCGCAAGATTCTGGGTGCCGGTAGCAAGACGGTGTTTGACGACGACGACGACGACGGCATGGGCGGGGATGGTGCGTTGGCACGGCCAATGAAGCCGGCAGCCTCGGCGGCGTCTGCGGCTGCTCCGGCAGGCGGGGGCGGTGTGAAGCGGGTTGTGAAGAATCTTGGCGCAGGACGGACCACAGCAGCAGGCGCCGGCAAGCGGACGATGCTGGGTGGCATGCGGAATGCGTTTGGTGGTGTTGGTGGCGGGAGCTTCTCACCGCTGAAGCGTGACCGTCGTGGCGTGAATGCTAGTTTCCTCGCGTAGACGCGTGGACGATGTTTTGATCTTTTGATCTTGTGATGTTTTGATGTTTTGGTGTTTCTGTGCAAAGGGAAGATATACGGTACCATGATGGTTTGTTTTCATTGCATCGGGACGGCGTTTGGGACGGCTTTCTGTTATATTTCGTTGGGACAACCGGGTCGAGATGGATAAGCTTGTACGATGAAGGTATGAGGATGAGCAGCAGTCTTCCATTATTGAATCGAAAGATGCAAGTTCATCGATGCGTCCAAATGATACAAAAGAAATGAAAATGTGACTACTAACGTTTGTATGAGGATATCCAAAGAAGCAAAGCAAGGACACAAACTTGAAAAATAACGGAGCAAATGAGAAAAGAAATTTTAAAAAAAGAGCAAGTGAATCACCTACTAAAACCACACAATCAAGCAAACTCCTTGACGTGACCGGCGGTCCAGTCCCAAAACGCCTCTGCACCTCCCTTGCCACCGCACTCGGACTTGGGCTTGCCGTAGCTTGCAATGTCGCCGCGAATGCCAAAGAAGCGGCCCCAAGGCCCGATCCACGCGCCAGACTTGTCCAGCGTCACGTCGGGCGACAAGCCAGCAAACAGCTCCGTGTAGGCGCCGAAGACGGGCGGGTGCAGCATCTGGGTGCGGAAGTACTTCATGGCCGCACGCTGGTACCAACTGAGACCGACCTCTTGCTCCTGTTGCTGAGGCTTGTCCTCGTGGCGGCCCCCGATGGAGCGGTACAGGTCCGAGTCCAGGTTGCCCGGGTTGGCGGCCACGGAGATGATGCCGTCGGCCTTGTGGCGGCGCGCGTACTCGACGCTGTGCAGGTAGGAGCCGGCCTTGCTGTTGCCGTACCGCTCCATCGGGTCGGAGATGGGGCGGGCGTAGGTTTTGCTGCCCATGGGCAGGTTGGCCATGTCGACGCCGTTCTTGCCCGAGTACAGCTCGGCAGCCATGGACGCAACCCAGACAACGCGCACACCCGCGGGGTTGCCGGCTGCCGTCTCGTCCTTGGCCGTGGCTTGGAGGATCGGAGTCAGGAGCTGCGTGAGCAAAAATGGCGCCACGGTGTTGGTGCCGAGCTGCAGATCAAACCCCTGGACGGTGGTCGTCGTTTCGCTGGGGGGCAGCATCACACCGGCGTTGTTGAAGAGCACGTCCAGGCGCTTGGCCCTGGCGAGAAACGACTCTACGGCGGGCTTGATGGTGCGCAGGTCGCCGAGGTCGATCTGGACAAAGTGCAGAGCCCCCGTGGACGACGGCGTGGCAGCCTTGACGTCCTCCATGGCCTTTTCGCACTTTGCCTGCGAGCGGCAGGCCATGAAGACGGTGGCATTCTGGGCGTAGAGGATGCGTGTGAGCTCCTTGCCGACGCCGGCATTGGCGCCAGTAATCAAGTACACTTTCCCGGCGAGATTTTTCAGGTTTTTTTCTGTGAATTTGGGTGCCGGGATCATGACATTCTGCGCGATCATGGACGGCCGGAGGAATCCTATGGAAGCCATTTTGGCGATTGTGTGTCTCGTATTCGAGACGAAACGGGAGAGTGAACCGGTCGCAAGATTGCAAGTGCGTCAACTGTGTGGTCGATAGACTTTGACTCTGTGGTTGTCGAGATGTCTAAAAGGCCGTTGTTGCGATAAAGTTGTGATGGTGATGATGCGATACTCTTTCCCAGTTGTGCAAAGACAGCCCCGACGGTGCTTTTATATCGAAAACCTCGCCCATGCGACACAGTCTGCATCTGCCTGGTCAAAAGAACAATAGGTTATACACAGACTACTCAAACATAAACGACCAATGGTTGACGTCAGGGCCGATTCGGCCAACAGACTCGCCGCGGACGCCATCGGCAGTAGTTGCACCTGGCCGACTCCGTTTGCCAACTTGTTTTTGCACTTGAACCTCGACACACTCTGCAACGGGGGTGGAAACACAGTGAAACCGGTCGACATCGAATAAGAACCACGTTCACAAAATAGAAGTAGAAGAATAGAAAACCCGAAATAAGAAGACAAAGAAGAAAAAACGACAGCCATGGTACTTGGCCCGAACCCAACGGACGTATCGTGATCAACAAGATCTGGCTGGTTGTTCTAGCTCCGACTTGGGCGTGGTACCTTGCTTGGCTAACCGCATCACAAGCACATGCTAATGGAGGTTGTGAGTTCTGTTGCATTTGTTGTGAGAGGTACGGAGAAAGGAGAAAGGATTTACGAAAAGGGGCTGGAAAGAAAAGACTGCACTGCATTGGCTGGGATTGCTGCAGAGGTTCACGGAAGGAGCGAAGGTACTCTGGACAAAACTTGCTTTGGTGGCAATGGGATGGTCGTTCTTTCCAGCCCACCAGCACAACACTCCGTCGGGGCGGACAAATATAGACGCACCTTCCGTCCCTAACTGGGTCTAAACCAGCCTGTAGCCTCGGCTGGCAAAACAGCGCAAATCCATCAGTCGACGACTTATATGTGTGAGGCCATCGCCTTGTCATCTGCAGTAACTGTGTGTTCTAGAAGGATATGGAGCATTGTTTGTCCCCGAAGGTAGCATTGATCTTGGAAGACGGCAAGAGCGGCATCTTCAGTGTAAAACAGGTCATTGGAAGACATGTGAATTATATAATCCTGATTTCTCTCTCCTTTTCTAGCTCAAGAAAGCTCAAGAAAGCTCTAGAAATAGATCAAAATGCATTGTCTTTCATCTGGCCATAAGCAGCAGGCAAGTTCCGTCTGATTATTCGCGATTCTGGGGACGGTGAAGAGCCTCATTGCATAGGCGCATGTGTGAGATTTGGCAGAGGAAGGTGTGTACCTGCCCAGTGGACCACACCGCCCAACAGCCGCTACTAGTGCCAAGCGTGTCTGGCAACCGCAAAAAATCAAGGTCACGTCTTTTCTAATGCACACGACAGCATATCACGACCATGCATGTTCAGCGACACCCGTGACGCCACAAGTCTTCACAATCGCAGCCACCTCTGCATATTGCGCCCACTTGCCCATCTGCACCCAATGCCGGTGAACCTGCGGAGCCTCGACCGCTCGGCAAGGGCCGTTGCTGACACAGCAATAAGTAACATGTCAACAACATCCATATTTGCAACAACCACGACTGCAGTCACGGCTAGTAGCACAAGGAATGCACTGTCGCGCGTCTGGCAACAATGTTCATGCCGTCCATTCTCTGCGACAACCGCGGCACCAGCAGCCAGCAACACCCGCTGGAAGGCCCGCCAGGGCAAGGACCAGTATGCGCGTGAGGCCAAGGTGCGCGGGCTGAAAAGCAGGGCCGCCTTCAAGTTGCTGGAAATGGACTCGAGGTACCGTCTGTTCAAACCAGGCCAGACGGTTGTGGACTTGGTAGGTCGCCAGGGACGTGGCGTCGAGAGGACGGGGCTCGTTGCCTGCCGTGCCAGCTGCTAGAGTCTGCTAATTTGTAATTTGTCATTTGTATAGGGATATGCTCCAGGAAGCTGGTCGCAGGTCGCCGTGGAACGCACCAAACCCGCCGGCCGCGTGCTCGGCATCGACCTGATCCCGGCCCAGCCGCCACGCGGCGTGTCGACGATCCAGGGCAACTTTCTGGCGCCGACCGTGCGGCAGATGGTCAAAGACTTTCTGGCCCGGACGCCGATGCAGCCGAACATGCAAAAGACGCTGCAGTCGCCAGCAAGCACAGCGGCTGCAGCAGATGCAGCAGATGCAGATGCCGAGACCGACGCTGACGCCGACACGGAGGCCGACTGTGCGAATGAGAATCGTGAGAGGCACGACAGCCCGCCTTCGACATCGGCTGCCGTCCAAGAGGAGCCGACTGCGACCGATGTCGTGGTGGACCGCCCCAGCTACATTGAGATGGAACGGCGGGCATCGGCCTCCTCTTCCGCGTCTGCCTCGTCCGATGGCGCAGCGTCTCCAATTCCGGAAACACCGGCAACCACCCGTTCTGGCCGCATGGTCGACGTGGTCCTGAGTGACATGTCAGAGCCCTGGCCCCAAACATATGGCTTTTGGCTGAACACGCTGAGTAACCCGTACCACAGGATGATGAACACGAGCGGCAACGCCTTCCGCGACCACGCCGGCAGCATGGACCTCTGCCATGCCGCCCTCGAGTTTGCCAGCGACACCTTGCGCCCCGGAGGCCACTTTGTCTGCAAGTTCTACCAGGGCGGCGAAGACAAGGCTCTCGAGAACCGCCTCAAGAAGATGTTTGCCAAAGTCGTCCGGGAGAAGCCCGAGTCCTCGAGAAGTGTGAGTGGGCCGGGGATCGCGCACGACCCCTGTCTGGTTTTCTCCAATGCGGGCTTACTTGCTAACACGGATCGACTGTAGGAATCAAAAGAGTCTTTCTTCGTGGCCCTGAGGAGGAAAAAGGACGTCACATGGGACGACATTAAAGATCCGTAGGCCACATCCCATATCACAATGAGAAGGACAACGACAACATGCACCACGACATATGATCATAAACGACGGATAGATGGGATAGAGGCGTTCCAATACCATATACCACATTAATATATGTTTGGCTTTACTATGTTCACCTCCATATTATGGCACCTGGATCTGTATTCAATTTTTTTGGCATTTCGTAAATAGAAGAAACGTTTCTGCGGAAAGGTAATATGAAGAAACACCCTGGCCCCTCTGCCTTCCCTTGGCGCCCGAAAACCATTGAGCCTGGAATAGGAATCACAAACAATCCGTTTTTCGAAAAGGACAAAGGCTTTTTATTTTATTTTTCTCCTTCCCGCCCGATGGCACTCTCATCCTTCCAACTTTTTTTTTTTTTTTCATGACGCTGGAAATTTTGCACGGCTTGCGTCCCATATGTTCTCTCACGCGAAGGAGGGAAAGCACATGGAACACACAAGCTAACAAAAGACGAGAGCACCGTACCACCCGACATGCAACAAAGTCCAAATAGACAAGACAAAAAAAATAACAGAAAAGAAAACACCAGACAAAAGTGCATTTTCCCTTTTTGTTCTTCCTTGTCCATTTAGACCTTGAAGCCGCGAGACCGTCTGCGACCACGGGCACGCTCGAACTTGCGGCCCTTGGAGGCCACGTACGGCTTCTTGTGCTTGTGGGGGCCGAAGCCAAAGTGCTTGACGGCCTCACGGGCCTTCTTGGGGCCGCGCAGGAGGAGGGTGTTGGCACCCGTGGGCTTCTCCAGCGCAAGCTGGTCCAGGGTGAGGGCACGGCCGCCGGCGGCGGTCAGGCGGGCGCGGGCCGTGGCGGTAAAGCGCAGGGCAGCGACCTGGACCTTGGGGACGGTCAGCAGGCGGTTGTCGTCGGTGACGGTACCGACAACGACAACGGTCTTCTTGGCGCTGTCACCGTTGCGGGTGTTGGCAGCGATGCGCGACAGCGAGACAGGAGGGCGGTTGATGCGCGACATAAACAGGCGGCGCAGGATGACCTTGTTGAAGGACGCATCGGTACGGCCTAGACGGTGGTCGGTCAGTCGGTGGAACAATACATTTCAACAGCGCCACGATTGTAGACAGTGTGGTTGGGAGGGGGAGTGAACTCACGGGCCAGGAAGCGGTAGAGCTTCACGAGCAACTTCAGGTAGACGTTGTCGCTCTTGGGAGCGGCACGGTGCGAGTTGCGCACGTGGTGGTGCTTGAGATCGATACCTACAAAAAGAAAAAGAAAAAAGAAATTCCTCCCAGTCAGCCCTTTGGTTCTTGGTATGCTCAAAACAAAAAACGAGATTTTGAGGACGGCAGGCCGGAGCAAGCAGTCCCAGACAAGTTCGGCAAGGAGATATAACAAAGACTGTTTCCGTGCAGTCGCATGACGGGCTGTTTTCGACTGTCTCAATTCCCTCTCAAGCCACTTTGTCCGCCCTCTGTTTTACAAGAGGGGGAGCCAAGAGAAGCCATTCCGGAGCGAGAGCAGATCAAGAAAGATGCCCGCAAAAGCGAAGACCCGAAACAATCCTCATCTCCAAGTCGAACACGTCAAGACGCCGCAAACCCAGCCGCCAAGAGTTCGCAGGAGGGAGCCGAACAAAAGCAGCCAAAAGGTCGGAACAGACGGGACAAAGAAACTTCCACAAGCAGGACGAGACGTCGATTACCGTTCGGCAGAGATGTCCTCAAGAGCAGGTCGGTCGAAGATCAGGTAGCACAGCACAAACGGGTAGCAAGCCACAGAAAATGCCCATGTTTAGCATGATGGCAGCATCGCTCGTCTCTTTTGCATCCCGTCTCGTCGTTTTACGGGCGAGACGAGAGAATCAAGATCAAGACCCATCGCCACAGATGCTTCCGCATCGGGCCCCCCGTCCGTCTCCTGGCGGCAATTGCCCCGTGTGTGCGGCGCTGCTTGATGTCTGGCTTCGACGCAACCTCGCTCTCTCCATTCTCTCGTGTCGGGTCTCTCGGGTCTCGTCTCGATGGAAAATGGGCGCGGAGAGTCTCTTGTCCTCGTCTCGTTGTCGTTCCCAATGGCCACAGATGTCGTTGTCATCCCTCCCACTCGCACACTTGAAAAGGAAAAAGAAGTCTTTTTTGCCTTGTTACCGCCCACTGTCCGCCGTCTCTCGTCCCTTTTGCAAAGGACAGAGAAAAAGCGTCCAGTCGGAAGCAAAGGACGCAAGAGCTTGCTCTCTCACGTACCCATCGTAAAAGCTGACTCTCGGAAGAGATTTTGTGTAAAATGAACCCCAGGTAACCCGCAAAATGTCGAGATGAAAAAAGTTGGTTGACAAAAGAGTGTCGTGATGGTTGGGGCAGGGAGAAGGAAAAAAGAGATAGGCCACACGGAAAAGAGAGGGGACTGGTGCAAAAAAATTATTAGCAAAATCTGGGCCAACAGCAAAAGCGGAAACTGAAAAGTGGACTGCTCTTTCCCTTTTTTCCTCCGTCTTTCCTCGTTTCGTTCTCAAGTGCTTGTAGTACGAGTTAGTGGGTGGGCGGTGAAGAGCGGCAATTAGGGTATTGTGTCTTGTTGCTGATTGGTGCCCCAATGAAAGGCGCTACTGTAGATTCTTATGTAATAAATGACAAAGCGAGTATCTTTTGGTGACTTGCCTGACCATACTTCAGATGACATAAGGAACATGTGTTCGTGTTCGCAGCTCGTGTTTCCCAGTGTCAGATTCCGTAGATGGTTGTAAATAAGAATTCTCAAGTAAAACAAAGTACAGGCGCTGCCTCCATGCAAACCAGTTCCAGAGCCCAGTCTATCCAAAACGCAAAAGGAAAGTAAACCAGTCCCTCCCAATGCAGTGAAATCTATACAAAGTCCCGGTCCTATGACTGCTTCCTCAAAACTACTTGATGAGTATCCTGATAGCTTGTTGTGCTGACGACCAATATCTCGATACCCCTATAGCGGAAAGGTAGGCCATTGGGACGGGGCAGGGAAAGAAAGAATCGTGACGGACATCTAAGGTCTAGCGTCTAGACATAATTTGGAAATGATGCTCTCGCGCTGTCTCTCAATGATAAATCAAAGAAAAAAAAAGAAAAAAAAGCAAGAGTGAGAGACGTAAAAAAAGAATATGCATCCAACAACCACTCAAGAATATATACTTGGTTATAAGACAGCTTCCTCGTCCTGTTCAGCACGCAGCCCCAGGAGGAAGTCGCGCGACATTTCGAAGCTCAGCCAGCTGGACGCCATGCTCGGCGTCACCTTGAGCAGATTCGGGACGATGCCCTTGTACAGGCCCCTGATGCCTTCTTGCGCAACAATCACACGGATGGCGTCCGTTAATGACTTGTACTGGTAGCCCATGCCCGACATTGTGTTGATCTGGAACCGGCGTCGCAGGACGTCACTAAGAACGTTGGGAGGAAAGGTTAGCAAGCCAAAGGCTCGTACATGGTGTGTGTCAATGGCTCGGGGCTCTACGTCTAGACGTACAAAGGATATGTGCAGGTTTGCGCTACGGCGCCAGAGATGGCACCTGCCGCGAGTTTCCGTACGGCCGTCGGGTTCTTCTCGCCGTCTTTTGTAAAGTATTGCCGGACCGCTTCGTACGTCATAAAGTTGAGGCCGACGTATGGTGCCACGCCGGCCACGGTCGGGATAATGCCGCGGTACAGCGCCTTGAAACCGCCTTCGTTCTTGTACATCAGCACGAGTGTGGCCCACATGCCGGGCATCTGTCCTGCCCGGTTGCCCAGGCCTGCAAAGGAGGCTGTCTGGATCGAAAGGCGTGTCCGCACAATGTCGAGAGGGTATGTGAAGACGACGGATGTGATGCCGGCAATGCCACCGCATGTGAGGCGCGCTAATGATGTCAGGTCGGCGCCGGGATACGACTCGAACAAGTGCTACAATGGAGAACATGTTAGAACGCCCGTCCATGGGAAATGGAGCGTGACTGATAAGAAGGCAAGACCGCCGACGCCTTGGCCGCGCACCTACGTACCGTCTTGTAGAAGTTGTAGCTGCCAAACTGCACGGCCGAGTAGGGCACAATGCGGATGCAGTTGGTGCCGTTGCCGCGCATGAACCCGCGCCAGCCCTCCTCCACCCACATCTTCTTGAGCGCCTGGCCCACGGGCATCTGGTATTCCGTGCGGCCCACGCTCTGGATCTGGAACAGGATCTTGAGGCGCTCGAGGGGTGACACGACTGTGCGGGAGACGGCTCCAGCGACGCCACCGCCGCAAAAGGCCGCGACGACGGGGTCGGAGAAGAAGAGGCGACTCTGGGCGAGGATGTCGGTCCCCACGACCGGTTTCCGTTTTATTAAGTCATCCTAGGCGTAGCGTATTAGCAGAGGGCCAGCGGAGGGGAGGAAAAGTCGGGGCGAGGGTGGACGTACAGTCGCCATTGTGTATGTCTGTATGTCTCGGAACGGCAGAAAAAGAAACGGGCAGGATTGCCCCGGCAAAAAAGTCACCCTCCGCAAACAGGCCAATTGACGTGGCAAAACGCCCTCAAAAGCTTCGCTCGCGTTTGCCTCGCTCCCCAGCAGTACGAAGCGACACACGGGCTGTGTGAATGCTGTGTGGTCGTCGATGCGGCGGCTGTGTTTGGGTCGATCGTGGTCGATCGTGGTCGCGTCGGAAAAGGGTTGTCTTGTCGGATTGCGCAGGGCACAGGCAGATATGCACGAGGTTGCAGGTGTCTTGCAGGGTGCGCGCAGGGTCGGGAAGGGGGAAATTTTAGCAAGGAAATGCTTAACCCGAAAAGGCGATTTTGCGGAGGAAGGGGAGCTAGGTTGGCTTCGAAGGGACGTAGTCGACGGGCTTGCCGGTCGCGCGCGTGTGACAGCTCGCGTGTCAAGGTCAAGAGGCTGCGAGGACAGAGAGGAGGCTGATTGAACATGAAATTGATTTGCAAAGAGCTTCCGTTGGCTGTTTTGCGCTCGAGGTCACGATGAGGGTCGAGGGTGCCAGGAAACGGGTTTCAAAAGCCGGGGCGCCAAAGTGGGTTGCATTGAGCAAGGCTGCATTGGAAGCGGCTTAGTTCGGATGGCGGAAGCAAGGAAACGACCGGGTGCAGGCGCTGGACAGTGGTCGATAGCCGAACAAAAGAAGGACGAAAACGAACGACGGCCCGTTGTGAAGGAAAGTTGAGGCAAAAGTGGTAAACGATAAATGGGTGGGAATGTAACGATATTTGTCTGTTCGCGCAGATTCTTTGACAAAAGACTGCAGAAGACTCTCCATCAAATCGAAGGGTCGGCGAGCAGGGGCACAGGGGCACAGGGGCACAGATGATGTGTGTCGGAACACGGCGAGGGAATAGATGAGGTAGACGACCGTGATAAGACGGATAGATCGAAAGAAGAAAAGAGTGTTGTCGAAATCGATTCCGGGTTTGAGAGAAATGGTAAAAACTGGAAGGAAGGAAGCTGTGTCCTGCCGACTGTCGCTCTTTCCCTGCGTCTTGAAAATCCAAGGAAGGTACCGGTGTTTGCTGTTGGAGAGAAATGGGAAGGAGCAACGGGATGTACTTTGGTAATGCCCAGGCCGTGCGCTTATTTATCAGTGTCTTGTTGGGAGTCTGATGACTCTTTCGTCAGTGTCGACAACAAATCCCACAACGGCCGCGTCAAGCAGGGGGGAACGAAGGAAATTCCAGAATGAAAATGAAGCCAGATGCGAGGAGGGCCAAAAAGGGAAAACACTTGAGGACTCCTCGAGGAACCCTTGGCAGCCAAGAGAGCAGACGGCCAAGATGAATTGGGGACTTGGTCGTTTGGCAAGACGCCAGCTGAACTGTCTCCCAGACGTAGCAGTGGCCCAGGCCAGGCCTAGCTCGTCTCCGAGTTGGACTGAGGGAGCCTGGGGCGTAATACGTCGCTGAAAACGGCAATCTGGCTGTGCAAAGCACAGCACGAATACGGAGCAGGAGTCTACAAGCGCCGGCATGAGGAAATGGTCAAATGTCGTGCGAAGAAGGGACAAGCAAAGAAGTGACAGGCAAACATACGCACGCTCGCTGCGCTTTGTTTCTTGAGGTCGAATTCGCAACTGAAAGCCGAAGTGACATGGGCAGTGCGGCAGAAAAGTGGATACGCTCATAGACGAGGCTGATAGCCGAGTCCCTCTTCAGATGGCATTCTTGGCACCTTTGGTGAGTGCTCTGTACGGGACTACGCACGGGTTGCTTCGGTACTCACAGTCAGCCGTCATCGATCCAAGTAAGGGAAAAGAGTGCGCCCCAGAGGCGTTGGGCCCTGAGATCATGTCTCAGACCAGCCGGCCAAGACATATGCCACTTTCAAATGTGACCTCCCGCATATCCTGCGCCGCACACTACAGAGGACATGTGCTTCCAAAGCGTTCCAATAGGGCGGCAAACACGAAATCGTGAAAGCAGGGCGAACTCAGATCAACTGCATCTTACAACAGGGTGAGACTCGGCATAATGGAAATAAAGCGTCCTGTTGGGTTGGCCAGGGCGCTAAATGATCAAACAGGCAGAAGACAACTGGTCACGCTGCGATGTGGGAGACCAATCTCAGCGGCTCAGACTATTTTTCTCAGCGACCTATTGCCGCGGCCTGTGACTTCCCGGACAGCCAATCCCTGACTGTCAAATGGCTTTCTCAACCTGTGAAATACGTTGTCGCTCCATGGCTCTGGAACAAAGTGTCGTGGTGGCTTTGGGAGGTGCCACAAAAGTCTCTCTGACTTGTTAGAGGAGACAAAAACTGCAAGAACACGTACTATTCTTGTCTCTACAAGCGTCCTTATACGAGGGTGAAAGCCTCGAGGAGAAGTTTAGAAAACAGGTCGGGGTATCCTTCCCTAGCAGTAGTGCGAGGCCACGAAGACTTTGGAGACGTAGCTGGTTGAAGTACATCACTTTGAGGAGGTGGTGGTACCATCTGTTGTTATCGACAGACGCCGGGCCCGGTTTCGATTCCGGCCGAACAGTTTTACCATGTAGGTACATTAACTTCTTATCGTTTTGTCGATTTTTTTCACATCATCTCACTTGCCTAACGGAAGTCCTACTAACCTGCCTCTGATTTTCTTGGTGTAAAGGTGCTTGCTTCTTTCTTCTGTGCTTTTGCCTTTTCCATCCTCCCAAGCCCGCTTATCTAATCCGATAAACTAGCTTATTAGTGGGTTGAACATCCTACCAACTCACGTATAAATAAGGGTCGGCGATTATATAAAATAAGGGCATAGGGATATACGTTTATATAGGTTTATATGTCAAACAATCAGAAACGACTCAGTCTCCTATCTAGTGAGAGGAGGAAGCCTTAGTCTTATATATCTATCGAACCTCATACCCGTAGAAGGTTTACGATGACATCGTACAAAGTTGACACTTTAACCTCATTCCTGTATAATGGTTCCGTATAAGGTTTCATACCGCGTTCCTGTTAGTCCAACCTCTCCAACGAGCCTTGTCTTTGTGACTTCTCTGGTGCCCTACCCCTGTCAGCTGCCTGACAGTCACTCGTTTCAATGAACATCTACGCCCCTCCCGTGTTTATCTCTTTATCTTTAACGTAACAATCTAAGACCCAGCCGTACTCTCGCAGCCATAGACTGTCAACACACGACACGAATCAGAGCCTAGACAGCGTCTTATGGGTTGTGTCGAACAGCGTACTCCTGCTTTCCCTACTATACCCCCACGAGCTATTCCTATTGACTTTATTCTGGCAGCTATGGAGGACCAGCAAATCACAGTATCCGACGAGGGGGCGCCCAAAATATACAAATAACGGTCGCATCCTCCAACTTTTCTCTCTCTCTCTCTCTTTCTTCCCACACACACGCACAGTCGCAACTTCTCGTCTCCTCTTACATTCCCTCGCCTTTTCCATTATAACACACTACGCAGCATCAAAAAAAGTCCAACCTTCACTATGCCCAACCCGACGCAACCTTTAAGGCTTGACCCTGATATCGTCACAAAGGGATTTGTCCCCGCTGATAGAATCAGAAGTCTGGGCAAGGAGCGCGACACCAGTGTCGCCAGCGAGAAAGTCAACGAGCTGGTTAGCTACTACAAGAAGGAGGAGTCTATGGTCAAGGCATACGTGCGCCGTCGCGGCGTCGAGTTCACCGACGCAGATCTGGCCCTGGCAGACGATGGCGTCCTGGTGCAGCGCTCCATCGAGACTGGGTCTATCCAGGATCTCGAGCAGATTGCGGTCGCCACCTTGAAGTTGACCTCCAAGCTGTCAGAAATCCAGGTGGATGATCTCAAGAAGCTGACGGCCGACATCATTCGACGAGAGAGGGCGTTGATCGATGCTCTTAATAAATACGGAGAGGGACTTAAACATGAGGACTAAGAAGGGGGAACTATTTATTCTGTACGAAATACAGATGGGATGGATGCAACGCTGGGGAGGGGTGGGGCGGTGGGGCACGGCTAGCTAGAGGGCTCAGGCTGTCAGGGTAGCAAAACCTAGAAACTTCTGGACGGGAAGAACATAACAGTGACGACACTAATATGAGCTCCAGTCAAACTGGCATACTGGCTCCTCAAAAATAACAGTAACATAACGTCCACTTAGACAGTGGTCCGAGCAACCTGCAAATCAAATATCCACAAATGTGTATTTCTCTAATCGGGGAACGATATATTTCTATTTACGAGTTGCATCCCGTTCGATATCGACGCCGAAAGACAGTCGAGAACAAGAGGACGAGGACGAAGAAGAGTAGGTTGCATCAACGACTTGACCTCAAACAGTAGCAACAGCAGAAAAAAATCAAAAACAAAATAGAAGGAAATAGAAACACATTACTTTTGTGGGCGTTCGGTCTTCAAGAAGACAGCCCCCGAAAAGAGCTGCTTGTCGCACATTCTGCCATTGACCGTTTCGTGCCGTCGGCGAGCGTTCCTTTCGTGACAGAAGACAAAGGGTGAGAAAGACGGACTTGGATATGAAGGGGGCCGAGCTCGAGGAACCGACATCCGCCGCATAGCCCTCCGTAAGGGACGATCCTCCCGCAAGCGATAGCTGGGGTTCGCAGTACGTGGCGAGGGGACGACTAGGGGGGGAAGGGCACGGTTGGAAACACGATGAATATAAACGACGAAGGGCGCGGGAGGGATCGAAATGGTATTTGGATTTTTGAAAGGAGTTGGAGAACCGACAGACGTTTCCGCGTGCGACACCGACCGAACCGATCACTAAAATAAGAGAAAACAAAACAAGAGAGTGAAATAGAGGAAAGAGCTGACAAGTACACAAAGGAAAGGTGGCGAGGTGGTTCGAAGAGACAAGCTCTGGCTTCCATCTCATCAACAAATTCAAAGAGCTGAGTAGGCAGGGCGCGAGCAGGGCACTTAGATGTTATAAGAAACAATATACCGTGGCGGCAGACGGCCTCGGGGCAGCTTGAGGCGCTTGCTGCGGCAGGGGCGGCTGCGTCGAGGTACCTCGTAATCTCTGGACCGTGTCTGTTTGGACCCGAAAACGTTTTCTCCCATGCTGCGTGTCGTCAAGTTATCGGGACACTACTCTGCGACGTCCAAGTCGTCGTGAGCTGGGGGAGGCGGGCTGTCAATGCGCTCACGCTCCTTACGGTCGTCACCGTTTGTGCCGTTCTCACGGCGCTCGTCGCGTTCCTCCTTCACATCACGGTCACGGTCACTACTGCGCAAGTTATTAGCAATACGTTACGTGGTGGGAGCGACATGGACATCAATCGGTACAAAGGGTAAAACCATACCGTTGCTCCGGGCTGCGAGACCGGTCACCGCGGTCGCGACGCGAGTCACGGTCGCGGTCGTAGTCGCGGTCGCGGTCACGACGGTCATCCTTACGAGGCGAGGCATCACGGCGGCGAGGAGACGGGGAGCGGCCACGACGGGGAGAGCGGCGGCGATCGCGTTCGCGGCCGGAGTCGAACCGCCACGAGGCGGACGGGGGAGTGCGTGCCCACTATAAAGCCGCTCGTCAGTCATCTGTGGTAAGACACAGAGCCAAAACGCCCACAGGTTGTTGTAGAAATATCCGCTTCGGGGTGTTTGCTTACTTCGATCTTCAGGATGTCGTCACGACCAATACGCTTGTTATGCATGTCGTGGTATGCATCGTCGGCATCGCGGCGGTCCTCGTATTCGACAAACGCAAAGCTACATCAACGTTAATCCATGTGTCCGAGGGCAGAGGCGCTTCGTGGAAAGAAATCGTATGTGATTCGCATGCCCGAGAGCGGTGCAGGTACTTACAGACGGCTGGAGGCGGAACGAGGAGCGGGGATGTCGCAGCGGACCAGGCGGCCGTAGCTAGATTGCAAATATCTGTCAGTACTGTCCGTGTCGATATGTCTGTCAAGATGGTGAAGCTCGTGGCGTGTCTTCTTTCTTCGTCGCTTGGCACGCTGACGTCGACAGAGTGCAGACGTACGCACGACATGCATGCTCTGCGTTCCATTTCGTGCCACCCTTCGCGTATTGCCCAACGACGTCCTAGAAATGAGGTGGCATAGGAGGGGAAGTAGCCTGTCTCCTCACAATAACCAGCAGCCAAGGGTGCAATGCTGTGCAACAGGAACGACGCTATCGTACCATTCGCTCCTTTGCTGGATAGAGGGCTGGGCAGGATGAGGCGACGTACGCAGACGAAAGCGAGAATGGCAGCGAGGAGCAAGGGGGCGCAAACGAGGGTGAAAACACGGTTTGACGAGGCTACGTCGAGAAACGCAGAAACGGAGGAATGGGAGGGACAGGGGTGAGAACGGAGGAGAAAAAGGACGGTCGCGACGAGGAGGAGGACGAGGAAGACGATCGCGAAGAGAAGGACGAAAAGGACGGAAGGCGAGAGACGGAAAGAGGACGGCAGAGGACGAACGAGGATGCGAGGAACTCTGTTTTTCGCAGCTCCGTGTCGACGAGCGAGAAAGACGAGGCCATTTTGATGACCTTTTCTCAGGAAACATACCGTTCGAATTCGTAAGCGAGATCGCGTGCGCGAGTGCCGTGGCTGAAGCCGGTCACGTAGAGAGTCGTGCCGCCGCGAGACATTGTCAAAGTACAAATGTGCAGGCGCAAGGTAATGGAAGAAAGCAAGACAGGGTCGTGGCGACGTCAAGAAACAATCGAAGCGATGATTGTGCGTAGCGAGAAAAATAAAAGGGGGGGAAGATATAGTGTTGTAAAGAAAAGGGAGAAGAAAAGTTTCGGAAGGCCCCAAAAACCATTTATGGAAGGAGGACAAAGAGAGACAGAATGCGAAGGAAGGCGAGAGTCGAAAAAATAGATGATGCGACGCCCGCTAGGGTAGGTGCGACCAGCGGCCGAGCCTAGTGAGCAACAGGCTGCGTCGTGCTTTGCCACTCGTCTAGTCATGACCCACAGTCACGTGGCGTAGCGCGACTGCGGCAAAAAGAGTTTCATCGTGGGCGCGCTTCCAAAGCCAACTACGAAGCCGCGCATAGAAGCGTGGTAATAAGACCATACGATGTACGTCGTATTAATGGGACCTGGCCCAGGCCTCACAGATAAGCGAGTTCGGGCAATTAACGATTACTATTGGAAACGTTTACTAAGCTTGTGCATAAAGCAGAAGCAGTCAAGCATAGGCTATGTAACTACCGCACCGGCATTATACCAACGGCAAAAATAGCCGCAACAGGCACATCAAAGCAGCTACAGGATCAGATACAGGCTGCACAAGATCGTCGGCCCCATGAAAATCCCGGCCCAGAACATGATGTTGCCCAGCGTCTGGCGGTTGCGCATCCACCGTGTTCTGCTCAAGCGCACCAGTGGCAGCTGGCACATCTGCAGAAAGAGCAGGTAGCCGCGCAGTTTCTTGAAGATGCACCACATGACGAGCTCGTGGACGCACGCGGACAGGAAGAAGGTGATGAGTGTTGCCGTGTACTTGTTGACCTTCATCGCCGAGATGGAGCTGTGGTAGACGTGGCGCAGCAAGAAGAGGTGCACCGGCCGGTTCCAGTCGCGCGCAAACTCGTCCCATGTGACCGAGTTCCACCAGGCCGAGTAGAAGTTGCGGTCGGCAAAGAAGGTGATCTCGGCGAGGAAGTTGAGAATGGTCTCCCAGATGAGATACCAAGTGAGCTGTTGAGGCACGTTAGCAGAGTGCAGAGTCGACACGTCCGAATGTTCAACGGGACACACGTACCAAATACTCCATCATGAAGGGGAAAATGAGGTCACTCAACATCCACGGGAACTCTTTGAAGCGCTCAGCCAACGGCATGCCGGCCTCCTTCATCGCAAGAGTGCGCATGACGACGGGGTACATGAACGCCTGGGACACCATAATCATGACAAAGATGATGCCGAAGACGGCGACCAGCTTCTCGGCAGCGTAGCGCCAGTTGATCGTCTCGGACCGCGGGTATTCGAGCTCGTACACGAGCGTCGGCAGCACAATGTACTCGTAGTGGTTGTTGAACGTCAGGTTGTGGGGGTACATCTTGTCGGGCCGCGTCGACTTGCCACGCAGCTCTTCGGTCAGACCGTCAATCTCCCAGTGCAGGATCCGCTCAAACACGCGCGCCTGCTGGTAGTCGAGGGGCTGCCCGGACTGCAGGGCGGCCACGACCTTGTCGAGCGCTTCGGGGGTCGCCGTGCTTGCCGCCATTTGCTCCGCGATGGCGTGGGAGCCTTGCTTCTTCGCATGGCCGTCCTCGGTCTTGACGCCAGACGACACGGCTGCGCGAGCCGCGGAGGCCAGTGCGGCGTCGGCTTGAGGCCGGCTGGACGTCCGAATCTTGTCGCCAACATCACCCTCGTGCAGCTCGGCACGCTGGAGCTCCTCGAGGCGCGCCTGGAGCGTCGCGCGGCGCTTGTAGATGGACGACAGGTAGCCGTTGTAGAACGCGTACGAGTGCTGCTTCATGAGCATGACGAGGCCATGCAGCACAAAGAAGACGGTGTGGGACCAAGGCCAGTCGCGCAGCTGCGTCCAGCCGATGAAGAGGGCAACATACATTGTCTGCCAGATGTTCTGGACAATCCAGCCGGCGCCGTCCCACTCCATGAGCCGGCCGTCGTGGACAACGAGCTGGATCAGCCAGCTCACACCCGTCAGCGCACACAGCACGCCGTCCGACAGCAGCATGACAACCACGTCGCGGTGGAACATGTTGGCCATGATCTCGTTGGTGCCGAGCGGGCTTCCGGTCTTGCGCCAGTTTTCGGCACCGATCTTGATCATAAAGACAAAGACCGAGATCCAAAAGAGCGTGAAGAAGCCGTGGAAGGGGCTGTTCGCCGCGGCGGCGTTCTGCCGGTCAAAGGTCGAGAAGCCGCGCGTAAACACAAAGTCGCTGAACCGGCCACGCGGCTTCTTCTTGCTCTTGGGCTTCGAGGACACCGAGCCACGACGGTGCTTGGCCTGGCCACCGTCGTCCAGCAGCGCCTTGTCGTGGACGGCGATGCCGTCCAGCAGCCGCCGCTTCTCTTCCATGTCCTCGCGCATGTGCTCCAGGTCGGCGCGCAATATCTCCACAAGCTTGGGGTCGTCAATGGACACAACGTAGCTTTGGCCGTGGCTGTCCGTCCGACCGGCACCGTACTCCTTGACGGACGACAGGCCATTCGCATCGCCGTCGATGGATTCGGACGAGGACACCGCCGTCGTGTCCGAGGAGTGCTGCGCGCCCTGGCTGTCCCTGCCGCCACCGGCACTGCTGCTGCCGCTGCCGCTGCCGCTGCCGCTCTTCTCTTCAAAGATCACCGTCGCCGACAGCTTGCGCCCACCCCGCTGCAAGCGCGACGTCGGCGAATATACGGCCTCCCGTTCCAGGCCCTCTCGTGGCGAGCCGCCCTGCTTCGTCGTCGTGTCGTCGAGCTCCGAGGCGTCCGCCTGCACCTCGTTGCGCAATTGGGTCTGAGGCTTGCGGCGTTGGCGGAGCACCATGCCCTCGGCGGGCCGCGATGTGAGCTCGTCATAGTCCTCCTCGCTGGGGCTTTCCGAGGCTGTGACGGATGCGTCTGAGCTAAATGTGCGGTCCAGTCGCCCGGAGGAAACACGAGCAGCGTAACGCATGGCATTGGGCCGTTGTTCTTGTTGTTGTTCTTGTTGATTTTGTTGATTTTGCGCGACCGCGGCACCGTCACTGCCCCCTTGGAAAGCAGTATCGTTCGGCGCCATTGTGGTATGAGGGTCTAGTCAATCGGTCCTTCCCAATACTGTTTTGTCTGAAAATCGAGTTTGAGCGTGAGCTTGAGCTTCCTGCCCTTTTATGTCAACCCAGATGGGAGGGTTTGTAGTGACGTAGGGCAGGTGCGAAGAAAAGGAAACGGAAGAAAGAAAGTGGATATGCGGACCCAAAATAGCTGTCTGGATTGGGTGTGGCAGCTATGGAGTAGCAACTATAGTGGACTCGGCCCCTTCAGCAACAGTAGTGTGAAATAAGCCGCGCAACAGAGGGGTTGACAAAGTTGGAACGGAACAGCGATTCTTCAGATTGAGAGACGGGTATTCGTAGTGCGACTGTAGAAGAATCGGCAACGACCTCGCTTTTTTATCGAATTTAGAAACGTTTCAGTCGGAAGTCTACTTTGGGGCGAGGGCGAGGTCTGACAGCCGTAAGGTGGCAAGAACAGTGGTTTATGTAAGAGAGGTGAAAAGATGACCACTACGTCGCGCCTTCCGGATTCTTCGGCGCCGACACCAGGCCAGGAAATGGTGGGCGAGGAAGGTGCGAGCGAGTCCGTTATATGTTTCGAAACCAGGAGAGCGCATTGAATCCGTGAATTGAGGCGCGCCTTCCAGACAAGCATGTGAGAGAAACAAAAGCGAGAAATACCGAGGGAAAGAACGAACCCGATATTTGCGGAAAATAAATGCGAGGTGCAGGAGCGAGGGGGGAATCGCAATGGAGAGCAGGGAATGGTTTTGGACGGGGGGCGCGCAGAGGCTCAGCGGTTAGGGAAAGAGCCTCCAAGCCACGGATGGTACTCGAAATACGCCATACGTAAAGGTGCATGCATGACAGCTCCAGGTGTCCACTCTGTTACAGGGTAATGCCAGCGCCAAGATGCACTAATACAGGACAGCGAGCCACTATCCCAACGTCTTCCGAGGTGGCTAGCGCTTACGGAGCGATACCGATCCCCAAACGTCAAGTACTGTGTATTACTGGCACTGCCTATCTGCGCTTCTTCCTGCTTAGTATCCAGTCTCTGACACCTTCCACATCACTCTCTCAGAGCGCTCAAATTGGCCGATTGCTCAATGGGCGACCTGACAACGGGTATTTTTCGCCGCATCGCCTATTCCGAGCCATGTGGCCGCCGATCGTGCAAGTCTCCATTCCGTCTTAGGTCAAGCCACTCTCTATCCGGTGCCATCAAACACAGGCGCGTGATGAGTGCCGGAGCGGCCGGAACGCCACAGGCACCCGAAAGCGTCCGGAGAGAACGGCAGCCATGAGGCTGTATTGTGAGGAGGGCTGTTGCATGTGTAGTACTGGCAGCATATTACGAAGGAGTCGAGCGAACAAAGTGGTTCCGGCAGGCCTGCGTTTGACGACGCAAACATCGTCGTGGCGACATGGTATGTCTCAGTGCGAAGTAAGATGGAAGAACATGAAAGTATTTGAACAAAAGACAAAAAGTAAAATACCAAAATGAAAACAGTTGAGAAGGGAAACGGAATGACGAGAAAACGAACAAGACAACCGCAAAACAAGGCAGGAGACGCAAAAGGAGACGCACGAAAGCTGGAGAGAAAACGTCCACCGTCTCTGTGTGAAGCCGCACCGATTGTTGCCTTCTCGCCCTGTTTTTTATTGTTTGCCCAACAATGTCATACCCAAACATGGTTCCTGCTTCCTCTCGGTGTCTCGTTTGTCGCGTCCTGGAAATTCACGTCATCTTCTCGTGCGTCGCCATCAACGAGCCTAGAAGAAGAAAAGAGAAAAAGGAGGGTTAGTGGCATGTTACTTTGAAACAAAACTGCTTTCAAAATGTAGAAGGAGCTCACCAATGAAGGTCGTGACCAGGCGCGAGCGCACCTGGCAAATGTCCTCGGGCACCAGCCAGATGGTGGCGCCCAGCTTGCGAGCAATGCTGATGCTGAGCTTGGCGTTGAGGTACGCCTCCTCGTCGTTGCGGCCGCTCGTGACCAGGTCGTAGTCGACATAGCTGCTCTTCATGCCGTTGAGCACGTCCAGCAGGAACACGCCCGTGCCAATGGCCGGGTCCTTGAAGGAGCGGATGGTCGAGTTGCGGCCGCCCTTGCGCGACATGTCGTTGGCCCACCGAACCATCTCGGCATCCGTAATCTCCTTCTTGCCCAGGCGCTGCGCCAGCGACGACAGCGTCACCGTAATGTCGCGGCGCATCAGCTGCCACACGAGGCCGAGCGTCAGCGTCTTCTGGCCGTCCGTAATGTCGGCGCCCTGGATGCCGACCAGCGAGAAGCCGAGCTGCTTGCCGAGCTCGATGGCGTAGTTGGTGTTCTCGACGGCCTTGAAGCGCATGACCTCGCCGCCGCTCGCGGGCCGCTTGTTGACGAACCGCCAGTTGACCGAGCCGGCCACGACCTTGTCGTAGGCCTGCAGCAGGATGGTGCCGTCGCGCAGGTCGTCAAAGAACGACTGCACCGCGGGCTGCACGTCCAGGCTGTTGAGCCACAGCGTGAAGACGCGCGCCTCGCGCTCGCCCTCGGCGTCAAAGTCCTCCACCTCGGCCTTCTCCTCCTCGGTGATGGGGTCGAGGGCGGGGTGCGTGTTGAACAGGTTGGCGACAAAGGCGAGGTTCAGCTTGGGGTTGCCGGCGACAAGGGACGTCGGCGACAGGAACTTGCGGCAGCCCAGCTTGTCGGCGTTCTGGAGGACCTCCTCGGCGCGCTGCAGGGTGTCGCGGGTCTGGAGCGGCGCACGCGTGCAGCCGTACTCGTGGCCGATCTGGGCGAGCAGGACCGTGTAGTTCTCGCCATCCTTGACGTCCGACGAAAAGTTGGAGACGGTGCGGGGCCAGTTGGCGGCCTTGAGGTGGTAGTTGAACCAGCGCAGCAGGATCTGCTCAGGCGGCAGGCGCAGGAACTGCTCGAGGGTCTCGCCGTCCTCCAGCAGGCGGTACAGCTCCGGGTGCAGCTTGATGTCGATCTTGCCGAGCAGACCACGGCGGATGATCTGCCAGATCAGGCCAAGAATCAGATGCTCGCGCACCTCGATGATGTCGCCGCTGCCAATGTTGACGACGGAACAGCCGATGCCCTTGGCGGACTCGATGACAATGTTGTTGTTCTCGGTCATCTGGAATGCGTTCAGGGTCTTTGTCTTGCGGCCGGCAACGTTGAGCACACGCTCGTCGATGGTGTCAGGCACGCTGTCGTTGATGAGCTTGGCCAGGACAAGGCCGTCCTTGCACTCGTCAAACATCTCAAAGGTGTCTGTGGGAAAGGGCAGGCGGTTGCCAATGTCCGGGTCGCCGGCCAGGACGGCGTTGATGTGGCGGGTGAACTCGGTGCGCTCGTCCTCGTTGATGGTGTGGGTGGTATTGGCGTTGGATCCCTGGACGTGGATCTTGCCGCTGACGCTGCCCTTGGAGGCATGGCCGCCGCCGGCGCCGCCTGTCCGCTGGGAAACGATGCCAGCCTTTGGTGACGCCGGGCCGGGGAGCGGCGAGGCGCCGGTGGAGATGCGCTTGGGGTCGCCAGCGCCACTGCGGAGGTTTGCGATGAGCTGGGTGGTGCTGTTAGCGAGTGCCAGTGGCGGGAAAGTGAGATTGGGAGACGAAGAAAACAAAAGAGAAGAGACGTACGCCGACATAGTCTTCGAGCTCGACGCGCCGCGACGAGTCGAGGTCCACCTCCTTTAGAGCTTGGCGTACGACGTCGTATGGCTGACGCTCGCTCGCCTGTGTAGCCTTGATGGCCGTGGCCTCGTCGACGTAGCCCTTGTCATCGACATCGAGGTTGCGGAAGGCATTGCTCAGTTCAAAGATCTCATTCTGTTGGAATTGAGGAAATTTCCTGTCCGGGACACTCGGGTCAGTAAGGCCGAAGGAGGGCAGAACGGACGCACGCCAACCAAGCGGCGGCAGAAACCAAGAAACACAAGGGACACTCACCTCTGAAGCTTGAGAACGTTCATGGTGGGCAAGGAGCGGTTGTGAGAGTAGAAAAGAGGGAGAGAGAAGAGGCAGTTTTGCGTCGTTGGAAAAGCCGATGACGACGGCGGGCGAGGAGGGCAGCTCTGGGTTTTGAGGGGTCCGCTGGCCTAGAGCAGCTCTCCGCTTTGCCTCTTTGTTCGTAGGTCGGCCGTCCTTGGCTTCTTCGCTGATTCTTTGTCGTTTGGGCAGCACGGCTGGTTGTTGGGTGTTTTTTCTCAGACTATGCAGAAAGGCAGAGGAATGGCGTCAGGATATTCACACAATATAAGGCCCCGGGCGCAAGCACGAAAGCCGGTTTGGGCGAGATCAGGGTTTTTACGCAGCAGGTACGACCTATGTCAAACAATGGGGAGGCAAGTGCCAAATAGTACGAATGTACGAAATAGACTGCGGACGTTGGCGGGGGTGCAGGTAGGAACCACCCGCGACAGACCAGTCGCCACTGCCCAGCCAAATACGCCGTGCAGGCAACCAGGAAGGAGAGAAGCGCCAAAGCCCCAATACGGCGGGTTTGGTGTTGGCGTGCGGCAGGTACGAACAGCGAACTGCGAGGCACTGATGTAATTATGCCTTCAGCCCCTGGACGTGGAAAGGGAAGGAAGGTGGGGTGGAAGCTGCCCCCCCATCGCCCGGACGATTCGCTGACGCCTGGCCCCGTCACGCCGAGTGCGAGTAGAGCATGTGGTAAAAGCGGGTCATAACGAAACACCGCAGCGCAAAACAGTAGGTGCGACCGTCAGCCAGGGCGGTCCCAGAGTGGGCCTCGCCGCAGCAGCTACGACCGACTTGCGTCGTCAATTTTTACAGGGCACTAGCTCACTGGTTGGTCTGCAAGGCAGCTGCCAATTCCAAAGTGTGCGGGGCGGCCCAACAGGTCCTCTCTCTCGCCTAAAGGCTGCACAGCAAATTTTCTTCCTAGATCCAAAACCATCTCCAAACACTTTTCATCTCTTCTTTTCAGCCCTTGATTCACACAGCCGCACACCCTGTTCCAGCCTCCAGCCGACGCGCCATAGCCCCCTTCTAGGACTGTCTCCAGTTCAGCAGGCTACAGGATAACAAAAGGCCGCCAAAAGCGCGCTTTCTTGCGTGCCGAGCTTGTCGATTGCTTCAAAGGCAAGGCGTTCCGTTGCCCACGGCCTTGATTCTTCTTGCATCGCAGACACACGAGCTTCGGCTGGCCCGACGTCCATCGCGGAAGCTTCCATCTACGAGGCTCTCGGTCATCGGACGGCCACCAAACGGTAAGTCACCTGGCAGGCACCGGCTGGTCTAGAATATGTTGCCTTTTTTCTCCTTTTTTATATATTTTATTGCTTCTTTTCCTTTGCTTCGTGAGGACCCGCCATCATTCTTTGCGTCTGGCTTCAACAATTGTACAATTGCACATGAGGTATTGGACTCACTCGGATGGCGGAGAGCAACTCCGGGCCTACCCAACTACGAGGTGCTCGGCCGCCGAAACAGGAGCGCATTCTTTGTCCTCCTGGCTCACCGGGCCGAGACGCCCCTGGGGACTCCTACATTTGTTTCTCATGCACCGGCGCAGGTGCAATGCATACCGGGTTGCACTTATTTTGTCCTCTGCTATGCCGTCTTGCTTGCGTATAAACCATGGCTGCTTCACATTCTGACTGGAGCTTTCGTGCAGTAGTATCCCCTTTTTCTCTCATCCACATCCCAAGAAACCTTCCCCTACATCCATCCGCAATGGCATCACCGTGTGTGGCCTGCCACGAGCCCCTAGTGTTTCCCAACGAGGACGGCGTCGAAGTGCCAGACGACCTCCAGCTTACATGCGGCTGCCATTTCCACTGGCAAGTGCCTCTTTTCCTCTGACACTCACCTCATTCGTAGCAAGTAACATTCTGACCTTGGGCCGCCTTGCGCTCCGTCCGGCGTACAGGGAATGTCTGTTTGAGAACGCACCCGCAGTAGCCAGCACGCTCGAGTGCCCGTCGTGTGGCCAGCATGTCGCGACTAGCAGCAGCCAAGTAGGTGTTGGCTCGTCGTCATCTTCGTCAGCGGCCGCTGCCGCGCCAGAGTCGCATCAGATCCTCACGCGCTACATCAACGAGAGCGGCCTGCAGGAGGGCTACGACATCTACTCTGACATTGCCGAAGAGGCGTACTATTCGACGTATCCGCAGTTTCTGCGCGCGCGGCCGTTTCTGGCCATGTGCAGCGAAGGCCATGTGGAGGGCATCATCGAGCTGTGCCAAGAGGCCGACGTGGAGGAAGAAGAGGGCCAAGACGACGCGGACGAGGCCAACGAGATGGAGGACGATGCGCCTTCCGTTCCCGCGGTGCGTTCGGCCGCGCTGCTGCGGTACCAGGATCCGCTCAACCAAATGGCGACCGGTCTGCATGTCGCCATTGCAAACGACCAGATCACAGTGGCCTACTTGCTGCTGTACCTGGCCTCGCAGCTGCCCGTCGACCAGTTCCCGCCCGAACTGCTGCAGTTTGCCGCGCAGATTGGCCGTCCGGAGCAGGCCATTCTCGAGAATGTAGACATCCGCTCGCTGCAGACGGCAGAGGGTGAGACGGCTGAGGTGCTTGCTCTCCGCAAGGGCGGCATGTGGGCAGAGATGGCGCAGCGAGGAGTGTTCTCGGTGTAAGCATGCATCGGGTGGATAGACGGTGACGGTGTTACGGCATATAAAAAAGTGATTGGGTTTACTGGAATGGGCGGTGTGGTGTAAAGCTTTTACAAGAATTCATTACACTTTTTTTGACACTTTTCAAATATATATGTGTGTGTGTCATATACTAGGCTCTTTTTATTGAATATACACTTGCTAATGTGTATTTTATTTTTAATTATTTATTTTGCCATTGATTTAAAACATTTTCAGTATTTTTCGAGCAACTGCAATACGGGAAATGTATTTACACGGAACTTAAATATACGAAATAGGTAAAATCACTTGCTCAAATCCAGACGGCATGCGGCACGCTTACTCAAAGCACAACAAGCCAGTTCAGACCTCCGACGAGTTGCCCTTCTTCGCCTTCGCTGCCCGCAGCTTGCCCGCAAAGACCTGGGTCATCATAAAATGGCTGACGTCCGCGTCCGCCCAGTAGGTCAGGTGCGACGCGATCGTGTTGATGGGGTTGAAATCCATCACGCCCTCTTGGATGTGAAAGTCGACGCGGCCGTTGCGGTTGAGCGCGCGCACCTTGGCCTCCTCGCGCCGCATCCGCCGTGCCTTGGCCTCGTCGCGCCGCCAGCGCGCTGCCCGTGCCTCGCGGCTTTCGTCGCTGCTGCTGTCCTTGTCCGCCGCTTTGCTGTCCTTGGTGCTCTCCTTGGCCATGTCGGCGCGCTTCTTTTCAAAGTGCGAGAAGAGCGTCTCGACCTCCTCGTCGGCCACAAAGTCGTTGGCGCTGTTGTCTTCGTCGCCTGCCGCGATCTGTTTTTGCTCCTGCTGGTTGAGTTTGGACACGTCTTCCGCTGTCAAACCGAGGCTGCGGTTGAGGATGTTGGTTGTGATGCCTGCCTGGAAGCTCGACCACAGACCCGAGAAACTCTGGCCCACCTTGGCGCCAATGTCCGTCAGCCCTTGTGGTGCCACACTGCCAAACAGGCCTTTCTTGGTGTATGGCAGCGGCTGGGGCTTCAGGCTCTTCATGGCGGGCGCGATCAGCGGCTCCAGGCGGTAGCTGATGGGGTCCGATGGGTGGAAGATGTTGAAGAGCTGGCCCACCTTGGGCGACGACACCGACAAGGGCATGCCCGTTATGGTCGAGACGCGCTGGTCCGTCGCCGTTGTTGACGGTGCTGTCATGAACGTGTCGTCGGAGGACTCGAAACCATAGGGGCTGTTGTCATTGTCCGCGAGCGACGACACCACAGCCGACGACGACAGCGACGAGACCCGATCGGGCGCCTGTGGTGACCTGAGTAGGTGCCGAGCAGCGATTGTGCGCCCCTTGAGCATTTGGAATAGCCCAATTGGCGATCCCAGACAGAACAGGTCCTGCACATCAAAGTTGAACTCGAGGCTCTTCTTGCCTTCGGATGCTGAGGCGCCCTCAATCTCATCCTCATCGAACACCGTTGCGGATTTTGATTTTGCCTTCTTTGAACGGGTGGACGGCCAGATGCTGAGTGGGTTGCGATATGGCTCAGCCTCTTCTGCGTCCGGCTTCTTCTCCTTCTGCTGGCAGAGAAGATCAAACATGATGGCGGAACCGAGCGAGTGGCCAATGATGTGGACGGTGCCCTTGAAGCCCGGGTTGCGCTCGAGGAACAGGCTGTGAATCCGGTTGGATTCGCTTAACACGATCTCCGCAATCTGCTCGCGGTAGGCGCTCTGGTACAGCAATACGTCAAGGGCCAGGTCGGAGATGAGCGAACGCGCAAAGGCAACACCCTCGACAGTAATGTCGTCGAGGGCTGGGTACTCTTCTTCCTCGTCCTCGTCTTCATTCATCTCGCTGAGATCCTGCTCCTGCTTCTTGGACTCGCCGCGGCGGCGCGGAAAATCGAGCAGATGTCTCCAACAGACGGGCAGGACCTGGATGCGGCAGTTGCCCGGGCCCTCGGGTGGCTCAGAGTTGAGCGCCCGCAGGTCCTTGGACTCTGAATACACCGATTTGAGCGTTTTGCGAAGCGTATTGACGTCGTGGATGAAATTCAGGCTCTCCATGCGAAGGCCAAGGAGCTGGCCGATGCCGTGCGTGACAAGGAAAAGGTGCTCAATCTCGCGACCCTGCGACTCGCCGCTCTGAGCATTGTAGTCATCAGAAATCTCTTCTTCGGCGCGCCGCCGGATCTCTTCCGCCTGCTGTGCTGGGTCACGGTTCTCGTTCTTGCCCATGAGAGATGACAGCTGGCGATGGAGCTGGGTGCTGCGGCGCGCCATCTCGGAAGCTGCTCCTGAGCCATTGTCGTTCGTTTTGTCCTTGTCGGTGGACGTGCGTGAGCCGTCGTCCCACAGCTCTTTCCCATCAGCACCACTGCTGCCGGCAGTCGTAGATGTGCTCGGAGGCGCGGACCTTCGCTTCAGAGCCTTGAGCCGCTTTTCCTCGGCGCTATCAGCGCCCGGCCGTGTGTCGTCCTTTGCGGTTCCGTCCTTGGCCTTTTCTTTGTCGTCTTTGGCCTTGTTCGGTTCCGAGTAGCCGCGCACAACCTTGACACCGCTCATGTACCCACCACCGGAGAAACGCTCGTACACAGTCGATGTGACCCATGAGAGCACACTGTCCGTCGACAGCCACGCAGTATTTTCATCCTGGTATGTCGCCACGTGATTCATGTACTGCCCAAAGAGGCGGTGCGATTCGGGATGGAATGTCTTATCTAGCGCGCCGCTTCCGGTTGCCGTTGTGCTCGAGGTGGCCGAGGAGAACACGGACGTCACGGATGCAACGACGGACGACGGAGGAGCTGTCGCATCTGGTTCGGCCTCCGACCCCTTCAGATTCTCCGAGGACTCTTTTTTCGACACCTCGACAGACGCGGCGGCCTGTTTCTCGCGCACAGGGTAGAGCCACGGCTTAGCCTTTAGGTAGCCCTCCTCGAGCTGGGCAGCCAAGTTTTCTTCGCAGGCGCGCAGATTCGAGCCTTCTTGGTAGAACCAGATACCACGGCGCACATCGTACACGGGCCCCAGCCAGTAGACAGGCGCAAGCTCGCGGTTCTCAATGTCCACGTCAAAGAGGAAGTCCTCGTTCACCGGCACTTTGACGCCGGAACCCTTCGTCTGCAGGCCGCCATTCTCCTTTCCTTCTTTGTTGGAGGTCGCTCCGACATCCGAGACGTCACTTGTGTCTGTCGCTGACTTGCCCCGTGAGCGAGAGCCTGGAAGGACCTGGTCCCGGTCTTCAAAGCTCTCCAGTTCTTTCTGGTAGGCCGCTTCGATTGAGCGACTGTCGTTGGCAGAGAATTTGACATACTTTTTCGCCGGCGCAAGTGGTTTCGTGTCCTGCGGCACCTGCTTGCTTCCCATCCAGTTCGCCTTGCGCTTAGGAGAGTCGACCGCGTGGAACCATTGCACTCTCGGCGGCGGACAGCCTGGCGGATACCTTTTGAAGCTGCGCCCGTAGTAGGGCCTCGTACTGTGGTCAGGAGCGGTCGACGTAGTGCCTGTCGCCGGGTCTGGGCCCGTTGTAGACGATAACGTCGTTGCCCCTGTGCCTGTCGCGTCCGTGGCCGGATCCGCCGCTGCTGGGCCGGGCGTTGGCGTACTTCGGCCACTGCCGCCCCATGGGTTCATGGAGCCGAGCAGCGTCGTCTTCTCGGGTTTCTTGTCCACTGCCGGCGGGCCCATTGTGTTGTCGGCGTAGTGTCGTTCCCCGAGCTGACCAGGGCGATACACAGACAAGGGCCGCCAGCCAAGCGCACTCCGGACGCGCTTCCAGGCAGACGCGGCGTCCGAGCCGTAGTGCCGAGCGGGGACGTGCGGGCCAAACGACAGGAGCAAGTGCCTCGAAGCTCGCGCCAATGTGAAACAGAAGCTCTCACGGACGCGTGAGGGCGGCTGGAGTCACGGTGGAAGAGGCAGTTGGTGCCCAAAGACGAGAGATGTCCTCGACTGCTTAAGCTGGCAAAGCAAAAACGTTGATCACTTTGGCGATCTGCCGAGGCTGATTGGCGACCGGCTCGCTTCCTTGCGGTTCTAGCTAGCCTAGCACTTATTTTCGGGATGCTGAAAACCTGTGGAGACTATGGCAAGCTGAGTCAAAGTCCCGAAGTCATGGTTTGTTGTTCAATTGAAGTGAACGCTGCAGAATCCAAACAGGACACATTGACAAAGGTATGATCGGTCAGGCTACCTTACTGTTAGTAGCTGTTGTGGCAGCTACGACCGACTAGCCTATGACGGCATTGGTGACTTGCCACATGTGCGCTACTGTGCGGCTCTGATTGTGCGCAGCGCCACGCACTGTCCCATACTCTTTGGCCGATGACTCCTGCCATGCCCGTCGCCAACCATGCAATTGGCCCTTCGCACTTGCCTGCAGGTTGTGTAACGGCTGCTTTTAGAAGGATGGTGGGGGACGAACAGCCAACCATAGGCCTATTTATCACGGCAGGCGCGCCCCGCCGTCTGGCCTGGTTCAGGGAAGGCGAGACCCATCCACTGCATCAGTCAACGCTAAAAAAAAAATAATACAGCAGAAAAGCCGATTTTGCCAATCACCACCACTTTCTTCCCCAACCACGCCTCATCCCTCGCCGTTCAACACGTCCCAGGCACTCTCCCCGCACGAAATGCGGTAGCAGTGCGTCTTACTGAGGCGTGCACGACACTCGATCGCTTCCTCGCCCGATACCCACGCGATCCCCAGCTTCCGGCGGCCATGATGAGCGGCGCTCGGCCTCATGGCCCCATCAAGGAGCAGATGGTGGACCAGCTGCCCAAGCGGTTCAAGGGCATCAAGTTTGGCATCCAGTATGTTGGACCATTCTCTGTGCACTGGGGCTTCCACCTGTGATGTTTTCTCTGCTGACAGCCGCTTTCTAGGTCCAACCAGGACATCGTCAACCAGGCCGTCCTCGAGGTCTCGGATCAGATGCTCTACGACATTGAGAACAATCGCGCGCCTTACAAGCATGGCCCTCTTGATCCTCGACTGGTGCGTCCGATCTCATCTCTATTTCTTTTCTATGCTTCCTGTCAAATGCGGTTCATGACGTATTGCTGACTCTCCTTCCAGGGCACGTCGAGCAAGATGGGCAAATGCTCAACCTGCATGCAGCCCTTGCAGCTCTGCACAGGCCATTTCGGCCATATCCGACTTCCCCTCCCCGTCTTTCACATCGGGTACCTGCGCTTTATCCAGATGATCCTCCAGAATATTTGCAAGGTGCGTAGCAGCTCTCTTGGCGAGCGCTGAAAGAAGGACATGGAGGTGATTGGGCACCCCAATCGTCACTTGTTAGACGGCTGGCTAACCGTTGTAGGACTGTGGCCACGTCTTACTCGCGGAACCCGACCGGCGGTCGTTCCTCAAAGAGTTGCGTCGCCCAGGCATCGATAACCTGCGCCGCACGGGCATCTCTAAGCGCATCAACGAGACGTGCCGCAAGACAAAGGTGTGCCATTACTGTGGTGCCACGAACGGCGTGATTAAGAAGCTCGGCACCCTCAAGCTGGCGCACGACCGCTTCTCCGCCTTCAACCGCTCGACCGCCATGAAGAAGCAGGTGCCCCGCGGCAAGATCGAGTTCGACCAGTCCTTTGCCTCGGCCAAGAAGTACGTCCCGGACCTCGAGAAGCACGTCCGCAAGGCCCTCGAGGATCTCAACCCTTTGCGCGTCCTTAACCTCTTCAAAAAGGTCAGCCCCTCCGACTGTGAGCTGCTGGGCCTCGACCCGTCGGAGGGCCGCCCTGAGATGTTCATCTGGCAGTACCTGCCCGCCCCACCCATTTGCATTCGGCCCTCGGTCGCCCAGGACAACTCCAGCACCGAAGACGACCTGACGACCAAGCTCGCCGAGATTGTGCATCTGAGCGGTCTCATTCGTGGTGCCTTAGCAAAGGGCACGCCAGTTGCGACCGTCATGGAACTGTGGGAGTACCTGCAGATGCAGGTCGCCCTGTATGTGAACAGCGAAGTGCCGGGCCTGTCTCAGCCGGGCTTTGGCAAGACCATCCGGGGTTTCTGCCAGCGCCTCAAGGGCAAGCAGGGTCGCTTCCGTGGCAATTTGTCCGGCAAGCGTGTGGATTTCTCTGGCCGTACCGTCATCTCGCCCGATCCTAACCTGGGCATTGACGAGGTGGCCGTGCCGATTTTGGTCGCCAAGAATTTGACATACCCGGAATTGGCCAACCATGTCAACATTGAGAAGTTGCGCCGACTCATCCGCAACGGGCCGTCCGAGTGGCCGGGCGCCATGGGTGTGCACAAAAAGGCCGACGGCGGCTACAAGATCGATCTCAAGTACGCCGACCGCGAACAGGTCGCCCGGGACTTGTCGTACGGAGACAAGGTGGACCGTCATCTGGAGGATGGCGACATTGTGCTCTTCAACCGGCAGCCGTCGCTGCACAAGCTCAGTATCATGTCCCATCTTGTCAAGGTGCGCCATTGGCGGACGTTCCGCCTCAATGAGTGCGTGTGTGGACCGTACAACGCCGATTTCGACGGTGACGAGATGAACCTCCACGTCCCCCAGACCGAGGAGGCGCGCGCCGAGGCCATCACCCTGATGGGTGTCAAGCACAATCTGACGACGCCCAAGAACGGAGAGCCCATCATTGCCGCCAACCAGGACTTCATCACCGCCTCCTACCTGATCAGCAGCAAGGACATGTTCTTCACCCGCCAGGCCTTCACCTATATTTGCATGCACATGACCGTGGCCAACGTGCCTCTCGACATCCCGCCGCCGGCGATTCTCAAGCCTCAGGCGCTGTGGACGGGCAAGCAGGTCTTCAGCATGCTGATGCGCCCAAACAAGGAGTCGAATGTGTTGGTCAACCTAGACGCTAAGTGCCGTGAGTACAAACCGCGTCCCGGCGAGTGCCCCGATATGTGTCCCAATGACGGCTGGTTGGTGATTCGCAACTCCGAGGTCATGTGCGGTCGTATGGACAAGTCTACTGTGGGATCCGGCAAGAAGGACTCTATTTTCTACGTCATCCTCCGTGATTTCGGCCCGGATGCGGCCGTCGTCACGATGAATCGCCTGGCCAAGCTGTGCGCCCGCTTCCTCGGCAACTTTGGCTTCTCCATTGGCGTGTTTGATGTGTTCCCCACGGAAGAGCTCAAGTCCAAGAAGGAGGACCTGGTAACGGAAGCCAATAAGCAATGCGATGCACTGATTGAGACTTTCAAGGCCGGCAAGCTTGAAAAGGCGCCTGGCTGTACACCCGAGCAGACGCTCGAGAACGCCATCTCGGGTATTCTGAGCAAAGTCCGGCAACAGGCCGGTGAGAAGTGCGAGGAGACGTTGAGTCACCACAACGCGCCCCTAACGATGGCCAAGTCCGGCTCCAAGGGCTCGGCCATCAACGTCGCCCAGATGGTGGCCTGTGTCGGTCAGCAGATCATTGGTGGCGAGCGTGTGCCTGACGGTTTCCAGGACCGCAGTTTGCCTCATTTCCAGAAAAACACGCGCCAGCCCGCTTCCAAGGGTTTTGTCAAGAACAGCTTCTACTCCGGCCTCGTGCCGACTGAGTTCCTCTTCCACGCCATTTCCGGTCGTGAAGGTTTGGTCGACACCGCCGTCAAGACGGCCGAGACGGGTTACATGTCGCGCCGCCTGATGAAGTGCTTGGAGGATCTGTCGACGCAGTACGACAACACCGTGCGCACGTCGTCTGGCGGTATTGTCCAGTTCCAGTTTGGTGCAGACCGTCTGGACCCCGTGAACATGGAGGGCTCGGCCGTGCCTGTGCATTTCGACCGGACGTGGACGCACGCCGAAGCCGTGACGTTTAGCAATGACGAACCGACCCTGTTGCCTGACGAGATTATGACCGTCTGCGAGGCGATTCTGGACCGCGAGCGCCAGAAGAACACGCGCCACGACCTGGTCACCAACGAGGTGCTCGGCTACAATGACCAGAGCGACCGCAACTTGGATCTGCAGGAGGGTGCCCGCATGTTCATCGAGACTGTTGCCGACTACGTGCGCAAGCGGGCGGCAAAGCTTTCTAACGCGCGCGCTCTGGCCGGTCTTGTGGGCGGAAACAACGACAACGGCCTGGACGACACCATTGACCCGGCGCAGCTACAGCGGACTGAGCGCGTGGCCAAGGTCTCGCGGCGGACACTGGAGTACTTCCTGAAGCTCTGTATCGACAAGTACCGTCTGGCGCACGTGGAGCCTGGCCACGCTGTCGGCGCCGTCGGTGCACAATCGATTGGTGAGCCTGGCACACAGATGACGCTGAAGACGTTCCATTTCGCCGGTGTTGCCGGCATGAGTTTGACTCAGGGTGTGCCGCGTATTAAGGAAATTATCAACGCATCCAAGAAGATCAGCACGCCCGTTATCAAGTGCCCGCTGCAAAACACGCGCCAGATCGAGGCGGCGCGCATCGTCAAGGGCCGCATCGAGAAGACGTACATTTCAGACGTCCTGCAGTACATTGAGGACGAGTGGGGCACCTTTGCGGGCCGCGTGGTGCTCAAGATTGACCGCCAGGCGCTCATGGACATGCATCTGGAGATTGGACTGGGCGACATTGCACAGGCCATCTGCCGGCAGAAGAAGATGAAGGTGGACGAGAAGACGATTGAGCTCGACTACAGCCGTGACACCATTACGCTGGTGGTGCCCAACGACTACGTTGACGTGGCTGCCGCGAAGCGCGCCGCCAAGAACCGCGCGACCGCCGCGGCGACGGGCAGCGGGCCCCTGCTCAAGGCGGCGGCCAGCACGACCGGCACCGAGGAGACGGCGGATCTGCTGCTGCGCGTCAACTACCTGCGGCGGATGCTGCCCACGGTGCCCATTTCGGGCTACGCGGACGCGACGCGGGCCATTATCCAGACGTCGGAGCAAAACGAGAACACCGTGTTCGTCGAAGGCTACGGTCTGCGCGACTGCATGATTACAGAGGGTGTCATTGGCACGCGCACCACGTCCAACAGCATTCTCGAGTGCCGCGACGTGCTGGGCATCGAGGCGGCCCGCACGTCGATTGCTGTCGAGATCAGCCGTGTGATGATCGACATGAGCATCGACCCGCGGCACATGGAGCTGTTGGCCGACGTGATGACGTACAAGGGCGAGGTGCTGGGCATAACGCGGTTCGGCATGTCCAAGATGCGCGACAGCGTGCTGCACCTTGCGTCGTTTGAGAAGACGCCGGACCATTTGTTCGAGGCGGCGGCGGGCATGAAGACAGACCGCATCGAGGGTGTCAGCGAGTGCATCATCATGGGCCAGACCATGACAATCGGCACAGGCGCCTTTAGTATGGTGCGGCGGCTGGGCATTGCGCCACAGCAGCTGACGCCGCGCCAGACATGCTTTGAGTCTGCCTGGCAGGCCAACCACGGCACTCTCCGGCGGCGTCCGGCAGCCATCCAGGCTCCGATTGCCGTATGACGTAAAGAAGACGCTGTAAAGTCATACCAGGAGAGACTTTAAGGGAAAAGGGGGCTTATCATTGTTACGGAGTATTAGGGACATCCGGAATTTATTCGTATTTTTTGTTTACTTTGGAGTCTTGTTCCTATCGGTCTGAGAAAGTTTACAATACAGCAGACTTTATTCGATATCACGTGTCACACTTGAACTTGATTGTCAGGCAAGGTTAAGTTCATAAATGGTTGATTTCCGTCTATCATGATCGTCATCCTAAGCCATAAAAAGGCTGTACTTTTCGTGTCACTAAAAGATTTTGTAAACAAAGAAAAATGGGCAATGAGAAGCGGAACGAAAGGCTGGAAAGAGAAAATGAGGTGAATGAGGGAAATATATGCAGAAGAAGGATGAAGAGTGGGAAAACGGAGGCCCACGGGTGCAGTGTCAAAATTAAAACAAAAATGAAAATTATCTCGTGGCCTCATATGCTGGTGGAGGGGCGTCGTCCCGGTCGTCCCAGAAGGCAGGGTTTTTTCGGTTCTCGTCGTACACGCGGCGAGCGATTTCGCTTGCCATCTTCATGATCCAGTCCTTTTCCATGACTGGCGACGAGTCCTGAAAAGCCGCGGATGGCGGTGTCATAGGAGTCCCTGCCAAGGGCGAGGAGACTGCAGGTGCGGATTCTTTGGACGGAGAGAAGGGTCCGGCTGTTCTCGGCTCAAAAATGCCCCCAATCGGTGTGGTAGGAACACCGGCGCGGTTTACTTCCCGGCGCTTCTGCTGCGGCCGAGACGCCGGGAGTGCGCTCTCGGCTGCATTCTTCTCTGTGTTCTCTTGGAAGTGGACTCCAGGGGCAATACTGGCAGCGGCAAGTGCTGCGCCGATGTTGCTCAGTGGCTCTTGCGGTGAGAGAGGTCGTGGCGGCGTCTGGAGCATGTCCTGGGCCTCGTCTTCTTCAGGGATGGAAGTAGGCATAATCGGCTCCGACAGCGGGCCCTGGACAGACACGCTATCCGATGCCGTGTCACCGGCTTCACTGACAGGTGCGCTGCCTGCAATGATATCCTTGGTGCTGCTGCCGCTGCTGCTCTTGCGCAGGTTCACGACGCGCGTCTTCTTTCGGCGTCCGTTGCCGTACGACTTGGGATGCCTCTGGCTGTTGGAGCCGAGAGAAAGGCCGGTTGTTGCAGAGCTAAGGTTGACCATCGATGGCCGTGATGGCAGGTGGCCGTGGACCTGGCTACCGGTATCGGAGAAGGTATACGTGGTTGTCGATGCAGTCGTGTTCGTGGCAGCTGCAGTGAACGAGTTGCCGCGCGACAGTGACGGTGTGGCAAAGGGTGGGCTGTTGTTGCCGCCGGTGGGCGTGTCTTGGCGGTCCGAGGGGCCAGCCCATGCGCGGAAGACGACTTCCCGAATGCCCGGCGTGAACAAGGACAACGTGCGGTGTGAGTCGGTGAGGGCGGCGAGGCGTAGCAAGTTCTTCTGGGAGAACAGGGACTGAGACTCGGGGCTGCCAGTGGTGGAGAGGGACGGGATCTCGCCAGCGTCGACGAGGTTGCCGTTGATGTCGACGGCATCTGAGGGTGCATCGGCCAGGGGGTTCACGCGCATCTCGCCATCGTCGTCCTCGGCATTGGCAGTGGCATCTTCGTCCTTTGGTACCTGGTCGGGGGACCAGAGCTGCAGCGATAGGCGGTGGATGATGGCGGGAAGCTCGTCCATCATCAGGTCCCGCAGCTTGCCCTCGATTGTCCGTTGCAGGTAGTCCCTAACGAACTGGATGGAGTCGAAGGTCGAAGAGACCTTGAGAGACTCAAGGGGGTCATTGCGGAAGACCAATGTGAGACCCTTTTGCTTAGAGAAAACAACAATAATAAAAGCGGAGAGTTTGATTTCGGACAGGGTGATTTGGAGTGGGATGGTGAGGCCGGACGCGGCGGCGAGGGGATCTGGTGATGTGAAGGACGGTTTCGAGGAGAGGTAGGTGTTGAGTGGATTGGCCTATCAGAATTGAAGTCTGTATTAGCAACCTGCTGCTATAGGGCGGCAGAGGTGATGACGCAAATTCACCGGTCGGCGTAAAGACGGTGTGAGAAATTGACAAAAAAAAAACGGTGGAAAAAGACGCGCGAAGGGGAAATGAGGAAAAAGCAAATGAGCAATAAAAGGAGCCAGATAAGAAAACAAAGTGGTCGGTGACGCCAAAACATTCGGGTTCTCGTTTCTCGTTTCTCGCTTCCCGTTTGTCCCTGCTCTTCTCTTTTTCATTTTGTAGCGCGAATCCCTGTCGCCTTGCAAATTGCGAGGTTCATGCGACAACAAACAAGTCCCGGGTATCCTGGAGGCACAGCTGGAGAGCATGGAGCTTCTGGAATGTAGGAAGCGGCAAAATGGAAACAAGGCAAATTGAAACAAGGAAACGCAAAAGTCACGCGAATGCAGCTGTAAACATGCCCCGAGATCGTGACCACGCAGCATGCAATGTCCTGTTAGTCAAGCACAACGGCCACCAGCCAGGTCGTTGCCGGCAAAGGCGTGTGCATGCAGCCATTGTGAACGAAAAAGAGGACAAGGAAACGGACCTCATCACGTAGCAGTGATCGTCCCCGCCGTGAGGGCCCACTTCCAAACTGCAACCAACAGCGAACACGAGGCAGGGGAAGGTGGAAGTGACAAGAGGAAGCAAGGACAAGACGAGACAAAGGACCAAGAAACCGCAGTGCAACTCACCTGGACGCGTGTTTTGAGGGTCAAGAAAGCGTCGCCCGCGTAGCACATCTTGAAGATGCCCCGGAAGCGGTCGGCGGCAATATCGCCAATCTCGAGGATTTCCAGATCTGGCGGGACGGAGCCCAGGTTGAACTCGGTGACAATAATGTCGTCGACGATAATCGGCGGCTTGGGCGACTTGTTGAGCGCCGTCGTCAGCATCTCGCGGGCGCGCTGGTAGAAGCTGGCGTCGGCCGCGAGGGGCGACCAGTTGAAGTTGAACGCCATGGCGACGGGTCAAGAGTCGCCAGAGACACGTCTCGTCCTCTCCACGGAAGCTCGTGAGTTGTCCCTTGTCTCTAGTTGTCAAGTGAGGTCACCGTCACTCTCATCGTGGGACGTGGGCGGTGGAGATGCGGGAAAAGGGCACGTAAGGTCGACGCTGGTATTGTCGTTGACGTTGCTGTCGTCGAGATCACCGACGTTCGTCGCTGGCAAAGATGTCACTATTGTCGTCGAGTTGTCGAGTTGTCGAGTCAGTCGAGGTGGGCGCAGATGACGCTGCGAAGCCGTCGGGCACGAGGACAAGAAGAGGGTGTCGGTGGGGTGCTATCAGGCGACGGAGGTGTTGAAGCGGTGGGGAGACGTTGTGGTGGAAAACAGCGTTGAAGCTGGCCCCGAAATCGTGTTTGCTCGGAGATGGCGAATTGGAGGAGTGTGAGAAAGGAGTTGCAGAAAGAAGACAAGACAGAACGAGTGGAAGGTATCACGAGAAACACGACAAGCTTGTGAGGAGAGGAAAGTGCGACTGTGCAAGTGCAGGTTGCGAGAAATCAGAAGGGAAGGAGAGACCGAGCGAGACCGAAAAATCGAACGGAAACAGGAAAGCCCAGAAAGCAACAGGCTAGACAGGCAAGAGCAACCCCGGCATTAGAAAAAAACAGCAAGGGGAGCAAAAGAGGAACAGAGCAAGGGTCTGTCTATCAGTGAGCCACTCCGCCAAAGCGGTCTGCAAAACGAGTTTGGGTGGTGGAGCACAAAAGATGGAGGCGGAGTGCCGGAGATGCGGAAAGAGCAGAAGAAAAGATGTTAAAGAGAGCCGTAAAGGCAAGGACGTCCACAGCGCACGACGAGGAAAGAGCGACGATGGCGTGAGCGAATTGGCGGGCGTTGACGGGTAATGCAGGCAAACTGGGCGGCCCAAAATGGCAAGAACGAAAAGCTCTGAAGTGGGCAAGACAAGGATGGAGCTTTGGCTTGCCCAATGACGACGCGTCTTTTAGGTGGTCTCTTGTTTTTTTGTGGTTTCCTGGCGGGCAGATGCCCCTAAAAATTTTCACCTTGTTTTCTTCCTGCTGGTTTTGAGTGATTTGCTCACCTAAAGTTGTCGCTGTCCGCCACCCAAATAGCGACCGTCCCGAAAAATCCCACGCCTTCCCCGCCCTCCACATCGCCGCCCACAGCGCCTTTTGTACTGTAAAACGAGCCTGACGTTGGCCGGCACGTGACCTCTCACCGCCTCGAATTTCTCTCATGCCTGGATGCCTTGATATTGATCGTCACCTCGGCCAAGGCACGGACGGACCCAAGGGAACCAAGGCCGTTTCGTTACGGGACAGGCCCAGCCAGAGTTAACAAGCTAATTGGACGTACGACATACAGATGGCCTACAGACAACAAGCGCATGCATGAAAACGATGGGTCTCTGCAAAAGCAACATAACAACAGAAAAGGAACAGCCAAGCAGACAACGCATCAGGGGATACCGTAGCCAACACCAAGTGCGCCGCAGTGGGGCGACTGGACGTCCGCGCCGCAGGGTGCATGCAGAAGATGGAAGCGGAGAGAAACCCAGAGGCGCCAGAAGCGAGGACAGGAGCAAAAGCTGAAGACGACAAAGATACGGCGACCAACGTGACAGCGTAGAGGTCAAGTGAGAGACACAAGGCTTGGGGGTTGTGTGGTGAGCTAACAAAAGACAAACCTCATGTCGAAATACGGGCGTATCTGGTGAACAGGGTTGGCAATGGCCTGTTAATACTGGCCAAGCTTGCACATTCTGGAAAAAGAGAGCTAAGACACAACAGTGCCCCAAAGTTACGCCCAAAGGCTCTCGAGAGACCTTTTGCTTCACTGAGGGGTTCACGGAGGGGACTGGTTAAGAACCAGACGATCAGGCCAGGCGTGGCGGTGACGGTCACAATCTCGCAACAGGCAGATGATGCTGTTTTCGTGTTCTTGAAGGGTGTGGTGTGCCTATATTGTGCCTTGCGATAAGACCCGTGACAGCATCAGCTGATCTTGAACAAAGGACACAAGAATCAAGCAATCAACGAGGAGGAAGGACAAATTGAAGGACAAGGGAAGAAGTAATGCTGTGAAAGTGGATACATGCAAACAAGGGCGAGACGAAGTCGAGGCCGGAGCGTATGCAGGGAGAAATAGGCGGTGACGGCGTCAGGGTTGGACGTAGGGCGAGACGCGGACGACGAGACAGACACCGCCTTTTCGGGCTGCGGGTCTGCGGGGCAGCAGAGGCGGACGACTGGGGACTGGAGACTGGCGACTGGAAAGAACACATAACCGAATGTTGGCTGCAGGCCGAGGCCGAAATAGGAAGACGAGGGACAAGGGACAAGGAACAGAAAAGGAACAGACAAGGAACATAACATGCAGGCTGGACGGGCAGAGGAGTATCGATAGAGGGGGCACGTAGAAGGAACAGTAAACATGCACCGTCGCTGACTCTGCAGGCGAAGCGCCGGGAGAGACAAAACAACGAGGCGATAATGGAATTCGACAGAAAAAATACAGCAAAAAGGGACGAGACCGGGTGCACGGTCAATCATTCATTAACGGAAGAGGGCGCATCTGCTATGCAGCAGCGTCTCTCCGCGGACCGGACCGGCTGCAGCGAGGCAAGCGGGATGAGAAGACAGGTAGCAGCGAGTGAACAAAGCAAACAATAAAACGAGAGGGGGAGAAGAGATCAGACGAGAAAAGGAAACGGCCAAACGACGTAACACCAACAAAGCGGCACACACAACGACCAGCGGCAAGCCACAGTTTGAGCCAGAGACTTGTCCTGTGATGCCACCCACGGATGCACGGTCGCCTGCCATCGCACTCGTGCACACAGGTCAGGCTGCCTGGAGGCTGCTCTCTTGCTCTCCCGCGATTCGCCAGCCTGGATCGTGCATATTGTCTCCAGGACCTGCAGGTGTTGCCGAGGCTGCAGCGAGTAGGAAGCCAGCGGACAAAGACGGCAGGGTGGGCAGGCTGTGCGATGACGAGATGGCCCTGCATGGCGAGCTGGGCCTGGCCTGCAGCCGTGTGTGGACAGACGCACCGAGGCACCCTCCTGTCCTGGAGACGCCGTCGCTATATTTATCAGGTGGCGATGCCACATCTGTCAAGCTGCATTCAGGCACCGGAAGCTGCCTCGCTTGATGTCCTCGTTCTGGCGTCGTCGTTCTTTCCTCTGCTTCGTTTTCTGTTCTCTTTGTTCCTTCCTCCTAACCTCCTATACCCCTCTGTCTGTTGCTCTTTCCGCGCGTATAATTATTGTCATGCAGCTTGTATTGCACCTGCTTTCCCTTTTGCACCTGCGGCCAGATTAATCGGCGGTACGCCGTGGGTTGAAGTTGGGTCGCCGTTGGGTCTCTCTTTCCTTCTATCATAGTAACTCTCGCGTCTGCATAATGTCTCCTGTACTGCGTCTTTCTTGCCCATTCCGCCCGACCACTGCTCGGTTGCGCCTTCGGCGCGTATGACGCACCTACCCGTCGCTCTTTCCTCATTCCATTATCGTATCCCGCCTCTTCCTTCGCCCTGCCTGCCTCCGCCTGCCTCCTTCCTCGCTTTGCCCCTTTTGGCCACCCGTATAACCAAAAAAAAAAAAAAAAAAAAAAAAAAAAAAAAAAAAAAAAAAAAAAAAAAACTTTAAACACACTATCATATACAGGAAGGCGCAAGGTGTGAGAGATGAGAGATGATATTGTAAGGAAGGCACACCGCCCTAGTCTCTCGGACTGCCTTGCCAGGCTGCAGTCGTCAACGGACCACTGTGTCGCCAGAATCGCCAAAGTCGTCCAAGAGGCCCGAATCGAAGACATCGGGACAAAAGTACGAGACATTCGTCCCGAAAATGGGCATAAGAGAGCAAACGAAACAGGCGTCGGGACATAACCGGCCAATAGTCGGGCCAAATGGTTTTGTGTGTCTCAACGTGGTACTTCCCAAAACGGAAACCGCCTCTATTCATGTCGTTCACCTCTTTCTCGTTTGCTCGCTTTATTGCGCTAGCCGCGACAAGCTCTCACGTACGAAGTACTCCGTACTGGGCCCGAATTGTCGTCGCCTCGTCCGCGCCTTCCCTGTCCTCGATGGCTCACGATTGCGCCTGCCTCTACTGCCGACCTCGCTGCCAACTCGTGCCTGCCTGTGAGCAACGTGTGCAGAATAATAAGAGTTTCTCTTTGCCCCCTTTTCGAAATTCAAAGCCTCAATTTCTCTTGTTCTCTCCAGATCCAAACCCTGGCGATCTCCTCTTTAAAGGGCGGCTATCGTCGCACATCTCTGTTAGCTTCTTTCTTGCTTGTTCGTCATCCTTACATTCCCCTCCTCGCCACACTCATTAGCTTGTTCCTTGGCAGCCTTGTCTTCGTTTGTTTGCAATCTTTCTCTTTTCTCTTTTCCCTCGTTTTCTCGTTATTTTCTTTCCTCTCCCCGTCCTTTTTTCTCACCCCCTTACTTCGCCGTCTCTCTCCATCGTATGCTCGGCATCTCGTCTTCCCTTTCGCCACCCCACAGTCTTCTCTCTGCCTCCCCTCCTCCCCCCTCCTATGGCCGCCGAAGCGGACGCGGCAGCCGACGACACTCTCAATGGCCGCTACTATGCTTCCTCCGCCTCGGCCGCAGCTGACGTCGCATCGCTGCCGCCAATATCGCACACGCAATCGCGGACACAGGCTCCGCTGCACCAGCTGCCAACCCCACCGATGATCACCCGCATACCGTCCGCCGTGACGTGCGCTTTTGTCGGCGAGGGATCGGCCAATGCCGTGTTTTGCGTTGTCCCAGCCAATGACGTCGATGATGCCAGCGACTGCACACCAGATGCACAGGATGCAGCGGATGTGCGAGATACGCAGGCTGTCAAGGCTGTCAAACCGGTAAAGGATGCCAACCCCAAGGCGGCATATGCAGGGCCCCTGTCGACGCACCTCCTCCGCATTCCCAAGGCTGGCCCGGGCGTCAGCCCCACCACATGCCTCGAGCACCACGTCTACTATTCTTCTGTCTTGCGCCCTCTGCTCGGTGCCGAGTGGCTGGTTGGCCAACATCTTGTTCAGGGCATCGTTTCGACCGGCGTGCACGCCGTCCTCGATGGCTTGCTGCAGGACCTGGACCGCAGCCACCGTCGTCGCCCAGACTGGGTAGGCACAGGCGTGGCCCCCAATGTTGACGTGGCCCTGCTCGTCGAAGACATGACGTCAGCGTGCAAACGCGCTTCCTCCTCCGCCTCGACCACCACAACCATCCAATGCAAGCCCAAGTGGTTGGTCCAATCGCCCAGCGCCCCGGCGGGGGCGCGCCGATGCCGTACGTGCGCGCTCTCTGCCGCATCGGCGGCTGCGTCGCCGCGGTTGCCGGGGAAGGTGACGACGGCAAACGGAGCAACCAAAGGAGCAACGAATGGGCACGCTGGCCGGACCGCCAAAGTCGACAAGGCGCACAAAATCAAGCCGTGTCCCATGGTCTTGGTCGCCGACCCGCCGACCACGCCGCAAGAGGAAGCCGAGCTCGAGGCTGCGCTATGGGACTATGTCTGCAAGCACTTCGGCTCGGCCGTGTCTTTTCCGCCCTCGTCGCCGTTTGCGACGCCGTTCAATGCCGCCACGCCGCCTGTGGCCCTGCTCAAGGCTCGGCCTGCTATCATTCAGTGGCTGCGCACGACCGACCTGTTTCGCCGCATAGCCGCCATCCAAGCCGAGTACGACCCGCACGGGGCCATAGCTGTGGGTTTGGAGACTGGCGACGCTCTCGACCGCCTGCAGACAGCCATGACGCTGCGTGACTGTACGTGCTTTTTGCGGGTCACGACGGGCCTGACCGGCGATGCCTCTTTCTCTGCTGCGCCTGTTTCGGTCTCGGCCAAGCTCGGCGACCTCGACCGCAAAGACGGCCGCCTCAAGCTGGCCCGGTGGCAGGCTCAGGAGCGCGCCCTGCTGGCGGGCGGCTTCTACCTCGGCACCGAAGAGCCGCGTCAGCAGACACGCTGCTGGCTCGAGCGCCAGCGCGATTAGCACTTGGGCAGTTGGGTAGATTGTGTCTTTTTCTTTTTCTCTTATTTTCCTTGCCTGTCTGTACCATGAACGATTTTAACATTTTTCCTAGCATGTCTCATTAGCTTTTCTTATGTCTCTTTCATTTTCTTTTCATTTTCTTTCTCTGTCTCTCGTTGCTTGTCACATTGTGTATCATAATATGTCTCCGGGTGGGACTTTCCTACTGTCATATCTTGCACTGGTTATTGGGGAACACCGGCCGCAGCGGGCAAATTTTGGGTCATAGAACTGGCTATGCTTTTGTTCGGGTTGGCATGGGGCAAGGATTGATTCCCGGCTACGGAGGGGCATTGCGACCAACATATGGGGCATTTTATCGTTCACCTGGTGTGAACTGATTTGTTCTCATCATTAATCGTATAATTCGTGTAATTCTACCACGCAGATGTAACTCTCCGTTGTAGTAATGTTTACAATGCTGCCATCCTCCTGCCTGAATGAATGTACAATGAGGAATGTGTCATGAGAGGTTTGATAATTTAGCCAACGTCAAGTTCGAACACTATATGACAGATATTTCGAGAATATCCAAAAATGAGAACTAGTGACATAGTAGGCGCCAGTTGTGCTACCGTGGTATCATGGTACATTTACGGAAGCAAGCCAATGAAGCAATACGGTAACGAGACACTGTACTAACAGAAAAAAACCCAAAATACCATAAGTAACAACGCTAAACAGACATAAGCCAAATAAACGTATGCAATATACAAATAAGATAGGCAGACCATGCATTATGTGCAACGACTCTATCAAATATGCAACAAGATACATTGTCGAAGCGAATAAATGAATCAGCATTCCTTTATATGCTCGCCACGGTAAAGCTCAGGAAACTGCCAACGGTCAGGCCGGCAACAAGGCAGAGGCCCATAAATCCGCCCGCCGCCTCGCGCTCGCCGTCCTCGACCCAGTCGCCCGCGGTCATCATGGCCGTCGAGCTCAGCCAGCCGCTGCTGAGACCAAAGGGAAGCTGCACGAGCAGCAAGTAGAACAGGTCGCTGTTCACCACCGCGCCGCGGCCGCCCAGATTGCACAGAAAGTACAGCGGCAAGAACACGAGACGCGCGAGGCCAAAGGCGAACAGCAGCACGGGGCGGCGCTGCAGCACCTCGGGCACAGGCAGCATGGTGGTGATGCGGCCCAGCAGGTCGCCCAGGTTCCAGAAGAAAAAGGCGAGCGGGATGAACGCTGGCGGCCGCAGGATGGCCGGCACGGCGGCGGCGGCGCCGCCACCAGTCGCCGGATCGCCGAGTACGGTCCGCACGGACAGGACCTTGGGCGTGAAGACGGGGAAGAACATGGTGATGACAAAGCAGATGAAGACGGACAGGGCCACCCAATGCATCTTGAAAAAGAGCGTCTTGAGGCCGACGACCTTGCGTGCGGCACGCTCGGCATCCTCGATGGACGCCATGCTCTCAGACAGGGCCTGGGCCATGCGGGTCTCGACGATGCGGTCATGGCGCCGTGCCAGTGGCTGGAAGGCCACGAGGGCAATGACGGAGATGACGACGGCCGTCAAAAAGTAGTAGAAGGCCGACGTGCCCGCTTCGGCCTCGGCGGACCGCAGATGAACGGCTGCCGTGCCCGGCGGCGGCGGCGGCAGTGGCGGCGGGAACACAAGCACCGTCACCATCTGCGCCAGCGGCGGCAGCACACCAGCAACGCCCTGGCCGGCCATGATGGCCTGGGTGTACTCGGGCCGGCCAAACGAGGCGGCGAACGCAAAGGCGCCGTTCTGAATCAGGCCGCAGGCCCAGGCAGAGCCGGCGACCATGACGACCAGGAACAGCAAATACACGCCGGTGGCCACGTGCAGGAAGACGGAGGTGGATGCCGTCAACAGGCCAAAGACGACCACGTTCATGACCAGGGCCGTGTTGATGCGGAAGGGGTAGGAGGCCGAGTACTGGATGTTGGTCAGAACGAGCATGGCGGCCAAGTTGGCGCAGGTCGACACCGAGATGATGGTGGACTGGAACATGTCGCGGATGGCCGGATCGGCAGCGAAGCGCATCTGGAAGTACGGCGCAGCGGCCATGAACATGTTCCAGGCCCAGAGCATGGCGACGCCAATGAGCACAAAGATGCTGTACTCCACCCACGAAAAGGGCGCCGCACCGCCGCCGTCGTCCTCGAGTTCGCCCTCCATCAGCGACGAGGCGTAGCCGCTGTGCCGGTCGTCTTCGAGGGCCAGCGGCATCCGCTCATCGCTGACGGGCTCGTAGTCGGGTCCGTTGCCGGCGTCCTTCTTGCCACCGAACATTTGGCGGATCTTGTCCATGATCGAGACACGCGGCATGCCCTGTATGTGATGTGTAGGGTGGCAGGTTTTGATACGTGGCGAGGAGACCGTCGACGATAACGTCAATCAGCAAGGACCTCAGCAGCAGCCAGGCCCTCCCTGTAAGGGCAGGGCGCTGCTGGAGGAATCAAGGACGCACGCGAAGAGTCAGTTAGGTCGGAGCGGCAGACTCGGAATGAGCGCGTTTGAGGAGATGAGGTGGCCGGACAGCACCGCCGTTTGTGTTGTGTCGTCGTGATGTGGTTTTGCGTTGTGTGGTCGAAAGGTATGACCAGACGAGAGTGCGGCTTGATAAAGCGTGGGATCAGGCTGGCGGGCCAGGAACGGAAGGTGCTGGTTGGCTACTGGCTGGCGCCTTCTATTGTACCCTGGCCGGGCGGATATCCCCCACTCAGTCGATCTGCGAAGGAAGGCACGGGCGGCGCAGGTCTCAGACCTATCAAAAGACAAGGCAGTGGCGAAACTATTAGCGAGACAGGAGACAAAAGACCAAAACAGAAAGAGCGCATGACAGGCGCGGCTTGCAATTGGCACCTGCCCACAAATGAGATGCACTATGGGGTTCCTGCACTCGTGCCTTTCCAGCTGAATACACTGTAAGTAATGTCATACTTTAGGGCTGTTAGTTGCAATCGGCAGCCTCGTTGATCCCTGGAATTTGTACCCCACGTCAAAGCGCACTAGTCGGCCGGAGCAGGCCGCCCCTATAAACAGCATCAAAGGGACTGTAACCAGCGTTGCGTATAACCGGAAACCGGCGGAAGCACGATGCATCAATGTGGAAAGACACCCAAAGGTGTGCATTAATGTAATTTTCTGGTCATAAAGTCATAATTTTGCACTTGCGGAAAAGAAAGGATAGGAATAAAAAAAGAAAGAAAGACACAAGAAATGCTCGTGACATATCTATGGCAGCCTCGAGATTCGTCTGCAATGTCCAGTGCACGAGGATGTGTCAACGCTCAACGTACTCAACGTTGACTGACAGGTGTTCATGTACACAAGTCGACCCGTATCTCGTGTCCCCAAGCGTTCGACGTCCCTTTCCATTACCCTCAGCACCGTTCCATATCGTCCACAGACCAAAGTATGCCCCCTTACAGCCGTGCGGCGGACTTGACGGCTAGTAAATCACCGTGTCTTCATCGTGCTCCACCATAATGCCCTTGTCTTTATCATCGCGCAGATCGTGGCCAGCATAAATCTCTCCGGATGGAACGACGGGTGCTTGTGGCTCAGCGTCTGTGCTTCGAACTGGCTCATCAACCATGGCATCCGGATCTTGCTGCGACTCTTGGTGTTGCGCAGGCGGCATGTCGATGCCTTCTTGTGCAGGGTCTTCCGATTGAGCCAAGTTTGGTTCAGGCGCATGAGACCTGGCCGCCTCATCAGGGCCGTCTTTCGGGGTGTACCGCACGCCCAAATCAGCCAGCCGACGCTGCTTCTCCTTTTGAAAATCTTTCTTTTGCTGGGCAATGCGGCTCTTTGTAGCGCGCACTTGAGACTCGATCGTCTCCTCCTGCTTTTGCGTGAGCTTCCAGGGGCGGTAGTACTATGCGGTCAGCTGGGTGATACTACTACTGTGACGAGCATGTCGTCCGTTGGACAGTTCGTTACAGAAAGCCACGTACCAATGGCGGCTGGGACTTCGTGCGCAAGCTCCGTGCCATCAATAGCTCGTTGGCATGCACCGTATGCATCTGTCGTTGTTAGCATTCTGCGCCCGTCCGCTGCGCCTGCCAAACGGACGGACCGCCTGCTCACCTTTTTCTCGTCAAACTTGACCTGCTCAATCTTTCGAATGCGCTCGAGCTTCGCCAGACGCTCAGCTTGTCGTTTGCGGTCCTCGTCAGTCGGCTCTGGGCGGGCCTGCCGTCGGCCGGTCGTGTTCTCTAGCTGCCCACGGTCCGGCAAAGACGACGGCCTCGGCCGTGCTCTTGCAGCTGCCGGCTGGCCAAGTCCACTGAAGAGGCCGCCAAACAGCCTCTGGCCACGCTTCCGCTCCTCTTGTGATATTTCGGCCTTGCGGCGCACATCACGGGGCTCGGGTTCAGGGATTGGACCGCTGCTGGCGCCAGACGAGCGCCGGCGCTTGAAAGGAGGCGTCGAGTCTCGTCGTGAGCGCCGCGTCTCCGGGATCCGCGCGTTTCTCTGATTGCAACTGCGGCTGCGGCTGCGGCTGCGGCTGCGGCTGCGCTCGCGATGTAGTTTGCCCCCCACAGGACTTGCCGGCAGTGGCGACCTGGACCGCCGGTCACCACGTGCGTTGTCCAGCCGTGATCGCTTCGGCGTTGGCTCGTCGTGGTCTAGACTCATGCTTGGCGACCGTGCATCGTCTCGCGGTCTCTTGGGTGGATGCGGCGAGATGTGCATCTCCTCATCGCCTAGTTGAAACGGTGCATGGGCTGGCGCAATGTCGGATGCATCAGGAGCAGCTGGCTCGGCCTCTGCGCCATGAGCAGCAGCCATGGCGGTGTCACTCGACATCGTCACCTTTGTCGCACTTTGTCGTTTGGATGGTCGTTGACGGAGCTACTGCTTAGGACGTCTTGTTTGCGACGGGAGACGTTTTCCAGTAAGAAATCATGTGTATCGATGTACTATGCATATGGATAGCTCAAGCCATGGCGCCCGAGGTCGTAGATGTCGTATTCATGATTGCGTCGTCATGAAGATCAGTTTTCGGTCAGATGAAAGAAAGGCAGCTGTTGGAGCTCGGCGCATTTGCATGCAAGGCTGCCGACAGAATGGGTAGCTCCTGCCCCACTACGGCATGGCGTAGGGCGTGGGCCAATTGCGATACAGCAGGCGCCACTGACAGCCAGTGCCTGGCCTGGCCTGGCCTGGTCGGGTTGGAATGCGCTGGAAATGCGCTAAAAGGCGAACCAGCTCAGCGGCAGCCGCCACAGAAGTGGCTGGAAGGTGCAGTGGCAAAAGATGAGAAATCCACTAAGGCCGGGGCAGATCAGCAGCATGATTTTGCCGCGCCGGCCAGATTTGGTTCGTCCGACCTCAAACCTCAACCTTGACTTCACATCGACACTTTGACGTCTGACGGTAGACAACAACCTCAGCGGCCTCGACGATATCCAGTGGCCGCTCCTTACCTGCCCCAAGGCCACACCTCTCTCCGCAATGTCGCGCCATCACCCCGATCTCGTCATGTGCCGCAAGCAGCCGGGCATCGCCGTCGGCCGTGTCTGCGACAAGTGCGACGGCAAATGCCCCGTGTGCGACTCGTACGTGCGGCCGACGACGCTTGTGCGCATCTGCGACGAGTGCAGCTTTGGCAACTACATGAACAAGTGCGTGGTGTGCAGCGGCGAGGGCATCTCGGATGCCTTTTACTGCTTTGAGTGCACGCGCCTCGAAAAGGACCGCGACGGCTGCCCGAAGATCATCAACCTCGGTAGTTCCAGGACAGATGTATGTGCTCCCAACCCTTTTATGGTCATCTTGGACCTCGTGCTTTCCCGGTTTATGTGCTCTGCTAACACACACACAGCTCTTCTACCAAAAGAAAACAAATCGATCACAATACTAGTCCCGGCGCGGCCCGGGTTTGGGCACAAGAGGCTGCCGGGGCTATGTATATGTTGTGTGAGATTGTGTTGGATTTTGTCCGGTTCTTTCGTTTGTCATTGTTATACAATCCATCGTCCATCCGGTGTCTTGTTGCGTTGGACGGTATAGGATTCGAAAGCCGGCGGCATATGGTTGTTTTGATACCCACATGGGAGACGACAGAATGGAGAAGGAAAGGAGAAAATAAACGAAGAGAAGAGGGGCCTGTCCAAGGGCGGCTTGGTTTCATCTGCCTCATATATCATACGGTTGTCACGGTGAAATCGCATCTTTCAACCATACGGTGTTTTGATTTATAGATATAAATTGTTCTCCTATGCTCCTGTTGTGCCTGTTTCTGATTTGTGTATGATGCTCTCGTTCTCTTGATGCCCTGTTCCGTTATGCTAAAAGGCTATATATAATACAAAGCGCCCCTCATCGGCATGACATAAATACACATTAAAAAAGAAAAATGTAAAAAAAGACAAAGTGAAAGCTGGATACGTAAAAACGAATGACTCCCTAGAACAAAACTCCCAAAAACAGTTGGTTTGGTCTCAGATGTAACTAACCTTGACGCCCATGCCGGCCGTGGCCTTGACCTTGTTCCACACGCTGCCGAGGATACGCGCGATGCGCTCCCGGTTGCCCTGCCGGCCCAGAATAACCAGCAGGGCCACGACGAAGAACAGCGTCCGCAGCAGGACCAAGGGTGTGGTCTGGAACACGCGGCTCAGCTGCTCAATGAAGCCCTGCAGGTTGGCAAAGAGCATCGCCGTCCGGGATCCCAGGGTCGGCGGTGCAGCCACGGCACGGTTCTTGCCCTTGGCCGACTTTGGCTTGGGCTTGGGTGCCGACGGCGCCCGGACCGGCTTGGCCGATCCTGAGGGTCCTGAGGGCGCAGGCACAGGCGCAGGCGCAGGGGCCGACGAAGTAGGTGCTGTGGACTTGGCCGATTTGGACGACCGCGTCCGCCCGCCGCCCCGTGTCGAGGTGCTGCCGGCTGTGCTGGAGGGTGCCTTGTGCCGCCGCGGCTGGCTCGCCGAGCTCATGCCGTCGCCCGAGTACTCCACTTCGCTCCCTCCGATGCCCTCGAATCCACCCCCGTAGGCGCTGCTGCCACTCATGCGTCGTGCGCGCTCCTCTTCTATTCGCCTGCGCTCGCGCTCTTCGTTCGCGGCCCGGGTGCGGCGTGCCTCGTCGAGCTCCTGCTGGACCTGCTCTTCCTGCCGCCGCGTCTCCTCGGCCTCGCGCTGCTCGGCCTCGTGCTCTTCGTCCTGCAGGCTCTGCAGGGCCTGCAAGAAGGCCTCGCGGCGCTCCTCGTCGAGGATGGGGCTGGCCGTGATGAACTCGCGCGCATAGTCCCACTCGCCGTTGCGCCGCAGCACGTGCAGCGTGTACAGCTCCAGAATCTTGACGCGCGAGTTGAGATCGCGCGGCGTGTCGGTGCCGGGTGTGCGCCGTGCGGGCGAGCGGTGCCGCGACAGCGAGCGGCACTGCAGAGACGTCTCAAAGCGGCCGGACAGGTCGAGGTTGGGGGAGACTTGTGACTGGGAGAAGGACAGGTAGCTCTCGAGCCGCTTCTGGTTGAGCACCTGTGTCTTGGCGTGTGCGAGAAGGAGGGTGGCCCTGGGTAGTTAGTTGGCGTTTCTCTCGTGTGTGTGTGTGCGTGCGTATCGAGCAATGATAAAGAGCAAAAGCAAAAGCAAAGGAACATACAGGTTAATGACAACATCGGCGTCGACATCGCCTTCGGCGCCGTGGTAGCCGTTGCGGACAACTTCTTCCCAGACGTCGCCGTCGCGCACCTTGGTGCAGAGCGCGCGCCAGTCCTGTGTGCCAAAGGCGTCCTTGCCCTCGTCGGCCTCGAGCTCGACAATGGCGTTGAGAATCGTCAGATACAGGCTCCACACCTTGACCCGAGTGGTCCGCGACGCCGAGGCCACTGGTGCCGGTTCGACCACGGCCGCTGGCGTGCCATTGGCGCCGTTTGTGCCGTTTGTGCCGTTGGTTCCGTTCATCTTGCTGTTGCCGTTCGTGCTGTGGGCGTCGTCATCGTCCGAGTGAGGCGGCGTGATCAAGGGGAGGAGCGTCGTCAGTGCCTCGGGCAGCCGACGCGTCAAGAAGAGCGTCGACGCCTGGCGGTATGTCTTGGAGATGTTGCTGCTGGCCAGGCTGCCACGGCTTGCGTAGCCGCTGCGGGCATGCATCGACGCCGAGAGGGAGGCCATGGACGAGGAGAGCGAGTGGCCGTTGCCGTTGCCGTTGCCGTTGCCATGGCCATGGCCGCCAAAGGCCGGGTTGAAGCCGGCCGAGTAGGTGGTGCGGAACGCCATCGAGACAGGCACGCCGTGCTAGTGTTCAGCTGTGGAAAGAAAAGAAGGGAAAGGAGAAGGAGGCTGGCGATATCCCGTCGTCTCAATGAAGGGTTCGAGGAAGAGAGAGCAAGGGAGAGAAGAAAGAAGCGGAGGCAGTGGAGACAGCGGAGCGTGTCTGTTTTGTCTGGTTTGTCCTTTCGTCCTTTCCGCCCCTGTGTGCCCTGTTCGCTCGCTGGTTCAATGAAATCGGCCGCGTTCAACGAGAGAAGCCATGGGAACGCGATGCGTGGCGGTGATAGACGGCATGCTTTTGCTTTGTCGTGGTGCGTCGATAGGCGTGTCTTGCACTTTTCGCCAGCGGAATAATAGCGTGGCTGACCTCAGGTGCTTGCTAGGCCCCAGAAAAAGGTTGGCATTCTCGGCAGCAACAAGTTGAGCCAGTCGCTCTTGCCTCGGCTTTCAGCTGATCTAATTGGGGGCGCTGTGGGGTCGCTATTCCCTGCAGACACCGCGTAGTACTTGCTGTTTGCAGCGATTACGGTGGCGGGCCAAGTACCCCGGTTTTGGTCACAGGCCCGCGTTAGCGGGAAAAGAAGCTCTGGGGGCGTTCAGGTGCGGCGTTTCCGCGCTGTGGGCGCTGGACGGGCCCCGTGCCTACAGGCGAAACGCGCTACAACACAACCCCGTCCGGGGCATGCAAACAGAAGCTCTAGCGCGTTCTTCAGTTCTTCTCCTCTCGCAACTCCACGCCTACGTCGATTATTTCGTCAATCTCTTGAGCAGCTGACAGCGCTGGACCCCAGTCTATTTGGATCGCACTCCGTGTGGAGTGCCATCGTGTCCAGGAGACGACAGAGAACCTCATCAAACTATCTGCGGCTAGCGAATTGGGTCGGAAAAAGGGCCAGGTCTGGCAGTGAGTCCCGCCGGTCGCGTGGCCGCAGGACGGCGTTGTTGGCTGTGAAGACGTCGAACGCATGAACTGGTCTTTATTAAATACACATGTCTGCCCCAGTTGCTGGGTGTTTCATGGGGGATCGACACGATCGTGGTGGGCAGAACTGGCGATGGAGAAATTAGATGCAGAATCACAAGCCAAAACGAGTGTTGCGGAGAAGAGGAGTCCGGGGTCAAATCATGTCACATGAACTGTCACGTTACCTTCTTATAAAAGTCACATGACAAACGTCTGTGTTCTTATCTCTTATCGCGAGCCGCGTTGCCCATGGCCGCAGTGGGGCGCACCTTCCTCGTCACCCCACCAACGGGACACTCCACAGCTGTGTACACAAGCTGCCCACCAAAACCTTTGGCTGCATGATGCGTTGGGGTCCCGACGGAACTGGCTGGAAGGACCCCGATGGCAGGCCAATCAATTGCGCATGAGGGCAATGAGCTTACTCTGCTGTTTTGTTGCATTTCTGCGCTGTCTTGCGGCTTGCTTGGTACCCCGAAGAAAGAACAAGGGTCGTTTTTGGATGTTTTGCTGTGGACGAAGCTGCCCGATGGCTCTTTCCTTCTTTATTTACATTCTGGCTCCATCCTAATCCAGGCACTTTCCAACTTTTAGCCTGTCTCAGACCCTCACCACAACTTCACAACTTTACAACTTCACAACAGTCACATCATTCACACACTTGAACGCAGCCCGTCACACTGCCATTCCACACCGCACGACACGCCGCGCCGTCCGCTCCGCCTGCCAAGTACCTGCACATTGCTTGCAAATGCCTCTGTTGACGCCCCATACCCCGCCATTCCACGCATACCTCGAGGCCCCCAGAACGAGATCTTCGACGAAAACAAACTAGAACAAAGACGACGAGTACTTTCAATTCCATCGACTATTGGCCGTCACGCAACACGCCGCCGTCGTCTCCCGCTGGCTCGATTGTTTGTCTGCATTCCAGAGCCTCCGCACCTCCCTTTCGGTCGTCCGACGCCAGCGCATCAACCCGCATTCCAAATCTGCAAGTCGGATCCCGTTTTCAACTTTGCCCTTCTTGGGGCTTCTGGAGTCGATTCAAGCCTGGCCATCTCCCGTCGTTAGCTCAGTAGCGCCCACCGTCCGCGACACCGGCAGTCTCCCGCTACCCCCTCTCCGCCGCCGCCGACATGGCGCCGGCCGACCAGCTCGCCCCGGCGGGCTCCAGCTCTTATACGTCCGACACACTCAACGTCGGCGACGGGACCTGGGATTTCACCAAGAACGACTTTCTGCTGCCCAATCTTGTGGGCCTCAACTTTGACACCATGCGCTACAATGGTATGTACTGCCGTCCGAAAAGGGACGCCTGAACCACACACAAGCGCACAGATACACAGATACACAGCACACTAACAGCTCTCAGGAATGGGCAATCGCTTCTCCACCGTCGCGCAATACCACACGCTCATCAAAGGCCACGCCGCCATTGGCATCATTACGTTTCTGTTCATCATTCCCATCAGCGTCATGATCGTCCGCTTCCACAGCAATCGAACCGGTGCTGCCGTGCGCTATCACGCCTATCTCAACGTCATTGCCGTCCTGCTCGCGACCGTCGTGTTGGTCACCGGCTGGTTTGCCGTCGGCCCGCATCGCAGCTTGACGAACCCGCACCACGGCATCGGCGTCGCCATTTACACGCTCGTCCTGCTGCAGATCATCGGCGGCCGCCTCGTGCGTCACCTTGCTGGTCGCCATTCGCTCCGTCTGTCCATCCACCGCTGGTCCGGCACCGCGATTGCCATCCTTGGCATTGTCCAGGTACCTCTGGGCCTGACACTGTACGGCTCGCCCAAGGCCCTGTTCGTCCTGTACACGCTATGGATGACGTTTTTGCTGTTTGTCTACTTTATCCTCAACCACCGCCACGAGGGTCGTCTGCGCCGCGATGGCTACTTTGATGGTGGCCGCCCCAATACTCCCGCCAAGTCAGGCGGCGGAGCGCTGCGCTGGCTGGGTCCTCTGGCGGCCGGTGCCGGCGCGTGGGCACTTTGGCGTCGCCACAAGCGAGACCAGTCGCCAGATCGCAGCCGGCGCCAGAGCCGGTCCCGTGTCGGCAGCCGCAGCCGCAGCCGCAGCTACGGCCGTCACGAGGTGCTTTCGTCCCGCAGAGGGTCCGACAGCTTTGTCGAAGACGAGAAGTTCAATGCAAACCGGCGCAAGGACAGCAACGGCGGCTTCATGAACAAGCTTCTCGCAGCCGGTGCTGCCGCCGGTGCCGGTGCCTTGCTGACAAACTTCATCTCGAACCGTAGGAAGAAGAACCGGGACGAAGAGTACTCGGCCGTCGCCACAGACACCCCCAGCCATCCAGGCCGCACGGGCCGCCTCTCTCGCCCACCGCCTCGACGCAACACCGTACCCATCAGTAACGCCAGCGACTTTACCGAAGACAGCCGCACCAACCGAACCGGCTCCCCAGTGAGGCACCACCATCACCACGGAAGCATGGGTGCTGCCGCTGCTGGCGCTGCTGCTGGCGCTGCTGCCGCGTCTGTGGGCAACGCGTACCGCCACAGCAGCAGCGGCAACTACAACAACAACAACCGTCCCGTCACGCCTCGGCCTTCGCACCAGCGTACGCACTCGATGCACGACCCCGTCGACGGCTCCGACTATTCATCGTACCAAAGCCCGTCAAGACGCACACCGCCAGCCAGCGGTCGCATGGCCTCGGCCGGCAAGGGCCTCCTAGGCGGTATGGGACTCGGCTGGATTGCGAGCAGATTTGGGCGCCGCAACGACACTGCCGCACAGGAGAACGAACGCATGCGCCGCGAAGAAGAGGACCGCCGAGCGGGAACCCACGGGCAGCAGCGCTACACCGGCGACGGCTACGGCTCGCCTGTCCGCCGTGACCGCTACGGCCGCCGCCCGCCACCGTCCCATGCGCAAAGCTACTCTGAAGTTTCCGAATCGATCATCGAGCAGGGCGGCTCGCGGCCGTATGCTCCCGTGGCTGGAGCAGCCGCCGCGGGTGCCGCGGGAGCCGCGGGAGGGGCTGCTTACCCCCCGGTCACACCCGTTGCCAACCCCCGCCGTTCTCATTCAATGTCGCGACCTCGCCCAGACGTCGAGCCGGTCACCATGCCGGCGATGCCGCCTGAGTCGGACAGCGACTCTATTCTTCCTCAGGGTCGTGTACAGCGGTCATCGTCGCGCCGGCGCCGAGAAGCCGAGGCACTGGCAGCAGGAGCCGTGGCAGGTACGGCCGCAGGAGCAATGGGCCGGACCAACAGCCGGCGGAGAGACGAAGACAGCCGATATGCCGCGTATCCGCCACCAGCGAACCAGCCCCCCGTCAGTGTTAAGGTTAAGGTGCCACACGACCGGGCGGGCAACATTACCCTCCGGCGGTTGACCGAGGCGGAGGCAGCAGCCGAACGCGGAAGCAGCCAACAGCGGCGGCCCCATCCCAGCGACGATGCCAGCAGCCTGTCTGGGACCGATTCGCCCAGCAACCGGCGGTACCGGCGAGAGTCGAGCGTGCGCCCGGCAGAGCTGTCGGCCGAGCAGAGGACGGAGGGCTCCATACCGCCTCCGGCAGCGCCCCCCTACCAAGGGCCGCCTCACTCCAGCAGTGGCGTATTGAACCCGCCCAACCCGCCGTTTGCCGGTGGCCGGCGACCCAAGGACTCGGCGTACTTTTCGGGCGCGCAGGGCCCACCAGGGACAGCTGCTGGTCCGTCGGGCAGCAATCCGGCCGCCGGGCACACGATGACGAGCATCGAAAGTCGCGGCAGCCACGGCACGTGGAGCGCCATGAGCCCCTCACCGGGCGCTGGCGGCGGCGGTTCACAACCGCCGGACGTGGCGTCATCAGCAGCGGCTGAGCGGCGACGGAGGCGGCGGTTAGAGAGAAATGATGGCCGGCCGCAAGCCAAGGTTGATTACCAGTAGTTGACTTTGCGATGGCTGGTTTTTTGGTTTTTTTTGGATTTCTGATACTGGTCGCTTTGTTTGTTTTTGGATTTTGTGGATCTTGAAAATTTTGGTTTATTTTACGGCTTTTGTTTCACCGGAACTCGGACTCACCTTGTTTACATGTTTATATCTCAGCGTTGTGTTGTTTTTACAAGCACTATTATGTATTCTGCCATTTCTTCTCCAATTTTGAATTATTAATTGGTTTTCGTTTGCATCTCGGTTCTTTTTGGTTAATGGATTGTTTTTGAAACACTACCAAGTCGTACCCTTTACGCTGAATCAGTATCATTTTGCCCAATTATTGACAGTTCTTTTGATCTAAATTTATTTGTCTAGTGAAGAACCTGACGACGATTTTATATAAGCCTGTGACTTTGTGTAGTTTAATAAGGGGGCCCAGGGGGCTCTGAGGCCACTAACTGAGAAGCGCCCCAGCAGGTAGCGTGTTATCGATAAGCCTGGCCAGAAACGCGTCTCGGTCCCCAGCGCATTAAACAGTGAGTGGACCCCTCCTCGCCTTCTTGTCGCGACCTGCAACTTTAGCGGTCGACGCACAGCACAACCTCAAGGCACGACCGTCCCTCTTGTCGAATTGACACCCCCCATCTGTCGCGCGCGTCATACAGTGAATTTCAGAACAAGGACTGGGGAGCAGAAATGGCGGCGAACGAGGCGGCAGCGACCGCGTCGAGCGGCGCGCCAAAAAACGACAAAACGACGACATCGGCAATATCGGCAACGACAGCGACAAACACACTCTCGTCCGACCAGCAACGGCCAGTAGGCGACGGCGACGAGGTCCTTCCCGATGCAGACGCGGACGAGCAAGGCCCTGGCGACGGAATAGCCTCTCAAACGCAACCGGACGCACAGGGCCAAAACGCACAGTCACAAACACAACCACCACCTCCTCCAGGCCCCCGCGCCAGCCGTCTCCAGGCGCTCTTCGCGTCCAGTCTCGACCACACGCTGGCCAAGATCAGCTGGGACAACTTCGCCGCCTGCTACCCGACCGCGGCCGCCAAGGCGCCACAGGCCCTCCGCACCGTCCACCGCGCCATGGTCGACCGTCTCGGCGAGCTGTGTGCTGCCGAGTTTGCCGTCGTCATGCGCAACCGCGACGTTGTGCGGCGGCTCAATGAGCTGGAGACGTTGTCCGTAGATGCCCAGAAGCGGCGGTTGGCAGCCACGGCCACGGCCACGGCCTCAGGAGACAGAGGCACAGGCACAGGCACAGGCAGCCCACCCCCACCGCCCCACACCTTGCCTGCCGAGACGGTGCTGGCGGCACACCTGACACCCCAGCGCACGGCCCAGCGGAAGCTGCTGGAAGAGCGGCTGGCCGCCGTGCAGGCGGCCAACACGGCGCGGTTTGCCAGGCTGACAGCGCAGCAGGCCGAGGCGGCCCAGCTGGTGGAGGCGCTGGAGCGGGCCCTGGCGGACGCCGAAGGCGCTGCCGCGTTGCTGGATGGCGCAAGCGAGAACGGCCACGACGACGGGGTCGACAATACTCTGGTGGCCGAGTTGGCACGGGAGACGCGGGCTGCCGAAGTGGAAATGTCGGGGATTTAGGGGTGGCAGGAGAAGGCATGCATTGATGTATTTTACGATCCTGTTACGTTTTGGGCGGCGTCAAAGGTTGGATAGGTTTTTTCAGGCAGGGCTGTTTGGCTGTTTGGCTGTTCGGGTATGTGGTAAATCATATGTACTGTCGCATTGTATTTGTAGTTTGTGGCCCTAGCTGTCACATGTTTCTGGGCGCTTTTTTTCTTTTTTGTGGTTTCCTTTATTCTGGAATAATATGTACAGTTGACAAGAATGTCACTATGCACAGAAATGCAAAATATGTGCAGCAAAATGAGGGCAAGCGGCATGTATGAACAAAATCTCAGTGACAAAGGAAATGTGGCTTTCAAAGATCGTGAAGGTGGAAGAAACCCGAAACAAAAATAAAAAATAAAAAATAAAATAGACAAACAGATCAGGTGGCGCTCATGCTTTTGAATCCGCGCAGGAAGCAGAAAATGGTGCAGAAAAGACAGGAGAAAGAAATGGACTGCGAAACCCAGCAAACAAAACGCCAGTCATATTCCCGCAAGAGGAAAGCTGAGGGGAAGAAAGAAACGACCCCCGACATACAAGCATACAGACATAAAAAGGAGAAGATCAATCGTCTCCACATATACACATCTCGTCGTTGCAACCGCACCCAATCCACCTAGATTCTGGTGTTCTCCGTCCGAAGCACCTGGAACGGGCCAGGCTGCGTCTCAATCTCGCCGTAGCGCGGCGGGCTCACGCGCACCATGTTGCCCGTGCTCCAGTCCACCAGCCACTGCTTGCCGCGCATCACAATGTAGTTGGACTTGCGCGGGCTGCGGAACAGCAGCGTCGCGTAGCACAGCTTTGCATACACCATGTCGTGCGTCTTGGTCCAGCGGTGGCTCGGCTGCCACTTGCCTGTCGTCGCGTCAACCGCGTGGTGGCGGAAGCCAGCCGGTGCATTCATCATCCGTCCGGCGCTGTTCGTGTTGTTGCTGTTGCTGTTGCTGCTGCTGCTGCTGCCGCCGCCGCCTGGGCCGCCACCAAGGTTGAATCGCGAACGAATCGAACGGAGTGAGAACCGACCGCCGGTGCCACCATTCTTGCCTTGGAGATTGTTGTCAGGGACTGGGTTCCCCTGCGACAGCATGGCCCGGGAGGCGGCCTGTTGTTGCGCAGTCAAGTTGTGCAGCGGCGCCGTGGACGGACCGGCGACAGTCGACGCAGACGACGCGGTAGCCAGCGAGATGGACGAGGCGTTGGTCGATCCCAAACCAACTCGCGGAGCGGAGGCAGCCGCGTCGGCAGCCGTGATGGGGGCGGCGCCCGTAACCCGACGGGACTCTTCCTCAAGTACGGCAGCAGCTGCCGCAGCTAGCGACTGTCCCGTACGCACGGACTTGGACGGTAGCCTCGTGGGCGAGATGGGCCGCGACAGCGAAGGCGAGGGCAGTGCGCTAATCACATCAGCAGCCTCGTCGTCAGCACTGCTGTCACCGCTGGCGCTGCCGCCGACCAGCTGTTGTCTGTTTTCGCGGCCACCGTCGCGGTCACTGTCGCGGTCACTCTCTTGATCGGTCTCCCGTTCGCTTTCCCGCTCACGATCCTCGCCCCGTTCGCGATCCTGGTTGGCTTCCGCCTCGCGGTCGCGGCCGCGGTACCAGCGAATACGTTGCAGGCGCGGGATGCTCTGATCGCGGGGAAAGTCACGCTCGTCAATCGGCGCAGCAATGCTGAGCGCCGCGAAAAGGGCATCGAGCCACTGAATAAAGGTCTCCAGCTCCACACACGATAGCAGGAACTGATCTGTCTCGGCGCGGACACGAATCACGTAGCGGCGCCTGGTAAAAGACATATGCCAGGTCAGCTAAATGCAATAATAATAAAAAAGGACTAAAAGGACAAAAACAAAACGAGACAAGACAGAGAAAGGGGGAAAGGAGAGGGACGGATGACCTACTTTACATAGTCGGCCGCAATGCCGACGTCGGCGTACGACAGGTTATATCGTCTCTCCAGTCCGGCTTTGTGCATCCATGGCGGGCGGTCGGGCGACACACCCGGTCCCGTACGGGTCGTGCGGCCGGCCCAGCTGCGGTCCTTGCGGCACTGGTGGATCTCGAGAGAGGTGCCGTGCAGAACCACGTAGGACGTAGCCCAGCGACGATCCTCGGCTCGCTTGGTGGCATTCTCAATTTCCATCTTGCGCTGAAAGACGCCTTCGATGTGAATGTCACAGGAGTAGGGAGGCAGGACGTCATCGGGTGTGTTGGTGTGAACGGCGCCAGAGTTGGAAAGGGGCGCAGGCGCAGGCGCAGACTTGGACCTGGACTTGGACTTGGACTTGGAGGCCGTGGGACGAGAGGAAGCCGTTTCCTTGCCCTTTGTCGAGGACAGAACCGGTGTTGGCGAGGGCGGCGTCGTTTCCGACACGTCGCTCTTGCTGGCCGCTGCTGCCTCGGCTGCCACCGCCGTTGTTGTTTCTGCAGCCATGGCTGCTGCCGCCGCAGCAGCTTCTTGTCGTTCTTTTCGCCGGATCTTCTTCATGGTCGTCTCGTACGACGGCGGCGGCTCGGTGGGCCGTTTCTCGACGGTCATGACCTCGCGGTAGAAGTAGTCCTCCTCAAGCGATGTCCGGCGGGTGAGCGACGGGCGGGACGGTACGGACGAGGCGGATGAGCGCCGAGAGGAGGATGTCAGCACTTGCGTAAGCTGCTGTCCCGGCTCGGCGGCCGACTCGGAATAGGCCGGCGCATCATTTACAGGCGATGGCGGAGCCGAAAACTCTATGGCTATTGGTGCTGTCGCCGTGGTAGCCATTGTTGCTCTGTGTACAATGTCGTGTGTCCTGTGTCGTGTGTCGTCGCGGGGATTTGCAACCGAATGCGGCCTGGGCGGTCTGCAGCCACTTATAAATTGCAAACGTAGTGGATTGGGCTGTGCCGCTTGGTTGCAATCCCGTTTGTCGTCTGTCGTTTGTCGTCTTTGTCTCACACGCTATCTATGCCTTGCGTGCGTGAGTTCTGGCAGACGTCTTTCGTCCTATTTTTGTTCTTTCAAGTTTTGTTCCCCCTCCTCTTCTTTGTTTTTCTTTCCAACGGTTTCGTGGTTTCGTTTGTCGTATTCCCCTGGTCTTGCGTACGACCCGTATCCCGGTGTCTCGGTGTCCGTGTTGGGTGTTTGGTCGCTTGCCGCTGGGTGGTATATCGTTTCTCGTCTCGTGCCTTGCGTATTTACTGTTTCCTCGCGCTCGCTGTCGCTCACTCAACCCCGGCCAGCCCGGAATCGACTTTGGAGGTGGCTGCTATGCCGAAATGTAAGGCACAGTCATTGAGTCAAGGCTTGCTTCCAAATAAGGAGAGTTAATCAAGACAATTTTTGAGAATAAAAAAGGACCAGCAGAGAGGTAATAAAAAAGGAGGCAAAAGGCACGAAACAAGTGAAAACCAGGACGAAAAGATCGCAATTGCCGTAGTAAGCGGCGGGGGTGGAGTTCTCCCCGGAACGCCGGGGAATGATGCGTGTGAGAGTGTGAGATGTGGAAAGCCGGAAAACGAGCCCAGAAAAGAAGACGAAGAGACGAAAAACACGACAGTGCAAAATGGCAAAAAGAAGAAGAAGAAAAGTCAATTGGACACAATAAACAAATCAGGAGGCTCTTTTTGGAAACAATTGTTACGTGGGAAGGAGGGACGGGGGCGAAGGGGAGACAGAGGGAAGGAGACAACTCGACGGACAGACTAAGAAGGAACATCCCATACAAGTAAATTCAAAACGGGCAGGTACGAGTACGAAGTGATACGGTACAAAATAAGACAGGCATACGACGTAAACAATTGCCTGAAGAAGGAGGAGTGGACCGCCGAAATACAAGGAGGAAAAGGGTAAAAGTCTCCTTCGCCGACAAGCGTCCTCGGCACGTTTTGTATGACCTTTTGCTGGTCTGGGCTGGCGGCTGGTGTTGTTGGCGTGCGCGGGCGTTCCTGCTTTTCCTGGCGCTGTGCACGCATCCAACTTGGCAGGCAGTTTCCCGAAACGGCGGCACTCATTGGTCGTTTGCTCGATTGCCCGGGCCAGGAACCAGGAGAAGAAGGAGCGCATTGGCTGGGGTTGGGACTCTGGGACTGTACTCGTGAGGAGCGACGGGCGGAATGCACTATTTCCAACCTGGAACAAGGCGGCGCAGAAGGAGCGATCGAGCGAGAGGCGAACGGTTAAGGTAATTCTGATACCGGGGTGGAGAAGGAAAACGGGGACTGCGCCGGTGCCGGTGGTGGGGAGGACCCAGTGAAGATGAGCGTTTTACGACGAGAGGCAAGGAGAACGTAGTCATACAAAAGAAAGCCAACGTATACTCAGCCTGCGCTGAGACATTGGCGCGGGTGTAGGAAGACGTGCAGAAAGGCGGAGGCGGCGGAGGGCGGAATAAGGAAAGAGCATACGCAGACAGGCACATTATAAGACCAGCACCAGGAAAGAGCGAAAGGACCGAAATGCACCCCGGGTTTCCCTCTACCCACTACAGCGTGGATTGGTGTCTTTCCAGCCAACGGTTTGGTTTCTTTTGGCTCAACTTTGGCGTCTTGTCAATCCGCTTTTTTTCTCTATTTTAAATGTGAGTTCTTTTCTTCCATTGCTTGGTCTTTTTTACGAGATGGGGTAGCGAGTAGCTAGCAGCTAGCAGCTAGCCCAACAGTCCGTTCCGTCCGCAGCAGGAACCTCTCCCCCATTGGCTGGGCGCACCCACCTTCTACTCAGAGTATTGTCTCGCGCCGCTCCTTCCCTCTTCTTTCTGGGCCGGTCTGCCGCTTCTCTCACACTTTTGCTCTTCTCCCCTTGCGCTAAAAACAAATAAATGCAGGTTCACGATAGCCTCGAGAGGGGGTAAGAGTGCATGGACGGATGAAGTCCAGAGATGACCATTGCGATGTGAAAGACGAACCGCAGTGACGAAATCGACAACAAGGAAAAAAGATCGTCGAGTTGAGAGCACAACCTTTAAAGTTTAAATACCGTCGGGCGGACTTTGAAAAAGGGCAAGTAGGCACGATCCCTGCTGCCTTCCTGTTTCGTGCCCCAGATGCTTCTGCGTGCTTGAACTGCTCTTTTGGGACAAAGCTGGGAAGGGAAGGCGGGAGGGTGTCCAGAAAATGCGACGCTGTGGAGAAACGCCCGAGGCAAAGCGGAAGACGAGATTTTAATCGTTGTCAACCATTGTAATGCTCACAGCCCAGGAATCATACTGAATGGTTTTGCTGAGAACAATAAAGCGAGGTTTTAAGTGGAGCTTGCGACTGTGCTGGCATAGCTGCGAACATCGTTGGTCGGCCTGTGCTCTCTACGCTGTCTCTCTCGCTCCTGCACTTTCGCAACATCGCGCTTGCCTGTTCTAGCACGTTGTGCACCGGGCAAACCTTTCCCGTCTCGCCAATGTTCTTACCCGACTCGGTTGCCGGGAGGAGCCCTCGTCGTGCCTTCCAATCCATACAGCTGTCTTTTTCAATCATGTACTACTGATACATGGCTGTGCCTTGGTCAAGTCTGGAACTCGATCCCAAGCGACGACGAGCCGAGAGAGACCCTGTCTCGTATTATGGCCCAACCACGCTCTCGGGTGTCAGTTCCTAGCGAGGCGGGCTCGACGGGGACGAAGACGGCGATGGCATAACAATGGAGCCATGGAGCCATTGCGACATACGTTGGATCTAAGCTGGTGTCCTTCTGAGGGATATTTGTACGAGTTGAACCTGTTCCTCGTAGGGAAGGGAGAAGAAAAACGGGCATCCCCGTTTCCGGCACAGCGTCTTTGTCTTTGAAGGTCCCTCGTGCTCCTTTGGCTTGCAGTCAGACGTTCAGCCCCTGTGTTGTTGACGTGTCCGCGGTGATAATAACGTAATTGATTATAATACGTCTAAGAATGCAAAGGGAAGTGCTACCATTTCGCGTTTTGGCTATCCGGACGGGGTAACAGCCAACGTTTGTGGGGGGAGGTGCAAGGGGTGGGACAGGCCAGAGTAGAAGGGAGACTGGCTCCTCCTGACGTTTTGCCTGACGTGAGGGACCTGGTTGAGTGCAATCTTTCTGTCGAATGTTGTGTGTCGTATTTGACTGTATGTTGAATGCTCCTCTACACAGCCTTGGTTTCTTCGCTTCTGTGAATATGTCATCATCCAAAGTATGCTAACAATATGGCCCGAAAGACAGAAATCGCCATTGAACCACCGATGCTGGGGAGTGTTGATTTATGATATAGTGACATATAAAAACATGACATCGAGTTCCTTGCAGCCACATTCAAATAACAATGTTCAGGTATTCAGCAGAATTTCCCCTTTCCTACATTTACCTCCGTTTTCCATTTGAATGATTTTTAACGAAAAAAGGTATCATAAATCCCGAAAACAAATTGACATTAACATTCCTAAAAAAGAATAAATAATGTAAATAATGGGTTAGCTTACATGCTCAGTCTAAAAATGTCATGATAGGAGAGCTCAGTTTATGATAACAAGTACCCGTTCTCCTTAAAGAAACAGCCACGAGGCAGCAAAGTATAACATTGCCAATTAAAACCCGAGTTCTACTCCTACCAGGACACAACATGGACCACAGCATATCAATTTCGTGTCACCAGATTTGATGCATCATCACGCCTTGTCTGCCCAAGTTTGTTTGGTATTTGAATTTTACTATTTTTGGTTTGCTTATTACCAGGAGCAAGGTCCCTCTTTGGTTTGGGATTAATGTACAAGACAGATATCTGAGGCCCAGTCTCCTCATCACACCGAGATGGCTCGCGCTCTCTTGAGACCCAGGGTTTTGGTTGTTGATCTTTCAAACAGAACCAAAAAGAAGCCCTCTCGGCTTACCCGGTTGCTTTCAAGTAGACGGCGGTGTCTGTTTACCGTCTGTTTTCCTTCTCTGATTTTCCTGCGTTATCCACTCCTTCTCCTTGACTTCCCACACCCTCGCATCGCTGCGGATGCACACGCTGTAAACAAAAAAAGATACACCGGAAACAAATATGTAAATAATGAAAATAAAGTAGAAATCTCGCCCGCTGTTTAAAATAAAAAAATGCCCTGCTTGTGGGCAACGGCATGCAAATTCAGTCTTTGATAATGAAACCCAGAGACGGAGAGAGGGGGAGATGGACAAGACGGACGGAGAAAGAGAGAAATGGGAGATATAATAAAACGGAAGCTTTTGTGTATCATATGACTTGCGCCGTACCGAAATCCAGTCACAAAAGAAAGACAAACTTTATTCTTTCTCTCTTTTTTGAAAACGCACGACCCAAAACCCAGATTCAGACAGCAAATGAAAACAGCCTGAGAAACTCGGACAGCTAAGAAACACAGCTTGTAGCAGGGGAGTGAGATACTAATAGCAGGTGATGGTAGATGAAAAAATTGGTGAGAATAGGGAGGCGGGAAGAGTAAATCGAGTAGTAGATGGGGTAGATAGGTAGATAGGTAGATGAGATAGAGAGAGTGGTGGAGGTAGAAAGGTGGCGTGAAATCGACAATGCAATGGAAATAAATAACTCCTTCCGCCAAAACCAAATCCGTACTTTTCAACGGCCTGGTACAAGAAGTAGATGGGGGAGGGAAAAAATTATATAAGACAATAGAGAAGCTTGGAAACACAATGCTGCCGCTTGATGTTTTTTTTGGCCGTTGTTAGTTAAAATGTGGGTTCGGACCGTACGTCGGACACTGACTCCTCTCTAAAGAGGCCATATCCAGTCACAGATCCGAGCACCATGTTAACCTTGACCCTTTAAGCAGCAAGCTGGGCACCGCCGCGGCCACGCGAAGCACCGGCACCGCCACGGCCACGGTTGGGGCCGGTGAAGCCGCCACGACCGCCACCCTGGCTACCGTTGCGGCCCTCGTAGCCACCACGGCCGCGGTTGGCGAGGTTGCCGCGGTTGGGGTTGTAGTTGGAGCCGCCGTAGGCACCGGCCTTGGGGCGGCGCGCCTCGACGACAATGGTCTCGCCGTTGATGGTGTGCGGGTTGGCCGCGACAGCCGCCTGGTAGCCAGCCGTGGAGCCAAACTCAATAAAGGCGCAGTTCTTGGTGCGGCTGATGTCAAAGTAGACGACGGGCCCGAATGTCTCGAGGTGGCTGCGCAGAGTGGCCTCGTCGACCTTGTCTGTCACATACTTGATGTAGCCAAGAGCAGAGTCCTTGTCCTGCGGCGGGCCCGAGATGGACTGAGGGCGGTTCTGGCGCTTCGAGTCGGCGCCGGCCGTCTGCCACTCACCCGAGTCCTTGGCGTCGGCGTCGGCGGCCTTTGCGGCAGCAACAGCGGCCGGGGCGACAGTGGCGGCAGCGGCAGGCTTGGCTGGGGCGGCAGTGGAAGATGCGGGCGAGGCCGAGGCAGCGGCAGCGGCAGCAGCGGGTTTGGGAACAGCGACGGGGCGTGCAGGGCCAGCAGCAGCTGCGGCGCGGCTAGCCCAGGTCATGGGCTTGGGCGGGCCCTTGGGCTTTTCCGGCTCGGCAGGGGCAGCGGAAACAGGAGCGGCAGCAGCGGCGGAGGCGGTGGCAGGAACAGCAGCAGGGGCAGCTGGAGCGGCGGCAGGAGTCGGGGCAGGCTCCTTGGGCGTTTCGGTCTTCTTCTGCTCCTCCTCAGCCACCTCCTGGGCGACCTTCTCGGTGTCAGCAGCCGGAGCCGGGGCCGGGGCCGGGGTGGCAACGGCAGGAACGGCCGGGATAGCAGGCACGACAGCTTTGGCCGGGGCAGGCTCGGCAGGAGTGGCCACAGCCGGAACGGCAGATGACTTCTCAGCGCTCACCTCCTCGAGCTTCTTGTTGACAACTGCGGCGTCGAGCTTGGGCTTCGCGGCATCAGCCTCCACAGCCTTGACAGCAGGAGCCTGAGTCTCCTCAGGCTTGGCCTCCTCCGCGGCAGCAGCCTTCTCCTCCTTGGCGGGGGCGGCGGCAGCAGCAGCCTCGGTGGACTCGGCCTCCTCCTCCTTGATGTACCGGAAGATGTCGTTCAGAACAAAGTAGCCAGACTGCTGCTCGGCAAGAACGAAGGTCTGGACGAATTTCCGCGAGTCCTCGGACTTGTTGGAGATCTCGCCAATGACCTGGATGAGGATGTTCTCGAGGGAGGCCTGGGAGTCGACGTTGGAGACGCGGACCTTGCAGTCCTGGAAGTCGAGCTTGGCGATGCGTTCCTGGATGTCCTGGCGGCCAACGGAGATGTCGGCGACCTCGGTCTCGGTGCCGTAGACAAGCTGGGATTTCTTGCCGTAGAAGAGCTGTAGATGCGAAACAATGCAACGGGTCAGCAAGTCACAAAAGGCAGTGCAACAGAAGCAGATGTAGGTGTATACTGACATGCAGGCGGTTGGGGTTCTTGCTGAGGGTGGTGTAGTACTGCTCGACAAAGTACCAGCCGACCTCGTCCTTGGACAGGCCCCTGCGATCCTGTTAGCTCAACGCGTCTCTCGATGCCCGTGGGGTAGCCGGAGCTTGCTGATGGACCACTTACTCGTTGTGGTTGGTCCCGTTTGTAGCCATTGTGTACGACAAATGTGATGTAGATGTGAGGTAGTCGAAGACGGGAAACACGAAAGCTTCTGGATGGACAAGCTGGGTCGGCTAGAGTTTGGCAAGATGGCTTGGCGAGTGTGCAGCGTGCAAAGATGGGACGGCGGCGGTCGACGTGAGGCAACGAAGGCGATGGCGAAGTGGAAGATGATCTCAAAAGAAAGAGATGGAGGACGTTCGGCAACAAAAGACACGGGTTGGGCGATGGACCAAGACGAGATCCAAACGATAGCGATAACGGTAGGAGACGGGAAAGCAAACAAAAGAGCCGAAGAGGGTGAGAACCGGCAACTATGGAGAAAGCACAGAAAGGAGGGATTGCGAAACGAAAATAAGAAAAAGAAAAGGAGACCGGAAGAGAGTCTGGAGCTGTGTCTGGGGTTGATGGGTAGCAAAGGGTGGATTGTCCGATGAAGGAGGAGGTTCGATCGGCTTCGAGAGGTTGATGGATGGAGATGTGAGGGGAGGGAAACGGGAGGGGGTGATGGTTGCACGATTGGCGTTGTGAAGTAATGCGAGGTTGAGGTTGGCTGTCAAGTTGTGTGCAGGCGACGAGAAAAAATATTGTCAGTAGAAAGACGAAAAGACGCACGAGGGGAGCAGCTAAGAAAAGTGGATCCTTGGTCCGCGAAGAAGGAGACAGAATCGCTGTGCGGCAGGCGCGACTGGGAAAAAGTGGAACCGGGGTTTTCTGCTTGTCGACTGTGGACCTGCAGCCAGGCCCCCAAACTGTCGACGTGTGCCGGTGGAGCTAGCTGCACGTCAGTGCCCTGTGTTCAGACGTTCTTCCAAATCTGCCATGAGGCTGATGTAGCAGAGAGGCGTTTGGCAAGTGAATGTGCATGTCACAAGAAGTACGACAAACCACGACGTCCGGATGGAAACCATCACGTGACCATTGTTGATAGGCCTCTGAGGCTCTCCAGACGGGCAATCGCACCTGCAGTCTGGCCGTGGAACCATGGTTGTGCCGCTCTTTCCCCTCCAAGAGACGCTCCTTCCGGGCGTGTCAATGGACTGGCACAAGACGGCTATCTGCGAAGCATCGTGGGACTTGTAAGCACTGCACATGACTCATCACGTGAAAATGTCGACTCGGATCACGTCGGCGCCCGGACACACACTACGCCGATAGAGAGGCAGCCACGCGGCAGGCCATCCTTCACAGCTCAAGACATAATACGAACTAGCTCGTGTTTGTGGGAAGAATGCGCAGCAGCATCAATGTGATGCTTCATTCTTTCGTTTTTTTCTTTTTTTCTTTTGCCTTTTTTTTCCTTTTCAGAGGCTGGCGAGGACGCCAGTAGGGTGAAGTGTTCTTTCGTGTGTGGAAATGGACCAGCAGCAGGGACGCCGCTGCAATTGATATGCCAAACAAAATCAACGGCGTGAGGTTGCGTTCTCATTAGAGAATACTCGATCGATGAAGCAGTGACATCGGGCGGACAACTTATTGCTGCGAATAACGGAAAGGAGGAAGAGTAAAACACCAACGTTCTGGGCACAACCGCATTAAAGTCGGCATAGGGCAGAAGAGATTCGGCGATTTTATACACAATCCGCTCTGATGGCCGAAATCGCCGACCCCGACGGGCTTTGCGGCCTTTTCAAAACCAAGAAGAACGTGGTACGGAACAGACCCGACGTTATTTTGGATCGGCGTCTGGGCATCTGGACGCGTATGCCCGTCTAATTGTTTGCTTATCGGGCGTAAACGTATGGTGTCGTATCTCCTTCGTCTATTACGTTGTTGTTGCAGTTTGGCATTGGGGCTTAGATTTTCGGGCGTCACAGACAGCATCGGTTACTAGGCCAATATTGCCGTCAGTATGGAACGATGCTTTTAAGCTTTCCATCTAACCTGTCAAGTTGCTGACGCGTGGGAAAAACTGGAAAAGGTTGTGCTCGTTGATGACGGCGCTTCGTCAAAGCGTCTGAAAAGGTGCATACTATTTTGGTTAAGTCGGTTCTTATTTGCCCGTATTTTCACGAGGAATGGAAAAACAGCTGCAATGAAATAAAAATAGGACGAACAGAATGTCGACCAGGATGCTCAATGACAACATACCAAGCGGTCCATGTCCGGCCCTGGCCAATCCCGTCAGATGCCATCTTGCAATTACTCTGTAGACGCCATCTCTCATTCTCATCATCAACTGTTCCTCGCATATTGTAACCTGAAATAATCTTAGTGGCTTGGCTTTGCTATCACTCACTACGGATTTTTCTTTTCCTCCGTCTTCTTCTTCTTCCTCGTTGTTTTGTCTTTCTTTCTAGTCTTTCTTCTCTTTTCGTCAGCTCCTGAATAACCTTAAACCGGGAACTGGTTAGACGCCGGGGCTGGCTGGTACTGTCGTTTCAGGGCACCAGCCTGACTGGACACCTTGCTGCGCCCGGAAATTACAAAGTAACAGGACGCATAAGCCGGTGGCTTTTGTCCGATGCCCCGTCATTGTTGTCTGCTGCCTAACCCGTATATAACTGTGTTTGCGCCGTGGCCCGTTCCCCTTTTTGCTGTTTTATTCCCGAGTATCGTCAACATCGATGCCGCGTCCTGTATTCGCCGGATAACAACCGGTTTTGTTTCCTTTTTTGTTGTTTGCATTCTGATTTTTTTTTTAATTTTTTTTTACTCCGTTTCTGACCCTCCTGTACGCCTCTATTTCATTTGTTTTCAGTTGGTTTTCTACAATTTCCTCGTCCTCGATTCGACACCTATTTTCTTCGTCCCTCGCGAGCCGACCTCCCTGCCTCATCTGCCACCATGTCGCCCTCGCTCACAAACTACTACCCCTTTTTTGAACCGTCTCCTGCGGCGGCGGGAGTCACGTTTGGCCTTTTCGCCATCGGGTTCCTTGTATCAACGTATCAGACCATTCGGCTCAAATCGTGGATCTGGTTTGTGATGCTTCTCGCAATCCTCAGTAAGTCGTTCCTTCTTGTTCAAGCACTGCATATTGTAACCCACCTGCACTTTACGCCGCCCGTTGCCTCTCTTTCCCTCGGCATACCCATCCCCCTCCCTCTTTCCTTCCCTTTTCATCGTAACAGAAAGTAGGTACACAAGTGCACACCGTTCTTTCCTGTTCGTGGTACTGACCACTCTTCGTTCTTTCCAGTGGAGACGGTTGGCTATGGTGCCCGCATTGCATCGGCCAAAAATGTCACCAGCCGCAACGTCTACATCATACAGTTCTGTCTCATCATCCTTGCGCCGGTGTTTATGGCCGGCATCGTGTACGTCGCGTTCGGCCGCATCGTGTTCCATGTCGTGCCGCCCGCAGCCCGCACCGCGAGGCTCCTGTGGGTGCCCGCGCGCTGGCTGACCCCCATCTTCGTCGGCTTCGACATTTTCGCCCTCTTCCTTCAGCTCATCGGCGCCGTCATCATCTCCGGAACGCAGGTGACGACACCCAACGCCGCTTCGAAGCTGAAGACTGGCAAGGACGTTGCCCTGGCGGGCGTCAGCATGCAGATTGGTGCCTTTGGCCTGTTCACCATCATTGCGGCGCGCTTCCACTTTACGTCGCGCCGCTTCGTCGCGGATCTCGAGCGCCGATTCCGCGCCGTGCCGGGCGGCAAGTTTGTGACGCTCGAGGGCAGCGAGCGCAGGTTCAAGCCGCGCTGGCGCACGCTGCTGTATGCCATCAACTTCTCGTGCGCCATGATCATCGTGCGGTCCATCTACCGCGAGATTGATTTCTCCATGGGAAAGCAGGGCTACACGCAGAAGTACGAGTGGGTTCCGTACGTGCTTGACGCCCTCCCCATGATCCTCCTTGTGATTGTCTACACCATCACTCCGCCTGGTGCCTACGTCTCCATGGGCTTCCGCCAGCAGTCCAAGACGACGGACCTGCCGCCGCTGCCTCAGGGGTTGCACGACGCCGCGACCTACGGCTTGGAATCAATGCCACTCCGCCAGTAACCCGTGTCTGGCTCGGCATGGCAGGTTTCTTCCTTTACATGTCTATGGCTTACGTATATCCGCCCACAATATGTACCGCGTTGCGTCTGTTGCTCTCTGCCCATTTTCCAACATTTGACTCTGCGGCCTTTCCTCTTATCGTTTCATCTATCAGTAGTGTCACTAGGGCTGGGATCGGTTGTCTTGCCTTTTTTGATTATTTAAATTTGCTTTTTGGCGCATGATAGAGCCTAACTTGATGCCCAACTCTCATAGAAATATAGACGCTATAATTTTCTAATAGCGAATTCGTTAATTTGTCTGCTACACTCTCTCATTTTCCCTTTATCCCTCTATCTCTAACCAGGGATGATATCCACAAGTGTTCACTCAGAGGCTCCGGGGAGGACTCGGATCCTTGAGCACCTGCATGGAAAGCGCTGCGATAATTCGGCAGAGATACAGCATATGATCTCCATCTATTATAGAGAATGGGCCGTATGCAGTCATCGATAGGAATCCACGGTTCGGATACACAGAAGCCTTAGAGGGACCTGGTGCGTGGTCGTCCGAAGCCGACCGGCGGCCAGTCTGAGCAGTACTTCGAACGGGTTGGGTAGAGCCCCGACCGGAAGTAGCTGCGGGGAGTCTAAAACGCGGCGGTTCGTTGTAGACTGGACCGAGGGGAGTGGCTGGACTGTTGGAGCTGGAGATGCCTGAGCCCGAGTGCCCGTTGCCTCCGGGATACCTTCCTTGATCTGCCGCGACTCCTTTTCCTTTGTTCCGAGGTGCTGTAGGCGTTGGTGTGGGAGGTAGCGTGTCTGCTTGATTGAAGCGCAAACGGGTCACCATAGGCTGATGGCCGCGCATGAGGGAGTGCGTGTCGTGAGGACTGTCGCTACGGCTAGGACCACTGATATAGTCCTGGTAGTTCGCGTCGTATTCTGCGACGGTGACGTAGATTTCATTGTAATCTTGAGAGATCATAAAGCGGCTAATTTTCCAAGAAACGGTAAAAAGGGAATTGGTTAGCTAAGCAACCTGAACGGCAAAACAAGGTGACGGCGTGAAGGGCGTAATCCACGTACCGACGAACACCCGGAGGGCTGGAAAGGGTTCCTTTCCGGCTGCTCCGTGTCTCAGATACCCAGGCCGCCATTTGGGCGGCTTCCTGCCACTCGATTGTCCTTCTGTGCCCTTTGTCCCGCGGATATGGCTTCACTTCAACAATAGCGAGCGCAGTACCGAAATCGCCCGTTTTTGAAAGAAATCCGTCAACGCGGGCCTGGAACAGCACAGGAGAGCCATCTGCAGTAGGGTCGTGGAGATAAAACGGCTTGGGGTCCGGCAGCCAGTGCCCTTCTGCGAGCGATGGGCAATGGAGCCGGACAGCACACAGCATCGTTATCAGTCCCATGTTCACAGTGGCCTCATATTCGGTCCGCGGTGGTTGTTGGCCGATATATGGCGTGTCGACTTCGTCAATTTCGGGAGGGGTCCAGTTCGATGGGGTCCTTGGGCTGTCGCCGAGACTGAGTAGGCTTATGTCCGGTATACTGTCGTCATACGTGACCTGATTTCTTTGCCGTTCCGGGCGTGAGATTTTTGGTGATGCCCTGACTGTCTGTCCTTTGCAAAGTACCGTCAGATAGGTAAAGTATTGAAACGTCGTGAAGAGACCGTTGGGTGGCGGGAAATTTCCTGTTCTAAAAGGAACTTTGGGATGTGGATCGTCGTCCCTGACCGTGCTGACGTTCCGCTGGAGCACTGTAAAGTCAATTCGCCCTGCCTCAATCTTGATGTCTTCATGGACAAAGTCTCCTATTTTGAACTCTTTGAAACCCCTTTCGTCCCAGAGAACTTTGAGGTTCAGGAACTCGGCGTACTTGAGAACAGAGGCCGACTTATAAGTTCTCACAAAGGGTGTCACAGAGTCAGGATCGAGACGCTCAGACCTCGCTGCTCTTGCCCATTCGGACGGCGTGCGGGGATTCGGTTTTGAGGCCATCTCGATATGTGTTGAATTGGCGACGATGGGGGTGAAAGACGAGTGACAGGCGCTGGCTAGTGTGTTGCGAGCCGCTATGATTGCAATGTAATCAGGAAGAGAGAGGCCAGCGAGATAGATGGAAACACGTCGACGATGGAGAGTCAAGGCGTCAGGGAAGAAGATGAGAAGACAGGGTTGAAAGAAAAAGAGCAGGAGGAAGAGGGACAAGTCCTTGAAATATTGTAAAGGGTCAAAAAGAGCACCTTTATATTATGAAAAAGGCCAAACGATTTGCAGAGGACTGACAATGAAGCTCTGACCCCAGCATCACCGGCCTTTCACTTTGCCTTCAGGTTGGTGTTAGGCATTTGCTCTTGCACTTAGAACCTGCGTCAAAAGCTAGGCGCCAATGCAGCACCAAAGTGCCCATCCCTCATAAATTCCTTGCAAAGGATGTGCTGCAGGTATTGTATTAAGGATTGCGACCGGCCAGTCGACCCAAGGTCGACTGGCCTGGCCAGCTGGCTGACAGTTACAGCAAACCATGAGTGCTGGCCGCGACGGCAGGCCAGTCGATCAGGCATGATTATTTGCACGTCTAATGCAACGCACATCATAGTGGTGTGTGACAGAACAGGCAGCAGCCTGCCAGACAGTGTTCAAAGTTGGAAGTATTGGTTCGACGATGTCGTCCATAATTGCGTTTGTGAGGCGCCTACAGCGACATCTTTAGACTGGAGGGTGGGCATTGGCTGAGAAAGAGCAGTGTATGAAACCAGTGCATTCCTTTTTTAGCAAAGTGCGTTGCCAGCCTTGCAACTGCACCAAAAAGTGCGGTGCCAGTTGGGCCGCTTTTTGGGCGGCCAAAGGCCGTCTTGGCACGACCGGTCTGTGTAGCATGTGCCAGCAAGTAAGAGCATGTCCTAAACGCGCGCATGAGCGATATAGACCGTACGAATGTACACTAGGGGAAAGAAGATGTATAGCTAGCGCTCATATCGAGGCTTGTCGCAGGAGAGGGCATTCAGGGGCTGCATGACGCCGTTGGACGGTCGACTGTAAGCGGCTGTAAGCGCCGTGATCGCTGTGCGTAGCAACCGACAGACTGGCCGCTGTTGAAGGTGCTTGTGCCGTCGCTGGCGTGGCTGTGACGAAATGCATCTTTGCGTTCGATACGGTGACTATCGCCGTCCCCAGGGCAAAACAAATGTTGACATCTTTAAACATAAAGTCGTGAAGCCTCTGGGAAAGTGCACTCGACTTAAATATCACGTGACTAGACTTGTGCTGTCGCGAAATTAAGTGGCCGCCTCAATGGGCCGCGTTGCCCGGGAAACAGCCACCGTAGACAACAAACATCTATGCTGTATCGCGACTGCATGTTTACTGTATGAACAATCGCGTCACTTCTTTGTCCGTGCTATGTTCTGCGTCGCACCTTCCCCAACGGCAGATTTGGTCTGAACTGCATAATCTTTGTATTTATTCTGCTGCTTCTCCTCTGTTGGTCCTGCCGGTTTTGATCTTTGTTACTCCTTCGTCTTAGTTCTTTCCGCCAGATTTTCCTGTCATACTGTTGACCCCCTACTTCGTGGTCCCAAATTCAAGCATCTATTTACTGTTACTTTCTACATTCTCAACCTCTGCGACGGTCCTCCTCGACAGCCACGCCCACGCCTCGCATTCCACCCCCGTTCACCACCACGCTGCGTGCATCCTTTCACAATGTCGGACGATATGCAGCCTGGCGAGATCCCACAGTGGCAGCGTGAGACTCACAACGAGTACTTCTACAATCTCTGTGATCTGAAGTTTGCTCTTGATGAAGACATAGTCGAAGATGTCGCGATTCTGACCCGCGAACGGCTGTCGTCGCTATCTATTCAGGTGCTGGATGACCTCAATGTCGACGACGAATCCCCTCTGGACTTTTCACCCTCATTCTATGCCCCAGTGCCACGGGACACGTTCGAGACGTTTCTTGAGACATATACGCCACACCTGTTTCCGGACCAATACAGCGACGGAACCAGCATGGTTTGGCACCGTCGTTGCGGAAAAGCCTCTCTTTTACGCTGTGACGGAACTTGCGCGGACGATGAACCGGAAGATTGTTGGGATTTTTCTATACATAGATGTTCCGGCCGTCGAGAAGCCGACGACCGTATCAAGTGGATCATGTATATGTACAACTACGGAAACATTCGGACTTGGCCCAATGAGGGGCTTAGCACATTGTCGAACTGGGTGCATCTGTGAGTACCGCACACTGGACTTCGCCGCTCACTTATTCTGTTCCTTGGTAGAAACTAACCGTTATCGTTCATTTCCCCGGCTATAGGAGAGGTGAAAAGTGGCAAAAAGCAGAGTACCGTGGCCGTCGAGATGACCAGTGCAGTGTTGGTGAAGTGCACTGTCATCATGTAGGGTCTTCCAATGCCCTTGAAGATATGTCTGGATCAGCACCACACGCGGTTTGCACTGTCTCCGAGTCGTGTGATTTCGCCGCTACAGATATCTTGTTGAGTGATGTCATTTCGGCTGTGGAACTGTTGAGACATCAAGTGCGCTACCACAAGCATCTTTCTCACCGCATCTTTCCGGTAAGGACAGACGTATGGCTCTTCCTGTCTTTGTTTTTTTTCTTACTGACTCTTTGAAACTCAGGTACTGTTGCTATCTTTCCGGCACGATAAGGCTGCGCGCATCATTCAGGCGCATTTTGACGGCCATCGTCTGTTCATCAGGCAGTCCCGACTTCTCGATCTGGATGCCGACGAGCCGACACCGGATGCGTATCTTTTGCTGCGCTGGATGGCAAGCCGGCCCCAAGGCAACACGGCATATGGCAAGCCATTTTGCACAGACGATGCACCGATGGCAATCACCACAAAAGAACCTGAAGAGCCGAGCTCAACTGTCGCTGTGCAAGCCTGAGGGAGATGCCCCAGGGAGATGCCTGAGTGGCTTTTATGTCCTGCGATTTCTCGCATGCCTTCACAGTTTTTCTGGCAGAAGATTGGCCATTTGGGCAATGGTGGCTTGTTGGTCAGAGATCCAAAAAGCACACCTCGATGTTGTTTGTTGAGCTGTCGTTTTGATGGTGGTTTGGATCTTGTATGATACAAGATACATGCAGGGAGACGGCGAGATTGCCATCTTGTAATTGTTTGACTTATGTTGGCTGCACGATAAAGGTGTTTGGAACGGTTTTTGTTCTTCGGGTTTTTGTCTTTGTTTGGTATGGAAAATGGAGGCTTGTAGCCGTTGCTTTGGACTGTTTCATAATGACACAACACGATACCATCTCATCTGCACGCTCTTGCATCACACTTTGAAAGAAGAGGCTCAAGGTCCTTTGCTATTTTCAATTCTAGTACCTTTATTGCCCTAAGGCTTTGCCATATTCGTATGCTTTAGAGTTGATATGCCTTTGACCCACCGCTTAGGCCAAGTACGAAAAGGTTGCTACTAGATATACGGAGCTTTGCACTTGGCCAGATTCTGGAGGAGACAACAGGAGGCGCTCATGGCCAGATGCTCGAAGCACTATTATTTTCTGCTACAGGTATCTTTGACGCCCTGGAATACCATTTAATACCTTAACTTATCCTCTGAGCTTGGGTGGGCAGTATTTTGCTATCCGCATAACTCACGGTCTTCACAAATCGTAGAGAGTGGCCGTGTCCCGCGTGGTTTGGTTGACTGGCATATTTGACGAGGCAATATATCGCGAGAGACGCACCATTCCTCACCCCCTGGGCACAAGACTTACGACAAAGCCCATAGTAATGAACCGTCCGGCTGCTTCCATGATGCTCGGTTGCCTGTCACATTGAATCGTGAGAACTTATACGATGGCGCGACTGCCGAGAGTAAGTGTTGACTGCCGCCATCTTTGTAGCCGGCGAGAGATTGAACAATGCATTGTCAGTACCAAGGTTGCGACTGACAAAAGGACCTTCTTAATTAGGGATTGAACACGATGGAACCCGGAAGGGTAAAGCCGCTGCGTCCATACAAACCAACGTTCTTATATAAACGTAGTACTGAGAGCTGAGGCGGGAGTACCGCGCTCCGTACATGTAACTACATGCTGTGCAGACAAAGTAGCATTCTCAGCGGTGTGTCCCATCCACTACTATCCCGAGCCCTTGTGTGGCCTGGTACAGATGAGAACCAATGGCCGTCAGTGGTAGCGACGGCCCCTGTCAATATTGTTAGACAGCTGCGCGGAGAGGTGAAAGTTGATGGAAAAGGGGCACAAAAGCTGGAACGTAAATCGTCCTTTTCAAGCTGAACGGCAGATACAAAAAGCGGCTCTTTTGCGATAATTATTCACAAGGTGAGGCACGATATCATAGTGTCGAACCAAATAGTATCCAGGGAGAACCGCCAAGGCGGGTCGGAAGGAGAAACTTGTCTTTGCTGGTGCCGTATGTACCTCGAAGTCCCTGGAAAAGAAAAGTGCCGCATCCACATGAGATGAGAAGTGTTTAACCCCCCCCCCCCGTCCAGTTGCGCGTCCTGCCGCGCCGTGAATGCTTGTGCAGCCCCTTTTCTTCGGATCCGGTCGGGTAGGCTATGTAATGTCAAGCTGAAAACAAATCTTGGCCTCGATTGTTCATTGGAGCCCATGCATATGCAAGGTATGGCGTACGATGTATGACAAAGTACAACGCATCTTACATATATTTGAACGGCGTGACGGCGTCCAGGCCTGCATGGTTTTGCGGGGCCCAGCATTTTTCTCGTTCATCTTATGCCGCTTGCGTTTGGCTGCATGAAAGCGAGAGCTAGCACTGTGGCTTGCCTGTCATACTAATACAAGCAACTGTCCAATGCGCTGGCCAATGGTCACACTTGTTGTGTGTGCAGCCCTTTAGCAGTTGAAGAGGCCGCGGTATGCCTCGGTGTTTCCGTGCGTCAATTGTCGTCTATGCTCGGGGTCATATGGCGGGCAAGTGCGGTTGCGTAGACAAGTCCCGTGAAAAGGCAATCCGTCTGTTGTCCAACAAAAACGTAGAGGCAAGAAAGGCTATGCGCTTTGCCGTTGCGAATCTCCGCGCCGAGCCTTTCGTGCTTTTGCGGTTCTTTCCTTTCCCTCATTCACTACCCTTGTTGGCTTTACCCTTATTGGCTTCGCCATGGCCGTCTTCTGGAACAGTGGCCTCCACCATGTCAATGTTGACGACAGAAGTGGAGGAAAACCATGGGTACGTCGAAAACGGCAACGGCTTCAGAAACGCTGCCTGTATGAATCAGACTAAGCGCAGCTCTTGAGCTTGTTTGTGAGCTTGTTTGTTGGCGCCGCATCCCGTCCCGAATTAGGCACGGGCGAGCAAGTACCTCGACTCAAGGATGTGTGCTTGGGGGTGCTGCCGGGGGTGGCTTTGTCCATCATCGTGCTGACAACCAGGCGTCGTACTTCGTACTTGGTACTGTAAATGATATACTTTGCCTGTTACACTCCCTGCCTGTTGGTGTGGCCAGCCACTCCGACATTTTAACCAGTTCCGGTCACCCAGGCCGTCAGACAGCAACTTGGTCCTGCCACGGAGGCTCGAACCCACAGTGGCTGTCCTGGATTGTTTCGTTGGTATTGTGCGCTCTTCGTAATTACTTTGTTGTTTGTCCACTTTCTTGCAGCAGTTCGAGGAAGTTTTGTACCAACGGAATCAGTTACCACTTTTGCTCTGCCGGAGAGCTGATGATATGCGCTGGAACCCATCTTTGATCGAGGCATCTTAGGTGCCATGGCTGGTTTGATGACTTTTGGCCCCGAAATGCTAGCGTGTGACGTGATGTAAAACACACAAAAATCTGTAACTTCATAGCCTGATTCAACGGAGAAGGAGATCCTCTTAACAAAGTACGACCCATCACAGCCTTCCCTTTGTCTGGTGCGGGAGGGCCCTTGGTAATTTGGTGTGGTGGAAGCGGTATTCGGGTCCGAAGTATGGAGGCTCCATCGTTCCGCGGACGAAAATCGGCTGAGGAGACCAGGAAAATCTCTTCGACATGGGTAACTGGAATAGCAGGGGGACCACAAAAGGAAACAAATCAAAAGCCATTCCACCAATGTCGGGGCGTCGGAAGTCTGCCGGATTGGCTAGACTAGTGCGTGGTTGTTTTGTCTGTGCTTTCATTGTCGAATGTCGTATGCAGCAAGGATCTGTTTGATTTGTTCATGCACCTCCATGCGCTTGCACCAAGTCCGTTTTTGACCTCCCGAGTTCTGTCGAACGGCCACTTGGCTGGGAGGTTCCTGGAGAGGCGCATTTGGTGTAAACCAGCGGCCGTGTATGGATCCTTTTTCCTCTTTTCCCTCCCTTGAACACCTTCCTAAATGTGCTTGTATCATGTCGAACGTCGTACTTTGAATGCTGGTCCACCATTCGGGATATAGTCCTCGAGCTAGTAGACGCACCAGTTGCGCATCCGGGGGTGATGGTAATGCGATTGCAGGAAAAAACTGGGGCGTCGGACCAACATTTGAAATTGTTCAACGCTTTCCGACGCCGTTCACTGGTCTGGTTGCGCCTGTTTCGTTTTAGTGCAGAGTCGACGAAGTGTGTTGTGGATTCAACCTCCAAGACGCTTACTTTTTTTTATTTCGTCTCGCAAGACCCAGGGACTTTAAATGCGCCCCAAGAGTATTGCACGGCGTGGGGTGACGAAAAGGAAACGATAAAAATGGCACACAGGACGGCAAAATAAAGAGTGCGATGTACGACGGCCGGTGGAGGACACCCTGAGATCGATGACGCACTGAGCAAACTGTGATCGCCGCATTAGCTAGAAGGACGAGCGGCAGCACAAAATCACGACAGCCAACGAAACATGAGAAACAAAAACAAAACGAAATAGACCGCTGTAGCAGCCCACACGGCCTGGCCACTCACGGGAGTTCTTACAGTCCAGCCATCAGATGTCAGAGGAGCGCCAGCGGCAAGGACGGACTGTCCTTCCTTTTCCGTCCACTTTGTCGGCCGAGGGAAAAAGGATCTAGGTGATGATCATTCGGGGCTTGTCCTTTGCCTGGCCTGGCTCCCTGGTTCGTCCACTGTGCCCAGCCAGCGCCAGAGGCTCGCCTCTTTGAAGTGCTGAGATCGACTGTAACGTATTCGCTGGCATTGACCCCACCCCCTGGCCGGCGCGGGACAACGGAGAAAGGCGGAAGTAACTCGAGCATTGCTGACGGGGGCTGCTCCTGGCTGCATTTCCGTCGGGCGATGCATCGCAGGGATGTGTTCGAAAAGTTGGGCGGCTGCACAGGGAAGAAGCCAGGTCGACCAAATACACAGATCCATTTGGTGATGACAGAAGCGTGAGTGGAGATAGAGAGACAGGGGCGACTTGTTGTGTGCAAAGTGCGAGCCGCAATTGAGCTCGTACTTGGCAACTGCGACCAGCGCACCATGGCCGTTTGCGCTTTCTCGCGGCAGCGACAGGCCAATCGCTACTGCCCCGACAGCGAGGTTTCAACTTGCACTTGGACCTGTGTATTTCGTACTTTCCAAAACGAGGGCGTTGCACAACCGTCGCTTCCCATCTTGGCTACGGGTCAAACACAGCTAAACTTCGTCAAACACCCTCCCGAGCCTCCCCAGTCCCCGCCGTTACCCAGTGGGGCGCCTTCTGAACTCCGTCCGGGCAGGCCAAAAAGGTGCGGCCAAAGACCCTAAGAGGAAGGATCTACCCTACCCATCATTGCGCCTTCGTCGCCTGCTGTAATTAGCCCGCCGTAACCCACTCACACGTCGGCCTCCAGAGGTTGCTTTTCTTTGAACTTCCATTGATTCGCTATTGTGCTTTCCTTCTCTGGCTCCCCCTCCAACGCTCCAACCCTCCTTCTCTATTCTGTCGTCGTCCGTGTGTTCCTTCCATTTGCTAGTCGCGCCTGGGACCCCGTATCTTACATATATCATAAATCACCCACCAACGCCCTAGACGTTCTACATTAGCCTCTAACAAGGCCGCATCATTTTTCCACTCCACGACCCTGCATCGTGCAGAACCACAACTTGGTATGCCCGTTCTGTCGTCTTGTTTTCACAAACCACAAACATCGCCCCGTCTCGAACACGCCTATTGCTCTTTTGAGCGTATAGCCCTCTCGCTCTGCGTTCTCTCAGACGCCGTGTCCTCGCTTCCGCGGTGAAGCCAAAAAGATCAATAAGCAACATCTAGACTTGGAACGGAACACACCGTTTCTTGCCGGCCAAGCTTCCGCTCCGGCTCCGACACCCATATCAAGAGGACACACAGTCCGGCTTGCTTCGGACTTCCTGCCAAGGCCGGCCCACACGACAGGTGGAGCGCGCCGTATGCGTCCGTCCGGCCTCGGGGTGCGCGACCACGGCAATAACTGCCCTATGCTCGACTGCGCATGGCGAAACGAGACGGCACAGTTTGAATTACCGGTTGTTTGAACTCCCCTGGTAGCGGTAGCCCATCATGGTGTTCTGCGGGAAGGCTTCTTTGAGCTGTAAGAACTGCCGTATCCGCCGAATCAAGGTAAGCTGCTTGCATGTCTTTGTTTCATTTCAATTGGCTCTTTCATATGTATCTCTGCACCGACTCCGCCAATGGGTGGGGAGATACTCCGCTTGATTTGCTGTTGTACCGGAGATCTGAGAGACAATGTACCCGTCTGGGTGACGTTGGCTGGTCCTTTGTTTGATTCGTGCGGCGCGGCGCGACGTTGTGGCCCTGTTCTCCTCGCTTGAGTCACACCGTGGCTGCAGCACGGCACGTGGCTTCTTCCTGGACTCGAAACCAGACCACTGATACTCGTGTTTCCCTCCATCTAGTGCAATAAACTTGAGCCGGAATGCTCACAATGTATTCGAGCCGGCAAGAAATGCCCCGGTTACCGAGACCAGCTGTCTTTGATGTTCCGCGATGAGACAGTCAAGGTCCGGAAGAAGTTTGAGGAAACCGGGACATCGTCTACCACATTACCTTCGTCCGCTGCGTCTGCCACTGGATCTTCATCTCCGGAGGCGGGGGCGGATTTCATTAAATCCGAGACTGGAACGGAAGATTCAGACGCAGCCTTGTCTGCCATTGATAAACCCGGCAAAAATGCAAGCCAGATTCCCACGGCACAGGGCAGCAAGGAGCTGACTACCATCCGGGGCTCCAACGCCGATGGATCACTTACTCTTAGTGAGGCATTGGCAGCATTCGGCGGTACTCTGGGGAACGACGGTAGCCCCATGGCCTCCGGAAAAGGCCGCCCGCTTTCTATACCACGGAAACAACAGCGGAGGCAACAGGGGGCCACCACATCCCTGCCACCCGAGGTGTCCCCGACTCCAGCAGTGACCGTCAACCTCTCGGTCGAAGCTCAGTCTGCTCTTGTGAAGACCATGCTGAAGGGGCCCAACCCAACTCTCTTTGATCGCGGCTTGCAATTCTACTTGGATCACTACCTGTACGGACATCCTGAATCACCACCAAAATCAGGAGTAATAGAAGTCGACACGCCATGGATTCTCGACCCAGCAACTCGCACGATTGCAGCTGCCGTGGGAATGGCTGGCATAGCAAACTTGAAAGGCGACGACCAGATTCAAATGTTGGCCAGAGACAATTATGGGATTGGCCTTAAAATGACGGCAATGACGATCGACAAGCCGGGCCTCGATACACTGAATCACGTCATGCGCAGTATTGTTTTGCTGGCCATGTTTGAGGTCCGTTCGACAAAGTATCGTTGTTTGTTGCCAAGAGCACACCGCTGACTATTGTATGCGCAGATTGTTCGGGGTGCCAACCAGTCGTTTGGCAGCGCCAATATTCATGTCATGGGAGCGGCTGCCCTTATGCGTCACTTCCTTCCTATCCTTCCCACATCATTGCATCCCTACCGGGGCCTGATCCAAATATCATGCTCTCTTGTAAGTCGTTGCCTTTTCTTCTTGGCTGGATACGAACCAACAACTGACTCTCATTTTCAGCTAATTTCCTGCCAAGCCGCTCACATTGATGTGCCGCCTGTGTTCGCCGAATACATCGCGAATACATACCGAAAGAAACCGGTAGACGATCAGATCATGTCTAAACTGCTTCTGACGCTCATCGAATTTATCAATTTGTCTGCCTTCATTCACCGTCAAGTCCTCAGTGACAGACGCTCTGATATGGTGGACCACGTCGTCCACGCACTGCAACTGGACGCGCGCCTCATTGCATGGGAACTCAACATCACAGAAAAGAAGGGCATCTGGAAGTACGAAGAGTGCGAAACGCCAAAACTGCCACCCGAGGCGGTCTACAAAGGGCGGTTCCACCGCTACTCGGATATCTCGACTGCTCGGATTTGGAGCTACTACAGGTGGGCGCGCATCCTGCTCAACGAAATGCTTCTGGAATTTATCGAAAAATGCCCCAACTCGGTGGCAGCCGGCCTCGCCAGGCTCAAAATGGACACGGCAAGTGCATCCTCGGCCAAGGCTGGAAGCGCTGTGATCGGTGCCGACACGCGAGATACCGACACCGAGGCGACGGAAAAGCTTCGCCGGAGAGCATTGACGACGATTAAAAAGTGTGCCGAGGATATCTTTGTAAGCACGCCGGTGTACTGGCGTCACCCAAGCATCCCCCTCAAAGAATACGACCCGATCGCGACGCCCCCGACGGTGTACGGACAAAATGGCGGTACGGGCGTGGCCACGCTCATGCCGACGCTGTTCCACCTCGATGTGGCGGCCCGTGCGCCCGGCGTTTCTGAAAAAGACTTTGACTGGGCTCTGGCCGTGATCGATACGGTGTGGGCGTATCTTGGCTTGCGGCAGGCGCGGACCCTTGCGGACAAGATGCGGCTCCATCGCGAGACTATGAAACGCAAGGCCATGGGGCTGAATGGAATGCTGCTGCTGACGACACATGAAGACGTGGATATTCCTGCATGACGGCAGAGGCACGACGAACATAAATAACGCGACAGGACATATATATGGATATGGATGGGATACCACGGCGCTCAGGTTATAACACGTGTTGGAACATCTCTTTTGACGGCGTTGACTATGAAAGCTATTTTGATTTTGGATCGTTCTGTTCCTTTTCTTCGCTCTCCCTTAAATAGCTCTGGGTTGGATGATAATGAATCGTACTTTTGGACATGACAGGAAACATTGGCAGTCCCTTTTTTGGATATCGTTTTGCACCATGTAAGCCCAGCCATCTATTTGGGTATATATACATCTATGGTGACATGTAAACAACAGCCGTCAAATCTGCGGACATTCAATATTCGTTATGCCTGCCAACATGCCTCGTTTTGTCTATTTTGCACAACTGGCTTGCTTTCATTCCCGGTACACCATGCTGTCATCCACCTGGCTGCGATAGCGCTTCTTGTTCGGCTCGTCGGCCCAGGTCTCGGCGAGACCCAGGCGTGGGTCCTCCTCGGCGTATCCGAAGCGTCGTCGGAGCTTCAAAATCTCTTCCCGCATGCGATGAGCGGTTTCTTTGCGCAGCTGCTGCGCCTCCTCGCCGTACTTGAGGTCGATCTCGATTTCGACGGCCGTGGCGCCGTCCGGGCCGTCCGTTCTGGCGCCGCTGTGTCTTGTACTCCGCAGGCTGCGCGCCACCAGACGCTGCCACCGGTCGCGCAAGTCGGCAAACGCCTCGGGGTCGAGAATGTCGCCAAAGACGACACGAATCTTCTGGCCGATGCGCGGCAGGAACCGCGGGAACGTGCGCTCTTCGTGCATGACGCGGTCCAGCCCGTCAATGAACATGGGCACGATGTCCGGGGTGGGTTCGCTCTCGAGGATGAGGCGGGCCACGCCCCACTTGAAGTAGCGCAGGCCGCGATCACGCTGCTGGTGGACAAGGCCCTCGGGGAAGACGTGGACCCAGGCGTGGCGGTTGGAGGCAAAGGCAGAGGGTGCGGGCCAACGGTCGGCGCCGTTTGTGGAGTAGTAGAGGGAGGGCGAGAAGGACGAGGCGAAGACCTCGCTGGCGGGAGATTTCGAGGACGTAGCCGGCGCCTGCGGTAACGGCCCTGAATCCGATGGTGCTGAGGAGGAGGCTGCGTCTGATATTAAGGAAGGGGAGGAGGGGGTGGAGGGGGAGGAGAGGCTCTCAATGGGAGAAACGAGCTTAGGGTGGTCAGCCGGCGACGGCTGGGCCGAAAGTAGGCGCACGGTGTGGTTCATGGTCGGCTGGAAAAGACCGCCCCATGGCGAGTGGCGCAGGCGGTGGGTGGGCAGAGTCTGGCCAGAGCAGAAGAAATGACCGACAAAGCTATGGACAGTCAGCGGCAGCCATCACCATCAAAATGAGTTGAGAGATAAAACATACCTGTTCTTGTAGCAGATGTCGTGAGAACCTAGGCTCCAACGCAGGTTACGGTGGTCTATGGCATACCGCAACGGGAGAACACCCCATATCAATGGATCGTCGAGTCTGAATGGTTAGCGAGTGTTTCCTTTCCTGACACATGTCTTGACGGTTGAAATGCTGTCCAGGACACATACACTGAAATATGATTACTGACTTTTTAGGGTCAGCAGAAGGGACGACACAACGCATGAGCAGGATAACAATATGTACAAACAATGACGAACCTGTGATCAGCCCTCGCTGCCGGGCCTCGACGTCCTTGCGTGCATCGAGAAGCTTTAAGAAATTGTCGAGGCCAACGACCTCGACATCATTGAGGCCGTAAAGAAACGACCGGCAAAGCATGCCGGTTGTGGCCATGACAAAGGTGGACGCGGCCCGCCAGAGCGCACCGGGTTTCCGCGGCTTGGCATTTGCGACGGACATGGTGGTGGGACGATTAAGAAAGAAAAAGGAATAAAATAAGAAAAACAGACAAGAAAATGGCGGATGAGAGGGCGCAAATCAGACAAAAGACGGCAAAGCCACCATTGGCTGAAGACTTGTGTGTTTGAGGCCTCTTTGATGATTCACGCGTCACCTCCGTCCGACAGCCGCCCTCGAATACCGAAACCTCGGCTTGTTGTGTCGTTGTCAAGTTGCAACTCAGAACAGAAGAAGACAGGTTTTGGCGGAGTTGGTGATAAGATGTCCACCGCTACAAAACTTTTTTTTACTGAAGAGCGACAGCCTTGCGCTGCGAATCGGGAAGCCACAACCAACCACGGCGCAGAATCGGCTCACACGCGCAACTCGCATGTTTAGGGTAGGCGCATGTGCGCTTTGCGACGGAAGGCGCTAACGTTCAGGGTGTTCAACGGACGAAACGCGGAAGGAAGCACTGGAGCTAGTGCCTGACTTGGGCGCCTTCCTCGCCAAAGGTTTGTCTCCACTTTACGGCAGCTTTGGAGGGGGAAGGAGCCAACAGCTCTCAAACGGTTGACCTCCCAAGGCGGTCTACTCCTCCTCCTCTGTCTTCTCACTCCTACCAGCAATCATCAACAACCACACGACATCACCTCAACCACCAACCTCTGTCCACGCCATGGCTTCGACAATACCATCCATAGCCTGTCTCGGCGTCATCGGCCGCAATGTGCGTACTCCATAGCAGACTTCACCCAACCCCCAGTCTCACCGTAGCTAACCTCAACCCTCTGTCCTTTTCCGCCCTCCCAGGACAATCCCCTCCACATCTCCATCTTCCCTTCTTACGACGCAGCCACCAACAGTTTGTTGCCGGTCCGTACGCCTCTTCAGTTCTCGCTGATTCTCTGCGGCACGCTCGACATCTTTGCCCAGCGGCCGTCCGGCACCGCTAGCGGTTCCGTGGCCTCAGGCGCGGCCGCCAGTGGAGCCAGCCTGAGCGCCGGAAGTGACGCCGCCGGCCTCCTGCTGCTGCACGCCCTCGACGACCGCTTGGCCGTGTACGGCTACGAGACCAACACGGGCGTCAAGCTCGTGGCCGTCGTGGACATGCGTGGAAGGCGTGGTGGCAGCGCTGTGAGTGGTGTACAGGGCAGCGCCGGTGCTGGTGGTGGCTCCGTGTCCTCGGGCAGCCGTGGTGTTTTGGGTGGCAGCGTTGTCGGTCTGCGCGGGTCCGAGCTCAAGCCCGTCTTCAAGGCAATGCAGTCAGCCTATGTGCGGCTGCTGCAGAATCCCTTCTACGACCCGGACGAACACTCGCCCCCGACCGGCCGCGGCGGCAAGAAGATTGTCAGCCGGCGGTTTACCGAAGACTTGCAGCGCATCGGCGAGGCCTGGATGCCGGGCGCCACGAACCTGTAACCAGTGGCCGCATCGGCAAAGCACAATGGCAGCATACTGCATCATTACAGGGTGGTAATCAGACATGGGCCATCATTGCCTTTTCACCTCGCTTCTTATACCCAGCAACTGCTGGCTTCTAACACGATAACACTAAGACATACCGAGACGCCACGAGATAACGCTTAACGAACTTGCCAAACAACCATGATGTGGGCCGGAAGAATGGCCCTCAAAATAAAAGAACGACAAAAGAACAACCGGCATAGCCCACGAGTCCGCTCAGTTCCCGTTGTCGAGGGTAAAGGATTCATACGACACCTCTTCGTGCCCTATCCATTCCTTTCGGTCGATTTTGGCGACTGTGGCCCAGCCACGAACCAGTGCCCGCCAGTAGCATGTCTCCGCAGCCGGACTGAAGTAACCGCCGCCGACAAACAGGTCTCGCTGGTTGCGAGCGATGCCTGCCGCAACTTCTGGGTGCGCCTCCAGCCAAGCGACCGTGTCTTTGAGGTCTGACCAGTCGGGTGCCACGAAGACAATATTGGCCTCGCCTGCCGGATACGACACGGGCCAGCTCTTGTGTCCAGACGACGTTTTTGCCGTGTTGGACACAGACAAGCTTCTGCGGCTAATTTTCTTTCCAACGCTCTTGACGTCGTGGGCGAATTTATGAGCCTCTTTTCTCGGCGATTCCTTTTCTTTGGCACTGTTTGGCTTTGTCGTGGCCGCCCCCAGAAGATGGCTGCTGAAGACGGGCTTGACAAGGTGCGTCGTGTGCTGCATCCACACAATCGGCGGCGTGATTGTTACGCTGTTGCACATTTGCAGAAACTGGAACCGCCCGCTGTACGCAACGCCCTCAGTATGCAGCACGTAGCGGTACCGACAAAAGTCTTCAATGGCCAGCGCGTTGGTGGCATTCTGTGCGCTGCTCTGCACTCGCCCGCCAGTGCCACCACCACCGACCCAATCGAGCGCCTCCACATCCGCCCAACTCTGGCCCTTGGCCACGGCCACCAGGTTCTGGCGCAGCCGCGGGCTGTGGACTGAGTTGAACCATGTCGTCCCGCGCCACACGGCCCGCGGGATCTTGTGGTAGAACACGGGGTACAACTCATGCTCAAGACGATCGATGGCGGCGGCAGCGCGGCCGATGGAACCGATAAACGGCAGCTTCCAGGCCCAGAAGGAGAAATGCGGCATTAGGAAATTGCGCTCGTCGCGGTCTTTGCTGCGGAAGGCCGGGTTGATGGCGCGGCTGTAGCCCCACGAGGTGCCAAAGGGCTGATCCTGGAAGTTGATGGAAAAGTACGTGTCGGGCAGGGGCTCGGACGCGGGAGCCGTGATGAGGGCGCGGTGCAGCTGGTGGATGGCTGCGGTGCGGGACTGCAAACGAACAAAAAGGAGAGAGAGAAAATTAGTATCATATTTTCTGCCGAACAATTTCTTGACTTGAATTTGGTTGTGACCTACGTTGACCATCTGCTCTGACAAGTCGGATCGCTGTTGCGCGTTGATGATGAAGATCTATTGCGAGCGCGTCAGAAGATGCCATTTGGTTGCGTCTCATTTGTTCGCATCCTCCAGACAGATTATATACCTTGCCGTTCTTGATCCGTCCTTGCAGGGCACCCATATCGCCCGTATTTTTCAGTCGGAAAGGCCCTTCGGCGACAATCTCGTCAATGGACCGAGTCAGGCCAGGAAACTCGGCCTGGCATTGCTTCTCGGTGAGCGACAGCGACTGAAGGGTGGCCGACGACGGGCGGTGCGGCGTCTGCTTGTGACGGTCTTTGTTCTGGCGATTCTGGTCTTGCTGCGACTTCTGTTCCCAGGTCACGGCGTCGTGAGGCTCGCGTATGACAAAGTACAAGCAGAAGAGAACGAGACACAGACCGAGGCCGACGATCAGTGGCCGTAATGGTCGGTGGCGACTGGCTCCGGCGATCATGGCGGTTCGTGGACGCCTACAAACAGCAAATGCAGGGCGTCAACAGTAGAACAGTCGGTGACAGAATACAGTTTCGGGGTGCAAAAGAAGCGACTGATGGTCTTGGGGAGTTATAATAGACAACTCACATACATCGAAGGGAATATACGGGCGTCGTATACATATAGGACGTTACTAGTATACAAACGTACAATGCATAGGACACTCCATCGGAGAGACCCTTGCCTGACTACCAGACGTCTGGTGGTATTGACCTCAATAACGAGAGAAGATGGAGGGCAGTCGATTTACATGGCTGATGTGCCGTAACCCTGCTGGCTCACTCTGTTGGTCTGCAATTCCCGATCTCCAGGGCCATAAAGAGTAGCGAGTATATCAATATGCGTTCTTTCTGCCCTGTAATGGCTATTTGCCTTTTCTCTTCTCGGCTCGCTCTGCACGAATTCTGTGATTGAGATCGTTGCTGCTGCAAATGCAACACAACATCCAAACTTTGAAGATACACTGTTCATGTTGATGACATATTGGAGTCCTTCATCTACATCGCGAACCTCCATCTCTGCTTTTCTCTCCACTTCTACATCCACAATTCCACATATCCACATATCCACTCTTCCCCTTTCTCGGTTCTGCTTCTCGGAAAGTGGCCCTTGCCCAGCAAAAGCCAAGTCGCTTCCCTCTTTTTCTCGTTGAGACGTTTGCGTATCTCTATTTTGGTCTTCTTCGTCCGGTAAGACATCCTTTGACCGTTCTGGGGAAACGCGGCAGGACACTCTCCGCAGCGCCACTGGCCCCTCTTTATATATTGCTCCTTGGCTAGCGAGCCACGGTGCCGTCCAAAGAACGGCCAGGACGACGACATGGCAAATGTAGAAAGAAGGACAGGAAAAGGGAAAGTGACTCGTGTGAATAGAAAAACATGACAACGCAGGCATTGGGCCTGGTCTTCTTTTCACAAAATAGGCCGCGCTCTGTCTGTTTGATTTCTTTTTCCTCTGGCTTGTCTTGTTTTGCTCCCTCAAAAGAGACGGGGAAGGCAGAGTCGCATTTCCGGTAAAACCGGCAAAAAATACGGAGAGAGCGGAATAGCAGGCTGCGATATATGCTATGAGGCTGGATAGAAAGCAATGCTGCTGATTGCTGTCAATATTCGTGCTGAAACAATATTGCAGCAACCAGAGAGCAATACGGTCTATTTTCCACCTGAATACCAGTCACTCTATAGATATGACGTCTTTGCTCAACGCCCCAATTCTCGGCCGATACGCTGCCGGTTTACTTGATGCTATTGTATTCTCGTTCATTTATGCAATCTAATGTGATGATGTACGAGGAGCCTTTAAGAGGACAATTTCGCGAGAATACAACTGTCACAAATACGGCAATTTTTCTACGACACTTTGACAAGCTACATGACATCAAGCCCAGTCACGTCCACCCTGACTGTATAGTGTGTTTGTCTGTCTCGATGCCCTTCGTCTACGTGTAAGTGAGAAGAGGATCCACCTAGTCGAGGGCTTGGGGCTTTTGTTTATCTGTAGTTATTTGCGCCTCATTTTACTTTATCCTAGTATTATGTAACGTTTTCTGAACAAAACCTGCGTTATGAGACCGAGTAATTCTGCTCTCAAGAGCCGCTATTAAAGGACTTATTTTTGGCTTTTCTAAATAATAGAAAAAGGAGACAAAAAAATAGACATAGAAAAAGAAATACAGCTTTAATCTTAATCTTATGTTGCGCCCTCCTGTGTGAAGGTTTAAGTGGTGGTTGTCTTAACCTTTTTTTTTAAATACAGTTTCTTAAGGTAAGTTTCCCCCCTCCATAACTACCCACGGGCATTTCATTAACCCATCCTTACCACTTTGCTTTCTGCGCTTTGAATGTTTACTTGTTTTACTTGATCTCATGACACTGTACGAAGCAATTTATTTTTAATTCGTTTCTCTTCCAACTCAGCACAAACAGGACAACAAGCCCTGTGATAAATAGCACCTATTTATTAAAACATCTTATATATACAGAAGATTGTTCTTGTATAAAAGTCTGTAAAATAGGACGAAGTCGCCAGTTTGAAATTGCCTAACAAATATCGCTGTGATTGCTTACGTAATACAACTACCGAAGCTCTCAGCCTCTGCACTGCAAATGATGTCACCGTCAACTGCAGACAACGACAGGCCGTTAGCATCCACGCTGGTTCACAGCAGAACATCTACAAGTTAGCCCAAATGCCCAACCGGTCTGGGATCAAAGCTTCAGGAACGAAAGAGAGTCATGCAGCGGTGCATCTTGAATGCGTCAGTTATTCCACCTTCGAGCAGCTCCAAGACAATTATTCCGCTTGAACAATGCTCTGAAGCTTAACGAAGGTCTCGGTCTTTCACCCGTCTCATAGAAAACAATTCATCTGTTCCAATGACACAACAACATCTCGTTTGTCAAGTTTGCGTGGCTGATGAGGCCTCGATCAAGCGTGAAGAATTGTAGCCATTCACGGCCATGTTATGCGAGGCCCTTAAACCCGCTAAAGGGAGCTCCATTCAGTGAACAATGTACCTGTAATTACTGAGTATGTGGGCTCACGCGGGTCGCCGAACAGGGAATAGCTCTGTAGCTGCTGGCCACCGTCACTGGCAGGAAGGTGCAGGAAGGTCGGTAGGTGTGGGTCTCCTGCCTGCGTGTGTTGTCGTGGGAGCGCAACCAAGCTCAACACAGCCCCGCCTCAGCCAATCAGCGTCGGTTGTTGGGGAGGAAAAAAGGCGGAGAATATGAAAGAATGGCAAGAACGGCCGTCTGAAATAAAAATAAATACAAAATAAAGACCAGAAAATACAAAGCCCCTAACATTTTGGCTTGACTGGGGCTGCATGCGAAGCGACAGCCCAAAAAAGCGAACAAGAGAATCTGCACGCTTGAGGCCGAAAGCAAGCAAGACACAAAAAACGAGGGAAAAGGGGATTCAGTTGTTCGCCAGACAGTCCCTTCATCGGGCTCCAACAATCAGCCACACGACTCTCCCGACGGTCGGTCCTTCCTGCCAAGCATCGCGCATCAGATTCGACGCCGTCGCTCTTTCCTTTGCTATCACCTTCCTGCCATCGACATTTCCGTCGCTCCTTCTCGCATCGACTGCATTTCGCATCGCCAGCGTTTTCACAACAACACACGACTTCAATCGACACGTCTTCCTCGACCCATCCTTTAGACGGCCGCGACAGCAATCAACGGGCGACAGCACCATCGAAGCACCGAGGTCCAGCCATACGACATCGTCGTGACCATCTCGAGACCCCCAAAACATCTGTCATAACGAGCCCGAACGGACGCTGCTCGATGATTTGCCGACGCCCATCCAACCGATTCTAATTTTTCTCTTTTCTCTTCGTTTTGTCCCCTCCCCTCCCCAGCGAATCAAGCGGATCGAGCGAATCGACGGCAACCATGTTCTCGCCGCACGAAGGTGGCCCGGCCACCGCCACGCGGAGCCGCCGTCGCCAGCGTCCTGTCTCGTCCGACAGCCTTGCTCAGCAGCCCAAGGCGAAGCGCCAACGTCTCCCGCTCACTGAGCAGACCTTTGTCAACCCCGATGCCGTGCCCGAGATGTTCCAGGTCAAGGCTGACAAGGTTGCCATGCTGAGCGCCCGTCGCGACGGTGTTGAGAACCATGGCAACAATAACAACGTGCCGGCCGCGACAACACCTGCATACTCGACATCTGCAGTAGCAGCAGCAGCAGCAGCAGTTTCCACTCCCACAACATCCGCCTCAGCACCCAAGAAGGAGCTGAGTGTGCGGTCAAAGAAGACCAAGGCCGGCGAGCGGATCAGCAAAGGCGACGGCAGTGTTGTTTTGGTACGTTCTGTGTTGTTTGAGATGCTTCTTCTGTTTTATTTTTTAATGGCTCTTCTCTTCTCTTTTCACCTTCCTCCTTTTATTTTGCTTCTCATGGTTGATACTAACTCCAAACTCACAGGCCAGCAACAATGCATACACCGTCAGCAAACTGCCCGCTCTCCCAGACAGACTACGGACAGATCCAGGCGGTAGGCTCAAATCCAAACCCAGCTCATTTCACAAGAAACAAACCCATGTCTAACCTCGTTGTCCAGGCCGCCAACACGGCACCATTTACTCGTCCAGCGGCTATGCCGTCTCACTCACGCATACCCACGCCATCGTTTGGCCGTATACTGCCAACAGCCCGTCCCCGGAGACCTTCACATTCACTCTGCCCTACCCGTCCCGACACATTTCTGATCCGCTGCCGCTTGGTGCCCTCGTTGCGCCGGCAGCCTCGTCCGAAGAGCCCGGCCTCGTCGTTGTTATGCCTACCACTGGTAAGGTCAGCTACTGGGAGTCCATCTCGAGCGCCGCCACTCTCGACTTTTTGCGCCAGCAGCGAAACGGTGTCGAGGACGTCATCCAAGGCCTCTCTTCGACCGAACACGTGACCGAAATTCTCAACGCAGAACCCGCCGGCTTCATCCTCCTCACGAGTACGGGGCGCCTTGCCTACATGAACGTCCGCGACGGCCACGGCCGGCCAGCCATCTCTGTGCAGTTCCTGCGCACCGCCGGCGGCGGCCTGTCGTCTGCTGGCTTCTTTGGCAGCATCCGCCATGCCCTCAAGAACCCAGCACACCGCGAAGACGTTGTCGCCGTCCGCGCTGGCCCCCATCTCCGCGTCGGCGAGCGCTCCATCGTTGCCGCCACCTCCAAGGGCAAGTTCAGCGGCTGGAAGGTCCATCGCGGCGGCAGCCACGACGCGATCCTCGAGACCGACGCCCGCGACGACATCCTCGGCGCCATCCGCCAGTTCGATTTCTCTGCCGACGGCCCCGACGGCGATTCTCTCGAGGTTGTCGACTTCACCTACGTGCCCAAGGGCATCGAGCGCAAATACACCGACACGGTCCGCCTCAGCAACGCCATTGAAGACGACAACGACTCCATACACCAACTTCTCGTCCTCGTCTCGCTCCCCAACAAGCGCCGGAAACCGTACTACCTCGTCGAGCTCCTGCTCGCTGCCGACAACACCCAGGTCGGCATGGTGCGCCCCATCACCTCTCTCGCTGGCCCTGTCAGCCGCCAACAGCAAACCACCGAGCAGCGCCCGCGCGTCTACCTGCCCAAGCCGGCTGTTGTCGCGTACGTTGTCTTTGACCGCGCCGTCGTGATCGCGTCGCTGGTGCAGCCCCCGGAGACCCCCGATTCTCAACTTCAGGGCGAGGCTAGCTACCTGCCGCCGTCGTTTGAGGATATTGTTGACTTGCGCAACGACGGCATGTCCGAGGTTGTGGGCTCGGGCGTCGAAGAGCCTGCGAGCTTGCTGCCAGAGGCCGCCGATGCCGGTTCCGGTGCTGTGGGGTCTAGGGTGCACCGCTACAAGTCCAAGAACCCCGCTGCCGTTCTCATGGTGCGCGGCGTTGGTGTGGTGCGTGTCGCCACCGTCGACGTGGAGCGCTTCATCGGCGAGAAGCCACCAGAGGTCACCGCCAAGAGCAAGCTCGAGCAGGCCGTTTTCTACGGCATCAAAGACGACAACCCCTTGGTCTTTGAGGGCAAGCGCGACTCGCCCTTTTCCGACGCCGAGATTGGCGAGGCCGCCATGGAGCTCAGCCGTGACATCCTCGGCTCCAAGACAGCCTTTACGCCCAGCGTCCCCGCCTCACTGGAAGGCAACCTGCGCACGCGCGCCGGCTACCTCGACCGTCTCATGTCGCACCTCAACGCTCTCCATCTCGACCTGAGCCGGCGCGTGCGCTGGCGGCTGCTCGCGGACGCCGAGAAGATGTTCACGGCCACGAACATGTGGCTGCTGCACGAGCAGTTCATGGCCGACCGTGCCGATGGCAAGACGTCGGACCGCAAGACGATCATCTCGGAGATTGTCGAGTACATCCACGAAGACGATAAGAAGAACCCCAACCGCGACGTGGGCGAGGTCGACCGCGTCCGCTACTTCTTTGTCAACGATGTCTGGCGCATGGACCTCTTTATCGCCTGGGCCTACGAGGTGATCAAGTACGTCTACCGGGACCACCTGCTGGACGACCGCGGCGTGACGCGTCTCTTGTACGAGGGCGTCGAGGTCAACTACCGCGCCCTCAACGGCGCCACCGACTACCGCCAGGACAAGCTGTCGTTTTACGGCCTGGGCGGCGAAGAGCTCGAGTCGGGCATTCTCGTGGACGGCTACGACGGCCTGCCGGAGCCCTGGACCTCGACGTACTTTATCACGAACAATGCAAAGCGCCTGGTGGACCTGTGCTGCAACTGGCTCGACCAGTTCTATCCGAACAAGGCCACGTCCGCTGCGGCGCCCGACCCAGGTTTGATCGAGTCGATTCGCGAGTCGCTTCCTAACCTGACCGACCGCTACCTGCTCGCGCTCTTGGAGCACTACCGCTGGACGCAGACGCGCGACGTGGAGTCGGAGCGCGAGTACGGCGAGCGCTGTTCCAAGGCCTATGCCGAGGACCGGTACGCCAAGGTATACCGGCTCAAAAACTACGGCCTGTGGGACGACGCGATCGAGGTGGCTAAGAAGCACCGGTCGATCGACGCCCTGGCCGGCATTATGGTCGAGGAGGTGCGCAGACTGCGCAACGACGCGGTCACAGTGGACGCCGGCACGCTGCGGGCCAACGAGAAGCGCGCCGAGGCACTCTCCAAAGAACAGCGGATCGCCGAGTACTTTGACAAGTACGGCGAGCCGTTTGCGTTTGCCGTGTACGAAATCCTGCTGCGCGACGACGGCATCAAGGCTGTCCTCGACTTTCCCGGCGACAAGAAGGGCTACGCGACCCGGTTCCTACGGGCGAAGCCTGAGCTGGCCAAGATCTCGTGGATCAACGACGTGGAGCGCGAGAAGGACGTGGAGAGTGCCGCCGGCACGCTCCTGAACCTGGGTCTCGACCGTGAGCGCCAGGTCTGGAACAAGAAGATTGAGCTCAGCCTGGGCAAGCTGGCACTGCTGGCCGAGCAAGGCGCATCGGCGAACCGGGCCAACAGCCTTCTCACGCCGCCAAAATCGCTGTCGCCTGCTCCCTTTTCATCAGACAACGATGCCACCTCGACACACAATGGCAACAACGGCAATGGCAATAGCGATGGTGATATTGACCGCGTCGACCGGCAGCTCAACATGATCAAGATCCAGGATTTGCTCTACAGCTGGGTGCTGCCGTCGATTGCGACGGCGGTGGACGAGGCTGCCGAGCTGCAACTGGCCATGGAGAACCACGCAACACGCCTGCCGAAGCGGCCGAAGACGCTGCTAAACGTGTTTGAGGACGGCCTCAGCCGGCTGCTCAAGCACGAGGCACTCGACGCGTTCACGCTCATCGACCTGCTGACACTCATCGACACGCGCAGGGAGGAGACACTGATCGAAGAGGACGTCTTTTACCTGGCGCTGCTTGTGGCCGACGCAGGCCTGAGTGGCGAGGACCGGCGGCAGGCGCAGCGGCTGATCTGGCGGCGGTGCTTCATCCGCGACGACTGGGCGCAGATCAACAACACGCAGCTGCAGGACGACGAGTCTACGGCGTCCATTCTCAGCCAGACGTCCGTGTACACCACCGTCTACGCGCTGTCCATCCAACGTGCGTCTTCCGGCCCCCTCCGCACGCTATTTTTTGAGAATCTCTATGCTAACAAGTCAGAAAAAATCGACGCGTCTGCGACATTCGCCATGGTCAAGCCTTCCGAGGCCCTCGGGGTGTTTTCGGATGCTGCCGATGTCGCCACGACCGCCCGGTTCGGTCACATGGAGGATACGGCACGCGAGAAGCTGGCCGACGCCATGCGCCACGAAGACACGTTGCTGCGGCGCTACATTGACAAGAGCCGGCTCGAGGACTGGTCCCGGACGGCCAAGGAGGGCGCTGAGCGGGCCATGCAGACGGAGATGGACCGGCTGACGGAGCTGCAGGGGTCGGAGTCTGTGGGCCGGCTCAAGTGGAACCTGTTTGGCCCGCGCAGTGCCTAGTGGGTGACTGGCGGACGCAGCGCCCACCACGACGAGGACGACGAGGACGAGGACGACGCACTGAAGAATCGGCTCAGATGGTCCACGGTGCGGATCGACGAGCTGCAACTACCGTCGGGCCGCTACGGGCTGCGGAGGCGAGGGGTGGTGTAAGGAGCTGCGTGACTAAGCGGACGAATGGACAAAAAGGCATCTGGCATTTATCTCACCCGAATTGGTTTTCATCTCTCTGCTGCTTCTCGTTTGGATGCGGGGCCTTGTTGCCATTCTTTTATTTTGTTTCATTTCATTTGTTTTCATTTGTGTTTTTTTTGGTACTCTTTTCCGGGTTGGTGCTAATCATGCATTGGGGCTTTTTTTTTGCTGTGTTCTTTTCCTGAGTTTTGTCTTTGCTCGTTTTCATTGGGAAGGGAACACCTCGGACAGGAACAGGGAAGCGAAAAGAAGAGAAACAAGGTGTGAAAACGAAAACAAAACATGGGCCGTTGTTTCTTTTTCTGTATCTACTTTTATTTTGTCGCTTCCGTCTTTCGTTTCCGTGCTGCATGTCTTTTACTGTCTTAAGTATCAATCCACTGTCTATTTCCTTCTCTTTGCTCTTCACAAAAGAATAGAGCAAAGAGTCACCATAAACATTTTCGCTTCAAACATGAACTGGTGATGGTTCCGCGTCTGGGCTCAACGCGGAAATCGTCACGTGACTATTCTTCTTCACGACAGCCCATCAACACATACTGTTGTCAGTAATTCAATGCTTCGTGATTCATTCTTATTGATACATCGTGTCTCTCCACGTAAAATATGTACATAGTGCCCGCGCAGATGTCCCAAAGTGGTTCCCAACGCCGTCAATTTGGGAATGCTGCGAATGCAGATATCAACCAACCTCGCGGCTTGCTCGGATGCGCGGCTTCGAGACGATCATATGGAGCTGCACATGAGATTTGGGCTCACAAAAGGCCTGTCGTCGGGCACACTCGATCGTGTCAAACAGTGGGAGTGGAGTGGAGTGAGGCTGTCCAAGCTGCTAGCAGCTGTCCATCCGCGGGTTCGATACAGGGCCGTCCCTTTGTCTCTTCCTCTGCCGTCTCGCGGCTCACTTGAACAGACGCCACAGACCGGCCCAGGCCAGGCCCAGCGAGATACCGGCTATGCCTGCCTGGCGACTGCGCATGCCAAAAAACGAGCCGCTCTTCAAGATGGCTTGGCGCTGTTGCTGGAGCTGGGATGTGCCCGAGATGTAGCTGTACGCCGCAAGGCCGAGGAAGGCACCGCCGCCTGTGAGTGTCAGCACAAGTCTAGCAGTCTACAGTGCCGTGGAAAGTCATAGAACACGGAAAAGACCGTAAAGAAAAGGAAAAAAATGGGAAAACGCACCAACGACACGACACGGCAGACAGTCTTCGCCGCGGTCTTCCTTGAGCAGGTCCTGGTACTTCTCGGGCCGGTCAAGCGACGCAACAGAAGGAATATTGCTGCTGCCCATGGTTGGGTGGTCGTGATGTCCTGTGCGTTGAGAGAATCCGGTGATTTAGTGACGCTCGATCGCACATGTTGTTGCTCGACAGACGATAAATTTTGGTTCAGTGATACTTTGTAAAGCGGCAGGCGCCGAAGTTTACTGCCAAACTGCGCTGAAGTCTAGCGTCTCGCTTTCAGCTGTATTATGTAATTTTCCAAGGCCTGAACCGGCCATCCGCTACTGATCCACAGGCCGCTGATTTCCAGATTTGGCGGGGCATGCGACCGACTCGTGCCTGCCGTCCCAAGCTGCGACATCGCGTCACCACCGACAGTCGCTCTTGCTTGCACCGAATTTCCGGCCTCCCACTCCTTCCTCCTTCCTCCTTCCACAGTCCATGGCCCTCGCTCTTTCCGGCCACCACAACCCACCATGGACGGGGTAATCGAGGCATTGCACATCTTCGATGAGCACAAGTAAGACGACGGCCTTTTGTCTCACGACCCCCCCCCCCCCCCCAACTCTCCCCACACAACCTTGCTAATCTCGAATCTCTTTCTCTCCGTCCGTGAAACAGTGCCCCCATATTGTCGCACACCTATACGGGGCGGCCGCTCTCCGCGGCACAGCTCCTCCCGCTGTATCTCGACCAGCAACGCCAGCAGCAGCAACAACAAACTTCTTCTTTCTCGTCGTCGTCCTCGTCGCTCACTTCCCCGTCTGCGTCTGCGGCCGGCGGCCCTGCAGCACTGCGCAAGCAGCCCGCCAGCCTCGTCTACATCTCCGACACGAATCCGCCGACGCTCGTCTTCTCCATCGTCCACGCCGGCCTGCTCCTTTTGCTGACGACATCGTCGGAGCTCGAGCCGCTGCTGGCCCTCGAGTTTCTGCACCGCGTCGCCGACGCCCTCGAGGAGTTTCTGGGCAGCCCGCTGCTGGCCAGCAAGATCGAGGCGAGCTACGAGGTCGTCGCCCAGCTGCTGACGGAGATGTGCGATGCCGGCACCGTGGGCACCACCGAGCCCGATGCGCTGCACGACCTGGTCGAGGTCGAGGGCCTCGTCGGCAAGCTGCTCGGCAGCATCACGCTGCCCGGCAAGGCCGCCGCCGCCCTCTCGTCTGCCGCCGCCCAGGCCACGTCGTCCTCGCTGTCCTCCGCCTCCTCGCCCAACCCCCTCCTCTCCTCCTCCATGTCCTCCATATCGTCGTCCTCCATCAAGGGGCCACAAAACGGCGGCAGCGCCGCAGCAGCCGGTGGCGGGCCGGCCTTGCCCTGGCGCCGCGCCAACGTCCGCCACACATCAAACGAGATGTACGCCGACGTTGTCGAGTCGCTGTCAGTCACGCTGGCGCCCTCGGGCCGCCCTCTGGCTGCCTTTGCCCAGGGCTCCATTGCCTTTACCGCCAAGGTCTCTGGCCTGCCGGACATATTGCTGACGCTGACGGGGCCCTCGGGCAAGCACAACCTCGGCCGCATCCTGGAGCTGCCCGTCTTCCATCCGTGCGTGCGACTCGCGCGCTGGAAAGAGCGGCCCGGCGAGCTCAGTTTCGTGCCACCCGACGGCCGGTTTTTGCTGGCCGCCTACGAGGTCGACCTCATGCCCTTTGACGCGGCCAACGGCGACTCATTTTCTGGCACCGCTGCCAACAACAGCCTGCGCATGCCCATCAATGTCGAGATCAAGTCGAACCTGGGCCCCGTCGGCGCCGACTTTGCCGTCCGCGCCACCATCAACCGCACATTTGCCTTTGGCCGCCCGAACGGCCCTTCCAGTAGCGGTGGTGGCGGTGGAGGTGGAGGAGGCGTTCGTAGTCTCGGTGGCCCGCATCCGGGCTCACCGGGCGCCCCGCTGTTGGAGGATGTGCGCATCACCGTCCCTCTGCCAGCCGACGTGCGGAACCTGCTCGAGATCCGGCCCACTCGTGGCGATGCCGTGTACAACCCGGGCGAGCGCGTGCTCGAGTGGCACATTCCGGCCAAGGACGTTGCCAGCGGTATGACGTCCTTTGGCCTGCAGTGTACGGTGGTCGGCCAGCAACGGCCCGGGCATCTCGACCTGGACGGCGACGACAGCGAAAACAGCGACGACGACAATGCTGGCGGTGGCGGTGGCAGCGGACAGCAGAGCAAGCCAAGCAACGACTATGGTTTTGCCGCATACACGGACGACGAGCCGTATCAAGACGACGCCCCGAAGCAAGACCACGCAGAAACCCAGGCAGCACCGCTTCGGCGAAAAGAAAAGAAGAAGAAGAAGAAAGACAAGGGTACGGGCACCGGCACAACAAAAACAAAATCCGCAAAGACGAAGAAGGCCCCCAAAACGCCAAATACCGTACCCAGTCCGTTGGAAGCCGCGCCTCCCATCGAGACGGCGGCCGAAGCGGCGGCCAGCCGCAAAATCGCCCAGAACAAGATCTTGATGCCCAGTTCGGCCTCGGTGAGCTTCTCCGTCAAGGGCTGGTTGGCGAGCGGCATTCGCGTCGAGAGTATTGTCCTCGATACCAAGCGCAGCCGCGGCCTCGGCGACGGTGTGCGGCCCTTCAAGGGCGTCAAGTACGTGACCGTCAGCAAGGGCGGTATTGAGCTGCGGTGTTAGTTATGTGAGACGCAGGGCGAGGCCAATGCATACATCAATAGAAACGCATATATGAATGAAAATGGCACATGATGAATAGTAAATATGATTGGTATCCAAGAAAGTCCAGATCGTAATGCCGTTCAAATAGCGTCTATTACATTGTCTTTCAGTTCTCAAGAGCCATCAGATCCGCTGACCAGACGTTGCTGCCCACATCCATGTCCAGCTGTCGGTCGAGCAGGAACCAGTCTACCATATTCTATGGTTGTGTTAGTAGAGACGGCCAATCAGGGAAATAAGTTAAAATATATAAAACAAACAACCTACCCAGTCGACATTCATTGGATCGTTGAGCACTGCGTCAAAAGGTCCCGGTTCGGCCCACTCGTAAGCATAGTTGAGGTGCGGTGGTGGTGGTGGCGGTGGCGGCGGTGGATGTGATGGTGATGCATGTTGCTGCTGTTGCGGCACCTCATATGTTTGTGCTTGGGACCTTGCCTGGGACTGCGGCCCAATCGACGCGCTTTCTGCCGTCTGAGACGCCGGCGTGGTCTCTTCGTTCGGTGTTGAGCTCGCGTCGCTCGATCGTACTGTGTCCGACTGGCTCCCGCTCCCTTCGGTGGCTGCTGTCTTGTTTCTTTCAGCGCGCTCGGCCCGTTCCGCCCGTTGCTTTTTGAGTTCCTCTTCGTAGTCCTTCTGCCGCTGCTCACGGGCCTCCATGTCCCAGCGACCCCATCCAGGGCTATCCGAATCTGGCCATGGACGGGTCTTGTTACCGGCTGCATCGTAATCTCTCTCGCCAGCGTCGCAGTCGCCCAGTTCAGTTGACAATTTGGTGACGATCGCGCCCAGAACCCGTGCTGCATGTGCGGCATCGCGCGACGTCAACCGCCTCTCGTGCCACAGTGCGTATGCCGTACGCAGCGCCTCCATCTTGGCGCGCCGATCTTGGGCGCGCTGTTCGAGCGACGATCCGCAGCTACCAAGGAATGGCGCAAACACGAGTGATGGCGGCAGGTCTAGGTTCTTACTACTTGCGGGAGTAGCGTGCGCGGTGTGTGCGGCTGTAGACTCTCGGGAACTTGGTGTCCCATCCTCGCCCGCCATGCTGTTGTCGTTGCTTCTTGTACTGCCGCGGCCATGGCGGCTGCCCTCAATCAGATCCAGACAGAGAAGCGTTGCTGCCAACAGGAAATCATGCAGCGCTAGCGAGCTGAGCATGTTTCGGTCTGAAGCCAACCGACCCGCACCACGGTTGGCTCCGGGCGATCCGGGCGACGGCTGGAACTCTGTCTGCGCAAGTGTGGCCGCCGTCGACTCCGGTCGGGTCTCGTATTCAAACTCGGTATGTAGGTCTAGGATGCGCAGCGCTGAGACGAGACACGCATGTCGCTGCATCTCCGTCTCGTGGGCCGTAAAGCCCCTATTGTCGACGCCGCCGTCGGCCATGCGGTCACAACTGAGCGCGTCGCGGTACAAAATGCACACAGCTTTGTGGTGCATGAGCTCGACACCTAGCCGGTGCATGATGTTGTGGCTGGCGTCGTTAAAAGGACAGTCGCGGATGTGTCTGGGCATGCGGAGGCGTACAGGCACCGTGGAGTAGTTCCAGCGCAGCTCCTGGGTGATTCTCGTCACGGAGTCTCGGTAGGACGACGCCTCGTCCATCTTGGCTTTGGCGTTGCGCCAGACCGCGACCTGCATCACTTTTCGCAGCAGCCGGATAAGCTTGAGCTTGGTGATGAAGAAGAGAGCTGTCGTATAGTCCGACGGCGGCCGCGACGGCGGCAGTTCTGCCGAATTTTCATCAAAGTCATCGTCATTGAGGTTGCTTGGCGGATCCGTAGCGATCTCGTCTTCGTGAACCACAGTGGGCATGCTGAACTGAATGCTGAAGAGCATGTCAAAGGACTCGACAAAGAACCAGACGCGGCGCCGCATCTCCTTTTCGAACGGTGTGAGTTGCCTCCCGCCCCCGCCAGGCGCATCCACCTGGTGGTAGCCCATTCGCTGCGCCAATCTGACCGCCACACCGAATGTTGCCCACTGTGCGGCGTCGGAGTCGCGTTTTTGCATCAATCTGACATGCGCGTTCAGAACGAGGGCCTCGACCGCGAGTGGCCGGCCAGAGAGGTAGTCGCCTGCAAGGAGACAGCGCGTAGAGAGCTTCCGCAGCTCGGTAGCCAGGATGAGATCTTCGTTGCTGAACTCGGGCGGGTCTGCCTTCATGGACGATTTCTGCCCTGCTGCTGTGCCAGTCCCACTACTGGCACCCTGGCCGTCTCCCTCTTGGTCCGCATGCGAAGCACCCGGCTCCCGGTCGGCCATCCGAGCCATCTGGCGACCACCGTCTATCATGGCTCCCATGCACAAGACCGAGGCCAGCATGCTGATCCACAGTAGCGGTGACATTGGATTGGCGGCAGCAGGGCTGCCCGTCCGCCAGAAGCGCAAGTAGCTCCGTTGGAAATGGCCTGTGTGGAGAAATGGCCCCGTCATGTAGTTGGACTGGAAATAGACGGCCAGGAGGCGGTCGCAGTCAGATCGGGGCGGTAGGCATGCAATAGCATCAGCCAGGTGCTTTGGGAGTGGTGGATTCAGTGCCAGGCGTGACGTCGCCGGAGGATTGGATTGGTCGGACGCAGCCAAACCAGGTGCTGCAGCGATGGCAGCAAATATTCCGTCTGGCTCCGCCAGCTGAAACGAACTGTACGCCGGCAGGTTGTTTTGTGACTCGACGACGGAGACGCTCTTGGCCAGTGGTAGGGCCGTTTCGGCGGGCTCAGGAACCGCTGACCGTCTGGAAACGGCCGGCAGGGATGCGAGAGAGGCGGGAAGGAGGGCCGTCTTGGGATCGGTCACGCCGCCGTACATTGTCGGCTTGCTGACGAAGCTGTTGGGTGGGTTTGGCTGTTGATTTGGAGTTTGGTTGGTCTCCGTATGACTTGGGCTAGCCCTTTCCTCACCGGCTTCCTCAATATCGTCATCCATGTCGTGGTCGACACTGCTGTCTGGTTCCCGTTCGTCTTCGTTTTCGGGCGCAGCTTGTTTTTCGGGCGCGTCTCCCAATGCCGCCACGCCGAGGTAGTTTTGTATGTCCCGGATGCTGTCAAGAATGGCGGTCCAGTTGGTAGGCCCGGAAAACGGAGTCTCCCCAAGCATCGTCGCTACAGGCCCCACGGCAGAAGACGGGCCATTGGGGCCAATGGGCATGATCCATTCGAAAGGGGGACCACTCTTGTCGCCTTGCTTTGAGGCTTGCCTTCCACCCGTCCCTGCCGAATTGGGGCCCCCAAAGGCTGGTGTCGGTGTTTTGGCCGTCGCCCCCTGGTTTCTTGATGATGGCGCCCGAGTCACCAGGCCGTTCACCATCTCTTCGAGACGTAGTAGCCGCAACTGGGCTTCCTGGCGCATGCCCAATGCCGAACCCGTCGGGGCACTTCCGCTGGTACGGGTAGTTGATGATGCTGACGAGGCAGGTCGCCGTCCGTGACCGCTGTTGTGACCTGAGCCACTGCTAGAGATACCACTTCCGACGCTCGGAATCCCACCCATGCTCACTCCCGAGGACGACGCCGCAGATGAGGAGCCTGCATTCACACCTGTGACACCGCCCTCATTTCCGTACCGGCAGAGGGATCCATCGCCGCGCCGGACGCAGGTGCCGCAGGGTAGCAGCCGGTCGCACTTCTGCTTGCGGCTGCGGCAGAGCTGGCAGGACACGACAGGGCGCGACTTGGCCCGGGGCTGCGACCGGCGAATGGGCGGGTTGTTGCTGTTGCTTGGGTGACGTGGGAGCTGGCTGACGTCATTGCTGCTGTTGTTCGCTGCAGAATTGGTGCTATTGCTGGCCACCTTATCATCGCCTAAACGCACGCGAAACACAGACGTGTAATTGGCGATGTTCTTGTTGGTCATGTCGCCGAGGTCATTGAGACGTGGATGGAGGAATAGGGGGATGTGCAAGACAACAAAACCATGGCAATTGCCTTTTGACAAAAGTAGAAACAACAATCAATGCTTTCTTTTCTGCAAGGCAAGTGCAATGGACCTGACGAGATGACGGAGACGTCGAAATGAAAAAGAAAGGAAGGTGCAATAGTCCGACCGGTGCGGAGATGCCAAGCTCGCCTGTTTCCTAATTTGGAAATTAGTGGGTCCTTCCTGCCAAATACGAAGTACGACGTTCCTTCGTACATCACCGGACTTTGCGAGCCAACTCCTACCGTATCTAGTAATTTGGGAAGCAACACCTCCGAGCCTTCCTGAAACGGCCATGGCTTACAACGTCAATGCCACGAGGCAAGAGCAAAACGACTTACACTCTACTGTTTACTCAGCAAACTAGTTTTCAACACTTTCGACTATACCGATGTTGATCATAGGGCTGAAAACACTGTTCGACCCGTTCGACATACAACAAAAGCAATACAGGCGTCAGCAATGACAGTATACCTCGTTTGTAGTATATGTAGCAACCAGTCCCTGTATACCCAACACCCGTTTTGTCGCTATTATACATGTATGCCTGAACTATCCAGATACAAGAACATAAAATAAGATGGAACCCCAAAAATATAGACGCAAAGTGTTCCTTATGCAGTCTCGTTGTTTCACAGAAACAGAACGAGAACCCCAAAAGCCCCATCCACCTACGGGTACGTCGATGTTGCTGGCGCTCGATGCTACTCCAGGCCCCCTTTTTTGTTTCTTTCTTTTCTTTACTTTCTGGTTTTACAAAGAGTAGCATAGCCACATGCGCGAAACTACATGTCGCGGGGTATCATGCCAAAGTCTCAGAGGGGCAAAAAAAAAAAAAACATGAGGAAACGAAACCCAGTCAAGAAAATAGGAAATAAAAGATACAAAATGAAATGCGCCTGGGGTAAAGAGCAAGATATTAAATGGAATAGATGGCGGATAGGAGTTGGTAGCAATCAGGCTTGCACCTGTGACGTGCTCCGCTTGACAGCAGCAGGGGTGCCATGGCTGACAGTAAATCCAGGAAGGGACTATTGAAAAATTAGTAAATGAGTAACCAAACCATGGCATGCAAAAAGAGGACAGCCGACGACAAGTGATTAAAAACATACCGACGTCACGACGGAGCCAGCGCCGACGACCGCGCCCTTTCCAATGTGCACACCGGCGAGGATCGTGACATTGCCGCCAATAAACACATCGTCGGCAATGGTGATGGCTCGACCCTGGAGAGCACTGTGCACGCCGTCGCGCTCCATCGGGTCGGTGGACGGAGCCGATGTGAAGAAGGACACATTGGGACCAATCGTCACGCGGTTGCCAATGTTGATTGGCATCGCATCGGAGAAGTGGCAGTTGCGGCCAATGTGGACGGCGTTGCCAATGGTGATGTTGTAACCGTAGTCGGCGTGAAACGGGGCATCCACGACGACCTGGCCGCCAACAGGACCCGTGGCGGCCTGCTGATCGGCTCCTCGCGGTTGAATGATCTCTTTGAACAGCCGCGTGCGCTCGCTCTGCGAGACACCGATATTGGGGTTTGTCGAGTTGTTAAACTTCCAGCAAGCCGCCGCACAGCGTTCCCGGAGATCAACCAACTCATTGTCAAACTGGTAGAAAGGCCGGCCTGCGTGCATCTCGTCCTTCTCGCGCCTCGGACCCGGAACGGTGCTGAAGAAGGGAACATTGCGTCTTGACGCGGCCCGTGCCTCTTCAGTGTCTTTGCAATCGTCCGCCTCCTCGCCGCCTTCTTTCTGGTGCGGCTGACGAGGTGCCAGCGGCTGGGGCGAGTACGGGCGGTGGTGCAAGAAGCGGGCCTGCCTCTCGATTGGCACGGGGTCCTGGTGCAACGGTGCATGGCGAGGCTGGTGGCGCTGCATAGGCTGCTGCGATTGATGATCCGGAAGCGGCTGGTTCTGGTGCTGCGTGGGGTGCGCGTGTTGCGGATGAAATTGCGGTGCGGACTGCAGGTGCTGGCCCTGGTGAACCGGCTGGTGCGGGTTCTGCGCAGAGTGCTGAGGACGGCGTTCGTGCTCGCGGTCGAGTTCATGCTCGCGCGGCGGAGGTGGACGAGACGCATCGGTTTGCGAAAGCTGGCGGTGGTGGAGATGCTGGGATGGCGGTTGAGACTGCTGCGGCGGCTGCTGCTGATGCTGCTGATGCTGCTGATGCTGCTGATGCTGCTGCTGCTGCTGCTGCTGCTGTTGTTGTTGCTGTTGTGGCTGCTGCTGTTGTGGTTGCAGTTGATTCTGTTGCGGCGATGGCTGCCGATATGGAGGACTACCTGACCTGTGAATGTTGATCTGTGGTAGTGGCGTCAAGAGCTGCGGTGTCTCCGGTTCGGTTGTCCGGCTGAGGTCGTGTAGCGGCGGCACCCGCTGGTATTCCTTGGGCGTACGATCCGGGAAGGGGGCCGTTGTGGCCGCACTGACGGGTGTCGGAAACACATTTGCGGGCGCAGAAAATGCAGACAGTGCGGAAAGCTTATTGTGGCCGTCCGAGCTGGTGAGCGCACTGGGCAGGGTGGACGCAGTGGGCCGGTCGTCGTCTGTCACAATAGGACGTCCCTGTGGCGGCTGGATACGAAGCGCCTGGCCGCGGTACAGAGGAAGTGATTCGCGTCGTTGCTGGTGGAATGTGCCGCCCTGCAGACCGCCGCCGGGACCAGGCATGCCGTAGGCACCGGGTGGCACATACGTTGGGTCCTTGGACTCGATCTGCACTGTTGGCTTGGTCAGGTCTGGCTTGCCCCAGTGGCCCTTCTGCGGTGGGTAGCCAGCACAAATAAAGCCACCACGGACACAGTTGCTGCCTATATTTGACGTGGTTAGTACGTTATGTTCGTGGCGAGGCTGAAGGAAGACGTATGGTCTCATGTCGCGCAACAAAAACATACATTCAGGCTTGGTCTCGTCGCACTTCTTCTTGCGCTTGCGACAGGTGAGACAACCGGTCTTGGTCCGGTTGCTAAAGTTGCGCTTCCGACGCTTCGGGTCCGTTTGCTGCAGTGGCGGGCCGATCTTCTGGTTACTTGGCGAAAATGGAGCGCCGTAAACGGCTGGCCGCTCTTCATCGTCCGGGCTGTTGACGCCATATTCGCTCTGTGGAGACGCACTGGTATGCGGCACCGATTTGTCCAGCTGGCGTGAGTCATTGGCGGAATGGTCTTCCGCGGGAGAGTGGACCGACCCGGAGCGCTGGTGCTGGTGCTGCTGGTAAGTGGCACTTTCGTTCAACGGGCCAGCGGCTTGACGGTCGTCGCGAGAGGTGCGAGAGAACCACATGTCAGCATGGTGTTGCTCGCGCTGCTGCTGCTGCTCACGCTCTTCGTCGGCATACGGTCTGGAGGTGTACTCGCGGCTGCGAGAGACGTCGTATGAATCACGGGGTTCTGCCGACGTGCGAGGCGGCTCAGATTCGCCGTCCTTGGACGCACGCGATGCCGCTGATGCTGCCGCAATTGCTGCCGCGGCGGTCTCAGTGGCGGTCAAGATTCGTGGCAGATCTGAATCGCCGCGCTGGTGCTGGAGCGGTGGCGGGCGGGTTCGTTGCGTATCTTGGCGATACGATGTTTCCTCCACAGACGGCGATCGTTTGCGCTTCTGCGTCGGCTCCTCGGGATTCTCCAGATTTGGGTAGGTGGAGGCCGGCGAGCGGTGTGGTGAGCGATCCAGGGGAGACGTGCCCCAGATATCACGTTCGCGCCGGGTGGGCGCAGACACGTCGGGCATCGTCCGGGGCTCAGCGGTCTTGGGGCTGATGCGGTCCAGGTTGTACTCCCGCTCGTCGTGCGCTGCTTGAATGGATGGCGGCAGGCGCACCTCGATTGTGTCGTCCATGGGGCTTGGCGGTGAGTTGACACCATCGTGATTTGTTAAATCAGTCATCCTCCTCCACGATGCCACACGGCTTTTCGCGGCTGCTGACATGCGCATATCAGCGCGACGGTCTCCTAGATCCTCGCGGAGAGTGGGAACAGGGTTGCAATCCTGCTCTTGCTGCGTCTCGACGGAGACGAGGACTGGATATCAAGAGGCCCACGAGAAGACAAAATGACCAGAGGGCGAGATGGCGAAAATAGTATGTCGTTTCTGTAGTATTCGGACCAGACAATGGCAGCGCCGAAGCTACGCCCAGGAATGCAACGAACCAGCGACTGCAGACGGGCAAAGTGGGCGAGACGAGGCGCAATGAGCAGATCTTTCCAAATTCAAGCCGTGCGTCGATATAAGTGGGCGGCGTCGAATAACAGAAGCCAGATGAAGCGATGGTGAGACGAGGAGGGAGAATCAAGAAGATGTGCGAGTCGTCAAAAAAGTAGCAAGGAGAGGAGAAATGAAGGAGAAAAGAAAGTAAAGAGGAGGCGAGGTCAGTCCTATTCAAGTATATGAAAAGAAAAGGATGCAGAGGAGAAGAGCGAGGAGCATTAGTCCTTATGTGTCGAAGGGTCTCGCGAAAGGTTTAGTGCGGTCAGGGGTAGGGCCAGATGCACTTGACGGAAAGGCGAGAGCGGCAAACACGGAGAAGCGCCGGGGTAGCGATGTCAATACAAAGTTTGCGCGGTCGGAGGAGAAGAAGGTTGAAGGATGGTGATGAGAGAGAGTGAGTGAGAGGAACAGAGAAAGCGGCGGACGCAGGGAGATGTGAGTGGAGACCTGGCCAGGCCAGCTGTAGAAAAGGCAAGGCAGGAGAAGTTGGAGACGTTGTCAAAACGGGAAGCGACGAGGGGTGCGAAGGTGACAAGGAAGGAAGGAGAGGAGCAGGAGGAGAAAAGAAGACGACGACAAACGACACGGTCGAGGAAGGAGGGAGAAAAAAAAAGATTCGAACGGAAGGAACGATGTGAGATGACAGGAAGGCGCAAAGGACAAAGTACGAGTAAGATACGGGGACGGATTCGCAAGTCGTTTAGGAAGGAAGGGGCCAGCAAGCGCTGGCGGTTTGCGTCTCAATACTTTGTCAAAAAAAGAAGGTCCAAACGTCGACGCAGAGACGAAGAGACGCAAAGAGGGAAAGAGGGACCGGCGACAAATCAACAAGGAAAACAAGAGACAGAAAGCACACGGAGAAGCTGAGAAGCTCAAGAAAGATTAAAAAATCGACCAAGCGGCCGTCTGGCCATGGGCGGACGTGAAAATGGGGGAGGGGGGGGGTGTACTGTGCAGGAGAGGCAGAGCGCAAGGCCGAAGCAATGAGCTGAACCAACAACCAAAGAAGGCGTGCCGACGCTGTGCATCTGGGCGTTGCGTCTCGCGCGCTCCACTGGTCGAATTGGGGAAGGGGAGGGGGCGTGGCAGCCGCTCCTTCCATTCGTCGTGTTGCGCTTCGAAGTCTTCGATTCTTCCATTTCCATTTGCTGGCCTTCCAGTGGTCTGGCCCTCTGTTCCTTCACTGTTGTGCGCTATTGGGCCATGTTATTTGGCGGTCAGGGGTGGATGCGAGAAAAGTAGAGGCGGAAAGAGAGGGGGTGCGAGTTTCGGGGGGAGGGGTGTGCGGATCAATTGGGTGTTGGGATGGGCGGCACTGGGCAAGCGACGAAGGTGGCCAGCCAAGCCAACGCGCGGGCCCAGAGCTATTTTTGCTAGTGCTCAGAATGTGGGTGGTTCCTTCCCCCAACCCCAGGCGGCAGGCGGCAGTGAGGTGATTGCCCTGTGCAAAAAGGCATTTCGACATTTCACAAGCTGTCGCTTTTTCCATTTCATTGTGTCGCTTTTTTCTTGTTCCAATTTCAGGTGCTCATATCCGCATTGTATGAATTGTATGAGCGTCTATGTCATGCACGCCATGCAGTCCCCGGCTCGCTGCTTGCTGCTTTCTGCTTTCTGCTTTCACCCTTCCGCTCTTCCCAGGTTTTTGCTTTGCTACTGATCTGTTGGTGGTCCGGTCTATCCACCAATGTGAGATTTGTTTTACCTTGCCGTGAGCGCTGTGAATGCCATTGCACTCGTGTGGAGTAATACAGCAGTGTGTCTGACGTACTCATTGCTCTCTGCGTGGCTCTGGACGTAAGATAATATACTTGCATGCCCATATTTTGGCGTAAATGCTACTCAGCAGACATCCTTGCAGCAAATATAGCAGGCCATACGTCGCCGCGGATAAAACAGAAGCGTCCTCTCGAGGAGAGCGGCGATAGCCTATTGCCCCGTAGTAAGATACATTCAGAGTGAGCCGCAAAGCTGTACGGAAAGGGGGCGTGTGGCCATCGCTTTCTCCCACAGTTCCGTCCTCGTTCCTCACCTGGCCCCTGGTCGGGCCATCTGGCCAGCCAAAAATAAGTTTACACACGACGTGCACAGTGGGGCGACGGCGACTGCAGCAAGACGAAAGACAGAGACGAGACAGCAGGGGTTGGGCGAACCAGAAGAAGCGGAGCAGGACGACAGGAGACCGAAGCCAGTGGTCGAATAGGAGAGGGGGCCAGACTTGGGCGGGCGCTTGAGTTTTGGCGCGCGATTAATAGTGCGCCAGTTGCTTTGGAAGGGGGCGGGGGGGCGTGTGGCCGGCGTGACGAGGTGGCTAGCTTGGGATATGCCTCGGGCAACAGAGGTCTTGTTTGCAAGACCTTGATTGGGGCGCAGATTGGCAGATTGGAGATTGGGAGATTAGCAGAAAAAAAGATACAGATTCAGACGAGGGCCCGAGGAAAGGGTAAAAACGGCCCCCAACTTTTTGATACCACTGACAGGAGCGAGTTTGGGATGCGCTTGCCATGATGCAACCGAGATTCTGAATGTTTCCTCCTGCATAGTCTCGCCTGTGAGTTGACGTTAAGTCCTCGGATGTTCCTTGGATCAGCATCTTATTCCGTTACTATTATTATACCATTTTCCCGTAGTCGCAAGCGTGGCTCCTGCCCTGGCCAGGTCTGGACCTGCTGGGCTCTGGACTCGGCACCGTCAGCCCCATGCGTCTCGCATCTCGGCCAGCCCAGTCGACCTTCCGAGTCCCTTCAGTTTCTGGGCCGCACAATGGAGGAAGGGCCGTTTGACGTCAGGAGCTTCGTGGCATGCTGAGAGGCGAGGCTAAAAGGTCAAACAGCCGAACAGCAACGAACATCGCCTACCACGCATCTCCATGCGAAGCAGCTGCCTATCTGAACCGCACCTTCCTCGTAGGGCAATAAGAAAACAAGGCCCGCTCCGCGAAAGAGGTCTTCCCGTCAAAAATCATAGCTGCCCATGCGTCACGTAAACGGCAGGCACGATGCACGGCATGCTGGCCCCAGCTCAGATACACGGTATGCAGTGGGGACAGCATGACATCCCGCGACCCCACGAAGAGCAAAAGGCATGCACGCCTGTCGGTGCTAGGAAACGGCGTCTCGGGAACGTCGTTGCCTCAGCTGCCCGCCGTGATGTAGCACTACAACCTCGTCAGAAAATCACCTGCTCAGATCTTGGCGACTACCGAATCCATTCTTCTCTGCGGTTTTATCGCTTTTCTGCAACTGTTTGGGTGTTTCCATTTTGTCCACAGGACCAGGCTTCGGCTTCATCTTCATACCTTCTTCCTGTGTGCGGCGCCGTGCCGTATGCCTTTCAAGGGCTCCTTGTTTTCATAGCGTGTTATGCTACTTCGTAGGTATACGTTTGTTAGTGTGCACTAACCCTTACGCACACTCCCGTCGCCTGTCGCTGCCGGCCGGGACGCGTCGCACCTAACCACACTAAGTAGACAGCACTAGCTCCAACAGCTGGGCGAGGCCCTAACTGTCGCTAGTGCAAAGCGTGCCTCAGTGCGCCCCAGCGGGGCCACACTGTGTGCCTGGGGAAGCGAGGCTCCGTCGGTGCGTCGTTTTGAGCCGTTCATAGTAAGGCAGGGTCGATAGTTCACGATGCGGAGTATAGACGAAGTGGTTTTCAAAACGAAATACGAGGGAGGGGGGGGGGGCTTCGGCTATATCCCAAACACTGGAACAGGAAAGATTTTTTATGCAAAGATCATAAGTGTTCACAGTAATTCGTACGCTCGTCATGAACACGGAGCAGCAGAGGACATACAACATCGTTCTCACAGGCAGCCTAGTCCACAAGGCCAAATGCGGCTAATGCTGTTAATGGTTACGGAAGATGTCGTTTGGATCCTTTTGCCTTCTCCGACGCAATTAATACTTGCAAATTGAGCGCCCTTCGGCTGAGACCATGGCCGTTCTCGCTCCGTCAAGGCACGACTCGTGGTGCACCGCATGGTCCCTCGTCCCCCGAGTTCTTGCCGTTTGGGCATTTGCTTGTTGCTTTCTATTCATAGCCGGCTTGCGATTTCTGTCTCCGGCGCAGCATGAATGGCCGTCCCAGTTTCTTGCATTTTGCAGCTGCCTGTGTCCAAGGAAACACAAAGGAGCAGGTACGAGTGCCTCGCAATGACTCTGCAAACTATCGCACAATACACTTAACGAGGCCGCATCTTTTGTCGACCATATTTAGTATTCGCCAGCGACTGCAGAGTATGTCTACTCTATGGGCTGATCTCGTATCCAAGCCTTGCAGTCCATCTCATACGATGTATTGTGCCGTTCGGCGGTCGCAACATGGGCGAGTCCCAGCATCTGTGTGACAGTAAACAGGCGAGTAGCCCTTTCCTAATTCGCACATCCTCCGCTCGTCCACTCTAAGTAGACATGGGCACTCGAAAAATACAGAAAGCCAGTGTTCCAGTGTTTGTTGTCAAGAGTGCACCATAAAGTGCTCCGGTTCCAGTGCGCCTGCCGTGTCATACTTTGTCTGGCCTTTCAAGACCCACCATCCCACCTTCCCCCGTCTTGCGTGGCTAGCCTCACGCCCCCCCTTCGAGCCGCTCTTTCTTTCCCTGCCTGTCTATAGGGCCTGACCACGCCTTT